AGGAATTTAAGCAATGGGTAATCATCTTGGAAAGCATTGGTAAGCATTGGTAAGGATAAGCAAGCCAAAAGGCAAGAATCAGTAAGCAAAGTCAAAAGATTGGTAAGTATTGGCAATAGGTGAGTCAAAGACAGTCAGAATGTCAAAGTATGAGTCAAGTAATGCCAGGAACTGGGAAGCACACTGGAATTGCATTAGGGGGAGGCTGTGCATGTCACATCTCAAAGAGATCACTTCTAGGCCAAGGTGGGATGACAGAGAGGCAGCACTGATCTGATGCCAACATAGTACATCCAAAAGTGGACAGGGTGAGTCAGATGTCAACAGGGGTCAAGCTTTGGGGGTCTGTGGGGTGACAGGAGCATAGGGGATCACAACTTTCCCCCCCAAACCATCCTCTCAGTGAAGCAAATAAAAACTTCATGAATGAGGCTCTGTTGGAAGAGAAGATGAAGGGGGAGTGTCTTCTGCTGTATCTTGCAACAAGGAGGCAAGATGTGCATCATACTTGTCATGGATGTGATCAGGGAGAGTGGAGAACAGTAAATTATACTGTAGCTGTTGCAATCTTGGAAGAATGACAGACAAGACTGGTATGAAGACATTGCAGGGAGCAGGGAGGAAGGATCCATATGCTTCTTGGACTGGAGAGACTGAAATGACCACATAAGACCTTTCCAAGCAAGTGACAGACCTGAGGCAACCAAAGAACATCCTCCTAGAGGTCATACTGACAAAAAGAACATGCTGTCCAAGCTGGACAGGCTGAGAGGGCACAGATGAGGGTGGGATGTGCCAGGATGCTTCAGGACAGAAGCTGGTAGGAACTCCTGGTAGATATATGTAGCCATGGTCCCTAGCAAAGGGGACAAGTGAAATGATTGATGTGGAGGTGGCCATATCAGAAGAACTAGCAAAATGAGCATCTTTTGGAGGGAGTGCTGTAGAAATGTGTGGAGTGCACAAACCCTTTCCAATTTTGGAAGGTAGGATCATGTGGCTGAGCACTACAAGTGAGTGTGGGAATGGTCTCAGTATCTGCAGAAACAGCAGAGATATGTCAAAAATTGGAATGCTGTACATGGGCACTTAAGAATTTTAACCAGTGCTTAACTCACTCTCTTTCTTTTTCTTTGGCACTGATGACTCATTCTTGTGTGAGGGATGACTGCCAACATTTCTGGCTGTCCTTCTTCACATGAGGGCTATGGTCTTCATCTCCATTCATCAGCTGTATCCATGTCCACCTCACCAAACACCTTTGGTGTGTGACACCACCTTGAGGTTTACAAAATGAACTATGCTGGTGGAAAAATGCCCTACAACAATCTCTCCCCATCCCCATCCCCATCCACCCATCAGCAATAGACCTCCATGCATTTTCAGATGCCAGCTCCAGTGTCAGTCTGGCAATTGTCATCAGGGAAAGATGGAGAGCCTGGAAGTTGCACACAAACTGGAAGGGAGATGAGAGGGACATCAGTTGGGCAGAGAGCATGGCTTTCAAATTCCTCATATGTTACCTCATCATCATCTGTCCCTCCCCTGAACCTCTACACATCTTTGGGGACAACAAGGGAGTTATCAAGGTTTGGAAGAAAGGACAAAGCAACAACAGGCCCACAAATGAAACCTTTTGAAGGATCCATGCTCTACTCACCTCTCCCCCATGCAGAATTTTTGCAGACTACATCCTGAGTGAAGACAACCCAGCAGACAAACCTTCTTGAGGCATCTATCCCCCCTCCAAATTTGCTCTCCCCCCCATCCCAATCCCAGACCCCATCACACACCTTGTATTCAATTTCAATGACCTGCACTCCAGCAATTTCACAGTCCAACATAAATTTCCTTAACATCATCATGACACTGGCCACCCAGCAATCATGCTCTTCACAGAAACCTACCATCATTCTCCCCTACCTGACAAACCTGACACCAAAACCATCCAAACTGCAGCCATTATGCCCAGCAAAAGACAGATTAGAGCAATGGCAACTGCATCCCAGCATCATACAGTCTCTGAACATCCCACCAGACTTCTGGGATAGGGTTCAAGACATCACCCTCAGGGGATGGAATGAGAGCACCAGAGCATCATACAGGGCCAGGCTCCTAGTATACCATGTTTTCTGCAATAGCCAGGACATCCCAGAGGAGGAAAGAGCTCCTGCAGACACTATTTTGATCTCCACCTTCATATCATCCCTAGCTGGCTCCTACTCAGGCAAGACAATACACAGCTACATCTACAGTGTGCATGCCTGGTGTTGGAACATAAAGTGCCCCTGTGGTACTTGACCACTGTGCGATGTTTTGGCTGCTTATATAAGCTGAAATAGCGCACATACTTGTAGTATTTCCTACTAGTATTCCCTCAGTAGTTTGTTCACTACTGAGGGCAAGTCCATTCATATTACAAGTGTTCTACTATACTGACATCCTGTAGTAGCCTACAGGTGTATCTAATATCTCAGTAGTTTGTTTGCTACTGAGGCCTACAGATATTTCTACACCTGGCACACTCTCAATGGTCTGCCCTGGATTAGTAATACACAAGGCCTCTTCCAAACAGAACCTCCAGAGACCAATCACAGTACAGATGATATGTGATTTTCACAGGCAGCTACAGAGCGAGGACCCCATGGACATAGTGGTCTTCACCTGCCTAACCACCATATTCTACACAGCCACCAGAGTAGGAGAGTTCACTGTCAAATGCCTTGACTCCTTCAACCTAGCACTCCACATCACCCCCAAAGGAGTACACAAAGACATCAACCAAAACAGCCTCAGCACAATGGTGTTCCTACTGCCAAGTACAAAATCTAACCCCCTGGGGAGAAGAGGTGAACTGGGCAAAACTGTATCAGTAGACCACTTTGTGAGCTGGTAGTCCTAGGGAATCTGTCCAGTGCTGGACAGCTCTGGACAGCTCTGGCCAGCAAAAGTGATTTACTGATGCATACAATCAGGCCCATCCAACCCCCACACAGTGTTCACCCAGCATCTACAAATCAACAGCCCACCCAAGAACAGCCCCCTATTCATGTACAAAAAGGGAAGTGAACATCAACTGCTAACCTGCCACACTTTCATCTCATGAATGAAGAAGCTAGCCAAAGCAGTGGGGCATGACCATGTACATGGACACAGACTGAGGATAGGAGCCACACTGGAATATCTACTTCGAGGAGTTCCCTTCGAAGTTATGAAAGTCAAAGGGAGGTGGGCGAGCGACACATTTCAACTCTATCTACGGAAACACAACCAAATCCTCGCACCATACATACAAGCCATGCCTACAGAAACGGCTACTGAGTTTGTATGCATCGCCATGCCACCAGTCCGCTGAGCCCACAAACATGTATCATGAGTAAACACCATTGTCCTCCTATCTGTTGGGGATCCGAGCGTCAGCCCATCGCGTCGGACAAGGCCCTCCTAACACCCGGGATCCGCAGCTGATGCTCGTCTCAGATCACCCTCTCATCAAGGCCGGAAGGCGCTTCGCGCCTTCGCCCACTCCTGCTCATACGTATCATACAGCTACCAATCCCACACCTTTCCCTCTCCGAACTCGTATAGCTACGATACGCGAAGACACGTGCCCCGTAGACTTTTCCGTTCGATATCATCCCCCCCACAGTACTAATCTCTTACGTACACTTGGACACGCATTCACTCGATAGAATCCCATAAACTTGAACTCACACTCACTCGATAGAATCACCTGTAGAGTCGCTTGTAAATGTAAAGAACTACGTCACGTGCTTTCCCCAAATGCGTCCAGGAGCGCCCGAAGGGCTTTGGTATCATACACATATCTTTTGTTTCAAACCAATGCTCGACTCGAGATCTATAAAAATCTGCCGCTTTGTTGTGTCCCTACCATGGCTACATACAACTAATTTTTTGGAGGCGGTTATCCTCGAAGATCTATGGGATCTGACCAATCTTTTGGTGGATTTGCTTAAATTGATGTATTTTGAGCACATCTCGCTGCCCACAGTACAATTTTTCATTACAAAAAAAAACAGAGACTAGTCATACAGCATATGAGAATCCCTCTCTGGCCGTTAGATGTGCGAAAGTGCGACTGCATTGTGGTAGAATCGTGATTATGCACCCCCTGTTGTTTTTGCAACTCCGGTTAAGTAATAGTACACATGTTATCTGCACACAGCAGGCGCTGGTTTACCCTGGAACTGTCCCACCTCTGGTACTTAGGCCCATCCTCATTCGGCTAGCGTATCAAATCCAGATAACCAACTTGCTCCTGCGCCCGTGAATCTTAACCTGAACAGTACTATCATGGTTTGATGATCAATGTATTACCTTGTATTACCCGTGTCCGTGCCAACTTCATCAGCACGAGAAACCGTCGGCGGTGCACGGCCCACGCGTTTAAGTACTATGTATGTCGTCTTATGTGGACTACCCCATTCGAGCGAGCCAATTCGCGTTAGCTCTGCTTACCAGCCACTACGCAGCTGTCTTCCTTGTTCTCGTCTCACCTCGACGAACAAACTTAGTGTTCGGCCCCTAATATAGAACTCGAGCTGAGATCGCGACAAGGCGCCATCGTGATATGACCATTGCAGGTGGATTTGAAGGTTTCGCTTAGTAGAAACCTTCCCGCTCTCACACAGCACCTGCATCTGCGACAGCCCCCCAGCTGCGCAAGGACGAGCGATTCTCCTTTGGGGAGTTCCCTGCACGGTTGCTCCCCAAAATTATCATATGATACGAGGTACATTTGACACCTCGAACCCCTGGTTCCTCATTTCCCTATCTGCCACCTAACGTGCCAGTTCATTCTATACATGCCCTGGGTGGGCGTGGGCGTTAGTTTCACTAAGATATCACAGCCTTGCCACGAGAACCCATCAGTCACACGAAGGGAGGCGGTGTTCCAGTTGATGGCGATCCACCAACGAGGATATTCCCTTCTCCCTCGATGTATATATCCCGCTTGGACTAGTGACGTGAGCGTCTTACCCATTCCCTGTTTTCTCCTGCGCCGGGTTGACCTTCGGGCTTTAGCTGTGGTTACAAGGAATACGAGGTCGAGAATTGCCCCCTTCGCTCTTGCGCCAGGTTGGCCATGTCGTCAAGTTTTCAGTTGCCATATGATTACGTCAACTACATCTGGTCATTGGCTTTCCAACGCTATCGCGAGCTCCAGTTCGCCACGATCACACTGATGGTGTATGATCATGCTATCACCCTTGGAAAAGAGGCGAGTCTTTCACGCCATCCAACCAGTTGCCCTGTATACCGAGCTAACAGGATGCCCACAGTTCGAATTTTTTTGGTGTGGATCATGGAGTCTGTCGAAATTTCTGTATCTTTTGGTGAGATTCAAAGGTCTTCTAATGCCTGTGTGCGTGCTAGGCTAAGGGGTGGGTGATGGGACAGATTCGATACCTGTCTCTTACGCTTGTAGTGTAAGTATTGCACTTCTGATAAGCGCCGGAGTCATTGAATATCTTGATTGCAGACTGCTGTTAGTAGGTAAGTCTATTATCCCATTCATCGATGAGCGAAGACTCATTGCTGTTTCTTCATTGTTTCAGTGAACTGCACGACAGAATATGTGAGTGATGTTGGCTACCATTGTCACAGAGCCTGAGCAAGTTGCTAGGCGTTAGTCTCCCATAAAATACTGTGGAATTGGAAACCAGGAGTGACCTTCCTTTCGAAGGCCTTTATTCTTTGCCGCTTTTGCGCTGTCAACAGTGATCATGTTACTTTGCCAAGGTGAGTCGTCTCCCCAATCCAACGATTTTCCTTGTCCCCGACGCTTGTTTTCCATCCTCGCAAAATAAAGCCGCCGTCACCCTTCGCGTGTGGTATCTTTTTTCTCACAACGTAATCGTCCGCACCGTTGCCGTGGGCGCCCTCTGCGCCAGTACAGCAGCTTCGTTTGCCATGCTCCCCATGTTCTTGGGGAGCATCGAGAAACTCTTTACCTCCGGTTCGCCAACCCGTTTACAAATTCCTGGACAAATCGTGTGGCTTTGCGTTCCCGCGTTGATCGTCCATACTCTCTTGTTTGCTTTGAAAGTCTATCGGTTCGCACAAGGCTGGAAATCACTTCACGTGGAAGCACCGTTGCGCAGATTTTTCAAAGAGTCAGCTCTCTGCATTCTTCTATGCACCTTTGACTGACCATGTTTGGGTACTTCAGGGGGATGCTGATGTATGCGTTCGCGATGGGTGTGGTATAACATTCTCATTTCTACGAAATAAGAACTTAAAATTTGGGACATAACAGGATCGCTCGTCTTCTCAATCATATGCCTTTCGTTCACCGCTCCTTCTCAGCTACCGGTGCGTACCAACGCTTGTTGCTATTCGCTCTTTTGAATGACTGACACCCGCTCAACTTGGTCGGCGGTTAGACTTTCATTTTGGCTCTAACTAGGTGGGCCTCCTACCGCGTTAGATGGCTATTGCATATTGTTGTGCTGAGTTCCGCTGAATTTTTTTCTGTCTTCCAGCTTCCCCACAGCAGCAGTCGTTGTGGCCGTGTCTCGCGCCATGCTCAGTATACGTTCATTGGCAGCCACGTTCCATGTCGATCCAGAGTGGCTCCTTAACCATGCTGAGATGAGCCGGCTACCATTACGCGAGGGACTGAACAAGAGTGAGTTCTGTGTTGAGATCTACACCGACTGATAACCCGACGATGGGTCATTCGGCCTCTTTGTTCCTTGGGCTCAACTTGAATGATTGGAGGACTGAAGACGTTCTGGCTATATGACAAAAATGTTTCATATATGCATTGGACGAACATATCCAGATATTTAGTTGTATGTGTAGCATAATAGCCTCCCCACCTTCCTCCTCACTGCGATTACTCCTACAAAGTGAGCCGGATTAAGAGACTAATCAATATGTAGCGTAGGTATGTATGTGATAGTTTTGGAGGATAGGAAACTTTACCAGAAGGTCGCATCCTCGTCTGCATGTGTGCCTTAAGAGCTTTCAGAGGTTGAACGTACATCGGATTTGCGGCAGCTAGTGGCACTTCTTCTATACTTGTAAATGCGAGATAAACAGCGGAGAAATATAACTTTCACTGACAACTAGTTTTTGGGCGAAGCAGCGGTGGGAGTGGTTAGTACAGTCGTGGAGATCTTGCCGAGTCCAAAGCGGACGGAAACGAGTGTGACCTCCCTCCCCCCTACTTTGATCACTGAGGACAATTTCCAACGGAAACCCCAAAGCCGGACACCCAAGGTAAAAGCAATTCTGGATAAGCTGGGGATGACTCAAGGATAACAATCCCCAAGCTGCAGAATCATGAGTACGTCGTGCATTGCCATCACAGAAAGGTTCGTTGAGAGACGAAGGAGTTCGATAACAATCTTTGACATCGTTGGTTCACGTGTTGCCACGGAGCACCCGATGTGCGTAAACAGGACGCACATGTCCACGAGTTTCGACGGCACCCCGGTACCCTCAAGGCTGGCGGTGACGACATGTAGGATGTTCCCCTCCTCGATACTAACGACAACGCGCATACAAGGCTCGTAGCGATATCGACCGCTGTAGTGGCCGCACTGAACCTCGTCCATCTTTGAAGATGTGAGTGAATTTCGTGAGCCCTCTCGACACATCCGAACTTGCGTCGGGGAAATCCGACGACCAGATGAAGTAAGCACCCCTGTGCCTGCATGGCTAACGCACGGTCAATTGACGTCGGGTGTTCAGAGCGAGATGAACGTCCGCCCTTTCTCAGCATCCTTGCCCGGTGGGGCTGTTCCTGTGTAAGCAATTGTTATCATAAGGACAATCACTCAACTACTGCCGTTACCAGTGCTGGACCTTCTACTGGTAAGGGCTACACGGCGAGTGTGCGTGTCGACGGGGTCTCTCCTCGTATGAAGCACATTGACACAAACCGATGCTGCAAGCACGTTGCTAGCACGCATCACTAACACCTCACATCTTGCGGTCAGCTGCTTGGTATGCATGTTGTGCACAAACCATGCAAGGACTCACCTCAGAGGCAGACTTCCTTCCCTCTCACTCTCCGTTTGCAGCCAAAGTCGTCAGTGCTGCCGCGACTGCTTCCGTTGTCATTGCGAGCATGTCTATGCCCTTGTCTCGTCAATCCATCTCGGTATGCTAATCAACCCTTTAACTTCTGAAAGCCGAACGATTGAACGCTAGTCTATCAGCTGGTCGAAATGCTACCATTTGCATCTTCCTTATGCATACTCGCCGCCCTTGCCACTGGCTCATTTGCCCTCCAAAGTACCGCTGCAGTCTCCTCAGCTCCCGATGTCAGTAAATCTAGGATGTATTCAAGCGCAATATCCAGCGTCATAGCAGCGGTGACACCTATGCTGGCGTTGATATATTTCTGCCCTCTGTACCTGCTCTATAGACATTCTAAGCGCAACCCACGTCCATTGAACAAGATGTCTGGCATGCGGATGCAACAGTACGGACCACGTAAGCCCTGCAGCATAATACAGATCCATCCGTTGCTCATGCAATGTAGTCGTTTATGTCTTCCTGTTGTTCAATAGCTTAGCTGCGGTCAGACGTGCATTCATTCCGAAACACGGTGCATTGACACCTGCATATTCCAGATTGCGGATGCCACTTGGTTGTTACTCCAGTACAAGTACAACAACAACGCCCCCGACCCGATGTTGCGGTCAGGAGTACGGTTCCTCTTGTGAGTTACCCTGTCTCTGCTTGAAAATGATCTTCTGATGCACTTTAGATTTGCTGGGTGCTGGACAACTGTGACTGCCGGCACATACACGCTCTTTTTCTTAGACCCCATATGGTCTCGTCGCCCGATTGCGTCAATTGGAACGCAGGCAGTTTGGGTCCTGGTGACGTGGGTGTTCTGGGTCTCAGGGACTGGGCTTCTCGACAAGTCCTCTCCGTTATTCACAAGCTTCTCGTGCGAAGAAGTGGTGTACTGCGGTCAACTGAAGGCACTCTTCGGCAAGTCAGTCTCCCGATTTTCCTGACTGTCTACCTGATGGATATCTCCAGCATTAGCGGTCATCGAAATGTGAGCTCTTAAGCCAGTCTCAACACGGGTTTTGATCCTGAATTCGATAGATTAACACTGACATTTGGTATGTTGGTCATCGGATGGCTGGTGTGGCAATCTGCCCGCAGCATCCGGCAGCCAATGGTAATAAGGGTGCCTTCTAGTGGAGGTTGGTGATGCAAGTGTCCAAATTCAATTGCAAGTTCGAACTTCCCTCCTTTACCGCCCATGAAGGGGGCAATCAAATATTTCGTTTCATCCATGTACCTCGACAGATCAACCCAGATATCTCATCGCTCATTCACATCTGAGGGACAATTAGGGCAGGTATCGGAGGTCTCTTCTTACAGTAAAGTCGTCTGCTTTGTGTACAACTACGTGTGCAGCCATATGTGCGAGATATCCAGATGTCTTCGTCTATACCACCATATAACCCTGATTCGGCTTGTCGTAATAAAAGACGTGACGTACCTATAGACTAACATGTTCACTACGGACTTGTCTCATATTTCTACGATATGTTAAGAGGTCTATTGTCCCCCTATAGTAACGCTGTCAATGGAGTCTGGATATTATGTTCAGTACTCTACTGTTAGCCTATAGGTGGCAAGTTCTCGACTCAGCTAGATTGCAAATGCTGACAGTAGATCCTATGTCAACATTTGCAATCGGAGGTACATGATGCACTCAACGTCAACCTTGCAGACTAACAATTGACAGTCTGCGGAGTACTCACTGCCTCTAGCCAATCAGATATTTTGGATTGGTGCTTACAAATGCGGAGAAAACCGGCAACTCCCTCGGCATGATCGGGAGCTGAAACGCTTTAAAAAAGTTGGAGCTACATACATCATCCTCTGTCTACTACTAATCCTAATATATTTTCTTTTTTCCTCCTCGATCGCCCAGACCTTCGAAAATGCCTAAAGCTGCTGGTATGATTCTTTGTTAACCTGTCGTGTGGGATGGGTGAGCTAACAATCCCGGTGTAGGTGACGCTGCCAAGGGCGCTGGTCTCTTTAAGACCCGTTGCGCTCAGTGCCACACCGTCAAAGCAGGCGAACCCCACAAGGTCGGCCCCAACCTGCATGGGTACGCTGCATTTAGCTATGAGAGACATCTGATGGGCTCACCTTGTACATTCCAGCCTTTTTGGCCGCAAGAGTGGTACCACTGAGGGGTTCTCGTTCACCGCTGCTAATGTCAACAAAGCTGTCGTTTGGAATGAGGAGACACTCTTTGAATACCTTGAGAACCCCAAAAAGGTGCGGAAGAACTTTTTTTTTTTCGCAATCCCGCCGTCCGCCGATGCACGGTGTTTTGTAGTACATTCCTGGCACCAAGATGGCGTTCGCAGGTCTCAAGAAAGACAAGGACCGTAATGACCTCATCGCATGGCTGAAGGAGTCGGTACGTTCATGCTTTGATCCAAGGAAGCGTCCACCGTCTCATTGCTCGCATCAGACTGCATAGATGTGTTCTCCTTTGGCAGTCCTACGTTGCTCTCACCCGCATCTACCACTATTGTAGTATCTCCCTGGTCATATTCTTATAGACGACTATGCTCTGACACCCCACTCACATGGCAATGTATACTCTCGTTTATGCGGAGAACTGCAAGACTTTCTGATAACGAAACGTTCGCCTGAGGCAGCCCATTAGTAACCTGCATGGATACCCTTGGCAATCTATTGATTGGCCCGCAGCTGCGTTTATGATTGATGTGTTGTGACCTCTCAGCATCAGGACCTTGGCGCTGAGTACTTAAGTATGCGAGCTTTCGAATATTCACATTCTGGTGACATCTGGTTGGGTGCGATACAACAGTCCTCCGTTAATGTAACGTCGAGTCGTTGAGAAATAGGCCCTGACGCGGAGATGCAACTATGAATACAAATATCATTCTGATAGATGCGCTGCGACAGTCGGTGATGTGCATAAATATAATATGTGCATCTTATGAAGTAACTGGCCTCAGCTGGCCACTAAGCTGGCACTGCCGACCAATGCGGGTACCCGAGTTTCGGTATTAGAAGTAGTCTATGTACACTTAGGAGAAATGAACCGCCCGCGCCACAGATCAAGCGTCGTACATGACGAGGTACGAAGGCCTGATAGCGTTCTCCGTGTAACAAACAAGTTCATCATAATTGAGGGAACCACCAGTAGCAACTTCAGCGAGAACCTTAGGTAATGCAATATGTTCGTCGGCGGTGAGGGAAGAACTTGGGAATGACGTACCGAATCGTAGCCAGGTGGTGGAGCAGTCAAGCTGGTGTTATCTTGCATCATCTTGTAACCCCTTCCGACTACAACTTTGTTGAGGAGAACGGCCTTCAGTTTCGATGGTTTCACGTTGTTAGAATAGTCGTTGGACTTGGACGAAGTGGATGATGTATAGATTCCCGCACCGAATCTAAGCAATGGATTCAGATCGCAATTTGGAAGCCGGACATATAGAATATAGGCTTGCCTGCCCCAGCCCGTCTTCTTGCCGAAGAGACTCAAGCTATACGACGTACGAAGGATCCCACATAGCTGAACATGATTGAGAAGAACAGAGGGAGCTATTCCCATTATCACCGAGGAGGCACTCCCTCGTGGTTCCGTGCCAACGGCGGTTCTCGTTTCCGGGCGACCGCCCTGTAGCAGCAAAGTTCCCTCGAGCCTCGACTTGCGCTCTACGTCGCGCATGTAAAAACAAAACACTAAGAGAAATCCAACACGTACGTACCGGTATGCTTCGTATTTAGCGATGGAGGTTGGGTGTCCAATGACCTTATATACTCTGCGTACAGTGGGACATGATGTCTGGTGTCGCCAGGAGGCCTTAAACTGGTCAGAAACTACGCCATGTCCGTTGAGTGACTAGGCTGCTTCGAAGGCGAACGTAGCGTACCGCTCCCGAAAGTATCGTGCCCTTGCGGCACTTCAAGAAGGACCGGTGCCTTCTTCGTCGCCTTGGAATGACATGTCTGGCTACAAAAGTGCCCTTTCTTCTTAGGGCTCCCACAAATTAAACAGCCATTCTTCAGCTGGCCTGAAGGGTAATGTTGTAAGTACTGCTACAAGAGCGTCGAGTGTCGGAGTTACAGACTTCGCTGGCGCTGAGGCTATTCCTGCGGCCTTTGCATTCTTTGCACATGTCTTGCCACAGAAAGAATGCGTAGTGGTACCGTCATTGTACTTGGGTTGCTTGTGACAGTACTGTTCGACAAATATCAGTTATCCACCAAAGAACGAGAAGGTCAAACTATCATACATCGCACAACTGAGATGCTGGCTTCGTACTCTTCCTTTTCTGGGGAGGGTTGTTGGTCGTCCCTCGGTTCGGCATCTTAGCCGCACAAGTCTTGCTACAGGATGAATGCGTCTTCGTTCCATCAAAGTACTTGGGTTTGGCATGGCAGACCTACGAGAGCCTGGATCAGCGGTGCACGTGTTATCCCTCGCGTTGTACGCACATCGCAGAGGCTATTTGTTTGCGCAGCCTGCGGCACTGGATGAGATGTGCCAACCGCTGGTTGTTGGGCTGCCGGCTGACTGCAGCCTGTACAGCCTGTGCTTGGCTGGCAAGATATTGGCCGGCCATTGTCCCAAGGACCGAAAGTGCGGCATGCATTGGTGGGAGGGTGGTACTCATCTTGTATCAGTGGTCCTGCCTTAAATGATGAGCGGTGATATGAGTGCCAAGTGTAGGTTATAGAAAGATGGCTCTCCGGGAGCGTAAAGTTGCAGATGGGCGTAGGTAACTGCCACTACATGAAGATGCCACTTTATAGCACGGGCTCACATTGGTAGCACGCGACGGGGATGATTCGTGGCATGCGACGGCCGCATGTTCACCACACGGGACACCTATATCTTCAACGTTAACTGCCGCCTGCGGCTCTTCATTGCGATGGCAATGAACACAGGTCTCGGGCACGCCGATCTGAGCAGACACGAGGCACGTAAGTAAGGCATCCTACAATAGCATCGAGTCAGGTCCCTCTAGCACATTCTGAATAAACACACGTACACCGATGTTTGTGAGGGAACAGTTACGATGAACCCTACATGCGGGAAGTGCAAGCGCACCGTAGGCTACACGTGCCTTTCCAGGACTTGCTGGTAAACGTTTGAACCATGCGACCAACAGCGTTTGCGCCACGAGGGTCTACCCCGGCTCTGATTCACTTGTGTCCCAGCGTGCGACTTGTCCACCACGCGAGTAATAATGCGGCATCCACCAGGCCTGATTACTTCCTGTGTAGACTGTCCAAGTCAAGTGGTGGTTGAATACTTCGTGGTTTCGCAACATGGTACTTACTACGTAAATACACTGTTTTGCTTTTGTTATTGTATTGGTATTATGGTACGGGTACTTTACAGTAACTAACTTGTAGTGTATCGTCTAAATCGACATTTCAACTGACGGGTGCGGTTGAGGAAGGAAGGACCGTCTTCCTCTGAATAGGGAGACCGTTAAATAATAAATACCAAGGACAAATCTTCGAAAAGGAATGTTCAGCGGCAGCTATGACGCAAGTGGGGTCTTGAACATCGAAGATATGAATTCTTTAATCGTAACGGGGGATTCCTCCTTGTGTCCATATACTACCAGGTACGCAGGGCGAATGGTATCATTGTGGTATGTGACAGTTTCTGCAAGTGCCACAGTTAGTGGGTAGGACTCTTGTTTGTGAGGATTGGAAATACACGAACCGTCGTAGTTCAGGTCCCGGCCTATTTCTCCAGCGATCTATAAAAAGTGTAAGAGGTGTAGTTACTCCAAAGCAATGTACGTCCGCACGGAGTGATATCCCATGGGGGGTCCGATGAGATCAACTGCATTACGATATCGTTTGTAGGGGCTTTCCGACGACAACACGACTGACTAACATCACACGAAGACCAGCATCATTGGAGAGGTTAGAGACGTAATCGTCTGCCTCTAGAGCACATTCAGCCCGTGCAAGAAGCGCAGGGAATATAGCACTCACTCGACGAACAGGATGTTGTGTATATACCGTGTCCAAACCTGGGTGTTGTCATGAGCGTGCAAATCAATTGAGCATATTCGCGACATGTACCGTTTGAACGCGTTCTTGGAACCTTAAATTCCATGCATGTGAAGGAGAATATCCCAGAGTAAAATGGGAGGACTTACCACACCTCGTCACATCGAATGAAGTCCGTAGTATTGAGCACAAACTACATTTTTGAAGACTACATAGGAGTACATTGTTCCTGGTCTCGCCCAGTAAACATGCTCGATCGGTACCGTGAAAAAGCAATTGCTCGTTTCCTCTCATATCTTTTGCCCGTACAGTCTGCTGGACAGAAGATCTACACAATCGAGAATAAATGAACCGCAGCAGCAGCAGTCTAGAACGCAGAAGACGTGCCTATAGGCCAAATATGACTCCAGCATTGATTCCGGCCAGAGGACTTTAAAGATACAATGGATTTGTGGCCTATCTTTCTTACGGTGTCGCCACCCTTTCTTGAATATTTGCTCAACTTCGTATGTATCACTTTTGGCATGTCATTTCCACAGAATGATTGGCACTTACTCTCTGAAAAACGGCGATTTTCCCGATCAATGCGGAGCAGGCGATTCCTTCGACCGTGAACAGAGTTTGCAGAATTATCAAGAGAGAATTCGTCCAGTGGGGGGACATCTACCCAGTCGTCTTGCCCGCGAACACCCATGGTTGTCAATCTAAGATCGTCAGGAAGGATGAGATGTGCCAACAAACATCACCGAATTTATGGGATAAGGAATGCAGCCCTCCTCACACAAATCGCACTGCTTCTGCATGCAGCGCAAGAAGCGGACTGTCGGGGTTTGTGGCACCCATATATTCACTGATGGTCCGAACCATTTGCATTTGGCTTGTCAACTCGCCGAGATCCGGCCATTCCTCGGAGGAATCTGTTGTTGATGGTACATAAAATATTTTCTGTGATCGAGCGTGTCCATGGGGAGGAATGGCAATGCGGCTGAATATCACGGAGACCTGACATGCTGCAGACGCATTGTGCAATGGCGATGCTATGAACCTCACCGAGATAGGCAGGTGAGTAAGAATGAAGCTTAGGTAAACACACTTGACTGCCGCCTTGAGGCGTTGGACTGAACTGGATTGCAAGTAAGTATCGCTAGTAGCCCGTGGCGACGATCGTGGTCTACTCATGGCGTATCCAAATGCACTGGTTTCTGGTGTTCTACGTTCAGTTGAGCGGCTGCGCCGACGGACCCTATAAGAACGCAATTTTGCTAGACCGTTCAAGGTACTCTTCTCTTATCTCTATCCACCTCCGTCCCTCAAAACATATTCGTCAAAATTTTCGGCCTACTCATCGTCGCACTCGTGATTGGCCTTGGAATGGTAGATACCCGTCGAATCATGAAATTCTTTAGAATTGGAGGTTCACCAACTACGCCGCAGTCTGCTGCTGGTACTACAGGACGCGTACAAAGGCCAGTTAGCCAATACTATGCCCCTACGTCAAGGCAAGCGTACGCTCCGGAAACACATTTTACTGAGAACTTAAACGGAGACCCGTCACGGCCTTTTAATTTCAGTCAAGACAATGATGCGGATGCAAATTACCCCCCGCTCACGGCCCCATTGGTACCAACTGGTACATCTATTGCTCCATTCAAAACTAGGCGCCAGCCTCCTGTCTATTTCTACAACAAGGGCGCTGCATTCTACGAATTCACCAACTTCTCCCCTCATCCTGTATACTACAAAGGCAAGAGATACCCAACCAGCGAGCATCTCTTTCAGTCATTCAAGGTACGTTCCCTCACACAAAGTTATTCATAGTCGTGACCTTCCTTCCAGTTCATTGATGACCATCCTGACATCGCGGAACGTATCCGGAATTGTGGTGAACGGCCCATGCTCGCTTTCGACGAGGCGCACCGGCACCAGAAATGGGTCCGTCCCGACTGGCGACAAGTCAACGTAGAAAAGGTGACCTGCCCGCATTGTATTGCCCCTTCTATATATTTTAACCCTTCTCTAAGATGGAAATTGCGCTGCGACTCAAATTCATCCAACACCCTGACCTGAAGGCCATGCTCCTTGGAACTGGAGACGCTGAACTCGTAGAGGCGGGTACCTTGTCAATATGTTACTTTGTGATCTTACCGACAACTGCAGGATTCTCCGAGAGATTATTTCTGGGGGAATGGTGCCGACAAAAGTGGTCGCAACGAACTCGGAAAAGCGCTTGAGCGCCTTCGTGAAGAGCTGCGTAAGTAGGACGGTGCAATTGATCAGATCGTCCGTGCCGATATTACTTGTGATAGGCCACGAGGATGATCCAGACTATCTCCCGAGCGTCAGGCGCGATGCGAACCGGTTCTCAGTTCAGGACCTCACATCTCTAGTCCCAAATACCAACGTGCGACAGCCCGGTGCAAACCGGTTTTCGGTTGCATTCACGGCTGGCTCACCAGCTAGTTCCCACACCACATCCAACAAGAGCCCCGGCCTTTGCGTGGTACGTCGAGATGCTGTCAGAATTGCGTACCTTGGCGGCGCTCATGGTCGCCGCAGTTTTGTCAGTCCAGACCGAAATATCAAAATCACCAGTACTGTGGAAGAACCTGCGCCACCGAGGCAGCCAAAGTGTGTAGCGTACGTCGTTTCTCCTGCGCCAGTGGGACTGTCGCTCACTTTTACCAGTTTTGCCGTGTTAACCCCAGACACGGCAAACACCCGTTCTGTTCAAGAACTTGTGCTGCTAAGGCGAGTGGGGGTGTCTAAATATTATCGAAGTTCCGTAGTCAAGATCCACATCGCGGCTGGACTGCTATGACTCTGTGTTTACGTTGCATTCCGACCACTATTAGTATCCTTTTGTATGACAATACACACTCGTAATACGCCACAACGTTCCAGGCTTAATTTCTTTGTCGGGCGAGAGCAGCACACCCAGGATGGGCGGACGTAACAACACAACTTACGGGAACGTAGACGAATACAAGACCGATTACTGATTCCTCTATGGTGCCGCGGGCACAGCATCAAACGTGCACTTCGGGTAAAAGCCTAGGCGTGAGCCGCTGGTGGAGGTAAACTCACACCCACTGGTGGATCCCATACCCCAAGCTCCCTCTTCAGTTCGTCCAGGTCCTGCTCCCATCTTTCTTCCCAATACACAGTTATCAAGCATCTGGCATTACTCCCGCACTTCATTGCCCAAGGAATGAACTCGCGCCATAGCCTGTCACGTTGTGGGGGTTTTAGTTTGATGGAGGCGCCGAGAGCGAGAGCGGTCATTGGGAACCCAAGGTTTGCGAATTCGAAGGCCTTGAGAACCAACTCGGGCATGGCTGAGACTTTCAGCGCAAAAAGGGCGTGATAGAGGTCATGGGTCTCACGGTATCGTTGCATTACATATGCGAGTTCGGGGTCGTCTATATAGTGGACCTGTACTTGGGGAAATGCATAAGGAATTGGATCATAACTACTTTCGATGCAAGTGGGGGAAACTGACTGGTTCTCTTGAGTCTGGATTGATCTTGCAAGCTTCCAGCCAGCGGGTGTAAGCTCTGCCAAAGGTATTGTCTGGCAAGCTCTTCAGTCTCTCCACGTTAAGGGTATTCGTGTTCACGCGTGGCCTATCTTTCAAGATCCTCCGACCTTCGGGAGAGTTTAACATTGCGTCCCGTAAATTAATCAATGTGAATCCTGCGGTAGTTTCTCCACACGCTGCGACCATGTCTGTACACGTTCGAATGGCGTTGGTGTTTGACAACTGGCACCCATGAACTTACCACCACGCCTCGGGTCTACGAGTGCCATCATTGCGGAGCCAGCGGCAAGAAACGTCCGCTCAAACGGAGAAAGTGGTATGTGACCAGGATAAACTGGAGTGCGTGGGGCGCTGCCTGTGTGTACCGAGGCAGCGAAGCAGTCTTCTTGGGTAGCTTGCAGTGCTGCATTTCAGAGGCAGCAAGAGTGCTGCCCTGTGATAGTGGCACTGGATGGAGGCCATCATCGAGGTTGGTGACAAACCCTAATCCTAGGATAGGGCCCGCGGACTTATTTTCTCTTCAGAACGTGCCGAGCGCACCGCAGACTGTCAGTCCACACTTATATATGTTCCCGCATTGTCCTCACAGCGTTCTGAAAGACCAGCCAATGGGTGCATAACTGTCGGACACGAACATGCTTTGTCTTGATTTCCCATCAACGAGGCCTATATCCAAAGTAGGCCTTGTCAAAGCCTTATCATCACGAGTTCGGTGGACCACTCCCTCGGGATGCGGTGGACGCCCATCCCACTCTTCATGGTCAAAGCACCGCACGTCATGTCCAGTCCTCTATAAAATCATCGCCGAGAGCGTATGTCCGACATTCAATCACTCTTCCCTTCCCCGCGAGCACCCTTGATATCCCTCATCTCCACGTGCAGTGCAATGGCAGACCGCAAGATGACTGCTAAAGCGGTCCGACCTGGGGCGGACGAGAAATGCGAACTCCGTGTTGATACCAGACGCTTTGGAGCTGTCTTTGACATGGACGTTCCAGAGGATATCTCTGTCAACTGTGGCGACGGTTCCAGTGAAGAGGATGACCAGTGTACCATGTCGGAATCTCAGTGGGAGTTTCATGCCACTGTTGCGTCTCACACCACCCAAGCTTCGGACACTCCGGCCGGGGACAGTACGGTCGAAAGCTGTTCGTCCACCCTCAGTGCCGCCCAGCAGGTCGTGGCCCATTATCGAGCTTTGGAACTCAGAAAGGAACAGTCTCGTGCTTACAGGGAGAAGGAATTGCCTCCATGCCCTGACGATTCCAATTCTATGGTTACTGCCAATCCGACTATAGATTCCCGAGTCGACTTTGGATATGGCCTGGCGACCTCCTCCTAAGATTCATATAGCTTCTGCAATTCAACAAGAACTTGACTATGCCGTGCGTTCATTGCATCCCTGCGTCTTCTGTGTAGCTCATGCCCGTCTCTGTGTCCAGAAACAGCAAGCTCGCGAAATGGTAATGAACGCTGGACTTTCGCTACGGGACCGGGTCCAGTGTAGGCGTCAGGGCTGCTCAGACGTGCTGGAAAATGCTGAAGCTCTCAAATATCACCTGCATTTCCACAATATCGGCGACGCGATGGATGGTCATAGTAAAGGTCACCGTACTCTTGCAACCAATAAATCATCCCTTCAAACCCTCAATCCCAGCGCTCAACCCCCCTCGAAAGTCACGGGTGAATACCACAACAATGCACGTTCGAAGCAGCCTTCTCTCTTCCCTGTGACGTCTTCACGTAAACCATCCATCGGAAGCGGTCACCAGCCTCGCCCTTCGTTATCCTCCGAGACTCGCGCTCACGTGAAGGTTTTTTCCCCGCATCCTACACCTGCGAATATGCTGGACGTATCTGTGCTGGCCAGCACTGTAACACCCGTTCGCTCTCCATGTAAAGAACCTGCGCCCCCTGCTGCAGCTTCTGCAAATCGCCATCGCAGGACTAGGACACGAACCATGAGCGGCAGCAAGGGATGTTCGAGGTCCAGAGCATAACATATCTATCGCCGCCCTTATATCGCCGCCCACTTCTCCGACGCCCTACCCTTGCGACTCAGCGTAGGAATGTCATGGCTACACAGGACCAACCTGCCCTTTGCGTTTCCTCCCGTTGATTCAGGTGTCTTCATGCAGACAGAAGATCCCATTACCTCCCCTGGGAATAATGGCGCCAGGGCAAAAAGTCCAGAGCGAGCCCGGAGTCCAATTAGGGCGAAGAGTCCCTTTAGAGCCAAGAGTCCAATAAGGGGTGTGTACTTCCGTCTACCCTGTCGAGTATCTTTCTTCCCTTATCGCGCGTCTCAGACGGGTTGAAATGCATGTTATCGATTGCTTGCATCGGCGACTGAGGGTTTCCTCGCGTCGTCACTCGGACATTTCATCTTTCCGAAGACGATCTTGATACACATGTCTCGTGTATTTAAACAGCTGGAAGGTCTTCCTTGATCGTATTCCAAATGGCTTGTTTCGGCCATATTCATTCCAAAATTCTTCTAGTGTTTTATGCTGATTTTACATCGTACTGTATTGCATATTATATCGCTGTTTCTCATGTTCCCCTTGCTGCTCCGCCTAACGCATTTGTATCCCATGTTCATACCATCTCACTGCTTTCTTGATACCACCGCAAGTTTTCAATCATCTTACGCCACTTCATAATTGTACCTATAACTGTCACTCCCTTATTCCCCTGCTGCGAATCGACAATTGCACGATCTCTCCTTCATATTGTAGTTGGAGACCTCCGACCACTACTCAAATACAGAAAGCAACGCATAAATACCTGCACACCACCACACAAGCTCATAGTATCGCAAGTCAAAAGAAGACAGTCACTCCTTCAAAAGGAGGAAGTTGAAGGGCTGAATTTGACTCGTTGCATCATGAATTGCTGACTGGTCATGTACGGAAGCCCTGGTGTTTTCGAGTGCGGGTCTGTCTCTGGGCTGCAGAGGAGCTGGGAGTTCGCAATGACGATGATCGTCCAGTCGAGAATGTGATTCTGGAGTAGAAAATAAGCCGAATATATTGGCGGTGGCTGCATCCCCCCATACACGCGTGTATAGTACATCGACGTTGACTCTGCGCTAACAAATAGATCCGGGGTAAAGCAACCTCGAGAGACAAGTGCAATCAGAAGAGGGAGCATCCCTTTCCTTAGGGGTTGGCACAGTCAGCACAGGTCGGAGGAAGGACTAGTCCATGACTGCGACCGTCGGGAATGAACCCCAAGCTAACTTAGTGTCGTCACCGGGGTACAACCCTTGATTGCCGCGTGCGGTCGAGAGTCGCATGGACGCGGTGGGAGTGGTGCTGGTCATTTTTTCGGGGCGTCGACACAGGGGTCCAGGTTGTCGTGGGGTGATTGGTAAGACTCTGTAATAGGGGCGGGCTGATGGCCGGAGCCCGGAGGGGGGGATTAGGGGAGTTGGGGAGTTGACGACAACACCCTGTCCAACCTCTGCCTTTGACACGTCCCAAAGTATTTAAACTGACCGCAAACCCCTGTCGTCGTTCCACTGTGGAAAATCAGCAGTATCAAACAGTAAGTGTTGGTGTTGCCTCTCGCACGTGCGACGTTGAAGCAAGGCGGCTAGGAGGCCAGATAAATGAACGCTCCCGTGATGATGCAAGGGCACATACCTAACGATGGTGAAACCCACGCTGTGTTGGCCTTTCTATTGGGAACAGATTATCAGGTCCCCGAATGATGACTGTTCGCTCGGAAGGTACAGAAGCAGATGATGTCAGTGTTGCCGAAGTAGAGTCAGTTTTTCAGCCCGGAACGACGATTCAGAGAACGCGGATAGAAGTGAACGGGAGGCTCTACCTGGTGTATTTCGACCGCCCTTCTCACCAACAGGATCGAGAGAACGGATCATATCTGTTCCTGCGTATGACGAACTGGGGCAGAGCTGAGAATCTCCGGCCTGAAGATGACATCATGGACATCATGGAGGTGTTGGATCGGTACGTGGTCTCCTGGCACAACTACGCTCATTGCATGTGATGTTGAACGCGGAGAAGACTTGACAGGCTCTTTCCTCCTTCTGTGGGTGTGCGAGATGCCTAGGATATGTGCAACAAATAGTTAGAAGATCACTGAGGAATGTCAGGGAACCAAAACATAGCGATTATATCGATGCCCAGCCGTTGGAGTGCCATTCCGAGCTGAGGGGGATGGACTAATGCTCAACGCGATCTCAGACATTTCGGCCGTGTGCTCGGTGAAATATACAGTGTCCGCATCAAGACGTGGGTGGGTCACCGAGTCTCTGGTGTATCTGTGAGTCCCGGCCCTACAAGTCCTCAGCTGATCTGTCCATGTTGGAGTGCAAATGGGGAAACTAATATCAAGGGTCACGTGAGAGGGGTTATACACGTCGCGTCACGCGCATGTCACGGGGATGTCACAAAGGACTGTCTAGTTCAGCATTGTCACGCTTTTCCTGCCGTGCAAGTTCAAAGTTGACGATGAACCAACCTCGCTACAGTGTCCTCAGCCTATTCGATCCCCTCACGACGACGCCAACAAAGGACAAAACTGACTCTGACAGAGATGTTTCCACACCAGACTCGGCATCAGGATCAGACAAGGAGAACGCTGTACCCCACTACAGTGGGCCATGTAATAACAAGCACGGCGACTCGGACGAGCTGACCATGACTACGTTCTTTAACAGAACTTATAAAACCCAGCATTCCCACATTCCCACAGCTCCACTCAGAAAACGTCTCATCGACGTTGGGGATGCGACCGTGACGATGGAGGATGCCTCCGAGATGCTATCAGCCCTTGCGATATCAGAGGATTCTGCACGCGACGCAAGAGAGGGACCGTCTTCCGATGGGGGTGACTTATTTCATGGCGATGCCACACATCATCCAGAGACGGAGGAAGTACAGACACCAAGACCCCCTCGTTTCCCAAGCCAAGTCCGCCCCCCTTTGGTAGACATTTCCGTCGACGTAACTCCTGTTTCACGCAGGAAGAACCACGGCCCCGCGTCCGACCATTGCTCTCCTCCGAATACCGTTGTTCGTGCGCCAAATTTCCGCCCTCCCACAAACATCAGTCCATTCCCCTTTGTCATCTGTAATGAGCGCAATGCCTCGACGTAACAAGGAAGAGTTCTCCACTACGGCTGTAGCTGAACCGCCGTCGGGGGAGGACGGTGTTGTAATATTCGTCTCGGAGTTTACGCAGAGCAATCAGACATCGAATTTAGTTGCAGCCTACCCCCTCCTCACTGAGACGCATTTATCCGAAACGGCGTTGCCGTCTTCTCCTTCTTCTGTTCCCGAACCCCTTCCTGAAGCAAATGCTGCGGACGTCACGGAGGATCCTGCCTTCCTTTCGGTAGGACCTCAGCCCCGGCCCCGTTCCAAGACTACTTCGAACCAAGGCCCGGACCCCGTTCGATATTCGATTGACCTCCAGTCCTCATTCAACTGGCAACTCCAATGTCCTGATGCATCTTTCGACCTTCTGAACGACCGTATTTCCTTCTTTGGCGGCGACTCATTCACGTTGAGTACGGACGGTGATGAATTCGACGCGGGTGCGGGGGAAGAAATGAGGGAAGTACTAGCCAAAAGACAGAGGGAGAAAGCGGAGAAGGAGAAAAGGCGAGACAGCTCGTCGAGTGACGTGAAGCTCGATGTGGCGCCGGCGGATTATGAACCAGACTCTCCTCTTGTTACCTGTAAGTTTTACTCGACCGTTGATGATAGCAGTGTTAACCGTCGCCTTTTTTTTAGTGTGTGGGAAGGCCGTAATACCAGTGCCCCCGTCCCCTCTGCACGATTCGAGTATGTTATGTTCTTACCCACTCGAGCTCTGCTCATTAGTCGTGTAGTGCCGGCAACAACAAGCACAACTCAAAGACAAGGTCCGCTAGTTAACACTGTGCCATCACCATCCGTCCATCCCAGCTCTAAGTCAAGACGAGGAAGCCTCGTACCCTTAATCAAGGACCCGAGGGCTAGCGCTTTACGGAAAAATGAGCCCATTTGCGAACCGGAAGCTTCCGAAGCATCACCTGGACCCCTGATGGGTATGTTTTGTTCTGTCTACTTCTTAATGTCCACTGTCTGAGCAACCATGGAGAACGAGTCAGATCTCTTCAAATGCCCGATGAAATTACTACGTCACACCCGAAAACTATCACACCCCCAAAGGATTCGTCGCACCCATCTAAGTTCGTCGCACCTGCGCCTGTCCAGGCGCTCCGAATCGTCAAGCGGCCGAAGGCCCAGTCGCAGTCAGACAGTCGCCCGACGTCAGTTGCTTCTGATTCTAGTGGGACGAGCAACGAATCAGCTGCCGGGGAACGACGACCATCTCGGGAACCTGATTCTGATCCTGCAAGGGCGTTCCGTCCGCTGTCTCTCCACCGTCCAGTTCTTAAAGGTGTCTTGCGCCCACCCCCAGGGCACTTCCCCCCACCTGGGCAACTGTCGGGTACCAAGCCAATTTGTAGCATGACAAGTAGCGCCGAGGATGGGAGAAGAGTCAGCATAAGGAGTAAATTAACAGGCGCGCTGGGCTTGAGAGGGAAGGCTGTGGTTCCCCCTGTAGATATCGAGGTCGTGACCGCCGTTGCTTCGACGGTGGTTAAGTCACACCCACAGAAAGCTGGTGCTGTTCCTGCTACATCCAGTGCCACGTCGAGCAAGGCGCCCAATAATTCACAAGCAAAGGTGTCCTTAGTGACCGCTGGAGGGCTTGGTGCTGCCAGAGCCCTTCCTGCCCCTTCGCGCTTCGCAACTGTTTCCTCCGGGGGCGTGTCTGTCACTTCATTGGGTAATACCGTTGGTAAGAATGGTGTATCTGGTCTTCCCCGCCCGGTGCCAGGCTCGAGGCTTCCTATGCCGGGATTTGGGATGAACAAATCAAAATCAACAATGTCCGGAACGACAACTATTGGTAGGTCTGGAACCATACGTCGATGAATGAACGCCTTCACGGAGTCGATGAGATCTTTCTTTGGGCGGAAATCCAGCGCAATGCAACGAAATGCTTTTGACATGCTCTACATTTCACGACACGCCACATATACCTAGCATATGCATATCACTACCTCGCTCTCCTGCATTTGTTGTCCTCGTCAATGATTACCGCTTTGTTTATCCACCTACACCATCGGTTTTCCGCTACTTCATGATAGGAATGATTTTACTTACATAGCTCTGTACCACGACTGTGCAAGTGCCATCCTCATTTAGAAAGTCGAAGTGGCTGCTCCAACATCACATACGGCTTGACTAGAACACTCAGGCTGCTCGGTTCACTGTCATTACCCAACTTTCTTTGAAAGACCACCATGCCTCCCAAGAAGCAGAACACGCCGTCTTCCTCCAAAGTGAAGGAAGACAAGGTGCGTCATGATCTTTGTGGAAGGCATCTTTCGTGCAACTGATCAGCACGGCTTGTGAAGACGTTTGGTCTAAAAAATGTGTGCATCGATTGCTCCCACCGAAGATCATTTAATTAATCATCACGGGCGACAGAAAAATAAGTCGGCCAAAGTACAGAAACAGGTGCAGCAGATTCAAGCACAGGCCGCTCTGGCAGGTAAATCCAAGCAAGCGCTTGCGAAAGAAAAGGAGAAAGAACTGCGAGCAAAAGAGAAGGCTGAAGAAGAGAAACGCCGGAAAGAAGAAGCTGCCCTGTTTAAGCCCGTGCAGGTACAGAAGGTGCCATTTGGCGTCGATCCCAAGACGGTTCTGTGCGCGTACCTCAAGGCTGGAACATGTGAGAAGGGGAACAAGTGCAAGTTCAGTCACGATGTTAATGTCGGGCGGAAAGTGGAGAAGAAGAACTTATACGAGGACAGTAGGGAAGAAAAGATGCAAGGTTCGTGATGTGCAGTGCTTACGGTCTCCGCAGGTATTTTGTATGCTAAATTGCACCGAACTAAGATACTATGGAGAACTGGGACGAGGAGAAACTTCGCAGTGTTGTTCTGTCGAAGCATGGCAATCCACGTACGACCACCGATGTGCGTTTACATTCCACATTTATCAGCCTGTTTATTACCAGCGCGTCTAGATTGTGTGCAAGTACTTTATCGAGGCTATAGAAACGAACAAGTGAGCATCATCTAGTATCTCCCCCCCCCCAGTGCAAACTATATTTTTGTAGGTTTGGTTGGTTTTGGGAGTGTCCCAACGGAGACAAGTGCCAGTATCGACACGCACTACCTCCTGGCTTTGTCCTCAAATCAGAGAGGAAGGCTGCGGAAGAAGCTGCAAAGGCAAACGTGATCAGCCTTGAAGACTTCATCGAAACCGAAGTACGTTGTCTGACTTGTGACAAAGCCCCGTGCTTACATAGTTGTAATGGCAGCGACATAAATTGGGTTCGAATCTGACTCCTGTGACACCGGAAACGTTTGCCATTTGGAAGAAAACACGAATGGACAAGAAGCTAGCCGAGGCTGAAGCTCTGCGTAAGGCCAAAGAACAGCAAAATGCCGCTGGCAAGAATACTGGTATGAGTGGTAGAGACTTGGTAACGGATCCTTTTTCTTCCCGTACCTCGATGCGATTCTAACACACGATGATTCAAACTAGTTCCAATTCAATCCCGAGTGGTTCGAGGACGAAGAAGAGGAAGAAGACTGGGACATTTCCCAATACAGACGCACGCAGGAGGAGGAGTATGCAGAACTACGACATTCGGAGCACAAGCTAGGTGACTTGAGCCTAGACGATGCGGACGCGGATGGAAGCGAACGCTGAGCGACTTGCATCTGTCCTCGACCAGTATTCGTTGTATCATAAGATGTACTTTACACTTGATTTTGCACTTTATAACCTGTTCCCGGTGCAAGTTTCCTACTTTCCGTTAGCTAAGAGCATAGATAAACACATGTAGGACGTGAACAGAGTTCCTCGGCATCCTCCCGAGCCATCCCGCCTGAACCATGACATATTGTGGATGCCCAGCGGGGCCCACCCAAATGCCCCTTGCCTGCCCCCACGCAAATTTGTCGAAAACATGTCAGTTTATTCCGCGAAATTTGCAGCCAAATAAGCAAATTTTCCCAGGCGGGAGGGCGGCCTGTCAATTGCGCGCGTGCAGCCGAGCTCCAAGCGCAAGTGCCACTGAGATCACGTGACCGCTTCCCGCGCCCGAACACCACTCATCTATAGTGCACGTCACCTAGTCACCACCACTTTTGTACAGTGGCAAATTTGGTTAAGGACTGGAACATGTGAGTCACATGACCACAGGTAGGGGTGCAGCATAGCATGTGGTACATGATGGTTTCCGACATCTGTACTAGCATAAAAATTTAGAATCCTAAAACTAAAAATTTCTGGTTTGGTTAAACAATGCCTCGCACCAGCAAACATTTGTTAAAGGCTGCTGAGACTGCTCGTGCTGCCAAAGCTCACAAAAAAAAGCACTCTCATCTTCCAGAGATCCCTGAGAGTTTGGTAATTGAGGTACTGCATGCAGGGAGCTCAGTATACTGGGTGCTGAATCATATTATCAGGCCACAACTACAGATGATGAATGCAACTGGGATGGCACTGTTAACTTGGTCCCACAAAATAAAGTCGAGGCAGGGCCTGAGTGCTCTGAGTCTGGCAGTACTGATTCTGAGTTAGAAGTTTGGGAACTGGAAGGTGAAGAACTTATTCAAAACTTGGGTCATTGCATCAACAAGGAACAAGAGCTACTCACAACTGCTCCATGGCCATACTATGAGAGGTTACAGAAGGGTGTTGGGGTCCATGCTATTCGAAAAATGGGAACATTGGGCGAAACATGTGGATGGATGCATACAGAAGTGGGCTGGGAGCTAAAGATGCTCAGTTTCAGGTGCAGGCCTTTAGCTCATGGAAATACAAGTCACACTGACATGCTGCAGAAAGCATTGCAAAGACGGTGGAAGGGGTGGTCATTAACCACAAATAGTAATTTACAAGGGTCACTTTCCTAATTAGAATGTTCCCACACCATCTAGCAAAATTGATAACAACTTCAAGTTATAACTTTGTCATTTTTCCAGGTATCAAAATTTCATTTGGTGAAGTTCTTCTAACATTAAATTGGAGTCATTTTACAAAGAGACTAAGGAATCCATTGAGTTTTGTGTGTGCTATAAGTTTTGTACAAGAGTGGTGGTGACTAGGTGACATGCACCATAGCAAATTTGGGCGGGTCTCTTCGCAGGATACCCATTTATTACGTTCATAATTACATGGCCTACGCACAGTGTCTTTCAGTAGCATTGAATTGAGTACCGACGAACAGGCGAGGGTTCCTCACTTTCTCGCATGCACACCCTCCGCTTAGTCAGCGGCCTACCTGTCAAATTTTCTGGAATAAATTGACATAATTTTGACCCATTAAGCGAGGAGGACAACCAGCTTGTCAACTACACACTATGTAATAATAAGTCTCGCGTGTTGTTATTACAACGCAGACTTTCCTGTTACTTTTCTACCCTGTCCTACTAGTACTATACCGCAAAAGATGTCCCGCATCCCTCAGACATCGACGCGTCGATCTCAGGCTCGCCCTGCAGTCAAAACAACGCTGACTGCAACCACTTCACACTCCCGTGCATCCTCCCCTTCCAAACCGCCAACTAGTGGTACAAGCTCTCCAGCCCCGACACCTCGCGTGCGAACTAAGTCGATCCCTAAATCTCCTTCGAAGTCGATTCGTCGAGCGTCTCCTGAAGAAGAAATCCCAGTACCAAAGGCACCCGCCCTTAGCATCAAGGAGGCTATTGCACTTAAGCGCGCGGAAGCAAAGAAGGCGGCAGTAAAAAGTATTTCCAGCAGCGCGAACTTGAACCCCTTCGAAGATCTTGCGGACGCCATTCCTGAGCCCCTTTCGGCTCAGAAACAGGAGGACGATGCTCTTGAGCTCGGCCGCTGGTCCGTCAAGGAGACCATAGAACGCGCTCGCAGTACAGGTGTGCCAGCCGAGCTTTGTGTCTCTCAAAAGAACTCATCGAATAAGGGTCATGCCATAGGTTCTCTGAACCTCGCCTCACGTTCCTTACCGTGTCTCCCGTCTGCACTATTTGAGATTCATCTAGGAATTACACCGGACCCACTCAAGTCGGTTGTCCAAGAGCCCCCGATCACCTCTGCCGAGTCCTCAAGCAAGCGCCCCACGCAGCATGGTGGTCCGGCCTGGTTCGAAGCACAGGACTTGCAAGTGCTGAAAGCGTGGTGCAATGTGATTGTCGAGATCCAACACGAGATATCCCTTTTCGGATCCTTGAAAGTCGTCGACGTACGCATGTTTTTCTTATTTGTTTCGTGGTCCAGCTGAAGCGCGCAATGGCTGCAGTTGCATCAAAACAAGATATCAAGTCTACCTGACACGTTCGCCGATTTGACAGCCTTAACTACACTAGATCTCTCCCATAACTCGTTAACGTCGCTTCCCCATAATATCTGGACACTACCCACCCTTTCTCACTTAAACCTGTCGCATAATGCTCTGACTTCCCTGCCTTTTGGCGAACCTTTTGGAGATGGTACTTCTCGTTCTGTGAAGGGCGGCGACACATGGAGCTCGGGAGGTTTCTTCGGACCTGTAATTACGCGTGCAACGACACCCTTGCCTCGATTGTCGCACCTGGATGTTTCGTTTAACAAGCTCATGGCCTCTACCATTGATCACAATAACCTCCCGTCTGCTCTGACCAAGTTCGATCTATCTTCGAACCCCATTTCATTAGGGAACGCAGAGTCCTGCCTCCCTCCTGCGCACGCTAGGGTCGCTCAAGCAACTAAAGGAGTTGAGGTTTTCGTACGCCGCCATAACAGATGATGCTTTTCCTCCCTCTCTAACCGGCGGGGATGAGATCCAAGTATTCCCTGCGTTGGGTATACTGGACTTAGAGGAAACCCAAGCGACTGCCGGTGCTGTACAGCAAGCCCTTTCTGGACTTAAGCAGACCTTCCTGTTTGACTTTACGAAGGACAAGCCACCTGAGGGCACCCTTATGGTTGCTGTGGGTAAGAAGGTGGTCAAGGAACCTTGGGAGGTCGAGGCAGAGAGGCGGGCGAGACATAGGAGTGGGAGATCTCAGGCTTCCCACTGGACTGACAGCCTGCCCGAGGAGACCCAATCACCACAGGAACACGTGAAAGATGCCCAGGAGACCGAACAAGGGGCAGATTTATTCGCGGAGGGTAGACGCCGACCTACCAGGACAGCGCGCCCAGCGTTCTCGGAGAATACCACCTCCCAGCCAGAACAGAAAGGTGACTCGCTGGCCAGCTCCCAGTGTTCTTCTGCTTCAAGCTCCAGCACCTTCCAATCTTCGATTGTCAACCTCAGCAACATGCAGTACTTCAACGGTGCAACGCAGACCCTGACCCTTCCTCCTCTGGCCCCTCCGACAAGATCTCACACACGTTCGTTCTCTCTGGCCGCTTCTACATCGGGTCCGTCACTATCTAAGGGAAAGATCGACATCGCTCTGCCGACGGCTACCCTTCCACTAGCACTCATCTCATCTCAACCGTTCGCACACACCTTGCAGATTCTCGTGTTGAGCAGCAGGAAGTTGGACTTGAGCGTTGCCCTACCATCTCTCACCAGTGAATCGAGTGTCCCATTACTACCTGCCCTGGAGGAACTCGTACTCGATGGCTGTGGTCTCGGTGACACAGTTGCGGTGGCGCGCCAAGGAGAAGGGTGCCTTTCGACACCGCCGAAGTCAACGGAGGCACTATTGCCCTTGCTCACGAGGTTATTTCCAGGCCTAGGGACTCTTGATCTGACATACAACTTCCTCACGTCCTCAGCCCTCCGGAAGGATGTGCTCGCAGGGCTGATCATGGCATCTACCCAAGATACGCCTGCTCGTAAGGGCTTGAGACACCTGCGTTTAAGGGGAAACCGCATCACAGATCTTGATGGATTCCAGGAACTCGCGGAAGTTTTCAAAGGTCATCGTGTGTTGTCTGATTGGAAACTCGAGGAACTCGACTTGAGGGATAATGAGATTTCCAAACTACCGCCGGAACTAGGGCTATTGCCGTTAGACGTATTCCTGGTTGATGGGAACGTGTAAGTCTTTTCCCTTAATCCGGCTGAGTAACCTATCTCAACACTTTACAACAGTTTCAGGATTCCGCAAAGGAAAGTGTGGGAGCGTGAAGGGACGAAGGGATTGTTGAGCTGGTTACGTGGGCGATTGGATTGAGAGTACCATGGTGAACAATCGGAAATTCACCGAGGTCACCGGATGCATGGGTCGTAAACTCACTTTACTTGAAATCAAATAGTCTACTCATTTTATCTCAGTAAACAAGATACTCATGGCTGCGACGGGTTCGTAGCCTCTGGGGAACTGTCTAAGGCTTGCTGTAACCACATATCGTGATACAGGCCACCAGAACGCAACAGTTCTTCGTGTGTGCCCTGCTCCACAACTTGACCGTCTTTCAAGACAATGATAAGATCTGGGAAATGAGTGGTGTCAGTCCCATCGTACCTACCAGACATACTCAACGCCGGCTTACCAGCTTCTACGATGGTACGCAGCCTATGCGCGATGAATATACTCGTCCGAGCACTATCCAGCAGGATGTTATTGATACTGCGCATGATCTCTGACTCGGTTTGGGCATCGAGGGCAGAAGTCTGTAGTAGTAAGTTCAGAAATCCACCCCTCTAAGCGCAAGATGAGGGAAGGGGCGTACAGCTTCATCAAAGAACAAGATTGGAGGATTCTTAAGCAACACTCTGGCAATAGCCAGTCGTTGCTTTTCCCCTCCTGATATCATGAGTCCGCGTTCACCAACGGTTGTCTTGTATCCATCTGGCAGGCTCATTATAGTACTATGCACACTCGCTTTCATGGCTGCTGCCTTCACTTCCTCGTCTGTTGCATCAAGACGACCGTATCGGATATTGTGCATGATGTCCGAATGGAAAAGTGGCGTGTCCTGTGGAACGACGCCTACAGACCGCCTTAAGCTCTCTGATTGGATATCTTGGATGTCTTGACCGTCGATCAAAATTCGCCCTGACCAGGGATCGTAGAACCGGAAGAGAACTCGGAAAACAGTCGACTTTCCACTACCAGAAGGACCGACGATGGCCACTTTCCTGCCAGCAGGTACAGTGAAGGAAAGGTTGCGAAAGATTGGGCGATCAGGATGGTAACCAAACGTGACATTCTCGAATCGGATTGAACCACCTTTCAAAGCCAGTGGTCGAGCTCCGGGTTTATCCTGAATAAACCTTCGTCGTCAACAATACTAGTGGCGGGCAATTACATGGTTACCTTGACGGGCACATTCTCCGTTTGTAGATTGAACAACGCTTCCATGTCCAACAAATTTTGACGTATTTCCCGGTAGATAGAACCAAGGAAGTTGAGGGGCAGCGATAATTGGAAAATGAGTTGGTTCGCCATCACAAGGTCACCAACTGTCATAGTACCTGTGTATCACCAAGTCAATGCCAGATTAAACTAGCAGAGAAGAGTGAGGACCATTCAATACCCCCTGGGCTGCTAGGAACATCGTGGTGGTGAGTGCGGTCGAGAATATGATGTTCTGCCCGGAATTTAGATACGCTAATGACGTGGTGATCTTGACTGAGGAGTTTTCGTATTGCTTGAGGTATTTGTCATACTGAGTAACCTCATACTTCTCATTATTAAAGTGCTTCAGAGAGTCGGGTAAACTAAAGAATTGATCAGACCGCTCCAACGGGCTTACTTTGACAGCTTCATAGTTTATCAAGGAATCGATGCCAACGGCTGCGGCCTTGTTGTCCGCCTTATTTGCATCACGTCGAAACTGGGTCCTATGAAAGAATGAGAATAAGAACCTTTCCAGCTTGTAGATTTCCGTCACCTCCACGAAGTTGTCCGCACAGTGAACCAGGTGTAAGCGGCCAATGTTGTCAAGGTGATCGCAGCAAAGTCCCAGCCAAACTTGTAGCTCTTGAGGACAATGGTTAGTCACTACCGATGAGTAACACAGGACATGAAGATACCAGGATGCCGCAAACCATAGATATTTCGAAGGCAGTTGGAACAATCCGAAATAGGATGGCTTGTAGCATGAAAGAAATTCCCCTAATATATGCAAGTGTGAGGAGAGTAATTCAGGAAATGTGGGATATGATCCAGACTTTGTTCCACGATCGATGGCGCGCGTCAGTCCGCCAGTTTGACGAGACAAATGGAACTTGAGATCTAGATTTAACAAGTGTTCGAACGTTTCCCGAGCGACCTTGCGGATAGCGCGCTGGCCAATATTAGCGAATACGGCGCTCAAGAGCTCCCCAAACAACGTTGCTCCGACGCGTGCAGCCCCATCTAGGATAAGTTGTCAGTATCCAATGAAGAGTTTCATGTTTATTGGCATACATCCAAGTATGAGCGAGCCGGCCACAACCCAGACAGTACTTTGGGTTCCCGCGTCGATGTTGAGGACATCAATGATGTGCTTAAACAGTTGCGGAACTTGTACGTTCAACACCTTTGACCATTGATGAGGGCCTTGCATAGCTTGAGGGAGGATGACGTCCAAACCTTAGCAGAAATGAGCAAGGCGAAACCGAGGATCACTCTCCCCCGAGTGCTCCAATCATTCTTGGGCCAAACGTTCTCCATCAATTTCTGGACGACCATCCAGTCTTTCCTCCGTTGCTCCCGGGGAGAGGTCTTGGCTGTCGTCGCCTGGGTGCTCTGAGCGGATTCTGGGGGCTTTTCCGCCTTCGTGTTACCCGGAGAGTTCCACCTTGCATTGCAGGAACTGAAAGTGCGCAAACACACGCGTGCCCTAATGTCAAGGCAAGGCAAGTGGTACAAGCGATTTAAAGCCACGCCATGGGCGATACGCGAGAGGCTGCGTATAGGTGAAGGAGTCGCTGCATTTGAGAAAGCCCTGAGAAATGCAGATCGACAGGACGAGCGTGAAAGGTGCGACCCGCTCACTAACATCGGGTGTTTGGCGTCGAGTCCAACGGAGGCTTTTGTGCAGAAACATCGCGTCTAATCTTATCATCAAGTTTTTCCCTGATAGTTTCCTTGTACAGTCGGTTATTACACGGAAATATTACTTATATAAGCAAGCCAATCGAGAGACGTTCTACGATACACCGCTAAGTGGCGGGGCGGTCAAATTTAGGTCAAGAAGGGTGTATATTTCGTGTGAGGTAGCGTATTACGCCTCGTTTAGGATTTTCGTCAAATATTTTTAGACCAAGTCAATTCTAGGACATTACAAAGACTACTGATGTCCAGTCGAGCTCGGGAATCAATTCAGCATTAGAGGGCACAGGAGAGGGGATCGAAGGTGGCCCCATCATATGGGGCCAATATTGAGGGCATGCCTTCATTCGTTTTGTCGATGGACATTAGTCCTCATTCTAGGTTTAGTATGTGATGTGTAGTCTCAAGTCTAGCCACTGAAGGGAGTATATCTCAAAGGGATCATGTTGATCATCAGTGATAATTCTTCTGCGTGCCCGTCGAGGGTGAATAACGCTTTCAACTGCAGGAACTGTCGTGTTGAAGGTGTGCCGAGGGTGGGCGAGCATGCGCTGCATGGCAGCGCGACGGACAAAGGTAACCAGGACGGCTGGGCGCTGATCGAGATCAATGGTATTCGAGATCTTTGGGCCATCAATTTCTGGGCAACCAACAAATTTTTTCATCCTGGTGCTCTCGGGGGGGCTGTACTGCTGTCGTCTAGATGGAGTCGCTTCTATTGAGAAAAGAGCATGAAGAGTGCGACCCACCCACTAATATCGAGCATTTGTCGAGTGACAATCACCAACGTGCGGAAATGCATCTAATCTATCAACAACATTTTCGATGATGGCTTCCTTTTGCGGTCGTTTATGTCTTTGCAGTGACGTTTGTAGATCTGGTAAAATGTGCAAGCTATCGACCATTCCACGCTTGAACATCATCGCCAACCGTAAGCGCACCGCAAAAATACTTACAATGATACACCCTATCGGAAATAGGCTGCACCTGATGGAATTCTCAACGTTCTTGTGCTTCCGGGTCACGCGTAATGAAAACTTCAAACGTACTTAGTCGTGGCGAGTTCTCCGCGGTCTGAGAATGTGTACGTTTTGGAGTTGGACACGCCAACATGCAGTTAGGTTATGCTATTTTACTTCGTCGGCACAAATGCGCCACATAACACAAAGCTCCAGTTCCTGCCACATTCCACACCGAGTTTTAGGTCACCCACGCAGTCATGTGAGATTTCCTATCGGACGAACGAGTTCTAGATAATATTGTAGGGCCGCACGGTCCGGTCAGCAGCCATAGCCCTCCACAGCTTGGCAAGCAAAAGTACTGACCTTCTAGGCGGCACATACTGACGTATACTGAATTAACGTTCAAACCAAGTGCCGAATATTCTCTATTAGAACGCTCTTCACAGCCTCTGCCAGGGTCAAATCCCCACGCTGCACTGCATTCGACGTGTTTTCGTCTGCACTTCTGTCGCATTGCGTGTACAGTACATGCACCCATATGTAAAATGAAATCGGACCGCGCAGGGTCGTGGCGTCATAACTCATATATACACATGGCACCTTTTTGTACCCCGCAGTTTCTCCATTAGGGTACTAGACCAGAAGGTAAGATTGAAGAAGGCGAGGCCCGTCTGGGTTGTGCGCCGTTCTTCCTGGAGGGCTCTAAGACAAAATTGAAGAGTGACGCCTGGTGGGGCCCGTCAGGGTCAGGGTCGCGCGCAATTCTTCATGGAGGGCTCTGAAATGAAACGTGACTTCCGGAGATATACATATATGGAGCCCTCCAGAACCTTGTATGGTTCGGGTCCAAATGCACCCCTAGAAGTGGAACAAAGAATTGTAGGGATCGTCCGAATGCGAACGGACCCATCAGATCTCAATCATTGCAAGAAGGGGGCAACCAAATCACCTCAAGATAAGGCAACTGCAGTGAAATGAGCTACAACGCGCAAAATTTAGGATATGCATGTATGTAAAAGTACAGAACGAATTGACTTGTGGAATCCTGGCGGAAGGTGTCGATGAGAAATGTCCTGCAATAACACGAAAGCACAATGAAACCGAAATATCGCTTGAATGCACAGCTCAGATCCACTCTGAACCGCCCCACCACCGCTTGTTTGCCCCCCTTACTGCCCATTCTGATACACTGTCCGTAGCAGCCACATAGATAAACCCACCATCCGGGTCGAAGCATGTCCCTGCGATGTCATAGTCATAATCCTGTGTTGGGGTTGGATCGAAAATGGCATCCTCTCGGGTGATGGTCCTGCGACGAGGATGGGAAGAAGGTCGTGAACTCGTATGACGACCACCCGTAGTGCTACGTGTCGGGGAGGGAGAAGGCTGGACCGGAAGATGAATCGATGGAGGGGGTGAAGATGATCGCGATGGTCCACGTGAAGAAATGCAGTCCCCCTCCATCTCGTCCACGTCCATCTCAACGTCCTCCGGAGCGACGTCGCCATCACTATATCTGAGCTCATGTCCATCGACTCTCCAACCACCAGGCGGTGAAATCCTCTCCATAATATGAGTCCGTGTGTTATGGCGGCCGCGGATTACGGGGAAAACGCTGTGGTCATGTTCATCCTCCATTCCATCTCCACGACGGAACTCGCGTCGTGGGGGGCGCCACGAGGGAATGGGATCATTGTCCGGAAAGACCCCTCCGAAAAATTCGCCCACTGCACGTGTCATGTGTGGAGACGGCATAGGGCGCCGTTGCGGTCTCGGATCCAAGTAAGCAGAGGGACTGAACAGTAACCGAGGTGACACTGTTTTCCGCCTGGAAACCCCAGGAACACGGACGGTTTCTTCCTGTTCGAAGGTTCGCGCATCGAACACATGCAGAAGATTTGTGTGCTGTGTCAATGATAGGCCGTGAGAAGGTGCAACGAAACAGGGACAGAAATGTACCCACCTCTGTGAACGTCATCAACTCTTTCCCCGGGCGACCATTTGTGCCACCCGAGCCGAACTTGACATTTCGGGCCCCCCACCCGGGGGCTCTTGAACCTCCCCTCGTCCAGTCATTTGGGTCGTCGCTAAGCCAACTACTTGACTCGCCATTCCCATGCTGTCCGGTTGGCGACCGTGTTTTGTCAGTTTGTATGACTTTCATAGGCTTCGTGCTTCGTACGTCCCAGACGGCGACTACGCCCTCTTGAGATGCAACAGCGAACTTCATTCCGTCTGCGGAGAACGCTGTTGAAAAAGAGGCTGCAAGTGATGCCGAATACAGCCGTGTGTCGGGGGGTGGGACATTGAGAGTGACGATGGGATTGAAGGTGATGCGTGCACCACCTGTAAGCTGGTGCAAATAAATCCGGGGCGAATCCCCGACGGACAGGAGAGTTCTCCCATCAGGAGATATAGATGCTTCACACGCCAGTCAGCCTCGCCAAACTCAATCTTGACCAGGTGTGGCAGACTCACAATGATTAACCGGCTCTTCTAGCTTCAACAGGCCACAAGGCCGCATCTCTTTCGGCGCAGAGTCTTCGCGGATAGGAATGTCGTAAAACTTGACCTTCCAGTCGTTGTTACTGACGGCAAGTCTGGGCTCAACGCTGCTTTCATTGGACCTCGTTAAGCTGAGAGAGCTCAGCAGGACAGAGTTGTTAATCGACCCAGAAAGTTTTATAAAGTACTTCCAGATATGATAATTACAACGTAGTCTTGATGAATGGTCGTCTCGCCGTTCGCATCGCGAGGATCGGTTGTGGAGTGAAAGGTGAATTTCCGCATCCTGGCCACCAGCAGCCAGCAGGATCTTGTCCGTTCCGGGCACATGGAGGGATGCCAGAGTGTTTGGAGTGAATGTCAGATCTGCAATTGTCCGCGGGGACTGTGGCGCGATGGCAAGGGCGTGGGCAATAGGGCGTAGGGAAAGCGAAGTGACAACTCACCGAGTCTGGCGCGTAGAGATCGTGTTCTACGATAGAGGAGTTCTGTACATAGTTGAGAACACCTGGTTCCTGTGGGCAAATGACGAGATCACGCAGTTGGCTGAAATGACCCGAGGCAATAGGGAGGCTGAACAGATGGGTTCTCAAGGAGACGTAATAAAGTACTCACACATGACCGATTGTAACCTCTGCCGCGGAAACTTTACTAGGTGTGCAAGATGATAATAAGGATGGGTGGCGGGCCATAGTTGTTACAGGTTCACTTGAGCAGTGCAGTGAAAGAGACGTCAAGTTGGATGCATCGGGGTACCAGGGTTGATGGCGCACTCAGTGACCCGGCCCGTCAATTCGGTTTACGGGAAGGTCACGTGATGTCCGACTAGACCACTGCAAGTGACTAGATTGTGTACAGTGGTCGCAATCATGAGCACGAATGAAACCTCGACGGTGACGATCGCCAAACCGAAACCGACGAAGAAGCCCCTGAAGCCAGCACGGAAACAGGTTAAACCTGGTGAGGTCGAGAGAAAGGAGACACCACAGACCGGGAAGGAGTACAGTGGGTGTCATCACAAATCCGGCGCATGACAACGTCCTGACCATTCTCAACAGACATTTGGTACAATAAATGGGCTGGTGGTGATCGCGAGGATAACTACTCCAAGTGAGTATCTCTACGGTAGTGGACAAGGCACAATCTGACGCCACCGTAATTACAGCAAAGTCAAGTCGCAGACGCGATGTAACATCAAGAAGGACAGCGGCCTCACTAGAGCAAACACTACCGGGAATAAATACTGCTGTCTCTTTTTCTCTCGTGGGTGCTGTCCGTATGGCTGGGAGTGCAACTATTTGCACACACTGCCGGACCCCGACAACGCTTTGCCTGATAGTTCGAAGGATTGTTTCGCACGAGAGAAGTTTGCAGACTACCGGGACGATATGGGTGGTGTTGGCAGTTTCAACCGGCAAAACCGCACCTTGTACATTGGCCGGATCAAAGAGACAGGACCTGGCCCTGAAACGGAGGAGATAGTGATTCGACACTTCAAAGAGTGGGGGGAGATTGAAAAGAGCAAGTACCTTCCGTGTTCTCCTCCAAGCGATGACTTGTTAACATCCCGTTCAAAGTACGTGTCCTGCAGTACCGGAGCGTCGCTTTCGTGACATACAAGTCCGAGTTGCACGCTCAGTTTGCCAAGGAGGCCATGGCGTGCCAATCCTTGGACAATGATGAAATCTTGAATGTGAGATGGGCGACAGAAGATCCCAATCCTGTATCGAAGGAACAGGAGAAACGATGGTTGGAGGAGCAAGGCCAGGAGGCCGTCAAGGCGCGCATGGATCCCCGTATAGTTCAGGCGATGCGGGCTGTCAGAGCCCTCGAAGAGGGAGATACGCTAGATGACGAAGGCGAGGTTGTGGAGGCACACGGCGAGGTTTTCGAAGACGGGCCCATGGTTAAACGGAGAAGACTAGACTTTACGCCACCAGATGTGCAACCTTCCGAATCCCCGAAACCTCAAGGCCTTCTCTCCGCTGATACCTTGGAGGGCTTGAAATATTTTGCTGAAATAAAACGACAACATGGTAGCAACACATCCGCGCCGATCAATTCGCGGCCAAATCGAAGCACCACGGGACTGGGGCTAGCTGAGTATGGAAGTGAAGACGAGGACTAACAGTGAGCGTATCATGATGTGGTAACACTATTATCACATAAGGGTTGTGAATGTGCATAGGTGACATGATGGCAATGGAGTGCGGATGTGTCCGTCCCTGATGGGAGAGAACAGCGACCGTGATGGGGCACGGATACGGAGCTGCAGCCGTGGCTTGTTGGCAACAAGCCAATCGCCCAACCATCATTGACCTGCGTGCCGTAATGGGTGGGTCCACTCGGTCTTTGACCCGTTGTTTACAAATCCGTGGTTGGCCTATCTATTTACGGGGAGTCGTTGGCAGGCTCTGACAAATGCGGGAATGCACGTTGGAAACGCGTGTTTAGCTGGCCAACGCCCACGCCCAAGTGGTATGACCGACGAGTGGGTTATGAGAAAAATTCTTTTCTGGCCTGGAAAGCCTCTTCGACAGGCTCCAAAGCATGCGTCGGCGATACAGCGACACTTCATGCAGAGCCACCGATCACCAGTGTGCAACCTGTGTGAACGATTGGAATCGACAATGGAACGTTGACACGAGCGACGTCACGTGATCCTGCGACCGAAAGCGGTGCAGAGCCCTCCAAGGGGGCTGCCAGGAAATGCCATTTGCAAGCCACCATACCCCCCCCCCCTCTTTCCGTGGAAAGCACAGCCCAAATTCTATACGCTCACCTTCGTTGGCAGGCTCGGGCTATGTTCTCGTCGGCAAGTCGGAGAATATTCCATGCAGAAGTGACCTGCAGAATTCCCTGGAGAAGTTCCGTCCTCTCCGGTTCGTATGTTCGTCGAACACATGCACGATGAAGTGCACTTCAGCCACGCCGAAACTCCCGGTTTGAATTCATGGACAGGTTAATGTTCCAATGCCGTGAACCTTGACGTATTGCCTGGCGATCTCCTGGATCTTGGTCTTCTACTGTCCTCGTCTTCCAAGGCGCTTTGAGGTGTAGGCGCCATCGTATCCCTGTTTGGTCCTTGGACTATATAAAGGGTAGCAATTCGAGCAATTTATGACTCCCCTCACTGACAATCCCCTCTCGATCATCTGACCAGCCCATGACTGCCAATTCTATCCCTTCCATCCGTATCTCACCCGAAACAGACGGGTATCAACTTCCCTCTCTGTGAGGCTGTCGGTGCCTTGTGCAGTTCCCGCTGACTCACCCATCATCTGCTCCAGACACTATCCTTCTTCTAACTCTGAGACCACTAACATGAGAACCGTTGCCACCCCTTCCATCTCACAGTCCTCTAAAGCTTTTGATCCTCATCCCTAGTACGTGTTCACTGGTTGGCCTGGTTCATAGCTACCGTCTCACATCTTGACAGCAACGCTTTGGCACTAGACGATTTCATCATCACTGAAATGTATGATCAACTCCAGAAGGATGACTGTGATTATCCAAGCAGCCCTTTTCTCCCAGATGATGGAAGTGAGTGAAACCATAAGATCGGTTACACCACACCGTCATTAATTCAACGTCCAGGCGAGATTACGAACTCCCAGCCCGTTTCATTCGACATAGGAAGCCTCGGGTCGGAACTCTGTACCTTCCGGTACATAAGTGGGCCGGCTGGAACTCAGCCCATCCCTGCTGGGAACAATGGATAACACCTTCCTCTTACCCTCACCCTCCTCCCCGCCGTCCTCCTACCACGGATCGCAGTCCCCTGCATCCGTATATAGCGAACTCAGCAGCTCCGACATTGAATATACATCTCCAGCCTCTTCAGTCCCCACCGACGAGAGCAGCACGTATCATGGTTCTCCATTTTACGCTGATCATTATGGCCATCCTTGCTCAGTTCACCGCCACACTTCGACCGAGTCCGTCGCTACAAGGGATCTTATTCTCCCACCACGTGTTCCAGGTCATCACCGCAGCCACTCTGCACCGTCCATTTCCCGGGGCCGCATTGCAACCCAAGCAATGCTAGATGCAAATGCGCGACGTCGGGTGCATGACGCTCAGTTCACGTGCGGCGAGTGTCACCAGACGTTCACGGCACAGTTTAGTCTGAAGCGTGAGTCTACAAGTGGTCCATAGATTATAACCTATTCATCCTAACGTTCCTTCCAGGTCACCAGCGGTCACACACAGGCGAACGTCTATTTCAGTGCAGCATTCCAGGCTGTGGGCAGAAATTCTACAACAGCAGCGACTGCAAACGTCACGAGAAGAGCAAGAAACGTCATCCTAATCTCGCGTAAAGCTAATCTCGTTCAAGTCCGCGTGCGGTTTGCATGGGGCCAGGCACTCCCGAAGCACTGCAGTCTTCATAGAAGTATCCTTGGTATAAGTGACCTAAGCACGTTTCGGAACGCCTTGTTTTCCTGAACATCTCTTCACATCTCACGATTACCCTCCCGTATCTGTATACCCTAATTGAGACCAATGACGTTTTTCTTTTTTGCTTGTTCATGCAAGGGTAGTTTTGTTGTAGGGCTCGCTGTTGTTGCGTCAGTATGTATTCCGCTCAAACCTCCTAACATGTCCTCACGTTATATGAATTGCAATTACCATTGTCCAGAATTCCTCGACATGGCCTGCGGCTGAGATACGGAACCGGCACCCTAGTCATGAATGTGTGACTTGGTCTGACTCAGGCTCCAATGAGCGCCACACTGCTAAGCAGTGGACGACCTCTGTCAGCTATCAAACATGAATTGAGCTACACCGTTACAGTAAGGGAGCGGGCTATGTACCCTGTAATGGAATCCGTATTCAGCCACCAGCAAATTTTTCGGAATAAACGTACTTAGTGTGGCGCTGCAAAGCAGACGTCCACTTGCAATAGTGTTTGCGTGGCTGCGCAGTAGGCAGTGCGGGCCCGCAACTTATGTGCAGGCAGACCGAACACGTATATGTTGGCCGGTTCCGCAGTCGACATGGACGAACTCACTCAACGGCACGGCCGCCCTTCTGCACGTGGGGAATTCAAGTACTGACGTAGTGAAACTGGAACGTGGTGGCGCCCATAACAAGGACCGAGTTAATGCAAGCTCCGAGAGTGGCGAGGGCGGGGCACGGACAGCTTCGAGATAGGTCTTGAAACTTCGTGAGGACCACGTCTGAAAGCCGATTCTCAGCGCAGACGCCGACGACGCTCGCCACTACAAGAAGGGGCAATTAGCACTTACACGGAACCATCGATATACTCTGACTTGATTAATCCCGCCGTCCTGGCGAAATTGTGGCCAGCATGGGCGGTTCGATGGTAAGGTTAGCGCAAGTTCGCCCGCTTCCATTATTCCTAGGATGGGGATGCAGGCAGTGTGCAATGTGCATTGTCCTCCTTCGAGAAAAGATGGCGTTGCCAACTGATAAATTGAAAAAAAAAAAGCTAATTGAATAGAGAGGGCACCCAATAATAAACCGGCGATACTATGCATGATCTGACGGACGTTTCAAAGCGGTTTGGAACTACATATGTAAAGGGCAGTTAATATCTCGATAAACAGCTCCGCACGATGAAAGAAGATCAGGAGATATCTGTTGATCATGAACGCTGAGCACCGCTTGTTGGCTTCGTCGCGCTGAAGTTTCTGTTGGAGTAACATGGGCGGATGGGAAGAAATAGAGGAAGAGCCGAATAATAACATGAACCGATAAGACAGGCATGTACCGCGCGCTGGTCCATATTGCGTTAAATTTACCGGGTAAACGTCATGAGTGCCCATTTTACAGAAAATACTTCGAAGTTACACTCCATATCTGATGACTGCAAGAGGACATCCCTTCTAGTATGTCATACAGTAGGTTCTAGTTCATCCCAACCCGACGAGATTTGATTGCGTACACGAAAGAGGGAACATGGCAAATCGCGCCAGACTCAGGACTACCCCAGGCAGCACAGTATTGGAAATTTCGGTAATCAGTATTTCAATCGCTGCATGCAATGATTGTTGAGCCTAACTGGGTGAATAGAAGCTACATCTCAGATAGTAAGGTAAACGGGGAGCCCGTATCTGATGGTCCAAGTCTTGCTCGACGATCCTCCTTTTAATTTAATGGTGGTGTACGTCCGAGTGACCTTGGTGGTCGAGGGCGTACACTGTCCCAGAGTGAGACGGTAGTATACTATGGAAGAATACATGTACTAACCAGAACCACATTCGGGGCAACGACGGTTCTTGTCCTTGCGGAGCTGGAACCAATGAATATCGTGAGAGTCAGCCGGAGAGCCGGTGCAGCCGACGAGGCGCTCGGTATCCTAGAGTGAGCATGAGTTCAACGGTGTGATATTTCGTGCACGGCCTCTGAGCATACCAGGGAGAAGACCTTGATGGGATCTTCCAATGTACCTACGCGGCTCGAGTCGAGGGGTGCCTTGTCGAAAGCATCCACACCCTGCATTTCAGCCAAGAGCTGGAGACGTTCAAGGCCGGTAGCTTGTTGCTCGTCTGTAGCGAGCTCACCCGGCTTCGCACCTGGGCCAAAGATAGCTGGAGGAGGGGGGTGGTCCGACCGCACAGCGGAGGTAGTGGAGAGAGCGCGGACGGCGCTGAGTTGCGCAGACCGCGTAACGCGAAGGGCAACTGGTCGGACGGCACGCAGGGAGGCGTTGAGCATAGTGCAAAGCTTTGGAGGAAACGGCAAAATCTGTTGACGGGAGAAAGAAGCCTGCTGTCACGCGTAACAGCGTGACAGCTGGGCCCCGCATGGCTCCGAGTGGTAGGAGTCTTCGCAGTACTGCGCTACTTAAGTACCATCTACCCCTACATTCCTACCTTACTCACTGGCGCAGGTCTCGTCTGACAACCTGGCTGTCATCACTCCTTGTTTTGCTGGCTCCCGCATTCAAACTGGGGCACAGTCACCCGTGTTATTTGTGTATGTACAATCCTCGAGGACGATTGCTAATTTTGGAAGGCGTTTACGAACGGTCAATTCGCTAGCATCCTATGCGCAGTACTTTGCCGACGTTGGGCCTGAAGGCCTGACACTAGTAAGAGTTTATTGGAGCATACGAGAATATTATATCAGGTATTATGCAAAGTTTTATTCGCCGCCGCCCATCCCACCCCCTGGCCGCCATTTGCGTTGGGTAGCCACGATGAGATCCTCCCATATACGCCGGAAATCTGCGACAGTTGGCATCCAACAAGCGTCTGTTCCGCGCGATTCAGAGCCTCCCTTTGTCGTTGGTGATATAAGCCCGAATACTTCACCATCGAGATCAGATTTCCGTCTCTCAGCAATATCGTGCGCGTCGAGCATAAACCTTGTCGAGAAGCACAATGAGGCAAGCAAGGGGCCCTGCATGTTGAACTTTCCATCGTTCTCGGAGCTTCCAACGCACCTTCCTCGACCGCGCGGGGACTCGCGAAGTTTGGGTAGTGAAGGCAAGAAACAAGTTACTATATGGCAAGGATGGAGGATTATCGTCTTCGGTTCTTGTAAGGATCATTATTTCTTGTGTTCTGTGGCGTACTGATGACCGTAGGGCTCAACCTTTTACTGTTTCTCATACCTGTGTCGGTGGGTTTTGAACCTCAACCTACCTGTCTCCTAATGAAAGCTGAGTGTGAATTGATCCTTTCAGTCGGTATTGAGTTCCGTCTTGGGGAATCATGATAAGCTCGTCTTTATATGTCAGTATAGCCTCTAGGAAATGAATCCTCGTTAACGAGCATCTGTAGTCACTATCCTCTCCATGATTCCCTTGGTGAAGGTAAGTATATCGGGTGCCGCGAAACCTTATATTGGTATATATTTGAATAGCTTCATGATTTAGCTATGCGAGAATTGGCTCTACGGGTAGGGGGAGCAAAGACAGGCTTGCTCAATGCCAGCATGGTAAGTCCATCCCCGTGTTCCTGCAGAACTACATTGACTTCATTCCCTCAAAGAGTAACACGTACGTGGAATCGTTATTTTATTTGTGATGCTCATGTGAACATTTATCAGTGTCGAACTAGTTGTTGCGGTTTGTCTCCAGGCTCGGTAAAATGACGCATCTAATGCGACTGCAAGGACAGATCACTGCGTTGAGGAAGTGCGAATTGCGCATTGTGCAAGCATCACGTTGGTCGGCTCTCTCTCGAATGTGCCTGGGTTCTAACTTTCTTCGGCAGTAATAGGCTCCGTGCTGAGCAAACTCCGTAAGTGTACCATGCCATCCATTCTGTTTTGTAGCTTGATAAGTATCGTAGTCCTCATCTTGGGAATGTGCTTCTTTGCGGGAGGGTTGAAGTTTTCTGAGCAAGGTTTCGATCAAAGTAAGTACAACCCTTGTTCTGAAGGCTGGACATTCTGACACGATACAGCTGCGACTCAGATACACACATCTTTATTAAGCATCAGCGTCGGTGTTCTTCTGCTTCCCGCTGCTTATCACTTTGCCCTCGATGACGATGGGGGTGAATACACCCTCGCAGCACAAAAGAAACACATCCTGAACATGAGCCACGGGGTAAGTGTTTTGTAGTGACAATGGATTTCTTTGTCTCACTATGACCAGGTGTCCATAGTGCTGATGTTCAGTAAGTTGCATACCTTGAAATGATTGTGGACTGCTCCATTTTTTTCAGTTTATGCGGCGTATCTGGTTTTTCAATTTTGGTCTCACACCCACCTCTACGAAGACGTCAAGCAGAAGAGCGACCGGCTTTCCACGAAGGTATCCATTGGCTCCCGTTTTCTTCCAAGATCGTGGAGCTCGAACATTGGTAAAACGTTACGGGCTGGCACGGGTCGCACCGGAAGCAGTGACCGATCAACAATGTTTGCATCAGTGGCTTCGTCCCGAAAGGGCGCCATACGCGAGTCTTTGCACGGGGATTCTGCCTTTTACTCCGCCTCTGAAGCAACCCTGACAAGTAACCCCGTTCACAAGCCTGGCGATATTACCTCAATGCAAGCCAACCTCAATCCTACTATTCGTCTGGTCCCAGAGTCGTGTGACGGTGACCGCAATAGGCTAGACCCAGAAATGGGCTCGACCCTGTCAAGGCTGAAGTTGTCTGGTAACTCGTCTACTATCATTAGTGGCACAGGTCGGTGCACGTCTCCAGAACCAATGAGTGCCCAGGAGACCCGACGATCTTGTGGTGATGATTCCTCTGTGATATCCCCTAAATCGTTCAAGGAACCTCGTTTGAGCTGGACCATGACCATCTTATTGCTGATACTGGTGACGATTGTAGGCCATGCTCTGATTCATTTCTTGTTCTCCCATGACTGATGCACTGCGACCCAGGCAGTTGCCTTCAACGCAGATGCCCTAGTCGAAAGTATGAACGGAATTTCAGGGGCCATTAGCAAGCAATGGATCGGTCTGATCTTACTCCCTGCCGTCAGCTCTATTGCTGGTATGTTGTCGGTTCGGTGATTATGGAAGATTGATAAAAACGCATTGGCTTTGTAGAATGCGTGACGGCGATGAACGTTTCCGTGAGGGATCAGCTTAGCCTGAGTATCAGTGTTGCTGTTAATTCTACCATAGTGGGTTATGTCGCTCTTGCTTTAATTTTCACCTCCTAACCCTTCCACCTATCAGCAAACTACATTATTTGTCATTCCGTAAGTACCTTCCAGCCTGCTATTCTCACTGGCACTAAGTCGGATCAATTCCGTGCTACAGATTGATGGTGACGCTAGGATGGGCGATTGACAGGCCTCTGGCCTTGCTGTTTGACCCGTTTGAGTCTGTTGTGAGTACGAAGCGGTTCGGTGTTGTATACTTTGTTCATTCCCTTTTAGGTACTCTACATCGCCGGTGTGTCCCACAACTATCCTTCGTGTGTTTTAGCTCAACAGTGCTCAGTTCAAACAATGAGCCACGTCGTCGCCGATGGGAAATCCAACTGGCTCGAAGGGACGATTTTGATCTGTGAGTACAGTGACAGGTCTCCACTTTGTCGTGCTCATTTTCTTTCCAGGCTTGTATGTCATCATCGCCGTTTCGTTCTGGTATTACCCCGGTACGGCGCAACCTGTGTGACATTGCCGACTTTGTAACTAATGCTGGACCCTTTCAGACCGTGCCAATCAACTGCTAATGTGTTAGTACCGGTGATCATTCTCTAGACTAGTTCGGACGGTTGTTTTACTACCACCCCGACATTGCTCTTGATTTTCACGGACATTTTTGATGACCACGGACATTCCTTACATTGTCATTACTGTAATTTCCTTCAGTTTAGATATAGAGGGTCGGCAAAGTACTGGCCATCCGCAGTGCCTACTTTATATGTCCACTTGCAAGCTAGGTTCTGGATCAGCACGGGATGGAAGTAGCTTATCACTCGTTGGGTCATCAACACGATCAGTTGAGACCATAATTTCCGTTGCACGTTGATGTGACTTCGAAGCGTAGGTCGGAAGTCGCCCATATTTGTCTGTGTCGACTTGCTTGGACGTGCACTCAACGTTGGTTATCACTCAGGGCACTTACTTTCCGGATTCGACACTTTGCGTTACCCATCCCTCCATCGAATCTTTTTACTCCTGTTTATGATCGGAGTACCGGCGCTGTCTCACGGTGGTCGAATATAGATGGATTGGACGACCGAGACATGTGCGAACTACGCCAGGCATATATTGCCAAAGCTGTCATTCATCGCCTTGCGAATGCTTTCGGAGCTACCCTATTTTGTGCCTCTAACAGGATTATCGCATTGGGGTTCACACTGTATTTGTTGACGTTCTGCTATGATCTCAGGATGGCGAGGAGCACAACAATCTCCTATTGTCGGAAAGGAGGTGGCTACGAGCGAAGGTGGTGGACGGAACGGTTAGAGTAGAGTGACGGAAGAGAAAGGTACGCGTAGCACCAGTATGCCCGATACGTTTGTACAAAGTATTTTGGCCATTAGCACGACGGACTGTGAATAGTTTCCCTGCTTGACGAATTGAGAGTGGACAGAGTCCACGATTATATGTATGCGCTGCGCAGGTCGAACAGATTGTTGCTGAGTCGATGACGGAGTGTCGATACGGTTTTATGCGAAGCGATGATCGGCAGCGAGGCAACAGACTTGACCATAGCGGCACGGTCGACAATGCGTACACCAACCACAACAAGCCGAGCGCGTGGCGGAGGCTCAGAATTCTGAGTGCATACTACCCGAGTTCTTTCTGTCAAGCGGATCAATCCGAACTTCCGGGAACCAATCTCTGGTAGGCACTACTCCCAGGATCCTCGCACCTTAGGTGTCATAGAACCCATTTACAACCGAAAACAGAGTGCAGCTGCACTTCGAGCTGACCTTGTCGCACTTTTTTTTTTCTCGTCCGAGAGCACCGGGCTATTCTACATAATGTGGTGAGTAGGGTTGGAGGTAAGGGGGAGTGGTTTCGAGCCTGCGAGAGCTCTCATCAGGGGGCTTGGTCGCTACCCCAGCCGCTGCCCTTCCAACCCTGGTAAAGGCACTTGGCTTCGAAGAGAGTAAGGAAGCACTTACCAGTTTGCTGCAGCGGGCCCTCTTGAGGAATTGAGGCGATCTTTAAGTCACACACGGGCCTGACTACTAGATCACGCAGGCCTATACTAGACCCGCCGACTGCTCGCGCCGGGACATTACGATCATACTGGAGTCCTGTCGGAGCCGATCACGTCAGGATTGACGGTATTTTACACAAAGGAAGTACGTACCTTGCACTCGGCTGAGAGGGGGCTCTACGTTGAGGGTCTCGGGCAGCCTTGATGGAATCCATAGTCGTGCTTGAGGCCGGTCAGGGCCGTCACCGTGTGGTGCTTGTAGCTGTCCAGGGCTATTCGTCTGCGCGAGCTTCACGAAAGTATCCTGCTTGATGGCTGGGCGGGATTGTTGTCTGGAGGTGCTGCCTGCCGTAGTAAGGTCAGCCACCCCGACGCAGATAAGCAAATGCCCAGCATTCACAACCAACGTTTCAGCTAATCGAGGTCGTAACTTGGGCGAAGATCGCCAAAACTATTTGGGTGTGCTACAGCTGGCGTGGCGGGCAGGAGACGGGTTTGTTATGCAGTCGGACACCCTAGTCAACGAGAATATGCTGAGCGAGAAGCCACAAAGGGACCCGAGGGGGTATGATGGTTATGATAACGAAGAGAGAATAACCAGCGAGCGCACACCTCTTTATATAGTGGTTTGAATCGCTGCCAATATTTGTAGTGTGTGAACCAACGCCAGCAATGTTCCCCTATCCAGCAATCAGTCACAGATGCACGCGTTCATCACGTGATCCACGTGATCGAGTTATTTGATGTTTGCCTGTTACTGCTCGCGCTCAGACCTGTTGATTCCCTGCAGATTCTACTAATTTAAACTTTCCTTGCCAAATCTCAGCGGATTCAATTCGATATTCAAGCGGTACAGATACCCAGTTTGACCCGAACACAGTGCGTCGTGAGTTACAGCGGGATCCGTGGACCCGGCTGATTCAGACATTTTCTCTAGGAATGTCTCTTCCATAGCCCCTTTCCGGGCTGATTCTCTGCGCACACCTTTCCGATAAAGCCAGAGGAGGTGGTACGACCGTCTTTCGTTCAGTCGTTTGGTCTGCCTAAGGGAGACTAAGCACTTCGTGAACGTTGCACATTTGGGCGACTAACTTCATGTGGAGCGGCCTAGTGACATCACAAAGAGGAGTAACCGGTACAATGGCTGCTGACAATATTATCACAGCGCACTACCGGAACCATCCCTATCCAATCAGCTAGCCACTGGTACTTACGTGCATTCACAACTGCAGCTCAGAGAAAGCGGGTGGCAAGGCCGCCACGGGGACTCTGTGCTCGACGCATCTGGCCACACTGGATGTTGTACTTGCTTCCTCACTGTAGCAGATACAAAGTGTCGATATCCCCCATCTGGTCTTCGGGAAATTCGATACATGATTGTAGGGATTGGTTGATAAGCTCAGGAGAGGGGGTCGGCAAAGTACAGGCTACCCGCAGTACCTACTTAATATCTTCGCCTGCAGGCTGGATTCAGGTTTGGCATGGGATAAGAACAACTTGTCACCCGTTGGGTCCCCAGCTCGTTCGGTTCGGACCATAATTTCCGTCGCACGTTGATGTGACTTCTCGCCAGCAACGTAAGTCGGAAGTCGCCTATGTTTGTCTGTGTTAACTTGCAGCATGCACACAACGTTGGTTATTACACAGGGCAGGACTACTTAATGATCGTCATTTCGCGGAGTATCGATGGTTTAAACGTCATGTTTCACCTTCGTGCTGTCCACCATCGGTTTCTTGTCACGGTGCCAGCGTTCGCTGCTTTCATCTGGTTCAGCAGTCTTCTTGCCATGCTGCTTACCTGGCTCATCTCTGGCCGGCCGAAATATGTTTCACAAGAAGGAGCCGTTGCCTATATTTCAGACGTAGGCGCATCGTTTCTGAAACCCCTCTTCGTCGTTGCATGCTGCATCACCGGTGTTGGGTTCCTACTGAGTCTCATATTGGAACGCCTCCTTCGCCACAGGGGTAGACTTGTTCCGGAAATGCGGACGCGGGAACACGTGTTCGGTATCCTCTCAGTCGTCGGGGCGTTCGTTGCAATGTTGGGCCTCGTCTTACTTTCCGGATTCGACACTTCACGCTACCCGTCCCTCCACCGAATCTTTTTACTCGTGTTTATGATCGGGGTGGCGCTGTCTGCCGTATTCACAGTGGCCGAGTATAGATGGATCGCACAGGACTACCGGGACATGTGCAAACTACGCCGGGCATATATTGCCAAGGCTATCGTTGCTAGCATCCTCGTCGCCCTGGCGATTGCTTTCGGAATTACCCTATTTTGGGTCCCTAACGTTGGGGGTGTCATCGAGTGGATTATCGCTTTGGGGTTCACACTGTATCTGTTGACCTTCTGCTATGATCTCAGGATGGCGGAGGCCACACCACAGCTTCCAAATGTTGTGAAGGAGGCGGCTACGAGCGAAGGTGGACGGAATGGTCAAAGTAGAGTGGTGGAAGAGAAAGGTGGTAGTAATCATGCATAGCATCATACGTTCGTCACGGTTCACAGAATGGTGGGGATAAGATGGATTATCGATAGTTTCCCTGTTAGACGAATTGAGAGTGAATAGAGTCCACGAGTATGTGTATGCACTGCACGGGTCAGCGTCAGAATGGACGAGTTGCGACGAAGATCATACACTCGCTAAATCCTCATGCTCAAGACTTCATGGAGGCTGCAGCTGCACTGCGTCTTTCACGTGGTGAGGGTTGTACTGCCGCAGTAGCGCCTCAGCATTATCGACTTTCCGGTCACTGTAAGATAATCCGAGGAACCTAGGTATAACTGTCACGATGGCCTTAGAGCAAGAAACACATATATTGCAGGCCTAACATACAAAGGTCGGGAAACGATAAAGTATCGTACCTCGGTAGTGGCAGAAAGGCGTACCTGGGAAATGATGAAAGGCATGTGGGACTAGGTGTACGTCATAACGATAGCCTGCTAATATCAACACCAACACAAGAAGACCATCAAGTGCCCTTGTGGGGGAAGTTCTGAGCAAAGGTAGCATGTGAATCAGGTGCAAGAAAAGATCTGTCAATTTTCAAGGGATAATTCCGGCCAGTTGTTCAAAATGATGCTGCGTTTGCCACCCACTCTCTGGCAATCATTATTTCCAGTGGTTCACCTACGAAACAAACATGCCGCTTGCTACATACAAGAAACCGCCATCCGTGGTCAGACTCAAGTCGTGAGCAAGCCGTAGGCTCTTGAAACCCAAGACACAGTAATCACCCAGCTTGTTGTAAAGATAGAATAAATCTTCTATCTCCGTCTTCTAGTAGCTGGCATCTTGCGGACCTAAAGGTTGCACGTACAATGATGGCGACCCGACTACTGGCGTTTTGTAAGCCATTCAGCAAGAGGGTCAACTTCGCGGCTCCATTTACGACGACAGTCACATATTCCAGTTATCGCAAGTAAAATGACGGACCTGGCTAAATTTTGATTCAAAATGGTCCAAGATAGAATCGGAGTGGTGAATATATATGAAATGCACGAGCTGTAGCGTTATAATCATCCATAAACCTACGTGGATTAGTAGTGTCCAGCACAAGCCTTTGGAGAAGCGGCAAGTAGAGACTATCGTTCAAGAAACCCCGTAGCACCTTCGACCATCAGTGAATATGAGTGTGGTTAGCGATTGGGTTGAGATATCCATGAAGAAGCACTGATCACGGATGGCGGCAATCCACAGGCTGAACATCGCCAGTGTAGTAAGTCCTGGGTCCCATATAACCCTGCCAGATTCAGATGCCTGAGAACAGAGGAATGCGCGGGTGAAAGAAAGTGTGGATATTCCCAGTCCCAGTCATATAAATACATGGAAACGTCTTCCAGGCAGGGAAATTCCAAACAGTTGAACTGATGTACATTGCGAACGAAGGTATTCCATGCGAAGTCTTCGACACGGAGGCTACGCCAACGGTTTGTGCTGGGAATAAGAATCTCCAGTGATGTGTCCAGAGCGTTGTCAAATGGGCCTATAATTGCGATGTTGAGAGGATGTTCATAAGCTCCTCTTTAGCTGTGTCATCAAGAACTTTAAGTCGGAATCACGGGTCAACCCAATATCGCTCCAGAAGCTAGGAGTGTCGAGTATTAAACCCCTCCGGAATCGCGTAACCCCAGCTAAATTCTTCCTCCGTATAGGAAAAACTTTCAAGGGATCCACGCAGGTCTTCACCAGCACCGCTGCTCGCCAGGAGGAAGTTGAATATTCTTGTGAGAAACTGATTTTGCTCTTCTGAGTCTCGATAGCCACGCGTACGGCGAGGAGCTGTTCGATGTCGATGAACACCCGCTCGGTGGTCCATGATGTGTCTGTACTGTACTACAATGACGACTAACATCGAGTTGCGTGGTGATGTAACTGAGAGGAGTGGAGTAAACTTGCAATTTCTATGGTGAAGGTGGGTTAGTGTGAGGAAGCGGTACTGTCCGTTGTACCCGACAAGGGACGCTTCGCTAAATCTCGCGTCGCAGCGTTCGCCTCCAGCCTAGATTGCTGTGATAAAACTCACGACAAGCGCGGAGAAGTGTGACCTGGAGAAAGGAGCATGGTACTTGTAGAACGGGGGCGAACAAGATCACACAAGGTGCAAGATAACCAGTAATCAATAATCCTTTGTAGTGTATTTAGTCTGGCATCCAGACCAAATCCTTTGCACCAAAGGTCACGGTCACGAAGTTCCAAAAGGGGAGCAGCTGCTGTCTGTTTCCCACTGCACTTCCATTGTCCAAAGTTCAGGAGTCGATATTTATCGGCGATGGCATCGTGTGGTAACCCGATCGCTGACGATAGCGCTTTGATGCTCAGTGAGAAACTCAGAGACAACATTGCATTGCCATGTACTTTCTGACCCCGTCCCTTCGCTGGCAGGCCGACCAAGGTTCGACAAAGGGAAACATTGCGTTAAATGTAAGCTGAACCTAGGCAACATCGTCATACGCCATGCAGTGTACTGCAGGTGATGTCCTCGCCACCCGTTCACAGATGCCTACCTTACACGTTCGTCCAGAGATTGCTTTACTCCTCTTGTGATTGTCAAATTCCGGAGAGCTCTGGAGCCACATGTTAATGCCAACGCCGGTACCTCCAAACGTCCAAAATTGAAGGCATCTGGGTCCTTGGTCCTCGGTTTCTCAGGTGGACTCGGTTCTGCAGTACTCCTTGATTTGGTTTACAAGTCATACTTCGCGGGTCGTCCACCGACCGATGAAAACGGTGACCCTCGAGGTGGGATTAATCATCCACGAAATGTAAGCGTATGGACGAGTTGCGCTGTGTGTTATGTCGAGGTTTCAAGCGCTATCCCGGAGGTATGATATTATCTTGTTCCCACCAGATTTCCTGCAAACGTTGTGAACAGACACACGAGCGTACGGAGGAAATGCGGAGTGCCCTTGCGTCATATCCCAACCTGAAATTCATCCCGCTTCGACTGGAAGATGCTTTCGACGAATCATGGTGGTGCAGAATGACAGGTAAACCTGACATGTCCCAACTAACACTGGAGTTGGGGAAAGACGGTTTACCTATAGAAGGCGAGCTGCTACATTATAGCATGATTCGTGTGCCAACTGTTAAATAGGCCTAAATCCTGCTCACTCATCCAACACTCTTTCCCCTAAGGATGCCTTGCGTGCATTTTTGACTGCTCTACCCACCCCAACCGCAGTTTCTAGGGCCATACAGGTTCTTATTCGTCTTTTAATGCTCTTTACAGCCCAATTTCATGGAGCTTCCCACCTGGTTTTGGGATCGTCCTTGACCACCTTGGCGGTGTCCTTGGTCTCTTGCGTTGCACAGGGAGGAGGTCACGCTATCCGCGAGGAGTTTCAAGAAGAGTGGCCTCCTGGTTTATCACCTGGCGTCGAACTCGGCGGAACAGTTCGCGTCGTGCGGCCTCTGAGAGATGTCACCATGAAAGAATGTGCGGCATATGCCTGGTGGAATGGAATACGTGTACCCGGGAGACCAAGACTAACGCGGGTCATAACGGGTATCCCTGGTTTGACTAAAGGTATCTGTCTGACTAGTCGATTCGGAGTTTGTGATACACTAACAATTTTCGGGAGATTTCGTGGTTCGCCTCGAGAAGGACTACCCGTCCACGGTATCGACAATTGCACGCACTTGTGCTAAGCTAGAGCCGAAGGGTACCTCAGTGGGCGAGTGTTGGTTTTGTTGTCGGTTAGTTATCTATGATCAGGTGGTGATGTATAACCGCTGAGGTCTTTTTTATATAGTCACCTACAGGGAGGACTGGCAGATTGGAAAGCCCGCATATCAATACGATCGCATCCCAACCTGAAAGTCGTGGAAAGACTTGCTTCTTCGTCTCCTGCTGTTTCCTCGGTTCACCCAGACCAGACATCCCGACTTCCTCCGCTGGATACTCATCTCTGTTACTCTTGCATGACGATGTTCACGAGTAGGAGTAGCAGGAAGTCATCGTTTGCACCGCCCCTTATACACCACCAAGATATGCCATTGCCAAGATGGGTGAAGCCGCAGGATGCAGAGGAAGCAATACCAGTTTCTAAGAACAGAGAACTTTGGGTTCGAAGTCGGCAGAGTGAAAAAGAGTGTCGAGAGTCGATCGCTGATTTCCTCTTACCAGATAACTAAAAAGGATTCGTCCATGCTAATTGTATGATGGTGTGACACTTGATGCCAAAGCTCAGAAGCTGGAGGAATGTCGTAGACCCCACTGCCTCACTGAATGGCAGACGAGTGGACATGGATGTTCGCCACTCACTCGTTCCTTGTGGGGCTGTGTACATACGGTGTTAGAAGACCTGATTACTATCCCCGAGTAATAGCGGTCCATTAGCGCCGTCTCTGCTCAATCGTGACCCAAGTTCAGCGGGACATAGTTACGTTTATGTTGGTGTCTGGGATACACGCAGCACGCTTGCCTTGGCCTCCCTAGGCTCCGTTGGCATAATCCCTAGGTGGGACTCGACCGACAGTTATACACAGCGCTGGAGGGAACATGTCTTTTTTCCTGCCATGTTCATTTGTGCCTATCCACATGCTGGCCCAGCCCCACGGTCACGATTCACGGATAGCCGAGTACAAATAAGTACGGGTTCGTCTGGTGACTGGCCGTTCTTTCGAGTCGACCTTGACCATCCCCGGAATCTGAGCATCTGCTACACAGAGATACCAACGAACGTTTTCCATGCTGGGAGAAGAGATGCCGGATCTTTACGAGGCGGAGGAATACCAACGGGACTTGTCAGAAAGCTTTCAGACGAAGAAGAATACCGTTTTGAGTTCTCACGGAAGACCTCCCTGGTAGTGTTCCTCAAACAACCGAGGTCTCATGGTCATCTCTGATCAGCGATTACCACCCAGGTATGGCGAGAATGGGCTTCCACTCAGCAACGCCTTTGTCATTGGAATAGCAGGTGAGTACGCGGACGCCGCGAGCCAGCGCTGTTTACCACTTCGCGCTTCCAGGAGGCTCAGCAAGTGGGAAGGTGAGATTGGACGACAATCGGTCACGGGGCACTAAGTAATGTCGTGCACATGCAGACATATGTCGCAAGGCAGATTGTCAAGTCGCTCGGATCGACCCCTACGGTCGTCATCATGTCTCAGGTATGTGTGCATGGTTTTGCGGGCACTGCGATCCACGACGACTACCTCGACTCCCGTGTCCAGGATAGCTTCTATAAGCGTCATACAGAAGAAGAAATGGCTCTTGCTCATGCCAATCATTTCGACTTTGATCATCCTGACGCGATCGATATGGCCATGTTCGCTGATGTACGTACAAAGCAACACATGCCACAAATCTGACGGGTTCCCAGTGTCTCGCAGACCTCAAGGCGTGTCGACAGACAAATATACCAATCTATTCCTTTAAAGAACACCAACGACTCGATCAGTCCAAGTATCTCTATGGTGCTGCCATCATCATAGGTCAGTCTCCCCACTCTCATTCCTCTTTTACTGATCCCCCTTACAGCTGAGGGCATCATGACCTTGCATGATCCCAAGCTACGCGACTTGTACGACCTCAAGGTAAGTCGCACCCAGAGAAGCAGCGCCTGTTCAGCTTCCGAGTACGCGGAAGATATTTGTTCAGTGCGATTCGGACATCATGCTTGCACGACGCATCTCGCGAGATGTCAAGGAACGTGGGAGGAGCATGGAAGGTGTTCTTGAACAGTTAGCAGCAGCAATCTGCTATAACCGAGGAGTATGTCTGACAGTTACCTAGATACCTCCGATACGTTAAGCCTGCCTTCGACAATTTCGTGCTTCCCACAGCACGGTACGCAGATATCGTGGGTCCGAAGCTCCTTGCACTACTTGATAAGTTCACAGTCTTTTAGATCGTTCCAGGTTCAAACAATGCCGTTGCCATCGAGCTCATTACAACACACATTCGAAGTCAGATGAACGAACGAGTCCGACATTTTCGACGAAATATCTCCTACAGATCTGTAGACAAATGTCTGAACTCTCCTAGCGGTAATCCAGAAGATTCCTCGCTGACACTCTTGCCGCAGACACCACAGCTTCAGGTGCGTGCTGCAGTCACCGGACACGGTAGCAGTATGGAATGCTGAGTTATCACAGGGAATTTACACTGTTTTACGCGACGAGAGGACGAGTCGACAAGACTTCATTTTCTTCGTTGATCGCCTCGCAACTCTATTAATTGAAAAAGCAATGGAACTGCTTCCTTACAAAACAAAGGTGGTAACCACACCCACAGATACCGAGTGTTCCGGTAAGGAGTTGGACGTAAAGGTCAGTAGTTCACCCATGGCTTCTAGTACTGCAGTGTTTACAACGTTCCTCAGCACATTTGCGGTGTTTCCATTCTTCGCTCGTAAGTATTATCAGAATATTTCATGGATAAACATTTGATGTGTTACTTAGGGGAGGTCCTTTGGAAAAGGGGCTACAACGGGTTCTAAGCGATGTTACAATCGGATCACTTCTGGTTCAGACTGACGGGAAGACCGGAGAGCCGCTTTTGCTGCACGTGATGTTGCCTAAGTGTATCCGTGAACGACACCTTGCCGTCGATACATGGGTGTTTCTGTTAGATGCACAGGTATTGCGAAGTTTTCGCTCTTTTCTGCGGTGTTACTGACGAAAACTGTAGATCAGCACCGCTGCTTCCGCGTTCATGGCAATTCGAACGTTGCTAGACCACGGCGTCCAGCAGGACCACATTATTTTCGTGACATTCCTGGTGGCTCGCACCGGTGGTATACACGTTCTTCAAAGTGCTTTTCCTAAAGTTAGAATCATTTGTGGAGCTATCGATTCAGGTTTGAGGGAGACGTGGATTGAACAATACCATTTAGAGGGAGAGGGACAATATGGAAACACGAGGAAGGCATGGATCGTGGAACCGGGGATGGGACACATAGGTGAGTCATGAAAGTAAGCTTCTTGTTCTGTAGCTGAGAATACCGTCAGGGGATCGCTACTACTTATAATTATGACTACAAGCAGGACAAGCAACACTGCCTAATCAAGGGAACCTTGTTGAATATCTATTTCAGAGTTTGGTGTGCCATTTCACAGGTATCATTACCTCAGAGGCTAGCGTTCCACACCGCTTTACTCACCCCGACGTCGTAAGTAAGTGCATTAATGATCGATACCGTTCGTATCATCGACTTGTTGCGGGGGAGACATTCGATGGCTCCATTGCTGAGGCTCCGCGAGCGCGCCGTGGCGTATCACTTACGTCGGCATCTCACTTGGAATTTCTGCGGTTCCATGGCCGTCACCACTTTATTATGAAGTATAGACATACTAAGGATAAGGACGTCTACCCCTCCAAACGACTACCTGAAGTTCGAAGGAATTTGGTCCATATTCCTAATGAATGTTGGGAGTGGAGCATGGATCAGTTGGTACGTCCAGCATTGAACTCTATCACTTTAGCAACTGCATCCTCTAAAGCGTCTGCTACCGCATGGAAGTCAGATAACTGCCAGTTGTGTTTCTGAGCGATCTATTGCGGTAAGATGCAGTGTTACTCATACCTCATTGTATATCTGTGCGCTGCATCTGACCCACCACTTCTTGTTGTGCCGAAAGAACGCAGCGGAAACATTCCACTTTATGCACAGAGTGTCCTGTATCAAGGCTACTACTTCGCTGGTCTGTTGTATTTCCTCAGGTATGGGAAGCTCGACGACGACCTGCATGAGTAAAGTTACTGAAACAAAGACAGGGGAGGAGAGTCGTACCATATTTAGAGTCAAGCTGCCCTCTGGGTCAAGGAGGCTAGTTCCGAATCGTTGGGCGAGGTACTTTCCGCCCTCGATGGCTAGTTCGTGAGTGTACTTGTTTATCTTGTGTTCACCCCCGAGCCACGCTCTAAAATCGAGTGCTGAAGGATGTTCAGGTGCGAGTGCCCACAGCCACGGATTAATGTACTCACCTGCAATTGGGCTAATGTGCGGAACGTGATCGATAGTACCCGTCCCTAGGACTTGGTAAGCGGACGCGAGCAGAGTAAACATCTTTACTCAGGTTTACATTCAAAGAGCTTAACAAACTCTTGCGGACCCTTGTAACCCTCGTCCTGCGGGGAATGATACTCTACCGGTGTGGGTATTGGAGATTTGATGATGTGCTGATTCCTGCAATCGGGTTGACAGTCTGACACTGCCGACGTTCGAGGTTAACCATAATGCGCCTGACCTCTTGGGAACATAAAGGACAGCACATCCCCTCTTGGCGTAAAGCCACTTGTGACAATTCTGTCAAGCACACGCTGTTCGTCACAAGAGGATCTACTTCGCTTCCAAAATACTGACTGAGACCCAGAAATCCGGTTTCGCTTCCGACAAATTGAGGTCCAGTTCTTGCCCGATGGAGTGGGCGGCATCAACGAGACTGTAGACTCCAGCATCTTTGCATATAGCTACCATTTCCTTCCATGGCATCAGAACGCCAGGGCGGGATGTGATGGAATCGATTATCGCAATGAACGTCCGGCTTTGATGAGGGTCATCCCGTTCTTCTTTGACCTTTTGGATAAACTGCCTAAACTCCCCTAAAATTACTTCATGTGTTGTAGGGAAATGGGCATTATAGGTCAACACTGTGGGATGAGGGGGGATATCTCCTAGGTATTTGAGCGTCTTGGATATAGAGCCATATGAAATGTTGGCTGTAACGAGTTAGTCCTTGTGGTCAAGCATGAGGATGGAGCGCCCGTTACCTGCAATTAGAACATCACCTTCTTTAAATGAAAAGTTACGCAGCACAGTCGCAATACCGTGGGAGGTGTTATTCACGATGACGCACTCGTCAGTGTCGGCGCCAATGAGCTGGGAGATGCGCTCTCGCGCTCGGTCCACGAGGAGATGGGCTTTGTACCTTATAAAAACGTCCGGGTTAGACTCGATCTCTGTGGTCCAGCTGTCGCAGGCCACTCGGACGGGAAGGGGAAGTGAACCGTAGGAACCTGGTATCGTCACCAGGAAGCCTGCAAAACAGAAAAGGGAGCCTACCGTTGTTTAGATTGACATATTTTGGATCAAACCCGAACAACTTGAGCATCTCATGGCCAAATGCTGGTGGAGGTGTCTTGTATAGCTCCTCAAGGTCGACTGCAGCCGGGATTGGCACGAGCGGGACGGCGGATTGAGATGAAGGAGGCATGGCCACAGGCGTGGCACGGAGAGCGAGGGACCATCAAAGTCGTAGTGACTCAACAACTGGTCGTTCCCTTATCTTATCTACCTTTCACACACAAACCAGGTCGTGGCTTCTCACTGGGCAACGACCAAGAGTAGTACCACCAATTGGCGAGGAGACCCATATTCTTGTTAAATCTCGATCCAGCCTCAGCCTCAGCAGTCAAGGACTCGTAGGTGCGTTTTTGTAAATTCTATGTACATCGCGACCTGGAGGACCTCAGACTTCTCGTCGGCTGGTCGTATCGTGCGCTCATGTTCTCCCTAGACAACCCATGATGGTAGATGCTTTCTTCTACGGAACGTTATTGCACCCCAAGATATTGCAGCGGGTGATCGGCAATGATGGTTCGCACCTCCAAATTTGTCCTGCGGTGATAAAGGTCAGTGGAGCGATGTCCCTCCTACGCAGAGAATCAATGATTGTGTAAGGACTTTACTCGGCATCAGATCACAGTAAGGCCGTTGTCTCTTGCGTCATTCTGCCGCATTGGATAGCTAAGATGAAAAAACGTCATTGCCATCAGGGCGCTGACTACCCTGCGATCGTTCCTTATTCGCTGAGCCGGTCTCTGTTCGATCGTGACCTCGAAGCGGACGAAAGGAGCGTCAGGGGATCATTGGTTTCAGGTTTAACGAATGAGGACGTCAGACTACTGGATGACTTTGAAGGGGATGTATGTATCAAAAATCACGGCGTGAGTTCTCGCCAACATGACTTATTGTGAGTGCTTAGGAATACACTCGGGAAGTGGTGGTTGGATACCCACTCGGGCCACTCGTTAGTCTGCACGACGTGCCGCCCGTCGATGCAATGGAGTCACTCGTAATGGCTGCTGCCGCATCGCAAGCCTTGGAGCCGGGGAGAGGCGTGCATACGTACGTTTGGTGCAAGTCGACATCAGAACTTCGACCCGATTTCTGGACTTTTGAAGATTTTGTCAGGCAGAATGCTTGGAAGTGGATAGGCCCAGGGTCGGAAGGAAATACGGATTATGCGGAGGTGGACAGGCGGCGAGCAATGGAAGGAACCATTGTACGGTCATAAAGTCAACTCGCCATACTACTAGACTAGCTGTTAGTTGTATCCTGTACCCAAGCAAGTTCACTGCTATCCCAACACGCCGACCCAACGCCGACGCCACTTCCACCGTCCTCTGCCCCTGCCAGTTCACACGTTCCTTATGCAGCCTGCTCTGCCAGTCCAACACGTTCCCAGTTTCCTCTGGCAGTCTGGCAAGCCACTTAGCCAGTGACCATGATGACCACGAACACCCAGGAAACCCAGCGATCCCTCGTCGCAGGCTCCGTCATCATTTTTTTTCTCCTCTTTATATTTATCACCGGTGTATCCGATGAACTGAAGCATCGTCGGACGAATTTCCTCGGCGAGAAGCAAACAGATCGTATGTTCTCCTAGTCACTGTGTTTTTAACCTCCTCTGATCGTATCACCGGCTTCCAGTCGATACAAGTTTTCCGGACTTTTCCCAATACAAACTTGCTCGAACTCTAAGTAAAGAAGAGTTCCCTATTCGTACGTTATCGATTATCCCCATGTGCCGTTTCGGCACAGGGTCTTACTGGACCTAATAACTCATGAGCGCCTAGATGGCAAGCGTGACCGCATCATCACAGTTGGGGATATCCATGGAAGGAATGACTCTCTAGGGTAAGATTGTTGCACCGCTCTCCAAGGAGGCAATCCGTCACTTACCAGACATGACACCATGTAGTGCCCTGCTCGAAAAACTCTCGTATGAACCTCGATCTGACACTTTGATTCATGTCGGCGATATCGTAACCAGGGGGGGCGTCAGCGGTTCCGTTGCAGTCCTCTCCTTTATGTCCTCCAATAACATAACCGGCGTCAGAGGTAACAACGATCAAACAGTCATCGAATGGAGGGCATGGAGAGACTGGATACAGTCTCTCCCTGGTGGGCGAGAATGGCTCGATAAAATCGACAGCGAGCACCCCATAGGTGACGATGATGGCGATGACGACGACGATGACGACGATGACGACGAGCTGCATGTAGCGTTCTGGTCTGTCCTCTCCAACAAAGAATGGGAGGACAAAGTGCCGAAGGGGTGGAAGCTTTTCCAAAGGCATTACAACGTTGCCAGAGCCATGTCCCAGGAACACTACGACTACCTGCGCTCCTTGCCAATCGTCATTCACGCGCCAGCCGGCCATACATACTTCGTCCATGCTGGGATGCTTGCTGCAGATCCGAAACGCGAACTCAAGCACCCTAAACAACCTTTGTCTCATTGGCCGGCCACACGCACTTCGAAGCCGAAGGAGGCGCTCCTTCGTAGTTTGCAAGAGGTTGCACTATTGAACGACGTTCCGCAGAACAAAGATCCGTGGGTATTGATGAACATGCGGAGCGTCGCGGATGACGGGTCGGTAGCGAAGGGAAGGAAGGGAACTCCTTGGCCCGAACTGTGGAACGACGTAATGGACCGGTGCGAAGGTATCGTTGCTGATAAACTGTCCACTACAGGACTACAGTTCGCTATATCGACTGAAGAGGGTGATGTGAAGCCGTCTCCATTACCTTGCTTTCCATCTATGATAGTCTATGGTCATATTGCAGCCCGCGGCCTCGACGTGAGAAGATGGTCAGTTGGCCTGGACTCTGGTTGTGTAAGTGATAAACCACGTGTGGCCCTCACTTTCATTCATCTGGTACCCAGGTGTATCATCGCAGACTTTCAGCTCTTGTTCTCGATAAAGCATCGTTTCTAGTGCGATACGAGGATGTTTATTTAGAAGATGCTACGCGTCCCAGCGACGAGCATTCACCATCCCTTCAGTACGGAGATGATGGAAGAGCACGCATCGTCAGTGTAGAGTGTTGACGTTGGGCCTCCTTTCAAACCCGGGTGATACTTTATTTTCTTTATCCTATCTTTATATCAATACAGGCTAGGAAACGACACATCACATTCGACGACACGTATTTTACATATCGAGCTTTGTTATTGCATACGGAGAAGCATGGTAGGTCAAGCGATGAACATAATGTTAGTATCCTGTGGACAATGCGTGTGGAATGAGCACGGTTCGCAGTACTCGTTGCGCCCGTAAGGAGACGCACCATAGGATGAGAGCAGGATAGCTAACCTCAGTTATCAGACATGGAACCCAAGAATAGGCAGCTGTCTGACGTACCTGCGGTTTTTGTCCATACCTACCGTTGCGAAGGATATCTCTGGCAGCATGTCAAATACAGTACGAAAAAAACATTGGTCCCCGTTCTCACCTGATGGATACGAGTAACTGTTGATAACTCTGCCGCGGGTTTCTCTCTACGGTGATAATTAATGATCAAGTGTGAGCGACACGTGTTGATGGATGATGAACGTACTGAGCGCCTGGACAAAGGCCTGCATGACGAATGGCAGCGTGAGAAGTGACGTTGTGAACGTTTGGACTAAGAGGAGTACGAGTCAAAACATACAAAGCTCATAGCACCTGTGGCTCTGTTCGCCACCTGCGTGTCCGCACTGGTCTGAGAGTCCTTGCATCCGCTGAATGAGATCTGTAACGTTACAGTTTTCAGCATTGTCCCTGGAACCCGCAAAGAGGGCCGTAGTAACGCACGCAATCGGCCGGGCTTGTCTTGGTCGCCCTCGCATACTGCTCGGCTTTCTGAGAGCTCCCCGATGCAGTCTTGATCAGGCCAGTGACGGACCGGAATACGCCACCAATATCACCGCGTGCGTAGGAAGTCACAGCAGACATTACACCCATGCCGGCTTCCGCAGCAATGTTTGGTTCCTTGATTTTACCTTCTGTGCTGTACTGAAGATGCAAGAGAATTAAGATTCGACAACATGTGGCAAGGGTCTGGATTAAGGAGCTCACCACATAAGGAAGATCTGGTGCAGTACATAGGTCAGCTGCATCTACTTGAAACACGAAGGAAATTGGTACCCGAGAGCCGACCCCGAGTGACAGGACTGAGTGGAGGTGAACCATCACATAGGCAAAGATAACAACGCATGGAAACGTACATCAAAAATGGCGGTGATTCGACAACCGGGTGGTAGAGGCCGAACCATGATGTCGTGCATGAGCTGAGAGGTAGCCGTTGTAAGAGAGACGGTAGATATAAATGCACGACATACGTCATCTACGATGTGGCCAGCAGCTTGATGGTCGACTGGATATATAACTTTGCGAGCGGGGATCGTTGTACATATTAGTAGTAGAAGATCGCAATTGACACCCACCTTCATCGTATCCATCTGCCTCATCCCCGTCAAGGTCCTTGGTCTGGCCGCCATGACCAGAATCTTATAACCGCTTGATCAATAATTAACAAACCGTTGGAACCGTCGCACTTACAATGGAAGAAGAACGAGTCATTTGGCTGTGCATCGCGAACAAGCCATTGCATGTGTTCCAGCTAGAGACAACCCGTCTTAATAGTACCCCATAGCTATGCGTTGTGCGTAACTCACTATATTACGCCTAGTTGGCCACCGGCTAGGGTCACGCGAGTCGTCTGTCAGTAGCCTTATGTTCTCTTCCCTATAACCAAAATGGCCTGCGTACACGCCATCAGGGTTGGTCGACCGTAGTATTTACGCGGACTTACTCATGAGGAATGCCTTTAAATTGTTTGCGTCGTTGATGCAGCCATTCAGTTGTCCGGACTGGTTGATGTAGTTGATACCGATCTGAATTTATAAGGGGGGTTACGCAAAGCATCAATGATATAAAACCAGTCGGGACACACGCAAAGCGCTCTCTTTTTCCCCGTGCACTGCGAATATTGGAAGAATGGTTGTTGTGTTTGCTGATTTGGGCCTTGCATCGGGGGTCCGTAGTATTGCTGCTGCGCAGGGGGCATCGGAGGCCCGCCTGTTACTATATTAGCGTAGACTCTAGCATAGAGGCGGCAACAGACTTTGGGAACCATAGCTAGGATTGCCGTTGGTACGTCAGTGGGAGGAGGGATGGCAGTGAGAAGTTCCGCACCGTTGAGGATGACCAGGTGTGGGGTTGTACGTGGGAGGGCCATAAGCACCCGGTGGTGCTCCTGCGGGACCAGGCGGCGGACGATAGTTATCTGGAGGACCCGGAGGCTGCGGATAGTATCCTGGCGGGCCGGGAGGCAGTGGATAGTTTCCCGGAGGACCTGGCGGTGGAGGATAGTTTCCTGGGAGCGCTGGGGAGGGATAAGTCCCTGGAGGGCCAGGGGACACTGGATAATTTCCCGGATGTGGAGGCGCATAACCGCCGGTGGGCTGACCAGGATACGCGTTCCAAATATGTTGCTGATTACCGGGATGATTGTCTCTCGATACAGGGGGCGGTCCACTGAAATTGATTGAATTTGAGAGACGAAGGTCGGAAAACAGGATCAGGAATGCAGATAACACTAACCCTCTGGGCATCGGGCCAGATTGGCCGCCTGCATTCGGAAAAGGCTGGGGCTGGGATTGCACTTGACCATAGGGAGGTGGACCGGGATAGGGAGCATAATTCCCGCTGGTGAGGCTATTGTTTGAGGACAGGGAACGGTATACACTAATACTACAAACGCCACTCACGGATTGGGATAACTTTCGATCCCGATGCCCTCAAATCAGTGGTTTCAGCTATCACTGATCACGATAACTACTCACGACGGTGACCCGCCCTGGCGGTTACCTGGCCACATTTCTGTGCGACCTGCTGACTGAGTCTGGCTAATGAGTTAGGCACGAAGAGATGAACGGTTGGACTGAGGACCAGCAGATCGATGTGCTGTCTTTACCCCAAGTGCCAAAAAGGCGCTCCGCATGTCGCTCTGCAGCATAGCATCCGGAGCACTCCGTGCCTGTACCTTTGGACACGGAAGCTTGAAGCTTGAAGGTACCAGTGGTGCGTAGTTAGGCTGGAATTGTTACGACTGTCACTTCGCATTATTGACTCTGATGCTATTTCACCCGCACTCGCAGTACTCTGACATATCTCGTGCCTATCTTCAAGTGGTCCACATATTTCGTGCCTCTGGTTCACGTTGAACGTTGATGCAGTCAGTCAGGATACGTGACGATTACCTGTAATGGATGTTAGTGCAGATTTCATTGCGATCATTCCAAAAAAGGATATTTTATACTCAATATCATGCATCTTCAACCTGATTCTCAGATCAAACATAGACATAATCTAGCGAAAATAAATCATCCGAATCGCCTCGCGCTCATCGCTTATAATGCGGCACCATCTGGCGTGGCAGTACCTGCCACGACTACTCTACATATTTACCTTGTGACCCCATCAAAGTCAACGTGGACCATCTGACTTGTGCCACATCTGTGGGTAGAAGGAAGGGTACGGAACGGGCACTCGAGAAGATAGGCGGAATGCCGCTAGCCTAGACTGTCTGGCATTGCCACAGTTTTAAAACAACGTTCTCTATCTTTGGAGGTTGGGTGAACCGATTTCGACCCGTACACCAATGTGCAAGACGCAACGGCGACGTCAACGTGGATTGTTTTACCCTCGGTGTTTGTCGACCCGTCCTGATCTCCAATATTGCATGCACCCCACAGAAATTTATTTCATTTGAGCTCATCAATCTGGGAAAAACTTAGATCCGCGTATGTATGATATCAACCTGATCTGGCTGGTTTGGGAAAGAGCCTGCATAACCGGCTCGCGTATAAAAAGCGCGTTCAGCCCGCACCCCGCCCTTCTGTTTGTGCTTGTCCCCCTACCTTCATTCCTAGAACCATGGCAGGAGGCGCAGACTTCGCTTTGGACCAGCGCAGAGCCAAGCTCGCTGGAAAATCCGGTTGGGTCAGTACGATCATCCTACGCGTTCAACATCCCCCCTAATGGTTCACCTCCCAGGCTGGTCTTGTTCATAATCGAAGAATCTTCTTTATCGCCGTTTTCGCCTCTCTTGGTGGACTGTGCGTGTGTGCATTCCTATGCCTTCTCCCAAACTAACCCAGAAGAACTAGCCTCTATGGTCGTTATCCCCTTTCCTGTCACTTTTTAGTCTGACCTCACACAACCACTCTCTCCTATAGGTTATAACCAGGTATGCTGCATGTTTCCGTATATTGACCTCCTATGTGCTCACTATCATCGCGACCAGGGTGTCTTCTCAGGTGTGCTAAGGTTGGTCACAGCTAATCTACGCTGTCCGTGACGCTCACACCGCGTCAGTATGAAGTCATTTGACGATCGGATGGCTTCTGCTGTCGACAATACTGGCACTAAGGGATGGTTGGTTGCTATCCTTGAATTGGGTGCATGGTTCGGTGTTCTCTGCACGGGTTATCTCGCGGACAAGCTTTCTCGCAAATACACAATCGTGCTCGGTGGGTTGTTTAGATTCCAATGTCCGTTCTAATCCTTACGATCCATGTAGCTGTAATCATCTTTTGCGTCGGCGTGGTTGTTCAGACTGCTGCATTCCACCCCTCTTCGATTTACGGAGGTGAGTACCCATCCCATCATCCTTGTCGTCATCTCAACACGTCATGTCAGGGCGGTTCGTCACGGGTTTAGGTGTTGGATCGCTCAGCATGGCAGTCCCGCTTTACAAGTGAGTTGTATTCATTTTATCGTATCTCATTATGTAACTCTCTCGTTGTCAGCGCCGAACTTGCGCCCCCCGAAGTCCGAGGCAGTCTTGTTGCCCTTCAACAACTTGCCATCACTTTCGGCATCATGGTGTCCTTTTGGATTGATTACGGTACAAATTACATCGGAGGGAAGAACCAAAGCGAAGCTGCATGGCGGATCCCCCTCGCACTTCAACTTGTCCCCGCTCTTGTCCTCGGGGCTGGTATCCTATTCATGCCCTTTTCTCCCAGGTGCGCTGTCCCCAGACATGCATGCCCGACCGTTACAGTAGTGTTGATATCGTGGCATCAGATGGCTTGTCAATCAGGGAAGGGACGACGAGGCGCTGGCAGTCTTGAGCAGGGCTCGTCGCCTTCCACCAGACTCTGATCTCGTCCAAATCGAGTTCTTGTGGGTAGTTTGCTCTCTTCGGTGACTGCCCCTGACATATACGGCACAGGGAAATCAAGGCTCAATATCTCTTTGAAAAGGAGAGCAACGCTCTCAGATTCCCTCAGTACCAGGATGGAACGACCCGCTCTAACTTCCTTCTTGGATTAAATGCTTATTTGAGTTTGATCCGAACTCGCACCCTGCTCTACAGGGTCGTCATCGGCTCAGCGTAAGTCCATATCGTTCCAGATCATTGCATGTGATTCCATTCCTTCGAAAGAACGATGTTTTTCCAGCAGTGGACGGGCGTAAACGCTATATTGTACTATGCTCCTAGCATATTCACGGACCTTGGTTTGACCGGCAATGCCACGAACCTCCTTGCAACAGGTGTAGTGGGTATCGTGTAAGTGTAGCAACCATGGCGGTCACCGTGAAAACTAATCTTACTCTGGCTGATAGGATGTTCCTTGCCACTATCCCCGCTGTGCTCTACGTTGACAAAGTTGGCCGTAAACCTGTTCTCGTATCTGGCGCCTTCATCATGGCCGCGTAAGTTACCAGTTTGGAGGTGACGGCAAGCACTAAAATACCCCCACCATAGTTGCCACCTTGTCGTTGCCGTACTCACGGGATTATACCACAATTCATGGGGCTCGTAAGTCGTCGCATGTTCCCTGGATCCTCAGACCGTTGTTCTTAATCCTACCTCACAGTCATACAAGTACACACGAATGCTTCTTATATGGCCGGAGACTGACATTTGTTTTAAAGGTGCTGGTTGGGTCGCTTGCGTGTTCGTTTGGATCTTCTCCTGTCGGTAAGTGAGCTGGGCATGCATCACGGGACTTACTTACGCCTTGCCCGCAGCTTTCGGCTACAGTTGGGGACCCTGTTGTTGGATCCTTGTCGCCGAGATCTGGCCTCTGAGTATCCGTGGAAAAGGTCTTTCTATCGCCGCTTCCTCGAACTGGGTATACTTCTTGCCTATATCAGGTGGTAACGTTTCTTACTCATGCTTGTACGTGTGTGATAGATGAACAACTTCATTGTGGGCCAAGTTACGCCGTCTATGATGACCCACCTAGGCTTTGGCACTTTCGTCTTCTTCGGGGTAAGCTAGTGTTTGTCGACAAATATTACCCCAGCACGCTTACCGATTTCGGCAGTCTTTCTCTCTTTTGGGTGGACTCTTCGTCCTGCTATTTGTGAGTATTCGTGTTATCTCCTGCACCACGGCGTTTCTGATAACATGTAGGTTCCTGAGACAAAGGGGCTGACTCTGGAAGAGATGGACGCCGTGTTCGGCGACCGCGAGGGTCTCGGTGTTGCAGACCAAGAACGCCAGACGGAAATCGCCAACCGCATCGGTCTTAGCGCCTATGCCGAGGGTAGGGACAAAGGCAGTCCAGAGCGTTACGATGACGAGCCGAAGGTGTAAGCTCCCCGAGATGCAAGGTTGGTGAACTACGGGGGAGCTTCCCCTGTACTGGACCGTAGATGATGAATATAATGTCCTCTTGTGGGGCGGGCCGACCGAGTGGATTTAATAGTGTACACGTCTCTCAGTCAGACAAATGAAAATTTCAGCTTTCCTATTATTCCGAGCACTGAGTCTGAGATTGGTTGAGTCCGCAGGAGCAAGTGTCTGCTGCTGGGAGTCAGGTCAGCCGACCATGTAGTGACTGAACGCACTGGACCTGGCTACCAGCACATCATCAGCAGTCAGTCTTACAACTTCATACCTGAAGCAGATTTCAACCCCCAAACCCGCGTCCGCCTACTGAACTAATACGCAACATGACGACCGAGTTCGTGGTAAATACCCCTGTCCTTGGTCTCTATATGCGTCCACCTAACCACCTCAAACAGATTAAGAGAAGGAGGAAGAGGCTACAGATGGACTTTGGATTGGACTCCCGAGCTCAGGGCCCGGTAACAGTCGCTGGCCTGCCCCAGCCGACAGTCGACGTCGAAGCGGTCTGCCAGCCTCTGACCATGAACATGGTACCAGACATCACCGTTTTACCTCAGCTTACATCGCCAATGCCAGACTTGCAATCAGACCACGCGGATCTCACTGTCGAAGGCTTCTTGCGCAGATCAGCCCAGAAAACGTGTTCAAGTCAGAAGAAGAAAGCCAAGCTTACAATAATCCAGCTCGATAAGAAGACTTCTGGGCCGAACCGGACCACATACAAAGCCAAGAGAGGACGTAAAGTGAAGCTACCAGCGCGGACGAAGGCGAAGGTCGCTGTCCGCGGGACTAAGCCACGAAGGAAAACACGCCTGGCAGAGGCTTTATCGCGAGCTGCCATCTTGACTCATGGAGATCCATCAGAGGCTATACAAGACTCCAGCTCGCTCCGAAGAAACTGTCGCCCATTAGCTTTCGTGACCATGAACAAGTTCTGCAGTCCGCAACGGAGGGCAACAGAGGATGACGATACTATCCTCGACCCGGATTCCAAAAACGAAGATGGCGGCCCACCAGCTAACACCTGTCGTGAGCCACGGAAAGGTGTACGTCTGTGCAGACCTCGCGTACATAAATCCAGTCGTTTGGAAAGGCCTCGCGATGGACACCCGCCTTTAGTTTTGGTCCCCGTCAGAGAAGCCGAAGCTGCGTACTCCGCGTTGTTCTCGTAAGTGTAGACACGTGTTAGCTTGTGAACTTCATCGTTGTTGTTATTGTGGTTATTGCAGGCGTTCACGCGTGTCGAGGGCATGCGACAAAGCTCCGTTGCCAAATACCAGGCAAAAAACTAATAAGCCGATAAAATCAGCCGACCCAATGCGTGGAGAGCCCATAATGCCAAGCGTGTTGCCAAAGCCGCCTGTGTCAGCTTCCAGCTTTCTGGACCCTCTGCAGGGGTTTACTGCTGGCTGGGCTACACACGAAGACGACCATTCAAAGTCGGGAAAACCACTGAAGACTTTCTCCAGCTTCTTGGCCTCCTTTGTGGAGAGGGCCCGATCGGTGACCCATCAAATCAATTCATGTCCTCGCGAATAGCTTCTTGGTGTTTGAATACTTTATGTTTCCAAAGCGTGTCTGCTGTGGCGGTGTCAGAGGTTACGCTTAGTCACCAAATACTCGCAGTGCTTGTGACCATCACCATTGTACTAGTAATACGGTTCAGCTTAGTTGCGTATCACAGGTATTCTATTCGCCATGCAAGCCTATCTCGCAGAGAAATACATGTCAGGCCCAAAAGCAGAGGCTATCCTTTCCCGCGCAGGGCCCAAGAAAACGAAGAAGAAACGCAAAGTTGACTCGAATGGTCCGTCCATGTTCATTGACGAGGACACCGGTTTTGGAGACGAACGGTCCCAACGAGAACGAGAAGAAGCATTGGACATCGCCGAAGCGGTAGTAGCAAGTGACGGGAGCTTTAAAAAGCGGCAAAGCAATCAAGATTCGAATTGGACAACAGTACGGGAGGGCGAAAGGGAGGAAAGCCCCCCAGTTCCAGCAGACGAACAACCCCTTGTCGTGTCGGAGGATACTTCGCAGCCTTTCAAAGGTGGCCTACTAACTTCGGATCAACTACGACGTGCCCTACCAAAGTCTAACGTTAAGATGGAGGAAATGTCCAAGGAAGACATGGAGGCAGCTCAAGAGACGGTGTATCGTGACGCATCGGGTAGGAAGATCGATATGAAAGTCGCCCGTGCGGAGGCCGCAAGAAAGAAGAGGGAAAAAGAGGAGAAGGAGTCTCAAAAGATGGAATGGGGAAAAGGCTTGGTACAACGAGAGGAAGAAGAAAAACGGAGATTACAACTGGAGAAGAACAAATCCTTACCGTTCTCTCGATATGCAGACGATAAAGAGCTAAACGAGGAGCGCATGGCGGAACAACGATGGAACGACCCTGCCGCAGCATTCCTCATGGTAAGTTCCTTACGAGTGTCACATCACGACCTCCTAACACGAGTGGTTGCAGAGAAAGAAGACTAAAGGTCCCCGTAAACCAGAATATACTGGGCCACCTCCGCCTCCTAACCGTTTTGGAATCAAACCTGGATATAGATGGGATGGCGTAGGTGCGTTTTTTTTTTTGGGCATTATCGGCGTGGCGTTCCGATAATGACGCTCATTCGCTTGACAGACCGCAGCAATGGTTTCGAGAGGAAGTTGTTCCAGCGGCAAAATGAAAGACAACGGGTGGCGACGGCAAGCTATGAATGGAGTGTTGATGATATGTAACGTATTGCACAGGCCAGTTGCCGCGAGCGAGTTGGGTCGTCCATGCATCCCTTGCTGTATCCAAATTAACGTGGGTCGTCAGATAAGGTTGGCGATTGTTCGCGCGCTGCTTCATCCCGTGACCTTGGCTTCTTCCACGAGCATGTTGTCCCTGAGTGGTTTGCCTGTCTCATGAGACTTCTCTTCATACGCGAAACCACAGAGACGCCGCAACAAGTTTTATGGTCGTTTTCCGCCAAGACAAGACTGGGCATGGGATTATAGCGCAGGCATATACATGGCAACATAGGCCGTGGTGAGCTGTAGTACATCAAGACCATCTCCGGGGATCGACAAACGTACAATGGCATAGTCAGGAACGAAAGCAGTAGATAAAAAAGAAATGTCACCAAACAAATTTAGAAAACATGGTTGTATCTCGCATCTAGTATTCGTAGACGTCTGTGGACTCGACTTCAGTCGGCTCAATGCGACGTGGTTCACCCTGTCCAAACTCGTGTTTTCGGCGATCGACGCGTACAGTTCTCATGTTTGGGTAGGTCAAGATTAGACGGGAATTGTCCATCGTTGCACGAACCTCCTCGAACTAAAAAGTAAATGAGGGCACAGTATCAAGCAGACGTGTGTAACTTACCTTCGTTCCCTGGGGTACTGGTATAGTCCGCGTATATATTTTTTCCTTCCGTTCCCTTACAAGCCGCCCATCCTCTTCAGTTTCCGTGATCGTAACGGTTGTCCACTCAACCGTCATGTGATCTGAGCGGAAGTTGATATGTATATGGTGTTTCTTCACACCGGGTAAATCGAATATGGCCGTTTTCTGTGCGAAAGGGGGGTAAGACAAGCGAGTCTGGGAGCGCTGAGTACGTACAGTACGGCCGTCGTGGGATTCACGGTAGGAAACACTATGGAATGGGAGGAACCGGTGAGCATGCCATCGTGGTGTTTGTACTCGACAGCAAAAAATCCGACTAACATGGACTTTTTCCTCTTTAGCTGGGGGGGTGTAACCTTCCTCTGCATTGCGCTCTGATCTGGGGGTGAACGGGAGACGCCACTGGGGGCGGCAGTCGCCGTCTCGAGAGACTTCACCTTCGTAGGACGTTTGGCTTCTTGACGCTCCTTCCTTCTTCGTATTTGATCCCAGAGCTGATCAAGTGAAGGATGGTTATCCTGTTCGTCCCCGTTCACAGGCGTCATCTTATGGTGAACTGTGAGATCGGACTCAGCAACAGGATAACAAGAGTTTTGTTGTTTGAATGATGTGGACTGACCAGAGAAATCGATTTTGGCATCGTGAGCTCCATTATGCCGTTGGCCTCTGTACCATTCAGCCATGATGATGAGGTATCAAGGCGAACTTAACAGGTAGCGCTGGACCACAACGTCGGAGGTGGCAGTTCACCCGGTCACCGCAGAATGGAGGGAAGTTGATGGAAACAGGGACGGACTAGTTATTAGCGGCAGGTGCCCCAGATCATTATCAGAGACAAGAACTGAGAAGCCTGGCATAAGACACGAGGCTGCTAAAAGCAGCGGATACAGAGCTGACATGAGATCGTGCCAGTTGTTACTTCATCGGCGGAATAGACCATCGTTGGAGTATTCCGAGCATGCCTACAGCAACTCAGCATTGACGGGCTACTAGAGGCATTTTCCCCGCATCATGTCAGACATACGATACAGAATACAGCACTTTACGAGATTGGCAGATGCACGACACGTTTGGGATGATGGTGACTGGAGTGAATGAGGTTGCCTCGTGGTGGCCTGCGGGCGTGCACACGAGAGCGTAACCGGCGATCTGGCAACAACGTTTTCATTACAAAATCTTGGAACCTGTGTGGTCAGCTGCTCTCCAACATCTTGACTCACTGACCACAATATACATCGAATTTCTGCGAAAAGGCAAGTTCTGAACACTTCCAAGCCCAACTAGACGTGAATTGGTGTAACATGTTTGTGATCTGGGAGTCCCCCAAGGGGATGGCAGACGTCAACTTGACTACTGTTTCGCTCCTTATTACTATCCTTACTTTACTGTGGAGGTGTCTCTAATTAGTGCCTCTTAACAGTCCCTACCATATTCAAGTTATTTGCAAGAGCTGACCAGCGTGAAGCACTTCTCCTGTGGACCACATGTACCAATAATTTAGCTGCCCGACAATATTTATCGTCGTGTCGACATGGGGTGCAAACCGGTACCGTCACTTTCACGGCGTATTATAAAACTACAAGCACTCGTGAGTTCGAGGAAGATGAAGATGCAACCACTTCAGGCCTTCTCCAAAGCAGCCAGCTCCGTTTTTAGTTTCTTTAATTCGACAACCGCGGCATCAATCACCTCCTTTGCTTCCTTTTTCTCCTTCAGCGAGCGCACATACTGCCCGTGCTCGAGGATCCTGGCTTCCAAAGCGAGGGCTTCCTCTGACTTCGGCCCGTTCTCTTTGACACCATTCACCCTCGCATTGTCCGCTGTTGCCTTCTTGGGCTTGCGCTTAGGTGCAGGAGCCTCCTGACTCACTCCCCCGCTGCCTTCGAACTTTCCCTTCCACACCGCCTCCATCTTCTCATCTATGGGTTTGAACAAATGGTCCGGTTTTCCGATGTGATGTCCGCCTAATATATCCGTGGAGAGCACTTCGGGAATGACACGCGCAGGTGCATTGAGCTGCTCCAAGATGGCTTCTGACGTACTGGGCATATACGGATATATCAATGCCGACAACACATAGATGAGATTCACAGCACGCGAAACAACTTGCGCGCAACGTTGAGGATTCTCCGCCAAAAACATCTTGTTGAGCCCTGCTGCTTGTAAGTATCCATTACCACGGTTTGAGACGAGCATGGCGATTTGTAAGCCAAGACGGATCTTGACACTCTCCAATGCATCGACATATTCTTTGAGAAGGGCGTTTACTTCATTGATAAACTCGCTGTCAAGGGGATCGTTTGGACTGAGGGGGCCAGGCTCGTCGCTGCTCTCAGGGATGATGCCGTTGTACTGTGACGATACGAATTTAAGAGCTCGGTTGACAAAGTTTCCGAAGCTGATGAGCTGGTGAGTACAGATAACTTTGACAAGGGTATTAGACCAACTTTTTTAGCAAAACGTTATTGTTTGCAGCAATCTGCGGCAAAAGAGCTTCAGACAAACGGGGGGAACGGAAGGCACCAAACATACGCAATCCGCCCAGGAAAACATGGCATCCTGGGTTTCCGGGCGTGTGGCAAGAAGATAATACCGCCAAACGGATGCCGGGATACCGGTCTCCTTTGCTTGGGGGCCGAATACACCGCGGTTCTTGCTTTTGGAGAACTTTCCACCTTCATAATTCAGATATTCTGCCGACAGGACGTGGATCAAATCACGTAAAAAGGTGGGCTATTGCGAAACCTACCTGTAGTTGAAACATGGTGAAGCATGGTCCAGTGTCCACCATCGGCTAGAAGCATGCCAGGGAAGTAGATGGTATGGAAATATACGTTGTCCTTGCCCATAAACTGGTATAGTTTGACGTTCTCTGGGTTATGCCACCATTGTCGCCATTCAGGGGTATAGTTGGCGGTTATGCTTGCGTAGCCATTCACGGCATCAAACTGAGGAATGAGTAAAGGTGGCCAAAAGCACATGTGTCATGGACTAACCCAGACATCTTGAAACGAGAATCAAAATCACTACGTAGTAATGCGGAAGGCGTAGAGACTTACAGAGAACCTTGCCGTCCATCTCTTTGTCATCCTCGCGACCTAGGGGAGGGATGGGCACACCCCATGTGAGGTCTCGTGTAACTGGTGTCGGACGCAAACCGGTCTTGACTCGTGCATCGACGATCTCTCCTTCCGTATTAATCGTCGCATTTGGTGACCATTTCCCTTCTTTATACGATTCCTTGATCCACTCTTCTAGTCGAGGTTGGATGGTATCAAGCTTGAAATACATGTGAGACGAGGAACGTGTCACGACCTTGTGAGACTTGTCAAGCAAGCAACGTGGTTCTATAAGGTCAATAGCATCGAGTGTGCGACTGCAGCCGTCGCACTGATCCCCTCTAGCATCCTACTTACTGTCAGATATGCAAAGAAGGTGGATTGCCGTCGTACTTACAGGAAAACCACAGTGGGGACATATTCCCTCTACATATCGGTCGGCCAAGAACCTGGATCACTGTCTGGTAAAGAAAGGGGAGATAAAACCGCACCACTTACTTGGCACAGCCATCGCAGTATGTCTGATCTTTAACTTGTTTCTCTAGATAATCGTTCTTCCCAAGGTTGAGGTATACTGATTGGCAAATTCTCGGGGTATGTCACGCGAGAGTACTAATGGTCGTTTCGAAAGTTACTTACTCAGTGTGGTAAGGGGTAGAGGTCCGTCCGAAGAGGTCGAAACTATGCACGCGATCAGTGTCCGGAGAGAGCCCGCCGCAAGACGACAAACCCAATGTCAAACCACTCGTATGTTTCTTTATGTACAGCATGATATTTATCACAAAGTTCCCTTGGGGTGACGCCTTCTTTGAGAGCCGCGGTTTCCGATGCAGTGCCGTACTCGTCAGTGCCACAGATGTAAAGTGTTCTGCGATTTCGCGCTCCTAAATGGCTCGCGTCAGATGCGCCTGTTATCGGCCAATGAGCAATTGAAACGTACTGTTGTACCTGTAATACAAAGAGATGTTATCATTAAAATACCGAAAGAAGGCGAAGTCAAAGGTGGCGACATACCGGCTGAAGACATCGGCACTGAGTACACTACCGATGATGTTTCCTCGAGGAAGCGTTAATGAAGGTAGATCGCAAAGCCAGTGACGTACCTAGGTGAGGCACATTGTTGCAGTAAGGTAAGGCGGATGTGATCAGGATGTTTGTTTCCCCATCCTTTGGTAATCTAAACGAGCCGCGTGTCAGTGAACTGCCCCGCCAGTCGGGTGACGAGAAGCCGCACACAGCAGATTGGCCGGGGTCAGGGATCAGTCGGGAGATGTTTTCTCTCACATTCCTCGTCATGATGGAATCTGGAAGGTCGTCTTATGAGTGAAACAGGACCATCTACCATCTACCAATAGTTTTCCCCGCCGGGTGACTCGATCTTGGCAGATATGGACGTATTACCTAATCACCCCACTACCTCATTGATACAACGACTATGATGATAGCACTGTTCTGGACTGCCATGCCAGGGAGGAGCGGTGGCTCTAAGATTAGTCTGCTCAAGATGGCCGCTGTCGAATTTCCCTCTTTTTAGTCAAGTAGGTGCGTGGGCAGCGTGTCCCCTCGTGTCCCCAATTTATAAAATCGTGTGATCGTTTTTTTGGCACGGCTCTGCACCCACACTTGCGTCACTCCTTGTCTCCTGTTTCTGAACGACTTCGTTGAACAATGTCGTTGGACAGGATCATTACTGACCCCATCATATCTACGGAGAACACCGCATTCAACTCTCCCGCCGACTCTAGACCACCAGCCGAGAATATCTTTGACCGACCCGCCGCTTCGGAGCAGACCTTGCCCACGGAGCGGGACCACTTGGTCGCTCCCAAGAAAGTAAAGAAACCGTTCTACCGTGCCAGACCTTTATGGTGTGTTTTCTCCTAACGTTTCGTGTTGCCTTGATCGTCATTGTTGTCTACAAGGCTCGTCCCGTTCGCTCTAGCTACGTCACTCACGGTAGAATTATCGTCTCCTATCTTGTCGCAGTTATGCCGACTCATTCTGTTCGTATAGCGTGGGATGACGCTGGCGTCACGCGTGGAGGTGTTCACTGAACTTTCATGCAACCAGCTACATGATCCTTACAAACATGCGTCCGTCCCCGTCGACGGGTTCATGTTAGGCCTTCGTTCTACCGACCATCTACCTGAGGCACAGGCACAACCTTCCATTCCTTTGTTCTTCCCATCCTCATCTACAACGTCGCTCTTCAAAGAGTCCGAAGGTGATGGCGTGAACGAGGGGGATGATCCACGGGTCATACCTGGCAACAAGTGTGTTTCGGATCCTGCTGTGCAGGCCAGGGCAGCCCGACTGCAGACTATCATGACAACCATCATGGGCGCACTTTCAGCTCTCACCACCGGCTGGTGGGGTCAATTTGGGGAGCGATACGGCCGCACCCGTGTACTCGGGGTCACCGCTTTCAGCCTCTTCATGACGTAGGCTGGTTCTATGTTTGGGCATTTCTCTAAACCATTAACGGTTTGGTTCCTGCAGTGATCTCATATTTATTCTTGTTTCTACGCCAAATAGCCCCTTGGCTGGCCATTCTCACAAGCTCTTGGTCCTTGCGCCAGTCATAGAGGGCTTGCTTGGCGGATGGTCCGCTATGACAAGTGCTCAATCAGCCTATATCACCGACTGCACATCTTCGGGTTCTCGTGCAACAATCTTTGCACGTTTCAGTGGGGTGTTGTTTGTCGGACTTGCTCTTGGGCCGATCCTGGGAGCGTGGCTTATCAGGCACCCAGTCTATTTCTTGAGAGTCGGAACAAGTAAGTGCCCTGCGCAAATATCTCATCACTGGGTGTCATAGCTGTGGTTAGGCGACCATCCATTACAAAGTGTGAACTCTGTCTTCTGGGTGTCGATCACGTGTTCATTTGTCAACTTTCTTCTGGTATCCTTCGTCATCCCTGAATCTCTTTCGGCTTCCCGTCGGGCGTCAAACCGCAAGGGCAAAAGTCGCGCTGTGGAAACCTCCGAGGCTAACACCAACGATGGTCAGTACACATGGTATATTTCGACTAGAAACCCTGTAATGCTTTGTCTTTAGGCGAGGGAAATATCGCAACGGGCATTCTGAAAAACTTGCTGTCTCCACTTGCTGTCTTCCTCCCGTCCGATATCCCCGTTGCCGTTAGGGTTGCTGGCGAAGGGCAAGTTCGAATACGCCGACGCAAAGACTGGAGTCTTACCTTGCTCGCAATTGCTCTGGCGCTTAACATGCTCGCTTCTGGGCTCTTCCAGCTTAAGTACCTCTATGCAGAGCATGTATACGATTGGTCTGCGGAGCAGCTGAGCTACTACATCTCATTCCAGGGTGCTGTTCGTGCTTGTTATCTCCTTTTCCTCTTGCCTTGTAAGTTCTGCAATATCCAACTTCTCAAGACTTACAACTTCTTTAATAGTCCTTTTAGTCACTTTCAAGCCCGTTCGTTCTGCTGTCTCAGCGGCTGTACTTGCACAAGGTAAACAGAATGGAAAACCTGTCCCGACGATATCCCAGCTTTTTGCGGAGATGCGTTTTGATCTTGTGGTGTTGCGTTGCTCGATGATTGCCGAGTTCTGCTCGCATACAGCAGTCGTCTTTGCACCCCTTCCTTCGGGTGATCGTTCCTCTACATGGTGGTCGGAATTCTTTTTTGTCGGTGCCACATCTCTTGCATGTGCTGGTGCTGGTATCCTGCCTGCTGCCCAAAGCTTCGCGCTCAGTTCACTCCAAGGACGTGGTTTGGCTGAGAAAGAGGCAGCGCGCATTCGTGCAGGCTCAGATGGTGCTTTCAGTGACTGTGACGCGGTATCTGAGCCTGGTAAACTCCTTGGAGCTCTTGCTGTTTTGCAGGCAGTCGGGTCGACCATCCTTGGTGTACGGTTGTTTCTCTTTTCAGTTTGAATTTCCACTGACATCTGTCCAGCCCGTGCTCTTTGGCTTAGTTTACAGCGCCACGGTTGCTTCGTTCCCCAGAACTATCTTCGTGGTTGCTGCAGGGCTCATCCTGCTTTCTATTGTTCTCACGTTCTTCATTTCGGCATCTGGCTGTGTCGTTAAACGAAGGAAGACTACTACTGCACAGGACCCTGCTCACATTACTCCGTCGAAGATGGCCAGACGATGGTACGAAGAGGAGAACAGGGGCCGATCTCGTGTCAGCAAAGACCTGCGCGGTGGAGCTGCGAGCCCTTTCTATGGCGCAACTGACAATACCTTTGGAGTACCGTCGCACTACAGCGGGCCGGGTCAGGCCGGTCCATCTGGCTCCCGCTTGTAAGGGTGCGGGGGGCGAGGAACACGGATAGTAAGTTGACTACATTCCTAGACTATTAGCGAGCCTGCGTGTAATCCAGTGTAAATTATACTGACTGGTATGCACACTGACAACTTGTACTTCTAACAAATAACCTGTACTGTTCAATTTTATCGTGGATTGTGAATAAAAAACGCTCAGTTCGGGGGTACGACAGGAAACAAAACTACAGTAATCAAACAGTAATGCTCACAAAGATATCATCTCGAGCGAGATCCTCCGTAACCTGTGCTTGTCCTCATCGCACCGAGGTTCGAAGGACCCTCGCCTCTATCATCATAACTACTAAAGTTCGGCACTGGTCTACGTCTAGCGGTTGGGTAGAACGATCCCGTGCGTTCACGCTCCCAATCGTAAGCCCTAGGAGGCGATTGTCTATCATTCCACAAATGCTGGGCAAGAGCGCCCAGAGCTGCGCCAGTCCAGAACCCTGGGCGCCACTGTCCATCGCTAGAACTCGACGGGGGATCCTTGCTGTAAGGCGGAGGTGGGCTTGAAGGACTGAAGGGGAACGAACCGCCACCGCCACCGCTGCCTCCATGGGGGTACGAGGGAGGATTGACACGCCGCGTGTTACCGGTCGATGGGTAATGCCGACGTAGGCAGGAGCTGATGAAACTGTAGGCAAGTAATGCTAGGACTATCAACCAGACAACCATGAATACCATGCCAGACGCATCCAGATCTTGGAACATCGGTCAATCATCCGGGTGAGGTAACAAGAAAGGCTTTGCAGCGTACTTCGGAAGAAACGCGGTACACCGCCAAACGTGGACCCCGTGTTGTCGCGGAAAGCGTCGGGCAATTCAATGAGCTGATACTCCAATGAACACGATCCTACGGAACCATTACTTGCCGTCAGTGACTGGATATTGTCGACAAACTGGTGGTACTGAGGGTCAGTCAGACCGACTTACCCTTCATCACGTACGGGTCACCTGGACCACTCCATCCTTCACAAGATACCTCTACCTTGCCGAAACGTAAAGAAGACGGCAAGTCAGCTTCGCACTGTAATGGTGGATCTAACAGCGTAAGCTCGGCCCAGCACGAGGTTCACCGAGGCCGCTCACCTTCCAGTCAACTTCGACGCCGGACCCTCCGAGATTCGTACATCGCACGACTTCTGGTTGGTAAAGCTTGCAAGGCTTTCCGATGCAAACCAGCTGCGCTATTGGAGGTGTCCGCCTGGCTTTGGTCAATCCATCCCCATAGAACGTGAGAGCCGGAATTTTGTCGAGGGCTATTCGGGACATCGTCTATGTACAAAAAAACGCTCAGGGGCACGTTGCGTTGCTGGCAAGATGAACAGACGTGTCGACGATAGTCGCACACGACTAAACTTGCGACTGGTACTAGTAGAGCGGGAGCATATGCTATGTCGGTCTGCCACGTGTTCCTTCTACTTCTATGTACACGCCTTCACCATGACTAAGGGGCGAGTCTGTCAGGCGGGACAGCCAGGACATATTCCCCCACTGCAACCCCAACAACTAATTACACCAGTTCCCAGAGTCCGCAAAATGAGTGTAAGCACGCTCACTACCCCCTCCCCTAGAACGAAGCCACTCGCAATGACAATAAGCCGAATGTCCCGTCCACCTGTGCTGCACTTCCGCCGATGGTACCAGTACTCGATCAGTCCGCCAATCAACCGCGCGATGGAAAACGATGGTGTATTCAGGAAGCCGATTGCGAACGCAACTCCTGAGGGTATCCACTTGGCGTAAGGGTGGCCGCGGCGAATTGCCATGACTTTGATACCTGCATTAACTGCGAATAGCAGTGCGAAAACGAGCATGAATAAACCACTCCTAGCTGGCAGCTGGCCATCCCCTGTTGCATAGGACATCAGCGGATGCACATGATGCAAACGTGACACTAACGTAGCAAACGTGCTAGGTTCAACCAGACATATGCTGTGGGTGCTGGAAAAGAAGGCCCTGGAATCGTGTAGGCTCTTTGGTAGAGGTTGAAGGCGGTGGCGGAAACGATAATCGATAAAAAGGAACCAGTAAGCTGGCCGTAGAATTGTGCTCTTGGCGAGGCATGCAAGAGATGCCCGGTTTTCAGGTCTTGCATGAGGTCACCCGCCCTAAAGAATTGTGTCAGGGATAGAGCGATTCAAACAAGAGACGCGACGCACTGCTGAGCCCCTGCTTCGGCCACTCCGCCAGCTATAATGTTAGCGACAACATTACCAGGCTGTATCCAGGCAAAGAACAGTTGCGATATCTTTCCAAGACCACTGACGGGATTGAGATCAGTTTCTCCCAGTGCGCGGACACTGGTTGACATGTTAGTGTTGTAAACGTGTGGGTCATAATTGCATACCCTAATACACTCAGCAAACCACCCAGCACAAAGCCGACCAGCGTTGCCCACGTTTTGATGCCTTCTTCGCCGAATACAAACCATACCAACAGCGTCCCAAGCAATATACTCGCGACGAGACCGCTAACAACCCAACTCGCCGGCACCAGCCTCTCGGGAGTCTCGTCTTCCGCACCAGCCTCTTGAACCGGATCATTGGTATGTTTCAACGTCCGATACGAAGACAATAACTTCACAATGTATGACTGGCAGACTGGGAGAAGGGAAACGAGAGAGTCTGCACACATTATGGCGAGGGAGACCCAAAGGATCCAACCTCGTGCGCCGGTGGCCATATCGCCAACAGGTCCAGGTGCCCATGCCGCCCATTTGGAAAGGGGTGACAAGAGACCCCAACCTACCAGCATACCCTAACGGAGTTCCATTAGAAGTGTACCAAGGCCTTCAACTAAATAGCTTACCAAATTCATGCTCAATGTCGTCGGAAATCCCATGATGATTCCTAGAAAGAGTAAGGTGGAACGTAGAATGTAGAATGAAAATTGCAAACCCACCTTGACCAACATACGATAAACTTGGAGTAAGAGACCATAGCCACTCGCGAGCGAGGTATCGTCCGAACAAAGGTACAGCGAAGACAATCGGGAAGAAGAAGGCAGCGAGCTGTCGCATACAACGTGAAACCGCGTCCTTTCATAAGCCCAGAGATACCAACAGTCATCACACCTGACGCAAGAAAGCTATACGCGAGATCTTGCCATCCTTCCTGCTGGATTACCTCGCATTCATCGGGAGTTTCTATTCGTGTCGCAATTTCCTGGGTATCTCGATCAATTTCTCCGCTCTGATCACCCGTGGATTCTAGCGGGTCCTCTGTATCGAGAGCCCTGTAGCCGGCCCTGCGGCGCAGGGATGGGTTTGGTGGGGGCTGTTTATAAAGGACGGATATGAGTTGTGCCGTTGCAGTTCCCGAAGGGAATGCGAGCTCTTCTTCTATGATCTACGCGAACATGCGTCAACTGCGTGACAAACCTATTAAGGCTACATACCACTTGTTTTCTCAGTGGTGGCGACAAGAACACCCCGAAAAACGCGACAGAACATGACCAGCCAATGGCCGATATCCAGGAAAGATGAATGGGGGGACTACCGTCCTTCTCCTCCTCCAGTAAACCAAGTGCTGGTAAGACACCAACAAAACCTGCGGCCAATGGCATCTAACACCAGTTCAAGAGACGTTGTACTTATGAAGATTTACCGCACCGTTCCCGTGGCGACGGCAGTTGTCTGCACCACAATCAGCTCCTGAGGGGATAGTGGAGTTGGAAGCAGCTTTGAGATGAGAAAACCCAAAAGTGCAGATTGCAATGACATCCTAAGCAGAAGGGATGGTAAACGTCAACGGCGCTAGATGACGGGGTCGCAACTCACATACTAATCCATCCTGTTTGTAGTCCAAAATAGAGGTTGGTGAAGCAGAGTAAACACCCAATCAGAAGACCGACGGTCACTGCAGGCAGCTGAACAGACAGAGTTGGATGTGCAAGCCGCACACGCACACACACACGACACTTACCGTGAATTCTGGCTGGGAAGAGCGCCATTCGCCCCTCCTCTGAAGTAACCTCAATCATAAAAACACAGCTAAGTGGGAAACGGAATGGATCAGATACCAAGTCCCAAGCTCACCCATTCCACGCCGACCGCAACATCGTTGTAATGATTACTCAGCAAACAGCTCAAGGGGGAAAACAACACACGTTGCTGACTAAGCACCCCGAGCTCAGTCACCGAATCGCACAACCCCTCGTCTTTGCCATCGACGACGACGACGACGACGACAGACACGCGGGCAGACCAGTTCAGCTCATCGTCGACGATATCGGCGAAAACAAAGGCGGCTTTCGGTGTTCCTCGTCCTGGCGCTCCCATTTTGGGCCTTTTGAACCCACAGAGACGCTTCCCGATACGTCTAGTTGCTCCACTTGTCCCTCGTGGTCATGGATGGCGAGAATGTACAGTATCATCAACGTGATGTAGTTGAAGGACCGTCAACGATGATGCAGGATGCCCCGGTTATGTTTCTTCCTCCACCGCCTGGTACGTACATTATTGGAGCCACTACCGACACAAGGCCCCAGGTTAACAACTACTCATGGTGCAAAAGCCTACTCCCAACCCGAAACCTCCTTAGCAAGCACCCAGGATCTTCTAGCTCGGTTCCATCTACACGATGCTTATAATAAACACGTTCGCCCTCATACACCTACATCTTTGCAGCCATCTGCTGCCCCGCCTTCCGCGATATCTCCCAACGCCAACCCCCATGACCATCCACCAGAAAATGACGAGAAGAAGAAAAAGAACTCGTACCGTCACTTAATCAAGAACATTCCCGGAAAGCATTCAGTGAAAAAGGACGATTACTTGACCACTACCATGCAAGCACCACCCAAGCAACGAATCGCAATAGTAGAGTTTGATGCGAGAACGCAAAGAGAAGCCTTCACAATCAGCCCAGAGGGACTAAAAGGCGTTCGTACAATGGCTATGACGGTGTCATTAGCTAACAAGGGTCATAGTGGAACACAGGTGCATTGATTCTGGAATCGGCCCAAGCGAAGGAGGATCGGAAGAAGCGAGTAAGTTCCGTTTCCAGAATCTTACTGAGTTAGATGTGGGCGGAGATGACCGTTTACCCAGAAAGAGCTCAAGCGACTTGCTCGTGCTCAAGCTCAAGGCGTCGTACCCGGTGCTATATCTACTACACCTGGAGTAGTCCTACCGCCACAACCTGCTCCCCCAACCACGACAACTCCTTCAGCCCAGCAACCACCGGGCTCTTTGCCCCAAAAACCACGCATTCCGGCAGTGGCAATACCTCCGCCTGCTTCGCACCGGTCCGGTACAACATCAACTCCGACCAGCGCTACACCCCGTGCCGCTATACCATCCAGCGCGCCACCACAATGGGCCACAACCCCCGCAGTAAGAGGAAAGAAACGAGAGTTGGAAGATGGTACCGCGCAGCCAGTAATGGCGGCCACTGATATCACCAGTCCGAGTGTGCCACTTGGTACTGTTGGTGCTCGTCCCGGCAGTGGTACCGCACGGCCCCGCCCTATCAAGAAACAACGTACAGTAAGTATTCCCAAGCGATTGAAACTCTGCTCCTTACTTCTTGCAACACTTTTTGGCAACACGGTAGTTGACACTCTCACAGGACATACAAGGCCACGCAAGGGAGTTGCTCGTCCAGCAGCCTACACCCCAGCCCACATGACAAAAGAGAAGCCAATATTCATTTCTATTTGAAGGACTTCGGGACATGAGCTAGACAAGTCAGACACCTGACCCGATCACTACAGCCCTCACGAGAGTGCTGTGTACATCGCCAGCCTGCGCAATCCATTGCAAGATTTCTTGCACCACTGTTACCGATATTCTGGACACCTAACTGGTGGTATGTAATTGTGCAGTGGTGCTATTACCCTCATGATACCCTCATGATTGTGCGCTGCCCTTCATTTGATAGATGCTTATGGGCGTTGTACATTCCACTTGTATGGTCACTCCGGACGCCACTAGCGTTCTCTCCCTGCGCCTATCCTTAACGCCACGTTCCCGAAGCTTAAGCAATTCGATTTCTTACTCCATTTTGCAGCCCTCATTACCGTGCTTTCGATTTGCATTTTCTACTGAGACACGCCTCGAACCTAGCACTCAATACCTGTATCGCACAATCTAATGACACGCACGTCTACATCACCTGTCTGCCATTTCGGTGATCGGTGAATGATTTCTACGGCGTGCGCAGTACTCATTGAGAAAGCTATGTTCCATGCTACCTCGTTATGGAACATAGTTGTGCCGGATAGTACTTCTACCACTTAGTGTGCTATGATATGTCACGTTCTACGTCCTTATTCCGGTTACCCCAGAATGGTCTGATTGTGAGTTTGTTCCGAAGTGGGATCTGGTGAGACCGCAACACACTAGAACGCCGCTCGAATCTGGAGAATTGGAGTGTATGCCAAAGGCCCTTCGGGTACTCCGGACGTAGGCAGAAGACACCTAAATTATCAACGGCAGCAAAATATTCACGGTCATACATGGAATAGTCTATTCTCAGGAGGAAAACGTGAGTGGAAGAGCCACCAAAAGCGATGGTTAGTACCAGAGTGTAGTTGCGAGATGGAACGGGGTTTATATGGCGCATTGGGCAACGTGCTTGTTGGCGTGTGAGCAGGGAATGCTATAGCACGGAGCAAAAACGACATACGTCGTAGCAATCTTTAGGGGCATTGTCTAGGATGGGTTGAACACACATGTCGAACCACAAACACGTCCGCATAGAGTCTGGGCCCATCGACAATACCCAAGCGACGGCCCATCCCTGTTGAACAATGGACGTCGATCTCCTACCTTTAACTATTCGCCAGACGCGATCATATGGTAAAGTCGAGGTACTTAACCATCCTCTGCCATTGATGGATCGAAGCAGTGATGACTAAACACCGTGAATTTGTATTGCAGAGACTGCATCAATCTGTGAGCCTGTTCTGACTTGGATGCTACCCACAATAAGCCAGCATCCACATCCCAACCCCATCGTCAGGTGACTAGTCCCGCTATGCGACCAGTCCTGCATGATCACAAACAGGCCTTTCTCCAGACCTGAGCGAGGTAAGCCAAACAATTGATCAGGCCACTCCAATGAGCTTACTGTGACAGCTTCACAGCTTATCGACGAATCAACATCAACCGCTGCGGCCTTGTTGTCCGCCTCATTTGCGTCACGTCAAAACTGGGTCCTAGGGATGAATAAGGAAATGAGAACTTTCTGGTTTGCAGGATTCCCCTCACCTCCACGGCGTTGTCCGCACAATGAACCAGGTGTAAGCCGTCGAAGTTGCCATGATCACAGCAAAACTCCAACCAAACTTGTAGCTTTTGGTGACAATGGCTATGCACCGCCAATGAGTAGCACAAGATATAAAGATACCAGGATGCCACAAACAAAAGATATTTCAAAGGCGGTTGGAATAATCCGAAATAGGATGGCCAATAGCATGAAAGCAGTTCCCCTGAGATATGGAAGTGAGTCCACCAGTTCGACGTGACAGATGGAATTTGTGATCTAGATTTAGCGAGCGTTCGAACACGGCACTCAAGAGCTCCCCAAACAACGATGCTCCAATGTGTGTAGCCCCTTCTAGGGTAAATTGTCAGTGTCAAAGGCAGGGTTCCATGTTTATTGGCATTCATCCAAGTATGAGCGAACCAGCCACAATCCAGACAGTACTTTGGGATCCCGCGTCCATGTTGAGGACATCGGTTATATGCTTAAACAGTTGCGGGGCTTGCACGTTCAACACCTTTCGCCATTGATAAGGGCTTTGCATAACATGTGAGAATGACGTACAAACGTTGGCAGAGATGAGCACAGCGAAACCGAGGATCACTTTCCCCCGAGTGCTCCAATCATCCTTGGGCCAAACGTTCTCCATCAATTTCTGGACAACCATCCAGTCTTTCCTCTGTCGCTCCCCGGGGAAGGTCTTGGCTGTCGTCGCCGGGATGCTCTGAGCAGATTTGGAAGCTTGAATGCCTTCGTGTTACCCGGAGAATTCCACCTTGCATTGCAGGAACTGAAAGTGCGCTAACACACGCGTGCCTTAATGTCAAGGCAAGGCAAGTGGTGAAAGCGATTTAAGGCTACGCCATGGGCAATACATGAGGAGAAGTTGCGCATAGGTGAAGGAGTCGCTGTATTTGAGAAAGCCGTGAGGAATGCACAAACGACAGTGGGAGCGTGATCAGTGCGGCCCCGCCCACTACAGCTAACTACAGAACGATAGACCAAATCCGAGCGAAATTCATATAGGCGCTTTTGTTTAGTTGTGGAGCTAAGTCACGTGAGCCAAACAATGTCGGTCAGTCATGTGAACACGGGTTTCTAGAATTGGCTACTCCAGGCGGGTGTGGTGCCCAAGCGCCTGGCAGCCTCGTCGTGAGCCACAACAGTGGGTTATAATGTCAGCACAGATGAGTTCATAAGAAATAGCACAAACTACTGGCACAAGCCACAGAACAGTCAATCAAGTCTTCCAGCTGTTTCGACTCACAGGCTCTGTCATGAAGAAGCCATGTAATGGCAGTGGGTGCCCTCGCTCACTAACTGCACACGATGTCCAGGTAATCTGTAAGACATAGTGTACATGTAGGAAACATGCTGCAGCATAGATTTTCTGGCCATGGGTAGTATCTCCTCTTGTGCATTGATCATATATCTCAGCGAGATCCAGTATCACCCTGAACACGCAAGGGGTGTATACGGCTCTGAACCCACAATCGAACGTACACTTTGGAGGCATGCCTTCACACTTGAGGCCAAGGGTTAAAGCGGGCTTGGGCACATCACAGCGCGCGCCTGCAGTAGCCAATTCTGGAAACCCGTGTTCACATAGCTGACCGACATTGTTTGGCTCGCCCCACGACCAAGGCGAAAGCGCTTATGTGAATTTTGCTCGGATCTGGTCTATCGCTCTGTAGTTAGCTGTAACTTGTGGTTGAGTCCAACGGAGGCTTTTGTGCCGAAACACCACGTCCAATCTTATCCTCCACTTTTCCCTGATAGTTTCCTTGTTCATTACATGGAAATCCTACTTATGTAAGCCAATCCTGTGCGATAAAGTCCGTTTATTCCGAAAAATTTGCAGGTGGGTCTTCCGCCACGGCCAAAGTACTCAGGTTAGACGTGCGAATAATTTCCAGCTGCAAACTGACGAAATGCGTTCTTCCCCTCCCCGTACAGCAGCAGCATGTGCACGCCGAGCAGACCCAATAGCGAATATGCTCGGTCCTCCTCTCGTGTTGTTGTGCGGTTGGCGGCCCAAGATATAATCTGGGCGACGCCAGGGCGCTCGAGATCCGGCTCGTTCTTCAAAATATACTGTGGGATTCTCGTAATTTCGTTGAGAATGTCTGCAAGTTGTGTTTTGTCGCCTATGGGTTCCCACCTCTGATCGAAGAAATGGACAACCTTTGGCGCGACGAGTTCTTGAAGTGTCCAGCCGCGTGTAAACCACTTTGGAACGGTTGGCGAGTCCCTTCGATTCGTCCAAGAGTCCCCAACAGTGTCGTGGAGGTAGACATAACACGATGTCGCGTTTTTGTACCACTGGTACATCGAGTTGATTGCTTCTGATAACTCGAAGCTGCTCGTTTTATCAATGCAGCAAGGTGTCGATCCACGCCCACTTTAGGTTGTCTTTCTGTGCTTGTTTGCAGGTGTCGACTATCTTCTTGTAACCGGTGCGCCCTCTGATTTCTTTCTTCTTTCCCTCACCCACAACCAGGAGCTTTTTCAGTCTCCTTAAATGACACCTCTTTCTCTCCCTACTTCTCCACACCCCAACAATGCGATAGAATAGCATAGTTTTTTCTCCGCAAGGTCAGGGCCGTAAAACTCCTCGACCACTGGAGTTGAAGCACTAAATTCTTTCCCTTCTTTGATACTCGTTTCAACGTCGAGTATGGCAGCAACATTAATGAGTCGCATCCTGTACCTGTAATTGGTGAGTGAGTCCGTCCTGCAAAAAATTGCAATTCACACACACAAACACCACTGTTGTGAATCGACGTGGAAATTGTACCTGACGGCCACGATGTCCGTGATATTTGCCAGAAGAACTGAGTAGAGCAGGGTTGGGGCGAAAGCAAGATACACAAGCACAGGAGAATTGTCGAGCTCTTGACATATCCTGTGCAAGAAAGCCTGTGACCACATAACTCCTTTTGGTCGCTGTCCCTCGTACCGCATCCAGCCGCAAGCTATGGGCATCACTATCTCAATACACCTGCACCTCACCGAGCCAGCGGGCTTCAGCGGCCACACCTCCCAGCCACCATGGCTCTTCCACTCAGCGGCAGCAATGTCAACGAAATAGCAGCCTAGTCTTCAGTCTTACACTTCGCGTGCATCGGCCATTCAAGGTCACCTTTAACCTGCAAATGCGTATCAATGTAGTTTGGGTCAAGGACACGTCCTACCGCTGGATACAAAGTGGCCGTCGCTCGATTTAAAGAGTTATGACGCACCACGGGGGACATTCTTCAGCGCCCCTGCCGCAACAATGGAAGTGTAAGTATCATGGCAACGCCTTGGCTCATGTGCACTAATACTGATGAAGAAATATTGGCCAGCGTGTCAGGAGGTTGACGTGAAGATAAATATGTAACCGGTTCGATTTCTTTTGAAATATGGTGCATAATAGCATTGACAATGCCATAGTTCTGTGCGAAGGCGTGCCAAGTATGGAGCGAGATGCGGAGAAAAACCACTATTCTAAAGTTGTAGGTACCACTGTTGCCAACCTATCGAGGCATCATCTGTAACTTTCTGGGAGCTGTAGCAGATGAGGCCGCCCGGACAACCCAAGGGGTTTTGTTGCAATGCTAGAAACATGTGACACCAGCACCCGCAGCACCACATATGAACTGACAGCTGGTTGTTCACTTCCAAGAAATGCCAGCCTGCCTCAAGAGGTGAGGATATCCGTGCAATAGCAGAGACAGGTTAAATCCAATCCAGACAGGTATTAACAGTAGTGTACATGTGATCATGCTTTCAATGAAACCAACCGCTCCAATTTGCATATCTGGCCCCTGGTGGATTAGGTCTAGACAATACTAGACTCAATACTTCTCGACAACTTCATCAGCAGCTTCGACAAGCTTCTTCTCTATCCCTGGCTCGCGAGATGAATGACCAGCATCTTGGACGAGATGGAAAGTGAACGACGCTGATTCGGCACCGTTCGCTTCCCAAGCCATCTTGAGCGCCCAAGCGGTCGTTGGCTGTATCCAAAGCACGCGATGAGAAAGGATGGTCGACAAGTACAGGACAACAACAGAAATGAAAAAGAAGTGAGGGTAACGCTGGTGGACGTACCGGGCAAACTACATCATACCTGCCCTGTACAACGATGATAGGGATGTGGCGGCTGGAATAAGTGACAAACACGTCAACGACTTTAGGTGAAGGAAGCATGTGGGGCATCCGGGACGCACATCTTGGCAATACTTTGTTCCTCTAACAACTGTCCATCACGCATGAAGCCCTACCAACCAAAGATAAGTGTTTATTTTATAGGCGGGGAGAAGGCGTGCCGATGCGCCACATTGGAAGGGTAAAAGCAATATTTATACGAACATCGTTTACGAAGTAGTGATTTTCGATACGTGCAAACGACCTAGATGTGCGTGGAACGTGCTATGTGTTAGTGTTATCAGTCCTGACGAAAGGGACACGCACAAAGCAAAATCGTCCTCTTCAGCTCGCTCAAGGCTGTCTTGACTAACAAAGAGGCGGGAAGTGGCCATTCTGTCAACGAGGTTGAATCCCCAGAAATGGACGTGAATGCAACGATGAAAAGTAGTTGCAGACTCACTCCCATCGCGACCATGCTTTCGCAGCGCCTAATCTTATTTTCTCGTCAGGGTCTTCCAGGAGGCTGTGGTAAGCCTTAATCATGTCATCCCGTTTTCTGGGTTCAACAGGGCGAAGGTAACGACTCCTAGATGCAGTAAGTAGGGGATGTCGCCCTATCGAACGAGACGCCAGTCATATTACTTACCACTCCTCCGGGAATAAGTGTGAGGTCCCGTCTTGGTAGAAAAACCGCAGTTCACTTTACGAGACGAGTCGCGCGTAAGGGACAAAGACGTGAGTACTGGGCAGTGCGACGGCGCATATTTATACAACCTTTTGCGTAAAGTGAATATTCCGCTAAATGGGACGTGTTTGAGCTTAAACTCGTGCAACCACGGCGAGCTTACCGCAAGACGAGGCTCCTTACACGATTTGGGTGGGTCTGTGTAGTTGCCTGTTACGATTGCTTTGCTCAAAATGAAATGACTATTCACCTGGGCATACGCCAATGCAAGAGTCGAGCCCTAATCGAACACGATCTAGTCCAAATAGCGGAGTACGACAAAATACTCTCACCCAACTTCCACCGAAAACATGCCATTTCTCGATCGAAAGCTTGTCCCGAAGTCGTTCAATGTCAGCAACAAGGTCCCACGTGGTATTGTGGTCAATGCAGGCGCTCCTACACAACAGATCTAACTTAGGGACAAGGAACAGAGCGCAAAGACCCACGGTGTCGATTTTCCCGCACCACGCTGATCGAAGAGTACAATCTACAATGCGGACCAGGTAATGCTGATGGGCGTAGCCTGAATTATGCGATAGAACGTACCTTGTACTTGTCGGGGTTGAAAAACTGCCTGTCTTTGGGATCCACTCCACCACCAGGGCCACCGTGCAGAAATACCACTACAAGTGGGTCGTTGCAGACTACTGGAGGGATGTCTGCAACGGGAAATTGACTTGCCTGGTACACCGTTGCTACGCCCGCTTATTTCGTAGCTAAAAGTGCCTCCAAAGTCAGATCGTTCAGGTATGATGATAACAGATGGAGGGAGCGAACTAGAGGGAATGAATGAGGGTGGGCGATACCCGTATGTCAAGTCTCCCTTTCTCGTACGGCTCGATCGGAGGATACATCGCAGAGTGTCTAGCTGGAGTCAGAAACGAAGATGTTCTGTGTAGTGATAGACGCGCAGACAAAATGGCAGTCGTGGACAGATCGATGGACGGTCTTCTAACTGGGAAGAGCAGGAACCTCGTGGCCAATTGCTGCTTGCCAAAACATCTGACCCAGGGCATCATCAACACAACTACAGGTCTCAGATCGAACTACATAAGTTCAGGGTCATCGTTCACGCCGACCAACCAATTCTCGTTGGCCAGGGGCGCCATATATTTTAGAGAATACAAACAGTCTGTTGTGAGTCGCTGTCTACTTCGATTAGTCTACGGAATTGGTATCGACCAGCAATGAAGACATTCTCACTGGCTGGCCTCCTCTGTCGCACCAACTTTCTCCTCGTTTGCCTTTTCATCCCGTACGCCCACTTTGACGTCCCATTCCTTAATACCAATAGCTCCGCCCAGCTTCCGCCACATACGAGCCATATCTTTCCTCCGCGTCTCACACATCTCCACGAGCGCAGGCCAATAGATATCGTGGTCATACGTGAACATCTGCGTGCCCCCCCACCCATCGTGAACGAGTTGATCTAGCTCGAACAGCTGTGCATTGGGCTCTTTGGGGTCGTTGCTTTGACCTTTATCACGAGCCTCAGCAGACCGCCAGAGGCCCCGGTCGTCTTGCACGGGGTTGAACACCGCCTTCGTACGTGTCAACGGGTCTACGAATGGCATAATAAGCTTCATAAAGGCATGTAAGATCCATGGTAAATGGGCTACGAGCCCTGCACCCAATCGCTCGGGATAGTGCGATTGTAGGATATTCAGGACTGTGCGAGAAGTAGAGAAACTCGAGTTTTTCGCTTTGTCGGCGAAGTCGATCATGAACACAAGCGTTCTTTTAACTAGTTGGCAACACGTCGGAAGCTCACCGTAGTTTATGACTTACTCGACACCGGGGCCCATGAGGTCTATGGCTCGCTCAAGTACCCATACCACAAACTGAATCTGCCTAGGTCCTTCCTCCGTGTTCTGCTTGCTGGGACACATGTACAATCCTGGCCTGCCACGGGTATCATAACCGAACAAGAATTCCTTGCCAGTCACTGCCTCGGGCTCGACAAGTTCAGCGGTAAGAGTGTCGTAGATACCGAAATCCCGTCGCCATTTCAGCGTTTCCTCGATACGTTTGATGGCCGTTGCAACGTCGTGTTTGGCCGCGCGTATGTACCGCAAGATGCATTCATATGACTGTCCATTGTAACTTGTATCATGAGAACCACTTTAATGTGAACAATCGACGTACGAGCCACATGCATTCTTCTTCCGTTAATTTGGAGGCCTTCTCGGACGATATACCGGGCAGACAATATTCTGGGTTTGCAAAGTGGGTAAAGACACGGTCATACTCTGATTTCGCTGTGCCAGTCAGTTCCGCTGGTGGCTGCACGTTAGGATGAGTTGGAACTGGCAGAGGGACATGTATAGTGGACATGGTTCAGTCGAAGAAGCAGTCTGCCAGCACAACATAGGCCACGTGGATGACGCTCACCACGGGGTTCGTGAACCGAATGAATATATTGCAAGGCGATGTACTAGTTCATGATCAAAGTAATCTATAGATACATAAAAACAAAAACAAAAAGAGATGCCCAATTGATTCTTGAAACGGTGAAGGGATCAACCAAAGGTTTGGCTCTAAAAAACTCGTCAGGAGATCCTTCAAAGTATCGGTGGATGGATTACTTACTGAACGAGCACTCCGCTTGACCTTCGATAACCGCCATTCGTCCGGTTTCTCGTACTACAATAGCAGTCAGCAAACATTCAAACCTGAAGGAATGCAAGTGCAATACCTTGTTATACAGTGGTTCGATCTTCTCTTGTTTCTTCCGTTTGCTAATCTTGTTGGCATCAGCGACTTTGAAGAATTGCGGTGCGACCTCGACCAGCCATTTGGGCTCAATGGTGGTGACATTGTGGCAGTATTCTCGAGTTGTTAGCACCAACTCGTTATAGATTAGCCACTCGGGAGCCCGGTTGAAGAGTGCGGATGACGGATGGATGTACACTGGCGTACCCTCCACGAGAGTCTTATACCCCTCTTGGGGATCCTTCTTTGCGGCGTTTCGGAAGAAACCTGAACATATTGCCTTCCGAACACGATTATAATCCTTGCCAGCTGATAAAATGTCGTGCTTGTATCTGAAAAGATGGATGTGAACAAGTCTTCGACCGTGTCGTTTTCAGGCGACTCACCGATCCATGATACCCACGAGTTGCTTGCGAATGTCCTGTGCTCGCCTCATACTTCGAGCTTGAATGAAATTCTCGTAACACCACGGGTTCGAATAGTTGGCGGCCTTCCAGCCATTATAGACTGTAAGCAGTGTCAGGTGATCACCCTCTGGCTGGTGGAATTTCGCTTTCTTCGAGTCTGCTTGTGCTTGCTTCTCCTTTGGCCGGTAGAAGACGGTTTGCACGGACAGCATAGCAACAATAGACAGGATCTCCTCAGAACACCCAAGCTCTACAGAGGCGATAAGCATCTTCGCTAGAGGAGGCTCCATGGGAAAGTCGGCCATCTTGCGCCCAAGACGAGTCAATAGGCCTTCGTCATCAAGTGCAGATAGTGCGTATAGCGACTCCATCGCGGTCAACATCGTTTGAGCGGGCGGCGGGTCCATGAAGTCAAAGCTAAGCAAGTCGTTAATGCCCATTGCCTTCAGCATCAAAATGGTATGTGCGAGGTTAGTTCTCTGAATATCTGGGATTGAGGTAGGCGACATCTCGTTACGATAGGCAGCTTCGGTGTAAAGGCGATAGCATTTCCCAGGACCAGTTCTCCCAGCACGACCTGAACGCTGGCGTGCTTGTGCTTGAGATATCGGCATGACCACCAACGAGTCCATTCCAAGGCGTGGGTCGAAGCAATTTTGCTTCGAAAAACCGGGATCGATGACATAGTATATGCCGGGTATGGTCAAACTTGTTTCAGCCACGTTAGTGGCAATGACCACTTTGCGTGCTCCGGCAGGGGTCGGTTCGAACACGCGAGACTGGACCTCGGAAGGCAATGCAGAGTAGATCGGAAGGATGATGAGCTCTGGTACCTTCGGTCCAAGCGCTTTCATGCGCTCGAATAAGATTTCACAAGCTGTGTCGATCTCCTCCTGACCTGTCAAAAATAGGAGAACGTCCCCTGGGGGTTCAGAGAGGTGGATCTGCATTACAGTGATGAGAGATGCATCAAGGTAATCACTCTCCGGTTCCTTGGTGTAGAGAATCTCGACTGGGTATGTGCGACCGGGAATAGTGAAGATAGGGCAGCCAAAGAAGTACTTTGAAAACTTCTCGGCGTCCAAGGTAGCCGACGTGACGATCAACTTCAAGTCTGGGCGCTTTTTCACAGCCTCTGCAAGTCGAATTAGTATACATGGATACGGCCATCCTCGTCATAATTCCGCTTACTTTTTAACAAACCAAATAGTACATCAGTGGCGATAGTTCGTTCGTGAGCTTCGTCCAACATAACTACCGAGTATTGACTGCAGAGTGGATCGATGACGGACTCGCGCTGAAGCATACCGTCCGTCATGTATTTGATTTTCGTTTCCGGACTTGTGCAATCTTCGAATCGAATGGTATAGCCGACTTCCTGTCCCAGGCGACAGCCAACTTCCTCTGCTACACGTTTCGCTACTGACATAGCAGCCACACGACGTGGTTGAGTGCAACCAATTCGTCCTTTGTCGGCGAATCCTGCTTCAGCAAGATACTGAACCATTTGAGTAGTCTTCCCGGAACCCGTATCACCAACGACGATGAGGACTTGGTGCTGTACTCAAAGTCAATAATTTCCCACCCTGAGAGAACATCAAACACACACCTCTGCGATGGCCTGTAATAGCGGCTCCTTGAGTTTGTAAATAGGCAAGCTCCGTCGCTGTTCTTGAATACTGAGGCTGGTGAGCTCTCCATATGTCGTAGCCTTGTTGAACGCTGTCTGCCTCCACGTTGGGACTTCTCCTGCCTTTTGATCTCTGAGATTTGATCTGAGATCCTGAGCAAACAACTTCTCAGAATCTCTGGCCATAGGATCCAACCAAGGGGCGCTGAAGTCACGGGCTTCCGAGTCTGCTCGTTCGTTGGCCTCTTGTTGACGGAGTTCTCGTCGTTCCTTGGCAAGGGCAGTACCGCCGATGGCAGCTCTGTTCAGCGAACCATCGGGAGCTTTGATAATCTTTATGGGACTAAGATCAAGCGTTCGTTTTGTTTGCCCGGCCAAAAATGGCGGCTCTTCTTCTCTGATTTCCACATCAAGCTCTTCTTCCACCTCTGCACGTGCTACTGGGTTATTAAAGTCTTCATCCAAGTCCGGATACTCTGAAGCATCTATAACTCCTGACGAGATGAGCTGTTTGAGTTCCCAGCGTTCCGGGGAAGTAAGGCGTTTTGCGGATCGTATGTTCGAGCTAGGCTCATCCTTCGAGCGTAGAGGGAGAGAATTCGGGCCAGAGGCACGTGCAGCGCGTCGGCGCTCTTCTTCTAACTCAGCTTCTGACTTGATGCGAAGATTTGGAGTAAGATCCCGTCCAGTCTCTTGATCAACATCTTTCATTGATAGACCTATCCGGCTACCTGCAATACTCATAACCTTGACCTTGACATTCTGGCCCCTGCTCAAAAGGTCTGAGGCAGAGTTTGCCCGAACACCATGTTGAATATTTGATACGTGAACCATTCCTACGAGCGATGTCAGCCACTTGAACCTACACGAAATGAGTGTGCATGTACCTTCTACACGCCCAGATACACCTTCGAGCTGAACGAAGGCACCAAAATCCCTCACGCTGGATATTCGGCCATTATAAATTTTGTACAAGATGGGACGTTCGTCGAGTGGGGCACGACCTCGATTCCCGTAGTCGCGCCTCGAGTTATACGAACGACCTCTATCAGGGGAAGAGCTTCGGCGGCGCAATGGTGGAGACCTTGACCTTGACCGACCTCTCCGTTCTGACCCATTCACTCGCTCATCGGCTCCACCCACTTGTGCCTTCCTCTTCGCAGCACCCTCGAATTGAGCCATCATATCATCCACTTCTTTCATCAGCACATCCTCCTTAACCTCCTTGTCTGGTAGTGCGAGTCCGGGGAAAAGTCGTTTGTGTTTATCCCGTTCGTTGCTTCTGTCCTGCTCCGACTGCGAATCCAAACTGCCATTCGCAAGTGCTTTTGACTTTTTGTGCTTGGGATGTAGGCTGAGTATAAGGCGGTCTATATTTTCGACGAACGACTCCGGGAAAGCAGTTGGGTCGATCTCCCTGAACTTTTGCTTGAACTCGGCTAGGTCCTTGGCCTGGTCGTGGAGAGACACTACAAATTCAGCCAGAGTTTTGTCATTTAGGCCGATGTAATTGTCAATCTCCTGGGTAATCTTGGCAACGAGTGAGAGGTATTCGAGGTTGTACAGGTCATCGTCCGCCATGGTGAACGTCGAGGCGCAACTACGGGTAGGCCATCGACACGCGGGACATGTAGCTTACTAAGTGCAACGCCGCGTTTGGTCATGGACATGCGATGACAAAGCAAGATGCTAGTCGCAGGAGGCTTCCGAGGACCTGCTGCAAGTTGCCAACATAGATCTTAGACCATCGTGGACGTCTGTTCTGTGTCCAGAACTGATTCTCGGCTTTTCGGGCGGTACTTCAAGTATCATACATATCTTCAGGTCCTCAGACTGTTATCATACAACACATTGGAATATTCGACCGTCACATCTCCTTCATAAACCGTTCCACTCAAGACCCTTGGATACCACAAATGTCGCCGTTAGAGGCAAGCTCTCGTTGCTGGGTCCCACAGAAACTCCGTACTCTCCGCCTCCAATAACCCATCGTGATATATTGTCATCCCAGTACGAAACAGCGTACTTGTCCAGGTTCAGCGTGACCGTCCGGCTCTCCCGAGGGGTCAAGTCCTTAACCTTGCTGAAAGCCCGAAGTACTAACTTGGGGTGGGCAAGATGCGAAGTAAGGGGCATCGAGACGTAAAGCTGAACAATTTCCGATCCGGACACGCTACCAGTATTGGTTAATGTCAGAGAAGCGGCGAGGCTGAAATCCCCATCGGTTACGACCGGCTCGGACAACTTCAGGTCAGAGTACGAGAAGCTAGTGTACGAAAGACCATGCCTGCAATGAACCCAAAACGTCGAAAATTAAACACTATCGAACAAGACGCTATAGGCACGTACCCAAAGGCGAACAGAGGAGCGATCCCTCTATGGATGTAATGTTTGTACCCCTGCAAAGATGTTATTTGTTAAGTGCGCTGTGGAACGCAGTCTTAAACTTACGACAAATAAATCTTCAGCGTACCGGACTATTCCATTTTCTGAACTGAAGTGACCATGAGAAGGTATGTCCTCAAGCCGCTTCGGGAAGGTCAGTGAAAGTTTGCCGGATGGATTCTTCTTCCCAAAGAGAACGTCAGCTATCGCATCTCCCGTAGCGTTTCCCAGGTACCAGGCATGTACGATAGCTGGTACGGTATCTGCCCACGGAAGCGCAATCGAAGACCCCTGTTCCATGACTACCGTTAGTGTGTTTTGCAAGTGATCACAGAATACTCACCGATTGGGTAACCACGACTGTATTTGGGTTGACTGCTGCGACTTTAGCCACCAGTTCGTCGGTCCGCCCGGGCAAGCTCAACGTCTTTCTATCGTAGCCTTCCGTTTCCCAGTCCGCGTTGAGTCCGACGACGGCGATGACGACATCCGCTTCCTTGGCTGCTTGGAGAGCTTCCGCCAGCAGATCATCCGAGTCCTGAACCTCCGCACCCCCCAGACGGACACCGGCATTACTGTCCAATACTGTTTCATCCTCGTCCCCATCAGCAGGACCACGAATATTACAGAATTCCACCAAGATGTTGTACTGGACGCCAGCCTTCAATTTGACTCGGCCCTTCTTTTCAATGGTGGCAGAACCAAAGAAGGCTCCGCCTCGTTGTTGCCGAGTCCAGTTGTCAATCACAAGTTGCCCATCAACGAACAGCTGGAAGTTCGTGAGTACACGAGTCCGTCATAGCGATTAGTACGAGCACCTTGGCCCTTCCTGCAACTGTTAAGCCGAACTCGAAAATGCAGTCGCGTGGTCTGGGTTTCAGGAGACCCTCGAGTTTCAAGGACCATCGTCTTGTGATACCTTCTGGCGTGGAAGTGTTGATGAAAACACGCGTTTCATCTATCAACCGGGTTTCGATTGGAGTAGGTGCCAGGGTCATGTTGTCGTCATTCTCGTGCCTGTACCAAGAGCCAATCCAACCGCGCTCTCCAGAGGGTGTTGTAAGGTCGTAGTCGAGTGTTGGCATCTCCATGTATGCTGTGGGCGACATGAGTGCCATGAGTAAATTACCGCATAAAGCACATACAGGTTGCCCCCTCGCTATACCTCACTTCAACATCTGGCGGTAGAGAGTTGACAATTCCGTCATAAGGCGACACGAAATAAGAGGGTTTGAGAGAAGCAGAGCCTCCTCCAGAAAGGACTACAGCTTTAGCATTTCCCCCAACAATGGCAACCTTTTTTAACTTAGCCGGCTGCAAAGGAAGGAGATTGCGGTCATTCTTAAGTAGAACGATGGTTTCCGAAGCAAGTTCGCGCATCAGCTGCTTCTCTTCATCGCTCGCAAAGGTGCGCTCTACTCCATCCCCGTCCAAAATCTGAAGTGGAAGAGAAGATATATTTAACCAAAGCATTGGCATTCGAGGGATGATAAAAAACCACCTCCGGAGCCTCCAGTGCAGAACGCTTCACAAGCTCAATAACCTTCCTCGCGCGTTCTTTGATGGTGCGAACGGTCAATTTGCGTGAAGCGATGGACCGGCTCATAAGATCAAGTGTCCGCCATTTGTTGTTACCCGGCATCTCCAAATCCAGTCCGGCGTTGATGCCATGGTCGACACTATACATGCCAAACCTGTGATAGTACTAAGCACGCCGCAGACGAGGGAGCTAACATCATCATACCAGTCGCTCATGATTAATCCATCGAATTTCCACTCCTTTCGGAGAACATCCTGCAGCAAATACCGATTTTCAGGGGCATGAATACCATTGACACGGTTATAGCTAGCAAACATGGCAGGTCTCAGATCTCGAAAGAATAAAAATTGGTGCTGAACGTACGCAGTCATGAAGCACCAAGGCTTAGCATATTTTTGAGCGAGCATGAATGGCATCAGGTATATTTCCCGAAGGGCTCGCTCGCTGAGGATGCTGTCGTAACCCATCCGGTCATTTTCCATATCATTGCAGCTGATATCTTCGGAGTGAGTTATCGAGGGTCCGAAGTAGTAAAGCACCCACACAAAATGTTTGATTGTGGCGCCTATACCTCCCCTCTGGATGCCTTTCACGTACGCGGCGGCAATAAGCCCAGACAGCGTTGGGTCCTCAGAGAAGCTTTCAAAGGCCTGGATTGTGTGGAATGAGTAGCCAATCTGCGGCAACAATTAGAAGTGTAATTCACCCTGCCTCCTAGAGGGTTCTGTAGGAAAGATCAGTACGACAAACACCGCACGAGTAAGAAAGAATTACTCTTTGAATGTTGCATGTTGGGGCAAGGATAACAGACGCAGCCTTGAGTTTCGCTTCGTTGGACAGCAACTTCAGGCCGACCTGCTCGATAAGTTCGGGGTCCCACGTTGCGCCGAGAGCGGTTGCACTTGGCAAACACTTCGCAGGAGTGCTCATGAAGAAGTGATTACCCCTGATACCTAAAGCTTTAAAGTAAGATGCGTGCGTTTCACGATACGGTAGTCTACTAGATGAAACTTGCCGTTTGGGCCATCGCTGACCTGGACAACAGTGGCGAGTAGCACATTGAGTTTCAGCTCAATGAGATGCAATAAGCGGGACCAAACCTTGATAGCAGGTACGCCTAGGCGAGGAACATCATGAGTATGCCAAAAGCCAACGCCTGCCGTCACGAGTATAGCTTCCTCTGTTGTCAGTTCTCCGACGAGTTTGTCGACGTCCACATTGGCGATATCTGACGGAGGCATCAGTATGATTGGTCAGTGGAAAGGGGTGCAAGTAGTTGACTCTTATAAGCTCCACTAGTCGGATCAGGGGCGTTCATAGACCTTTCACATGACGACCGACAATTCTCCTTGCAGTAATACAAAATCCTTGGTAGTCAGACGGGAGACCGAAGTTCTTCCGAGGATTACCCGGTCATGGAGATAGGAGCATCGCGTTCGTCCGCGTTTCCCCCTTCTGCTAGTCAAGGGGAGTTCCCAGCAACGCTGGCTTTCGCCGTGCTACGGATGTCATTCGACAGCTCCAATCGGAATGGCCAGTAATCTATCAGGCAATACCTGATAAGCAATGTGAAGGCAACCGCCATTCCTACTCACCTTCCGGGGCGTCAATATCTGACACAAAGCTGGCCTCAAGCGGCCTTAACCAGCCCAAATAATGGCAGCGCAGTAACAGAAGTGATCTACAATTCGAAAGCCCATGCATCAACGACAACTATTGCATAGATATATGATGGATAACAAAAGAAGCAATAGGGAATCACAACATATACATCTGAGCGACTCTTCATTACTTGGTCACCACCTACTACTCATCACGAGTCTTCTTGAGCCTGCGATGCAACAGGTTGGGGCATCCCACCGAACTGTTCACCATGCACACGGAAGCGGTATAAGCATGTATACTCTTTCTTTCCCCAGTTATTCTTGATCACGAGGACCACGACGCCAAAGTCGACTCCAAGCTGGCGCACTTCCGGGCGTATAGGGAAGGTTTGTATGCTCGACGGCGAGTGAACGTCGTACGTAAAAGAAGCAAGTCGAACGAATGCCTTGTCCTTGGGCAGCGTCGCTGGGTATGCGTCTTCTTGGGGCTCATCTTCTTCGAAAGGTACACCTGATTCTTCGGCGCGTTGTTGCCGCTCAGCCCGCTGTGCGGCGCGCTCTGCTAACCATGACATCACTTTCTCGAGATTCTCCTTCCCCTCCACCTGACCCCACACCTCCAAGTCCCTAGGGGCACCTCGCAAATCGAAAGCGACTTCCTTCGCCACGTGATCAATGGTAAAGTCGGAAATGTAAGCAGGAGATGCAAGCGCCACACCCAGCTGACCGAAGTCACCACGCATCGGCCAACACAGTCCACTATGGGTATCCTGATGAAGAGCCGTAATCGGTGATCGACCAACTTCACGTCCGTGACCAGTCATCCAACCCAAAACCTGGACCGCGGAATGTCGATGGGCGTAATTCAAGCGTGTGCGACGTAAGATGTGGTATTGGTCGTGCTCCAGCAGAATGCAACGCGAAGTCGGCACGTGAAACGATATCTTGAGTGGACACTCGGGTGACAGCAGAATTAACAAGTTGGGATATCAACGACGTTACATCAGAACCATCGCTTGCTTTGATGGTAAGATCGGTATCAGTTGCAGTGCCAGGCGTTAACTTCGACCACCAAGCGGGACTGTCCGATGATCGCGAGGGTACCTTCGATTTTTGGGATAACTCGATCGCTTCCTTGATCCCACCTTCGACAGAACCTAAGCGTTCTTCGAATAACTTCAGTTTCTCCAGAGCCTCAACATCATGGCCCGGGGAAGGAATATGGGTAACGGTCTCCCGAGGAGCCGACTCGATCACCCTTATTTGCCCTTGTAATGCTTCTAACTGCCTCTTCATTTCGATGAGTCCCTGGCTAGCGGAAGTCTGGTGCTGTGACTCGGCATCCGCAGCGCGCCTGGTCTCTTCCCGAAGGCGAGCCTCGAGAGCATATATCCTGTTGACGACTTCGCCATGCGCGCGGGCTTCAAGGTCCTGCTGTGCACGTGCGCGTTGATGATCGAGAGAAAGTCCAGAAAGAGCGGATTCGATGTTTTGTAATCGTGCGGTAAGCTCGTCAAAGTTCGTCACGGGGGTATCGGGAGCATAGTATTGTCGGTGTATTACGCGAGAAGGAAGCATTTCGATTAGAGGATCGTAGAGTTTGAACCATGAGACGTAGATAGCCAATGCAACGATCGCAAATTTGCCAAGCAATATGAATGGTCGAGGGCTAGTATTTGATAACAAAGCAATGGGTTTCTGGACAAGGACGTCGACAACCGATCCCAGTACGCGACCGAATACCAGGAAGGTGAGCGTGATGGTGCGAAGGATGTGAGTTAATATCCCGTAGAAGAACCTATAGACTCGGTTGACGAGCCATCCTAGGAAACCTCCAAGGGAGAACGAGCGTGAAGAACGGTCAGACGTATTGACAATACCGTCAACCAATGGTGGTTCATCAGTCTCATGGATGGTTTCCAGGCCAGATGTCTCTAGTCCAGACTCCACATCCATAGAAATATCTGTGGGGAGGTAACCTTGGGTTTCTGTGGGAGCTGAACCCCGAGGGACAGAGTTTCGCGACGGTGGTGGTACGGAAGTTCGTAAGACAGAATTCTGACGAGCGACAGTTTGTTGCGCAGAAGAACGCTGCGAAGAGTTCATCGCGTTGAATGCGGTGGTAAAGTGAGAACTTACCTCCTCACTCCCGCTACTACTACCTTGGTCGTCCACCACTTCGCCTGTCGCCGAAAGCTTGGTACCTTTCCTTCTCCTCCTTCGTTTATCGTAGCCGGCTACTGGTAACGAAGTCAGAACGCCTGGCCCCATATCCTTCTTCTTAGCCTTCTTTTTCCGTTTCCTCCCATCATCTGAGACATTATCGTCTGACTCTTCCAAGTCAGACTGCGACGGACGGTAGGCTTTGTTGTCCAGGGACATTCTATTTCGCCTGTGGGTATTCTTTTTGGCAGCGGGTTGCTGTTCCTGCTCTTGGCTCTGTTCCTGTGTGTGTTCAGCTATTTGTCGCTGGAGTTCCTGATACTCGCGCTCCTCCGGGGCGTAGTCATAACTCGACTCCCTCCCATTGGTAGTCGCTGCAGAATTATCTGCGGGTTCTGTGGAGCGTTGTCGCATGTAAAACGACGTAGCAGAATCCAATGCGCGTCTCGAAATATCCAGCACAGATTCTAACGGACTCTTAGCGCGCACGCTATGTTCGACGGAAAGGGATTGCAACTGGGGTTGATCCTCGCCTTCGGAGTCCGACACATGTGTTAACCCCGAGGTCTGTTTAGACAACGGTTTCCTGTTTGTACGTTGGGTGAGGCGGCTGGGGGGTGCTGCCAGCCGTCGGTTGCTGGTGGAATGGGTTTCTTTCTCATATTCGACCGAAGTACTACGGGGCACATTCAAGTTGGTCTGCGAGCCGGACGCCCAAGAGTTATTCGGGTTGCTTGGATGCATCTCGTATGACGTCGAGGCAGCTTGGTTGAATGCGGTTGCGATGTTTACGGAGGTGTCTTTGACAGCCCACTTCTCCGGGTTGAGGGAAGAATTGTGGGATTGGTCACGTTTTAAGCGAGCGTAACGGACGAGGGCTGTTTCGTCCTGGTTGTCTGTGGAGTCCAGTGTGGGTGCGGAACGTGAAGACGTGGAGGTTAATTTCGGTGGTGATCGGGAACCTGCGGTTGGGGCACTGAACAAGGTGTGGCATCACTGCATCAACACGATCGCGGAATCAAAGTGATATGACATAGGGGACTACTCACCCGTATGCGTATGAAGCGGGAATGGAACTGTTCGTAGGATGAAGCGCGGTTGGTCTAGGGTTGAAAGTGTGCTGATGGGTTGTGACAAGGTTTGGTTTATTGAGGAAAGTGCGGTGATCTAGACGCCTGCCTTGACCAAGCGGAGTACCCGAGAATGACATGTACTATTCCAGGGTGGCAGTCGAGAACGAGCACGCGAATAGCGAGGTATAGGCAGAACACGTTTTCACGGCGTGATGGGCGTGTTGTATGAATGTAAATTGAGCACAGAAGCCGTGCGGCTGGTTAATTAGCGTTTTCACGGCTTCTCTGCGATATGAAGTTGTCAGTAGTCCGTCGTCGTCGTTGTGGATAGCAGTGAGCAGGCAACTTATGTATGGACTCGGAGGACAAACGCTCAGTCACGACTGTTTGGCATTGTTTGGTACGCAGGACAATAAATGTGTGGTGTGGTCTTGTACAGATCTGAGACCTTGTTCCACTGTTCCAGAGCGTTATTGTGGTATTCATGCCCTCGCATATCCGTGATCAAAGCTACACAGCAAGGACACTACATATGTACACTATTAATCGGTGGACAGCACTCCCAATCACTTTATTCTAAAGCATCAGCGACAATCCGCGACTCTGAAGAACGCAAGAAAGACCCACCAAGAAGTAATCCGGTACGCGTCGCGACACCAGTGGCTCTCCTGCCCGCGGAGCTGGATCAAACTGTAGGCTAATTATCCCGCAAAAAGTTAACGTCGACCAAACCAAACACATGGATCTTTCACATACAAGCTATACGTTAATTTTTCATCTATTTCCATGATCGCGGCCTGGTTGCCGCATCTGTAACAGTAGTTAGGTGCGCTGAAGATTGTCACCACATTCCGATCCTGGCCCCAACTGTAACCTATAAACCCAGCGTCAAGTAAATTACAGCATTTAAGAATCAACAACCACCTACCCTCCATGACAAGCTGGTGCGCTCGCGCGACAAGCGTTAGGCCATTATTGTGGTTGAATGCTTCAGAAATATCCTGTCCAAACGTGTACCCAGCTCCTCGAGGTGATATTCCCCAACCAGGACCGATCATCAGGGTCCGACCACAGCAGATCGCACATCGGTCCTTCATGAGGTACTTCCTGTACCCGATCGATGGACCGAACATGGTCCAAGGTATCGATGGAGGGTGATAGACCTCCATGAAGACAGAATATCTGACAAACCAACGTCATTCGATGATACCAAGACCAAATCGACCGTCAGCGCAATGGCTGTCAAGTACCACGAAAATGAAGACGAATACTCAGACTCACTTGGTTATCGATGAGCGCCGTCAAAGGCAAATAATCGAATAAGTCAGTAAAGTACCGCCACACGTTCGGATTTCCGTATTTTCGCAAGCATTCGTCATAAAACCCGTACACCTGCGTGATCTGTCTTGATTCATGATTTCCTCGAAGGATGGTGACTCGATCCCGGTACCGCAACTTGAGCGCCACAAGTAGTGTGACAGTCTCGACAGAGTAATATCCACGGTCAACATAATCGCCCATGAACAGATAGTTGGTGTCGGGTGAATTTCCTCCAATACGGAAAAGCTCTGATAGATCGTGCTGAGTGCCCGCGAACGACGCGCATAGGACAAAGCAGATCAGGGCAACAGATCGCGCTAAAGCAGATATTGACGCACAAATTGGCCGTGAATATCACCACAGACTGTCACTGGGCATCGAACTGGCTGCACATTGGATTCCTCCATGAGAATCTCTTTGGTCTAGCGGGTAATTTCGTGAGCTCGATCTCGGTTCGGCATTAGCAATGTCTGCAATCACCTTGTCGCACAATTTCTTAACATCAGCCTCCGGGAGCTGCTTGCACTGGCTAAGCTGTTCGATCCAGCTGTCTACTTCGTGTTCCATGTTTCAAGTTTTTGGGTAAGGGCTGTTGTGTATCGTGCAAAGGGCGTACTCCAAGTCCTGTTCCGTTAATGTCACAGTCGCTATCAGGAAATGTCACACACGTAATCGTGTCACGCTAAGCGACGCGTTGGCAAGTACTGACTAGCACATCATGCAAGTGCAGCCTGAGGCAGTCTACGCTACAGACGAGGTAGGTGCTAAGAATCAAGGCGACATACATGTTAAATACCCCAATAGTACGGTAGGCCGTTCATCATCCTGCGCGAGCAGGGAAGGAAAACTAGAAGCCATGGCATAGAGGCGATCAAGGTGATGCAACATTTTGAATCTGATTTAATCGTTCTTTGACATGGTTCTAGTCACATGTTCTCGCAGCGCGCACTGTTGCTAACATCATCCGAACATCCTTGGGCCCTCGAGGTGTGTCGTCATTTTCACTCTTGCGGAACGGTATTATGATGTTATGGAAGGACTCGACAAAATCCTGATCTCACCGGACGGCGACATTACCGTAACAAACGATGGTGCGACCATACTCAGTCAGATGGAAGTTGAGCACCAGATCGCCAAGCTCCTTGTACAACTATCAAAGAGCCAAGACGACGAAATCGGTGACGGTACAACCGGTGTTGTTGGTGCGTTGCACGCTCTATTCTCCACTAGACCCGTATCGACGGTGAGACCTCAAATTGGTAGTGCTTGCCGGCGCCCTTTTAGAGCAGAGCGAAGCACTCCTTGACAGAGGCATCCACCCGATTCGGATTGCAGACGGGTTTGACAAGGCATGCACCGTGGCCGTGGAGCAGCTCGACCGCATCTCTGACCGCGTTCCGTTTTCACTCGAGAACAAACAAAATTTGATCAAGACTGCCACAACAAGTCTGGGCAGTAAAATGTGGGGTTTACCGCCATCATGGTGTGCCCAACTAACTCCTCACATAACGGTAGCGTCTCGAAAGAGATCCAACGCTTTGCCGAAATCGCTGTCGATGCTGTGCTGACCGTTGCAGACCTTGAGCGCCGGGATGTCCCTTTTGATCTCATCAAAGTGGACGGAAAAGTCGGTGGTTCACTGGCAGACAGTACACTCATCAAGGGTGTGCTGATCGACAAAGACATGTCCCACCCTCAAATGCCGTCCGTTGTAAAAGATGCTAAACTTGCCATCCTCACATGCCCATTCGAGCCTCCGCGTCCCAAGACGAAACATAAACTTGACATCACTAGCGTGGAGGAATACAAAAAACTCCGAGAATACGAGAAGGAGAAGTTTGAAGACATGATTCGGATGGTGAAAGACACTGGAGCTAACCTGGTTATTTGTCAATGGGGTTTTGATGACGAGGCGAATCACCTGTTGATGCAGAATGATTTACCTGCGGTGCGGTGGGTTGGTGGTCCAGAAATCGAGGTAATAAATCCAATTAGTGGCGTCTCGACTATGTCCTTACGCAAGCATTACTAGTTGATCGCCATCGCCACGCAAGGCCGCATCGTACCACGGTTTGAAGATCTCACTCCGGAGAAGCTTGGAAAAGCTGGTATAGTTCGTGAACTAACGTTTGGCACGACACGTGACAAAATGCTGGTTATTGAGGAGTGTGCAAATACCCGTGCTGTCACCATTTTCGTCCGGGGATCAAATAAAATGGTAGGATACCTATGAAGGTGAGGACTACTGCGACTGATAGACATCTCAAGATCGTCGATGAAGCAAAGCGAGCGCTGCATGATGCTCTCTGCGCGGTTCGCAACCTCGTCGTCGACAATCGTGTCGTTTATGGTGGTGGAGCAGCCGACATCAGTAGCTCAATAGCAGTGGCAAAAGCTGCTGATGAGGTTCGCGTCCAATAATATGATCTACGTACCGAATCATTCGGTGCTAAATTTAAACCCGCAGATCCCATCGATAGAGCAGTACGCCATGCGTGCATTTGCCTCTGCCCTGGATGCCATCCCGCTTGCGTTGGCGGAAAACAGCGGCCTCTCGCCCATTGAAACACTTGCCGAGGTGAAGAGTAGACAGGTAACAGAGAACAACCCGCGCCTGGGCATCGACTGTTCTGGGAAAGGGGAAAACGGTTCGTCTCTTGACTTGACGGGCAAACATCATGGATTGACGTGAAGACGCAGACATGAAGAAACAGTTCGTGTATGATCCACTGATTTCGAAGCGACAACAATATCTACTCGCAACCCAGGTTTGTTTCACAATGTCCTATCTTTAAGTTATATGTTGACATCGCGCAGTTGGTCAGGGCAGTGCTCAAGATAGGTAAGTCATGCTCTGTTTACGCAGGGATGCGAGGTCCGATTTTTTCTTGTTAAGACGATGTCATTGTCGCGGGCGAGGCGGAGAACTAGCTGACAGTGGTCTACAAGTAGCAAAAGGTGCACTCTCGCTGTACTTTAATCCGTTCCAGACGGGTCTTCTATCGTGTACTTACATAATCGTGGAGTGTGATAGCCTGGAAGCTTACGTAAGTGAAAGAAATGTTTTTTCTTCAAGAACGCGTCGCGAGCAGTTGCAACATGTGTATTACTGAGTCGTGGCTACGCGTACCCTCCTTGTCTGGTGTTGGCAGACGACAAGCACGTCTAATAGCGACGGCGATGTGCAGACATTCTGGGCCTGGCCGTGTTCTATGTGAAAGGAGAGGAAGGTACGGGTAACCCATATATTCGGTTGCAACTACTGTCAAAGGTGTGTGAAAGTCTATTATTGACCGGGTATATGAAGCCAACCGCAGTCAATTACGGGTCACCCGTCTTTTCAACCCGTCTGTCTGTCCCAAAGGATTTTTTGTTTTCTCCTCCTTCCATACTATCCACCAACCAATTTTCGGACCATGCCTGGTTTCGCCCTTTCCACTCTTTTTGCTGTAGCCATTGCTTCAAAAGCCTTCGCTCAACCTGACCCAGCTGACCCTACCCCACTCACCGACAAGCAGTATGCCTACCCTACCGGCATCGTCAGTATAAATCCCCTTTCTCCGCGTCTTTGTTTCTCAGCGCTTTTTTACTAGCCTTACCAAGTCGACAACGTCCCCAATGCTATTCGTGGCCCTCAAGTCGGTTTCAACATCTGTAACTCCACCACTCAGAACCAGCAATCCATGTGTCAGACGTTGATGATGAACAATATCGGCGGTAGCTATTGTTGTCGCATATCATTCTTTCCCTCTTTGTCTCACTATTTTTAGATTTCTGTCTTTGGGCTCCTCCTCAGCCAAACTCTACTATTGGTGACACGGAACAGGAGGAAGTCGCATGGTGCTCCAAGAGTGGCTGGGGGACCCGTCTCATCCCAGCGGGTGTCTTGACGGGTGTACAAGTTCTCAAGACTAGCAAGTACATCCAATTCGCCGGTTTCATCGACCAAACTCAGGTCGACATGCAAGCCGGTGACTACGGAGGAGAGCTTGACCCTCACGGTGCCGACTTGGTGCGTCTATTCTTTTTTGTTCTTCGTATAGGTTGTTTATGTGTTTCATTTCTGTCCCTTTAGCGTGGCAACCCGCTTGGTGGCTTGGTGTACTCCAACGCTTTCCCTAGCAACAACGGGAACAACAACACCTTCCAGCAAGTCATGGACTGGAACAGGTTAGTTATAGTCCTTCACCGCGTTTTGCGTGCTCAAATGTCACCTGTAGCTTCATCGGTGGAAACCAGTTTTGCTTCACCATCTGTGACCCCTCTACATCCAGTGCAGACCAATCTGCATACTGCCAGAACACTTACGATGAGATTGGCTGCACGTACAACATGCCCAACAATGCTCAGAACGGTACCTTCGAAGTTTGTGATGCTGATCTCAAAACTCCCGTCGGTCTCTATGTCACCAACGGCGTCACGATGACATATACGCAGCCCTACACTGGTGTCCCCAGCCCCCCCTACACTCCCGTTGTTCCTAGCTCGTCCAACTGCGTTACTTACAAATCGACTGACCTGTACACTGGCCTTCCTACCCCTACCGGGGCATCCGCTTCCACCTCCACTGGCAGTTCCGGAAGTTCTGGCACCAGCACTAAATCTTCTTCATCTGCTGGTGCCACTTCCACCTCTAACGGCGCTGCTGCCATCGGTGTCTCTTCTGTTGCTGGTATTCTCGGCACACTCTTTGCCATGGCTTTCCTCTCGTAAAGAAGGAATTTTTCGAGCCTTTCCACCATTCCGAGCGTAGGATTCGCGAGACATTTAATACGTACTGCATCTGTGTCTCGATTTGATGTTCTGCCTTGGTGACGATATATGGACAATCATTATAAGTTTACTTCATCTTTATCCTCATTAAGTGTTGAACACTTGACCCTCATAATGGAACCTCTCTTTTGTGGATACCCTGAAACAGATATCATACAAGTCCTGTTATTTGTTTTTCGTTTGGACTCCATTGGGTGAACCGTGCGCGATAAGGTTCGTATGCAAGGAAAGCGTGGCCCATTTCACCGTACGGTATTGGTTATGTTCTGACCCAGGTTTGTGGCTCGGCAACGGGCAGCCGTGTGTTGCTGCCGGGTGGTGGCCCACGTCCAACTTCACCGAGTCTCCCACCGGAACTGATCCGTTACCCAATGGAGGATCGTGCACTGTGACTATAAAACCAGCCAACCTGGGCGATATACAAATCTCCTCGTCGAAGCACTCTCCAGCTGGGTGTTGTGTAAGTGCGTCAGTATTAGGAGAGTTTGACGTGCCCCTGACATCATCTTGCATGCTCCCAGGGTCAAAGCAAGTATTAGTATTTGCCCTATCGATCGTTGTCATCACATCACAAAAGATGCGTGCCCCCCAGCTGCATGTGCTGAGCAAGACACCGTATAACGCGGAACCACCATCGCTCGCCGAGCTCGCCCAGTACCCTATCACCCCTCTCCGTCTCGCCTACGCCCGAAACCACTGTACGTTCCTACCATGCCATACTTTTGAGTCTCCTGCTGCTCTCTCTGACTCTGCCTGCTTTCCTTCTTCATCCTTCTATACTACTGATTTGATTCCGAACACGAACACGCGTGCTTTGTTTCCTTCCGCTTCTCATGGCCATGATGGCGGCGGCAACCGTGCCGACGAATGTAACAATCGTGACGATACTGGGGCACCGTCCGAATATGCGCGCGAAACCGCCTTTGTTGCTTCTGTAGCCGAAATTAAGAGCCTCAAGTCGACCGCTGGAACATACGCCGTGAGGATCGATGGGGAATTACAATGCCTTGCGAAGGAAAAGGTGATCACGTACCAAGACATACTACTCCGCTTCCCACGCAAGGAAGTCGTAGCCGCACTCGTGGTGAGTGCGTTCCTATCCCGTTCCAAGACGCCCCGAATTTCTCTGACTTTTTATTCCATAAAATGCCGATATGGAATGTGAACAGTGTGCCGGAAATAGACGCGCTAAGATGGCGGAAAAGACAGGCAAGGAAGTTAAAGGTATCAAGTGGGGTGACGGCGCTGCCTGCAATATCCGATGGGCAGGTGCCCCACTACGAGAAGTCCTCCTTAGCGTGGGCGTTCCCGACGGGGACCATAATTCGTATGAGGGATTCCACGTATGTTTTGCATCGTACGTGGCGCCATGCGAGGATGATGGATACTACGGTGGGTCGATACCCCTAGCGGACGCAATGAGTGAAGAAGGGGATGCTTTGCTCGCCTACGAAGTTGGTATTCTTCCAGTCCTCTGACGAGGCTTGGGTGCTGACAAGGCGGCGGTACAGATGAATGAAGAACTACTCACGCCCGATCACGGCTTCCCGTTGCGCATCGTCGTGCCTGGCACCTACGGCATGCGATGGGTGAAATGGGTAGACAGGATCACGATATCCCGACAAGAGTCCCCTAATTTCTACCAACAAAGAGATTACAAGATATTACCCGATACCGTGAGTGTTCAATGCTACTGTGATTCGTCCTCATCAACAGCATTCACTCGCGATTGAGTCGTTCAGGTTACAAGCAAAGAAGTCGCTGAATCACAGGGATGGTGGTCGCGCGTCCCGTCAATGCAGCATCTCGCATGCAATTCCGTCGTTGCGGATGTATGTCGTCTGACATCTCGTCCAGACGAAACAAGGTTGAAAGTAGCGGGGTACGCGTACTCACGCTGGCCTATCGCCCGCGTCGAGATAAGCGTCGATAACGGTAGGACGTGGGAGGATGCTTGTATCAAGTACCAGGAAGGACGGTGGAGTTGGGCTTTGTGGGAGGCTGAACTCGAAGTTACACTAGACGAAGACGCAGAAACAATAGGCTTGATCAACATCGACGAAGAGGAGAATGGTCGCTTGAAACGAAACATGGTCGTCCTTAGCCGTGCAATCGACTCCTTCGGGAACGAACAGGAACTAAACTACAAGTGGAATTTGAGGGGAGTCGGGTACTCCGGACTTGGCGAACGTCTTGTTGAGGTCTGAGCAAGTGGCACTATCGAAAGAGGACATGCCTTTGTCGCACCCACGCGGAAGCTAGAATCAGACCGGCTCCTTTTTGTAATGGAGGCGCTATGCCCCTCAGCTTATCCATTCCAGTTTTCTATCAGTACTGATAGTAGTAAGGTGAAGGTATTCAAGAAAACATCAGGCCGAGCCTCAGAACGGCGTAGGTTCATGTTATCATGTTATATCAAATACAGCGATGACCTTGTGACCCCTCAGCTATCTGTTGAACCCGAACTTCCGTGCTTATTTTGGATTTGTCGTAAACCCGCAATTCAGATAGTTACATCATATCTGATGCTGATTAGCTGGCTATATAATAACATGACACTCCTCTCTTTCGCCTCCAACGTTTAACGCTCAACTTCGTGCAAGAACTTTGCAGACGAGACGATCATGACGGGTATCGATTTGACCGTATACAAGGGATCTCCCAGCGGCAAAATTGTCAAAGGAAGCACCCACAAGGACCTCAAGCCGGACGAAGTCCTTTTGAGGATCACGCATGCGGGCCTCTGTGGCACGGACCTGCACTACAAGGACCAAGATATGGGTCTCAGCCATGAGGGCGTTGGTGTCGTAGAGAAGATTGGATCCGAAGTTACCTTCTTTAAGGTGTACGTGACATTCCTCATGTAGAGCCGCCGAGATAACTGATTGGGAATTCACAGCGGTGACCGTGCCGGTTGGGGTTACCTCCACAACGCATGTCTTCACTGTGATCAGTGCCTGAGTGGCAACGAGATATTCTGTCCCAAGCGTGCTATGTACGGAGAGGCGGATTTAGATCAGGGCGCTTTTGCAACGCACGCTGTATGGAGGGAAGCGTTTCTTTTCCATATCCCGGACGCCATAAGTTCCGCCGATGCAGCTCCTCTGATGTGCGCTGGTGCCACCGTCTTTAATGCATTAGCATTGCACGGTGTGCGCCCCGCTGATCGCGTCGGTGTGGTCGGTATCGGGGGGCTCGGGCATCTTGGTATCCAGTTCGCAGCCAAGATGGGCTGTGATGTGGTGGTGTTTTCGAGCACGAACAGCAAGCGGGATGAAGCCATGACGCTTGGAGCGAAGGAATTTTACGCGACCAAGGGAGCGAAGGAGCTCGACATTGAACGTCCTGTTAACTACTTGATGGTAACCACGTCAGCCAGTCCTGACTGGAATTTGTACGTGATGCGCGTTTGATATTTCTATGCCATTGACGAGGCAACGCAGGTACCTACCCATCATTGCACCTATGGGAACTATCGTCCCTCTCACGGTAACTGAGGGAGACTTCTCCATACCCCACATGGGTTTGGTTGGTAAAGGACTTCGGGTTCAGGGTAGCATATGCCCATCGCGTGGCTTGCACGTTGAAATGTTGCGCTTTGCGGCTCTGCACGCTATTAAACCAGTCATCCAGAAGTTCCCGCTCACCTTGGAAGGTATCCAGGAGGCGATAGACAAGTTGGAGAAAGGCCAAATCAGGTATCGTGGGGTCTTGGTTGCCCCTGGCGCGTAAGCAATGGGGAAAGTCCAAAATGTTCTGCTGTGATGTGCATGTAAAACTGTAAATTAGCATAGGGATCGCCAGTTCCACTCGAAATGCGTAGTCGAACACCTTGCGTGTTCGAATTTGTGGCTAACACCACTGTGAGGCCACTTTGGATGGCAGTCGTGCGGGAGTGACAGGGACATTGCAGCACTGGTCTCCAGTGCTAAGTTGATGTTTATGACATCGAAAAATGTGCTCTCCAGGAGAGACAGTCTCCAGTCTCCAATGCCTCCACACTGTCACTGTATCCCGATTAGGCTACCAATTTTCGCCAGCCTTCAACGGGCTGCTATGACGTCAGGGGTATTCTGAAATCCAATTTAATGAGACAGGGTTGCCCCCGCCCAAAGCCAGACGCGTTCTCATCCCCCAACTTCAAGATACTAGTTATATTACCTGTAAGAGAAATTCAAACATGTTTTCCGTTGCAGCACGTAGTTTGTTCGCCGGTCGTCGGGCACACGGAATAGTCTGTTCTGTTGTGAGCTCAACCGGGAAAAACAGGTCAGTCAGCAAACTCCGTGTAGGCAGACTCAGATTGCTTAACCTTGAGGGTTGTTCATGTAGAAAGTACTCTAGGTACGTAACTATTTCTCGGCATGGTCCAAAGCTCAAGAACAGTACACTAGCACCGTTCACGGCAACGACGCAGAGGTGAATGGGGACGATTGTTTTTTCGTGAACTTGCGCCATGCTGACTGACTCCGCAGTTATTGGAACGCGAAAAACACCGGAACCTGTCTGGCACACAACATACGACGTCCTCGCCTATCGACGATGCACCCGGTTGGAACGAATACCTTGCTACTACGTCCGAAGCCAACGTTAAGGTGTGTCTCAGGAAGATGCTGTTCATCTGCCCGCTTTCGCGAGCTGAATTCTATTTTTTTCGTTTCCCTTGCAGGCTGACCGATCCACCCTCCGACCGGAAGAACTCCAGGCGAAGACCGTCAATCACATTCGCGCTCGGCACCGCATAGACGACAGGCCCGAGGCCACAGGAACCATGGATGTTCGAGATGAAGTTTCCGGGCCACTTGGGAGTGCACAAGTAGGCGGAGTTGATAGCCTCGCTGACGTGGACCCTGGCAATAACGTCGACTCCGATGGGCGCACGGTTTTCAGACACGTTATACATGAGGAACAGGTGGACATCAAAAAGGGGTCATGACCAACAGGAGAGCGAGATTTCCCGTGAGTAGTGACACTTGAGTTGCCGGTGTTCGCTCTGTTTGTTCGATGGATAGCTGACCCTGGCACTCCAGTGAAGGTTAGCGCAATGCAACTTGAGTCGTGGTTGAGTCTATACATGTTCGTTCCGCTCGTTGCTCGGGTTTCCTTGCAGTTGCCGCGTTGTATTTCTGGATATGTAGTTTGTACAAATACTCTGGATGTACTGCATGTTGCACTCCTCTAGTGTGGTTACCGTGATTGGTGCTGCACTTGCATGTGATGAAGACCGCATGGTACCAGGAGAGTAATCGTTGCTTGAGGAGGGTACAAGGGTTGCTCTGCTTATGGCAATAGTATTACGCCCCTATACTTGCTTACTGACGCACTTCTGCTCTCTTAAGTACCTCCTGTGCCACTTTCCAATGCAGCCGCAAGGATTACTTACCGCAACTACGGAAAATCACTGTAGCAGAACTGGTGCAGTTGCCCCAGCAAAAGATCCACACCGATGACGATGTCGTGGCATGGCATAAGACGAGGGGATATCGCGACTTTTGGCTGTTTTTGCTCAGGCTTAACGAAGCCGTTGTAAACCACGCGGTACCTCGAGCAGATGGTTCATGTAGTCCAGTAAGCTGTCGACACTTCCCTCGAGTTCCGGAAGGCTGCAAAATGCATACCAGACAGCAGCTGTGCTGATCTCTATACTGGACGAGCTCGACTCATGGATCGATGATATTCCACCGCTACGATCACCGCAGCGTTTCGGAAACCTTGCCTTTCGAACTTGGGGTGATCGTTTGACGCAGGTGGGTACAACCGACGATGATATATCTTACCTCCTCCAATTCATCGCAAGCTACTCTGAACTGCAGAAATCTGACCAACTCTTGGAAAGGATTATTGGGACCAGAACTACGCGCAGTCATTCCCTACGTAAAACCAATCTTCGAGATCTCCTTCGGATCATTTTTGCGAATGGACTATGGCACTGGACATGAAACGTCTTTTGCCATGTTTCTGTGTTGTCTTACTCTCGTCAGGTTCTTTGAGCCATCGATAGACCAAGAGCGCGAGCTGGTCTTACGGGTATTCGTTCGGTATATGAGATTATGTTGGAGACTCCAAGATGTATACAAGCTTGAACCTGCAGGCAGCCATGGTGTGTGGGGTCTAGACGACTACAGCTTCCTTGGATACGTATTTGGAAGTGCTCAGCTGCGGGGTATGTTTCAGACGAGCTCTGTTGTCTTCTTGTACCAACGAGCGCCCACATAGAACAAGCGGAGTTTCCTGTATCTGCCATCCTTCGTCTTCCACTGCCACAAGATAATCTGTACTGCATATGCATCACCCGCGTTCACCAGGTCAAACATGGTCCTTTCCACGAACATTCTTCCCAGTTGTATGCTATCGCCACCGGCGTTCCAAATTGGACCAAAGTCAACTCGGGATTGCTCAAGATGTACGAGGTAAGGCACCCCTACCCCTGCAGAGACAAGCTACCAACGATTTACTGCCTCAACTCCGTAGGGAGAAGTACTAAGCAAGCGAGTGGTTGTCCAACACCTACCTCTAGGTGGTCTTCTTTCGTTAGATGAAGATTAAACAAAATGCCATACATAATCAGTGTGATTTATCTGACTTTCTTGTCACAAAGAATACCGACTACTGCGTACAACAGAAGCTGTCCAAGGTTCCTAATAAGGTCAAGCAACAAGTAGCACATTCATACAGTACAAGCGTTCCAACCTTCTCTGCCGAAAACTCTCTTATCCACTTCGGTGGACAGCATCGCCGACAGTCTCTCCGGGTATAATAACAGGACCGGGTCCAAAGGCGCCATCCCCGGGTAATGTCTCAGGTGTCGCACCCGTCTCGGTTTGGGGAATGTGAACGGCGCCCGGTGGTTGGAATCTCACTGGTCCAGGTCCAAACACACCACCAAACGCACCTAACCCTTGGAGACCAAGCTCAGGTCCAAGCTCGGCCTTGCCACTAGAGGCCGTAGCTTCGACTTGGGGTATGGACGAAGCCGGGATCCTAACGTGCAGCGCATTCTCAGAAACGACTTGATTGACTGTTGTGACCCGGCGTGGGTCGAAATAGCCACGAATATGGAGAGTTGGGGGCTGCGGGTTTTTCTCCGTCGGTTCGATGCTGTATCGCAACGGGGTAAATGAATATCCCGGTATGAAAAGGAGACTCACATCAAGTTTATGGAAGAGTTCGTTCGGTTCTCTGTGGGTGCACCGAGAACCAGGAATTTCGAGTCAGCGAGGACAGAATAGAACAAGCCAACAAGCCCAGACTGTCGCGCCACCATTTATTAGCCACGAGAATCACCAAAGACTGCCACTCTCTTACTGACCAATTGTCCCTGGTTGCCTAACACCTCTGTCTGTCCCTCAATCTGCACGCTCGCATCCGCCTCTCCGAATGCGGCACCGCTCTGCGCAAGTAGGGACTTCTTGAATTCGTCGCGGGTCAGACGCTTCGCGTTGACGACAGCATCAAGGTCCTTGGCGAAGGTCGCTTCGAAGGCTCTGTCGAAATCGACTTGGGTTTTGCTCTGGAGAAGAGCAGACAGGTGCGATGCTGCCCAGGCGGAGAGTGTAGGGAAGGACAATGGCAGGTCGACATGATTCACTGCAGGACAACGGAGGCGATTGAAAGCTGGAGAAAATCTCCAGACGCCAGCCCCCTGAGTCCCCTTATACCTTCTGTGCAAGCGCTCATAGCCAACTCCTGTGCCTTCCGTGGGGTAAATACGGAACATGACAAATAGGCTACCTTTTAATTCAACGGGCAGTGTCGTTCCGGTGCCGGAATGCCTCCGTGCGTCTGGCCGAGGCCATCGATCGCCGCATTGACGGTCATTTTCGATTCACCGTCAGGAGGTCCTTTACGATTTACCGGTGTGCAGAGACATCCTCCACGGAGAGCAGTTAGTAGCATATTGGAGGCAAGAACCTCGACTCCCATATAATTGGTACCTACTGCGCCACAGTCGTGCACAGCAAGCACAAGTTACGGCTCGACTTTATGGCAATGGCCTGCCAGCATGGCTTGGGATAAGTAAGATACCAACCTTAACCTGGATGTGCTCATGTCAGCGGCACTTCCTTTTACAACCCGGGCACCAACGTGACCTGCAGAATTCCGAGAGCGTGGTTACCTCGGCGCACCTCCTCGCCCACCCTGTCAACTAGCGCATTTCGCTCTGCGCACTTTGTCCCCTCGTTAGATATTTTGGGTCGCATAAGAAATGAAGTCACCAAGCTTCCTCCAACCCGTCTTCCGCCGTCTTACGTTTTCGGTTGATTGCCCTCTCACACCATCTATTACACATCGCCTTATCGAGAGGCTCAGCTACAGTCAGCCCCCGTAACGAACGGTACTCGTGGCGATGTTCCGCCGGATGATCAATACGTCGCAGTGACGCACTAATCTTTCAGAATAGGAAAGTGGAAGGCAAGCGAAGTGGGAAGCAAGAGGGAGGTGTCCGTGTCACAGCAAGGTGGATTCTTTTTGCCAGCTTGAATCCGTCACTTGGCACATTGGCATCCACCAGGGGAATAGTAGACATACCTGCAGGATGACTGGTGGATGGATGTAAGTAAGAAAAAGACCGCTTACATGTTAGCAGATACCTTATTCCATTCTATTCTCTCTGCGCTATCTTCACACTTGAGCCGTCGTTCTGGTCTCCATTTCTCTCTCGTTGTCTCCCAGAAGCTTTTTAATATATTGGCATCTAGAACAGACACCGCACTAGTGTCATCCCTTTCAGGTCTGCTACCTTTCGTCCAAATCTCCCCAGACCGTGGGAGATGCAAAGAAGGGGTGTACCTTGATGAACTCTAGAGTAAGATGCCGTCTTAATCTCGACCGAAGAAAACGCGACATTGTTGTGATACAGCAACAAGGGTGGTGGAAAACCCCGTACCTCATGACGAAACCCAGATATGGCAGGCTGCTAAGGACAGGTCGTCCGCTGGCGGCACAGTCGTTTCACTTCTGCATTCCAGATTTCTGCATGGGAGACGAGTTCACGCAAATCGCTTATGTGGGAGACAGAGCAATTAATACAGACCGGCCCAGATCTGTCGGTGATTTGTTTTATATTAGTGAAAGCTGCCCACGCAGTACTTGTGCATACCTAAGTCTTTTTTAGACAATTCGACTCAAGTGACGCACCCGATCACCCCGCACCTGCACGCTGACATGTACACCATTTGTCAGTATACTCACCTTGAATAATCTTGAAACAGTCAGGTGTCAACCAAGCAGCTGGCAGATGCCTGATGGCGGGAGGCTTATATCTGATGTTGCCCTGCAACGCTATTCACAACGAACGTCTCTGCGGAAGGTTTTGAGAGCTTGAAAAAGGACCTAACAGCCATCTCGTTCTGCAATGTAGTGATGAAGGCTTGTACACGAAGGAGAAGAATAGAAGAACACAGCATAGCGTCGGCCCCCCGGAGGCTATGTACACGCCATACATATCAAGAGATCATGACAGCAAAAGCATCAATAATACAACCCACAAAAAGACGCGGACAACGCGGACGTAATCGCCTCCATTAACGGAATAAATCTTTGTATTCGAAGACGGTACAGGAACCCATGTCGTCGAACTCCTTCTCGGTGGTCGGTCGACGTCGATAGGTAGATCCCAAGTGACATGGAAGAGTCTTGGCAACACCTAGGTACAACTCGCTGTGTAGGTAGGATCTTTTATGCTGTCGATTTGTGGTTGGCTGGTGCCAAGTTGATACCGAGTTCGGGATTTTGCGCTGCTTGCGATCATGGCATGCGGTATCGCACATATGTAGACACAAGCTGCGTCCACGCCGGAGCACTGAACCAAAGATAGGATGCTGAAAGGCACACTAAGGTACTGCGGAAATGATTTCCCCAGTTGGTCGCGATGTTATCTCCACACGGTGGACGAAGAGAGGTTGGGTCTCACATGACGACAATTATTCCTTGCTTCCTTCTGCTTCGACGAGTCGGGGTGCGACGAACTGATGTTGGACAATTGTTTTGTAGAAGGGAGCGGAAGACAATTTTATCTGACATAGGCCTGCATTAGTATATCTCTGAGTTCGTGTTCCATGTGGATATCGATCAGAGCGGAGATGAGTGGAACCCATTTGGTGGTTCTGGAATTTGTCACCTGAGCAACCTCAGAGCGGATGCATTTCTTTCATTTCATGGGCGTCCCACCGGCGTACCAGCAAACCTCCGTGCGACGACGCCAACAATAAAACCTGAGAGGCTGGGTTGAGGCTGCCGGCTCTCCCGCATCTGTCCTATCACCCCATGTGATGCCGCTCTCAAACGACTTCGCCTCCCTCATAGGTTTCGCTTGCGAGGCTGTTTTGTACGGTAAATTACCCCACATCTGACCCGATCACGCTGAGGGCCAACCATCGATGATGCAGGTGTCAACGCCGTTCTTTTCCTGGCTTCTCTGGTCATCCTGCACACGAGGCGTAAACAAAACAATATCTTTCACCCAGTTATTCTCCTCAACGGCCTCATATTTCTATGTTGTACCGCTCATTTTGCAATCGAGTTTAATCACTTTGTTGCTGCACTGGTACGTCTCTCTCTCCCTCCCTGCGTGGTTTGCCTCACTCATTACAACAAGGGAAGCACTGGCGTCGATGGTTACGCCAACGAGACCATGCCCCTTCTCGGGGCAGATATCCTTGTATCTGTCACTGACTTCCTCGGTGACGTTGTCCTCATATATCGTTGCTGGATGATATGGGCACACGCGCCCATCGTCGTTGTCCTTCCTTTCCTTGCAGCACTCGGTGGTTTGGGTACGTTCTTCCTCGCGCTATCCCCATTCTGAAACTAACCGTCTCCTTTGCAGCCTGTATCGCAGGAGTCGCGCACCTCGTCCTCACTACGAACCCCACGTCCCCCGCGCCCCCACCTGCCATTGTTCCACTCGGCCTGGCGGGCTACATTTTACCATTGTGTACGAACTCCATCGTGACATTACTCATCGTCTTCAAAATTTGGCATGCGTCTCGTGGGCTTCCTGGCTCTCCCGAGTTCGTCGGACGTGGCGCCGCTCGTCACGCCATGAGCCTCATCATCGAAAGTGGCTTGCTCTACCTTATCGCCCAGCTGGTCTATGTCGTTCTTTTCGCTCTCAATCACCCTGCCCTTGCCATTGTGGCAGTCATGGCCGTTCAAATATACGTACGTCATGTTCTACCTGCTTGATCATCCAGATTTTTCTAAGACACCGCTTACTTTTCAGGGAATCGCCCCAACCCTCATCATTATTCGTGTCGCACTCGGCCTTTCCTCAGAACACACCTCCGACACGATGGTATCCACAGGCATCAGATGGGTCGCACGGCGCGGCGTGACGTCTGGCGTGTCCCCCCGGCGTTACACGGACGGACTGGAAGCAGTGACTGACATGGAAAACGATAGTGCCGTGAAAGAGTCTGTGTTTAAATCAGAGTCAAGTTTTCCCACTGTGATCGGGTCTAAGGACACGTGCCAACCAAGCGACCAAAAACACCATTCGCCGGCTTGAAATTACACGCGAAGTGAAGCGTTCTGTGCGGCGTGCTTATTGCGCAGGAGGACGAAGCGACAGTAGTGATAAGACATACTTCTAGCTGCCTGATGTCTTTGCGAAACCCTGACGTTGTGTACGATACCCTACGTGAACTACAAACATTAACATAATTCTGAGGCTCCCTTTTCCACATTCGGATACAAACGTAAGTTATGTAGGCAGTAGAAGTTGGGTTAGACATTGTAATAAGAACCAGTCTTCAGTGAAAGAACCAGTAACAATCTATCTGGGATGATCACCAATGCAGTATTGTTCCAATGAAACGAAACAGCCCCTCTTTGTGTGTGCATAGACACGACATGCAAGTTTACCTACTGGTGTCAATTCTATTATTCCCCTGGTACTCCTCGTTGATTGGTAAACTCGGATTCTCCAGCATGAAATCCGTCAATTTTGTCCAGTCCTTACACCGGTGCACCGCGCCCACGCCATTCGCCGTGTGATGCCAGCTCCCATCAGGCGCCATTTGCGGAATATCGGGTTCGAGCGTCGTATCGGCGTGGCACAATAGTATTTGTCTCAAATATCTCAAACAATGCTGAATATGCTGGGCGGCGTGCGTTCGGTTGACGAGAAATCCAACTCGGATGACGTCTAGACAGTGGAATTGGTGGTAGAGAGAGATGACGAACGTGCGGTTGTGAGGACCGACTCGCGCGAACCCATCGGAAGGGAAGAGTGAACCCCACTCGTCGTCGTCCCAGAGGTCAAAATGACCATGCCCTTCTTGGAGAACAAGGCTGACGTCGGGCAGGTCTATCGGAAGTTGGGCAGGGTGGTCGTCACCCATCCAGGCTGCACAAATCAGATCGAATAACAGAGATTCCGGAAAAGTACTTACTATACTCTCTTGGGGTCTGGAGAGTGAAGGAGTTGATGAGAGATATGTTATACAGCGTAAAGGCGACATTGGTCAAGGTGATGACAGAGAGGACTATGAAGCAAACGTATGGCGTTTGTGGGAACTGCCAGCTTCTCGACTCGTGATACAACCTGGGCATGGCGCGATGGCGCTTGAAGGTTAACGGAGTTCAAGAGCGGAGGAAGTGTTCCTAGCAAGTATATAAAGAGATTGGAGTCCTTTGCCCTAGTCAAAATGACGCTGATAATAGAGTAACGGCAGCCGGGGAACGGGTACAAGCGATACGATAATATCCTGGTTAGGACCGTCCCATCACAGGCTGTGACCGCGCCCTAAATATCAAACCAAGTCAGTGCAAAACGAAAGAGAGAAGACCAACAGGCACCTGTGAGCTGTGATGCCGAATGCTCCTGCGCTGCGGCCGAGGAGGATGCCCAGAACGACAGGAAAGGCTGTACTCGCGAACGAACGGGACGAAGTTCGTGGCCACATGGACCAATATTATTACATACGATGATGGTGCAATGAGGCTTGCCATCATCGCCTGCCACCCCTTGCCACCAGGACGGTGATTCTCGGGGACTTTGTTTTTTTTTTTCATAGTCGGGCGTCAGATGATGCTGGAACGGTCGTTATTACTTACCTAACCTCTCCTCGATGGCACGAACCAACAGCCTCTAAACCACTTGCTCCAAGACCTTGCTCCCTTTGTACCTAGGCGCTGTTCGAGTTGCAACGAAGCATCGCAAGAACTTCACGGTGAACACCGCCCACAGCATCGCAGCCGAATAGTCGGACTCGGCGTCGTGGTAAATTATTACTTTTGCTTCCGCGGGCGCATTTTGTCATAACACTGCCCACGGAACCATATCATTGCATCATGTACTGCATCACGCCGACGCGGGGTTTAGGATGATGGTAACTCACGAATCCGATTTATAATCTTAGCATTCGACGTACCACTCCCCACATTTTTCCGCAAGTCTGCGCAACTACATATTACCCTACCTTGCTGGCCCCTGAAGGCCTGACCCTGGGGCCTAAACTCCCGAAAGAGGTCAGCATATCAGTCTCGTATCAATCATATCAGCCCATCATGTTCACAGATGAACCACGTATACTCACCCCTCAACCAAGTTGCTGAAGACGATTCATCTGTCGAGAAAATTCAGCATTCTTCCCTTAGCAAGCCTGGAGATGACCAGCCCGTCTATATTAAACGGCGGAGTCTCCTCTTCCCACCACAATGCCTCAGTGTGGTGTCAATCGTTTTCCTTGTCATAAATGCCCTGTGCCTATTTGCTACCATGCGGCAGCTTTTCTTCGCTGCACGGGCCATGAAGCCGCTTCTGGAAGGCCATACTTTTCTTGACACTCGGGATTTGCCTCGTCCAGACCCATACTATGGACTCTAGTTGATGGTTATACTATCACTCCTGGCTTAGAGTTCAATGAACAGGGCTGCGGACGGGATAAGGATAAGGGGTAGTACATGACAGTTTCCACTTATGTGTACTGGTAGTTTTTGTCTCCTGTCGCCATACATTCGGAGAACAAGGATACCCACTCATGGGTGGTATTAGCATTCGTCAGCCTGCCCCCTTTGTTACGTAGGCCCTCACGTCGGGTTTCTTGACTATGTACCTTTGTGACCAGACTCAGCACAACTCTGAAGTAAGGTGTAAATGTAGAACAAGAGCATGAATCAGAACAAGAGCATGAATCATAAAGCCAGCCTAGTCATATAATTGTGACGATAATATGTACCGGTAGCTGTGCGCGACAAAATGAGTCGGATCCCCATTATGGTGGTAGCGAACAGAAGTCACCTACTGTGTAGCTGACTACAGCGATTGAGCCCGGCATACTACGACAATCATTGTGTGTCAAAGGCACCGTGTGTGTTTCCGAGTTTGAAGGTTTAGGATTTCCAATGGACGGAAGGACTGTATCACCGCTTGGTCCACTCGTCGCCACGAGGGCACTGCATGGTGTGGCAGGTACACCATATAAATCCCCTCCATCTCCAGCCTATCATGCACCCCTACTTATCACTCGCTAGAACTCCACCCTTTCACTTTTATTTTATAAAGTGAACAACGCTCACATATATCACCATGTTCGCAAGGGCTTCGTTATTGATTTGCACCATCCTCATCTTCGAAATGCCAGCAATTCTCGGAGCAGCTGTAGTCCGTTCCAGTTAGTATACTTCACTGTCCTTTTCTCCGCCATTTACAAAGTTCACAGTACCACCCTGTACAACGTCGGCGATAAACACGCCGGGAACTTCCCCTGGAGGACTCATGTGGGAGGGCACCGAGCACCAAGTGGTTGGCAATGAACGTTCAGCAGTACCACAGCCAGCTCCAACGCCCAATGCACCCGAGGATCGTGGCATCGTGGCAGTGGGGAGGGCTCCGTCTCCTGCTAAGGATGCGATGTGGGTAGGCACAGACAACCAAAACATGCCACAGAGACTGCGGCGCGAAGGGGACACGGATAAAGCACCCCGTAGTCCGATGCCAGCTCCTGCTCGGGGTGCCATGTGGAAGGGCCGCGAGCACGAAGAGGCCATGCGAGGTGTGTAATACCGACACTTGAACAAACATCCTAACCAACTCACTATTTCGAGGTCGCACTGAGGGATTCGAGCCACTAACTGGCGCCATGTGGAAGAACAGGGTACATGAAGAATCTATTGGTGGAAAGAAGAGAGGTTAGTTAATATTCCCGAATTTTGGATTTGAACGGCCATCTCAGGCAACTCATCATTTCAAGGGGTCGAGCGGAGAGATAGTGATGATAATAGCGTAATGGCTGGCGCTGGCGCTATGTGGAAGAACAAGGTGCACGAAGAGTTCAAAGACGGAAAGAAGTAACGTTAGTTAATAGACCTGGATTTCCCAAGCTCCTGCCATCCAGTGAGTTTCAAGATGACTTGGAATGCAAGCAACGGAGCACTCGCCTTGATGATCTCGGTGTCGAAGTAAAGAATATAATCGGAATTATTGTTTCTATCTCAAGACAACTTATTTATCAACTTCGGTCCCTCTTTCAGAACATACCTTTTTGACGTCCGTTCCTTGCATGTACCAGCTGCAACGGTCAAGTTATTTTAACCCTTGCTCTTCGCAGTAGATGCTTCCTAAGTTAGTAGATTGTAGTTGCGTAATCGATACTGTTGACCTGGCAAGACTGCAAAACCGGCCCGGAAAATTTTATCTGGACAACGGCACTGTGTCAGCATGGTACCGCACAAACGAATAGCACCAACGCGAAGGGTGTGGGTGTTCAGTTGAGTGGAAATTTTCGAAACTGCCATACAGCAACATTCAACCACATCCCTTTACGGGATATAACTCCACTGACGGAGCTTACCATGTCGATCACCGCTGTCACTCGTTTTTGACACTTCATGTCACCAATCCAATATTGACCATGTGCATTCCTCGGAATTACACCAGACAAGCGCCCTTGACGCGGTCTCAATGCCGATCGTGGACCGAGGGGAAAAACTCCTGTCCAAAGAACTGGCCTATTCTGAGCTAGTGACGCTTGTTCCGAGGAGAGATCGTGAAACAACGTTCTGGAAACTGGGGCGGTGTCAGCTAGCTTCCATCAGCCAGGGACGCTCGCATAGGAACGAGCCTCCATGGCGCGCGACGGTTTTAATCTCTCCGGGAGTCGTGTACGTAGTAACCATGGGGTTCGGCAACCAAGAAATGTGACTTGTAACGGGCAATCGTCACCCACCACTGCCTGCTGTCCTTTAAGAGTTGGCAGGGGTCAGTACGACACCGACCACACAAATCTGCATCGATAAGCTAGACTGGCGCCAGGATCCCAGAATGCCCATTTCCGCTTTGGTCATTCCAGTTCGGATGGTTCATGGCAAAATATCCCTTTTCCCACGTTCTGTACTAGACCGCCCAACAACCATTACCTTCCAGGTAGCAAGAACAGCATAAACGCAAAGGACGCCCGCTTTCAAAGAGTTTGCATTCGAAAAACCGGTTTACTGGTAAGCCAACTAGCGGTGGTGTACCAGTTCCTTAGTCGCTTGCATGGAGACCTGTCCAAGAGATGAATCATAAGAACATTTAGTAAAACGCCAGAACTTCGTGGATGTGTTACATTGATCCTTCCTATGTGTGCATTTTGCATTATGTGCAATTGGCCCCCACCTTACCGCAAGGCGCAGACCCGCCGACTTTCTTTCCGCCACCGTCGTATCTCTCCTCGCAGCGGCTCTGATGAAGTCTGCACAGGTGCTGATTGAGGACGGGCCAAGGGAAGATGACCAGTGGGGTTCAATATGGAAAAAGAATGCCCACCCAGAGGAATGGGAGAATGCGTGATCTTTGGAGAATGGGGATGACCGAACTTTGATGCTGAGCTGATGGTTACATCACATCCGAGTGGACAGGCAGCCTCAATAGGCCTCAGGGCAACCTGCATCTTGTCCCTGAACAATGATTGATGAACTAGGGTTGAGGGTAGACCCTGGTAGACCATTCCTATTCTGAATTGCAGACTAACACCGATGCTTCCTAAGCCGATGATCCGTTAAATTACCAGAACACCATCGCATTGCAGCAAAGCTTGCGAGTCTTACGGTGCTATCGACATACCAGACACGGGTTTTTCCCACTGGTAATTCTAGTCGTCGGCACCAGTTACAATAAACAGATCGGACGAACCTCGAATACAAATTTTTTCTTGGAATGCGAACGACTTCACCTCGAGCAAAAACGTTGAGAAGGTGGCACTGTGGAAAGTAGGATCAAGTGTTGAGGGGGATGGATGGATAAGTAACGGGTTGCTACTCGCCGACAGATGGACAAAGAAATCTATTCTAGATGACTGTCATCTGTTTCAGGGGGACTATTCATGACTCGAGTCTGACGAGACCGGAGTAGCGTTAATGAAGTTCTTGTCATTTGGACATGACGGAGCGCTGCCACGTGAGGCCATGATCTCGATCAACAAGGACTGTTGGCCGCCTTGGACAAGGCGGACTCACGAACCGGTGAGCGCGGGGAGGATAACATGATTGACTGTCACTGAGCGCTATGAACCGCATCAATTCCATTCAAGTCGCTACGTAACTCGGCCGAGTTATGCAAGCAATGTCCCTGAAGGCCTGACTACTAATTCTCTACCGTAGCAGTCGCAGAGTCCATTCTGTGGAACGAGAACCAGAAAAGACCTTCTAGTTGCAGTAATAAGAAAGCTACCACGGTGTCATCATCCATGCAGCGCCCTGTAAGAGAACCTATCCTTTCTAAGAATACGGAATATAAACTCTCATTCATTTGCCTTGTTATATAGAATGTGTGCGCGCCAGAGACTCGACCCCCGCAACTATCTAGGACAGAGCCGAGAGCCTTGACGCGTCGATAGCGGATAAGGCGATCATCGATATCATCACTTGAAAAGTACATCACGAGGTAAACAGGTAAACACCCCCCTTGAAAGTTGTAGAGGTGATGCATTACAACGCCGAGGTCAGCGGTGGGGAGCCCGACGCTTAGTCTGCCGCAGGCCTGTGATCACTGATCTGAACAAATAGGAAAGGCTGTGGAGGCCCAACTGTGGGAGCGGTGGCTGCTAGATGGGATTGTCAAGGCTACTTGAACCTACTACATCAAGTGTTCAATGTGTTATGGTGTACATGGTGCCTAGCTGGAGAAGAACAGAAGTGCGAACATATGTCCACACCTCTTGAATGGACCTGGTAGCAGGAGGCGTGGACAGATGTTTGCGGCGCATGCAATACACGTCATACTGCTGGTCAGCGCTTTCTCATTTTATTTGGCGGTGCCAGTAGTCGTTTCATCTCGCTTGGTTCCGTTAAAGGGGGAAGGCACGAATGTTAGGTCGCCGCTCTAACAGCTGATAGGGGAAGCGGGACAGACAGGTGACAGGAGCATGACGACCAACTACAGTGCGATGCTGCAATGATTACTGCCTCTTCGCCACAGAGGCCGTGATTCCCTTTGACTCCCCTTGGTCATCAGGGATAAAGAGCAAGAATGACAGTTGAACAGACGTACCAAGGTCCTAGAATCCGCTCCAGCCTCCCCTGTAATTTCGCTTTTTCTCCTTCCCTATCTTACGAAACATCACTACAATCATGCGCCTTACCTGGTTCTGCGTCTGTGTCCTCCTGTCCACCATCACATCACCCGTAATTGGTGCCCCAATCGCCCGTGCACCAGCCGAAGTCGGCATTGAACAAAGATTGCTAGAAGACACGTTACACGAAGATGTTCATCGGGGGATTGATGAAGGTGAGCGAATAGACCACTATTCAGCCCATCGAGAATTAAAACCAATGAATGCAGTTACGTCAACCATGAGGCGGAGGTCGCCTGAAGGGGAGATGTGGAAGAACAACGTCCATGAAGAGGTGCGAGAGAACGCGCCGTCCGCTAGCCGTAAGCAGACTGACCCGCGACATACTGATGATAGTAAAGCTCACCCCTTCGACCCAGCAACACCCAGCTACTCGCGAGACAAGCGACTATCGCCGGTTGCCATCTCGGATGAACTCCAGGCATAAAGTGGTGGCCATACCCACATCCTTCCTTTTTTTTTCCGGGCTCACTAGCTTGGGTTACCAATGCTAGCCATATCCGACGGTTGCACACGCGGGTATTTACCTTATATCAGTCAACGGACTTGCGGCGTCCACCACCTGTATCTTTTCATTCGACGACACTCACGAGCCATTAACAAGAGGTTATATTGTTAGCATTGTCACGAGGATATATTACGTATATATTACTTACATCTATATAAATAACTTATTCGACGGTTAGATACCCCCCATCTAGTATGAACTGTAGCTATTGCCAGAATGTCGGGGAATGAGGAATAAATCCAATGCAGGTGTCTACTCACTTGAAGTGTCGAAAGTACGATAACCACCGTGGGCAGCCATCTCGGATCCAGGAATTTCTGCAAGTCCTCTTCAATGGGAAACCGGAACTCGTCGTCATCGAGATATGCATAGCGTCGCGTGCCACTGATACCCCGAATGAACAGCCTCAGAGATCACCGAGTTGTCCACCTTCACAATGCAAGCGCGATCTGTCTACACCAACAATTTGAAAACGTCGCACACTGGTGCTCTAGTTCGTGTCATAGAATTCTCCAAAGTTCTCTGCTCCGAGTTTGCCTGGGTTAGAAGTTGCATGTCATACCTTGGTATGCACCGTTGTGGCGGGACAGAACTTTGCCCCTCGGCCCCTAATAAAGAAAAGGGGTAGGACGTCGCAGACAGCGGATGACGCGGTACCCGCCATCTGTCGCCAGCAAGAACTTCCCTATTAGGCATTCCATTGCAACTCAAAACCAACCGGGCCCGACCACCACGCTCCTTGCCCAGGCTGAGGCCCATGCAAGCATCTCAGCGACGACCTATTCACGATCAAACGACGCGCTTCTCTTTTTAAAATCTAACTTATATACCTTCAGTTCGTCCCAGAACTCACCACCTTCCTTCCCGCATAACGGCGTGCCATTCGTCTCCACTGACGTCTTAACATGCCATGGACTGTGGGGTTGTCTTATTTCTCCCTGATACCCCTCGCCTTCGCTCAGTACGTGCCATCCCCGAGGTAAGTCCTTCAACACTGCCCTCCCCTGTATTGACTTGCATACCGCCGTGCGAACAGGTGGGCTCAGGCAACAGCTTCTTTGGGAAACATTGTACTTGTGCATGGCGGGTTGTCCGATCCGTACGATTCCTACTCCTACACTTCCGCACCGGCTATTTCAGATTTGCTGTTGCTTGATCTATCCACGTCTTTTGGTATATCAACCCCTCCCTGGAACCTCCTTTCCGCAAATTCGTCACCTGCACTAGCTTGGCACACATTTTCAGCATTCAATACAACAAACCTACTGCTCTTTGGAGGCCAACCAGGACCAAATTCACAAACAGTTTTGACAACACTCAATGACTCGGCTACTTTGCTTTCAGTCACTAAGATGACGGACCCTAACTTCTCCGTTGAGCCGGAGAGTTGGGCAAGCGAACCTATACGTAGAATACGCCACGCTGCGTCGACCATCAATGGAAAAGTATACATCACCGGGGGTGAAAAGGCAGATGGATCTGGAAATGCTTTCTCTGAGCACTATGTGTTCGACCCTCTCGCAGCGGAATTTAGTCACTTGCCCTCGAACGCCAATTCACCCCCTGACATCTACGGTCATTCTTCACTCGTCTTGTCAGATAGCAGATTGGTTGTGCTTGGAGGATACTGTGCCTCCTGTGGACAACTCGTACCTTTGAACACGATTTGGTCGCTCGATACACACATGGATGATTCTAACTGGGAACTCCTGGTTGTGTCCAACTCATCATTACCGACCTCACGTAGAGAATTCGCTGCGGTCTCCCTCCCGGATGGGAACATCCTGATCCATGGAGGTGCTGATGCAGCGCTACAGCAGACATATAGCGATGGCTGGATCCTAGACACAGGTACAACCCCAATGACATGGAAGAGCGTGGAGGCTCTCTCACAAATTGGCGCAAGGAAGAATCACTTCGCAGTCCAGGCGGGGGGGCTCGTCCTATTTGGTTTCGGTAAGTCGCAGTCACGCAATGTGTTTCCGTGGTTGAACCGTCTATCAGGGTATGGTTCCTCGGCCCCTGCCTCTGCTTCTATTTTCGTATATGACCCTGCGAGTTCGACTATGACTTCGTCGTTTTCTGCACCACCCAATTCCACACCTACGCATCAATCCCTTTCACACCCTACCCAGACCGGTTTTGCAGGTTCCCCTGACTCAGGCGTCACTGGCAACACTGGCACCAGGTCTGCAAATACACCCTTGGGTCAGGCGACGAGTTCCTCCCCTTCGGGTTCACAGGGCACAAATTCCGGCCCTGGGTCATCTCAAACTCTTGCAATTGCACTTGGAACCACGTTTGGATTTTTGGGCTTAGTTTCCGGAGCCGCGGTGGTCTACTTCGTGAAACGCAAGCACAATGGAAATGGATCAGGGAGATTCGTTCTGCTTGGAGGAGACCTTGAGGATAAGGGAGGTAACGCTGGATCAGCTAGTGGCATCGTTACCACCGCGGGCGACAACAGAGCAAGTCGGTTCGGCAATGTACTTGCTTATATTGGCTTCAGCAGGGGCCACAGGGATCAACACCGGCCACGCAGGGATATGTTCGCCGATGAAGATACACGCTCCTTTACGTGGGGCAGTCGACTTATGATGACACACAGAGAAGGTAGTGACGTGACCGGCGCGTGGTCATTGCGCTCCATGGGTGCCATGGTCCGTGGCATGATGTCCCGCGAGCCGAGTACGTCCGGTACCGGTGGCGATCGAAGCGACGGGTTAGATCGTATCGCTGGAGACAGAGACGAGTTGATTGCCAGTGAGAAAAGCACACATGACAAGAGGGTCCGGGAAGAGTCGCGAGGAAGAAGTGGTGGAGGACGGACGTATGCCGACCCATTCGCGGATCCCCCGACAGAGGATGACTACCCCTGGCTTGACTTGCGCCCTGGCGTACTGGAGCGAGACGAGGAGTATGATGGCCCTGTGGGGCGTGATATATCATTAGAAGACTACGATTTGACGCTATCTCCTTTGTCGAAGATCCCTTCACCAATTACCTTCCCCCTTCGCACACTCAGTCCTCTGAAGCAAGTCACCCACACCTCTACTTTGAACCAATCCAATCCTCTTTGTACTCCGCTGGAGCCTTCCCATCTTAATTCGCCTACCTCTGCCTCGGAGCCGAAGTCGCCCATCAGTCCGATAACTCTTCGCACCTTCTATCCCCCTTCCCTCGAGAACTCTTCATGCCACCCACCCCTTTCCCAAACAATGCATCGTTCAAACAGCTGGTGGGCCCGCTTCGCTAAAACATCCCTCCTCGATAGGCGAGGCTCCGTTACTTCCAACAACAGCAAGCCCCTCGTCTTCAGAGATCCAAACCCTGCGCCTCCATTGTCAGTAATAGAAGAAGCTTCCACTTCCAAACACTCGCCAACGGAACCGGGAACCCCTCCAAGGGAACGACATACCCGTTCTATTGCATCATCGCACAGCATGCGTACTGCTAATACGGAATCCGCAGAGCGGCTCGGAGGGAACTACGACGTCGTGCAGCGTGCGCTATCTGAGGCGTCGGGGTCCCGACATACCCTTGCCTCGAGTACTCTGGAAACTGCCGCCACCAGTACTTTTATAGAGTCCGAAAAGAAGCATGGTTTGTTGGCCGTCAACCGAATCAGTGACGCCACGGGAAATGAGTCCATTCTGAGCCACAGCTCGTCGTTCCAGGGTTCGGTGTCATCCCTTCCTCCACAGACACCAGTCTCAGCCAGTTTGACGAAGACAATAGCGACTGGACTGAACACGAGATCGCGATCGCCACTTGCAAAGACCATCAACTCCGCCATGCACGACAATCCCTCCTCGCCTTTGACCTCGCCAACAGCCAACAGCGGCTCAGAAATACTGCAGAAAGTCCGTGCCTATGAGCGGCGATTATCGCAGGACCTTGAGTCGCAATTCCCTTCGCCGCCAAGCAACACTCGTAAGCGAGAGGAGGTACCCTCGCGGAGTCGACCGACGATTAAGTATGGACTTGCCCCTCGCGCTTCCTTGTATGTCGCCAACCCGGACGCAGAGTATCAGGACCCTTCATGAACAAGAATGGTTTCGTTCTTTTTGTGCGTATAGATTTGCCCTTCTGTCCAACCTACTACTATCCATATAAGTATGTACCTTGTACGTCGTCACCCTCACGTTATTGTATCGTTGGCTGTTTGTGATGAGACTCTTGTTGAGCATTTTTGGTTCGCTCGTTGCTGTGAACTATGTAGCCTCACGGACCGCAATGGTAGCTATTATAGCTAGCGTTTTTGCCCTGTCAAGTTAGCCACATATTCGTCCGTTTGATTTCTGGATTATTTCTTACGTGACATTGGAGAACACAGGAAGCGCCGTGTGGTGCTGTACTTAGGTTTAGGTGGTCTTCATAGTTGACGCTAACTCGGAGCTTAGCATTACTATCACCTTCTCGAGTGCAAAAGATAATTGTTACAGGCAAAGCAAAATTAAACCATGTGATGCTTTGCTCACTTCTTTATGACTTTATGACCGCCACGATCCATGGTCAAACCTTGGGACAATTTTGCTCCCGACGGCGGATGACAATAGTAAACCGGTGTGTCCATGATCATCATCATATCGCGATCCATCGTGCACTGCGATGAGCTCATCGTTCTATCATGATTCTCGTAGTATCACGGCAATGGTTATTCAATTTCCAAACGCGCACTTTTCTTCGAGAGTTAAGTTCAAGTTGTTTCATCGTGAGCGTCTAGATAATTCTCAGTTTCGAATACTTCTGGAGAAGGGATGACGAAAGTGTCTAGAAGTGCATTCTCTCGCCCAGTGACCGCGACGCCTGCGTTCTGGCGAAAATGAAAGCCAAAGTTCTTGTACATGGCTCGAAACTGGTCGAATTAATATACCATTCTCACCGTTCCAAACGACTTCTTCCAAGGAACCCAACCCAACTTCGTGTAGGTAAGACCTGTCATTCGATTCTTAGATAATGATAATTAAACCCAAGGACCAGAAATCAAAGCATGAAAAGGGACTCCACTGTTCTTCTTAACGGTGTTGCCCTCGGAGCAGGCGTAGACGGGCATTATCATCAGCGCGAGCAGTCCATACTCTTCATCCCGCGACACCTCGAGGCTAGGTACGTGGGATGCAGTGTTTGGCTGCGCGGTGGCCAGTACCAACACAACGCTAAGTCTCGCTTTCTCCGCCGTCGTGCTTCCGCAAAGCGAAGATGGCTCAGTGTTATTCGCACCGGGACCATGCAAAGGATACCGAGAGACGAGTCAAAGCTTAGCTAGGTTGACCATTTGTAGATCGAAACAGGTTAAGACATGATGTCGAATTCACGGGGACAACGGTGATGAAACTGCACATCAGATGAATCGCCACCAACTTCCAACCGTACGTGGATAAACTAGAATCTAGAGTCTGAACCATAGTAGTGGTTCCGAGTTCGTCTTCGGGCGAATTAGCAGTCGGCGCCTGAGTGGAGCCCCGCTATCACCAGAGGTGCTGGTACAGGCGTACGTATTCTGGTGCCTGTAAGGTGATCGACCATAAGGGCGGTAACGCGGTACTCGCGGGAAAATAATAGTAGATGGCGCAGCCGCCTCCGGCCAAACGACGAAAACCAAGGTGACCGTGGAACGGATGGGTTCTAGGCGCACAGACGATGAAAGTGGAGCGCACTGTAGATGGGAAGTCCATTTGACCACTAGTGGAAAGATTACCACAGAACCCGGGAATGAAAATACCAGCGGGAACCTGACCGGTGACCGAGGTGTCATGTGTTTCTCAACCTTCTTCTTCGTTTCATGCGGAAAACGGAAATGTTCCCTGTATCAGAAATTTACTCTGAAGTTGGCCGCAAAAACCGACTTTTGTGATGCCGTCGCATCACTGAGGGGGGTGATCAATCACAAGTAGGCTGGCCACGCTGTGCGAAGTGTGATCAGCGACCCTAGGAGAGCTGGACAGAGACAGACCATGGTTTATGACCCAGGCGCAGTGCCTCATGCGTGGCAAAAAAGGTGATTGGCCTTTGAATCCGGAAAGGAGTTGTGAAAGTTGGACCTGGTTGGACGTGCCATGCTGTGGAAGATAACGTGTGGTATACAGCACAACTCGGTCCGCTTTATTAATCGAGCAGTTAACCCCGTCTTCACCTCCGTAGGGGGGGGGGCAGATCTGTCGGCTGAACGGGGAAGATTGTGCTCATGCCTCAGAATAAGACCTCAGATAAGGATTACGGGCAGCTAGTGGCGAGGGGCAAAAGGAGCGCTTAAGCTCCGATATCTGAACCATATACGAGAACAAAGATAAGCTCTAAGTCAAGAGGGTGAAACGGTGCCGCAAACGTGATATGACCATTGAGAAATAGAAGGTATCTGACACAGCAGGTGAGAGTTATATTAACATTAATACCAAGCGGTATCTACGTACGTACATGACGGGATGTCTGTGCTCTGTGAGAGAAAGATGAGAGAGAGATGCGGCTGCCAATCACGTGGTATGTACACCTGCACGAGAGGTGGCTGTCGCATCGGCTAGATTACTATCTAGGTAGTAGACCTGCCGTTCAAATTTGAAAATTCTTATGAATGATCGCTAGTCGGTATATGGTCATGACTAGCGGCGGAACTTGAGCGAAACGTCAAGTTGGCTGGACAGCTCCGATTGATGGCCCCCAGCCAAGCACAGGAACGAAATACGGCACGAGGGTGGAGATATGGGACCTATAGCGAACGAAGCTTCATAGATCAGGTCTATCAGGGCCATAATAAAGGGTATTCATTGTCTGGCCATTAGGTCCTTCCGGGACTCAGATCAGTACTGTCTCTGTATGGCACATATGGCTATCAGAATGCTTAATCTCACCAATGGGAATGAGAGTTTTGCACTGATTGGTCCGCAGCCAGGGAGACCTCGCACCTTTGTAGTACCGATGGGAAATTCTCATCGACTATCGATGCTGACGGTTCTATTCGCCTCGTCGTTGTTTGGGCAAGTACGATATGTTGTATAAAACATAGTATGAACGATCGCCGGGCTTGACGCTTGGAGGGCGTTTCCCAGCGTTTCGCAAGCCGCGAAGGAATTAATTTAAAAATATGTTCGCTGTGCTCAAAAACAAAATTGAGTGGAGAGCGCTCTCGGGCGACGTCCGCACTGTAGTACCATAACGTTCCGGGGATCGAAGCCCCCTGTCAACTGACGTACCGGCTTACAGTAAGGGGCACGAACCTGTATGAATCAAATCTCATGTCAGCACTAATAGGAAGAGTCCAGCCGCAACAATATATCCATTTCGTAGGCGCCCCTTGTTTTCCAAGGGTATCCCCGGTGAGCTAATAATGTACTTTTGCCAAAAGGCTGGAGGTCAGGGCATCATAACATTGTGTGGCCGTGTGTGGGATGCGTTACTTGACGCTGAATCGCCCAGATTGAGTAGGGCCGCGAAATTCTCGGAGTCGGGCTTGCACCTGGCCAAATACCATGCCATGAGGCGCTTATCAAGCTTGAAGGTCGAAAGGTTCCATTCCACACCCTCGCCTTGGAAAAGACAGAGTAATTGATTCGGAAAAAGAACTTGAGCCTCAGGGTGAGATGATGGCTGGTCGCAGTGATATGGCCATTTCACAAGCCTCCCAGTTAACCGGTGTCACAATCAGTGTGTTCCATTGCAGTGGACTGTCGATTGAGCCTGCAACTTCCTTGCCATGCCCATGTTTTTACTTCTTGCCAACCCCCTCGGCGCCCGGTAACGGAAGCTGCCGGTAAGGGTAGATGGGAAGTGGTAGTACGGGGTGGACCCCTGCCACCCTTTGGACCTTCCTTGAAAGGAAGTATAAGCTCCTGTATTATGAAGAGTAGAATATGGCTTGCAAGCGCCGACAACTTGGTACAGCCGCCGCGTCCACCGTTGCTCTGATTAGGAAGTGGGCGCTATCAGCCTCGTGCCGGTCAATGCGCAGCCACCGTCATCACCCGTCTCTCTTATTAGGCTTAGCGTTGTGAACATATGACCATTGTGAACTTTGAATTTGATTCCATACTTATCTCTTGCTGTGCAGACGTATAATAGGTACGCCCACACACGCCCACACACGTATTTGTTCCGTGCACGTCGTACATTCGTCTGTACAATCCAGCCAAACTTGCAGCATTTCAGTCTACGCTTTCAGATCTGCAATCACTTGCTCCAACCCCGATTTGTCCGCGATCTGCTCCAGGTCCTGTATGGAACAAGGACGAAATGGTCAGCCACTATCCAGCCCGATCCAAAAAATGCAGTTCCTAACTGACCGCGAGAAGAAGTTCGATGTATTTCTTCTTAGCTTCTTCTTTTGATACACCCTCGACGCTCTTGTGTGCGTCCCTGGTTCATATGTGCGTCAGTTGTATTGCATATCGACATCGGAACACGATGGACCATTTGGCTTTGCCTACGAAGTCGAACATGCCTGGACGTGCAGTGCTGACGTCCCCCTCTGTGGCTGTGGTATGGCAAATCAGCATGGAAAAGATTGATAGACGGAGCAGAGGAATCGGTACCCTGCTTGTAGTACTTGTAGTACTGATACGGTTGCAGTCCATCTCAGCTATTGGTCGTAGAGGAGGCTGGGCGTCCTCACCTCGAGCTTCCTATCCTGACTGGGTTGGAAAGGCCCTTCCTTGGGTTGGCTCTGCACGAACTTGTAGGCTTTCTCGAATTTCTCGTCCAAAGTGAGAGTCATGGTGTGGGCGTCAAAAAGGACAATGAAGAGGCTTAGAGTCGGGTGGTGTTCAGGCTTTTGTGGGCTAGCTGGTCTGCCAGAGGAGCTGATGAATGTGAAACCGCGTTCAGATTATCGCAGATCTTGGAGTGTGTTGATTTGTTTATCTTATCGGCTTAGGTGAAACCGCCCGACAGGCGTACATAAGTCAAGAGTTATGCATGGGGTGCATGTTTCATTCGGAAGTACGTATACTCAGGCCATCACAAGTAACTCGGAAATGCATGAGGGCTAACCCAAGAAGTTCCGGCTCCCACAGGCCAGGTTTTGAGATTAACCTGCGTCCGATGGAGCAGGATTCCCCTCAACACGCGTAGGACCAACGCCAACGTTTTTCATAGAAGGACCCTGGGCCTGCATACCCACTGCGACCCACACCACCTTCCATGCTGTGGAACGTTCTGCCACGGTGAGGGGAGGAAGAGGTGTGACTGTGACACATCTGTGTGACAACGTGACGTTACCCACTTCCTGTCGTGTCGTGTTGAGGGACCCAAGCAACGACTCGCGAGATCGCCGACGAATCCACGTTCCCGCAATTAGCCTCTGCTGTTCCACTTGCCAAGACAAGATGTCTCCCTCGGCGGCGCCTCCACCATCCCCTCAGGAAGTGCAGAGGAAACTCTCTGTCCACTCCAAGCCCAAGAAAGTAGGTCCCCCCCCAACCCTGCCCCTCTCTGGGACGCTGACCCACCGCGTAGCAACAGGTCACTCCTCCGCCAACGACCCCAGTGTTATCGCAATCACACGTTTCCGGAACAGAGTCAGATTCCGATTCAGTTTTGTCCCCGGAACTAGCTTCTCCGACCTCACACACCTTGGCTTCCAGTGGGGCTTTCCTGTCTGGGAGCTGCTCCCAGCAGCCACCCCTTTCGTCTATCGCGGAACGTCGGTCTGCAAGTGGCGGTGAAGAATCGGAAGAGGACGACGAGTATGAGGAAGGATGGCGGTCCGCGGATAGGTCCGGAGCGGTTTTGGACCCCATGGACGAGAGCGCCATCAAATCAGGGTATCTCTGGAAGAAAGGCGAAAGGCGCAAGGTTCGTTCCATTGCAGTTTGCTCATGGCGTGTAATTGTGTCTCCTCTCTCGCAGAACTGGAAGAAACGGTGGTTTGTTCTGCGCCCCGCCCATCTTGCTTACTACAAGACATCAGCGGAGTATAAGCCGCTCCGTCTGCTTGATCTCTCTGACGTGCATTCGTGCACTCCAGTGATGCTGAAGAAGCACACGTACACATTTGGCGTCGTCTCAGCTGTTAGGACATTCTATCTTCAGGCACAGAGTCCCGAAGAAGTGCAGGACTGGGTGAAGGCCATTCAGGATGCTCGGGACGCTCTCATGATGACTGCGACTCAAACGTCACCTGCTACTCCCCCTATCCCGATACCCCGTGGTCAGCAGGTATCGGAGCGACAGGTCATAGTGACACCATCCCCACCGCGCGCTGCGTACGCACAGAATGTGACGTCGTCGGACTCGGAGGATGGCTCGCCTTATGCCCAGCGGATATTGTCAACATCACCTCAGCATGTTACCATTACCGCGGAGAACCCTTCATGCTCGCCAAATCGAGGGCAAGGATCCAAGGACGGGGGTTCTAAGGTTGTCTTATCCGGCTACTTGATGAAGTGTGGATCGAAGCGACATAATTGGCGCAAACGATGGTTTACGCTTTCTAGCGACAAGTTGGTCTATTCGGGAAGTCACATGGTAGGTCTACTGGTTTGTTTCTGGCCAAGTGGTCTGTCCGATCAAATCGAAGGGGCCAGCTGTTTGCGGAATCTTTTTCCGAGCATGTTGATTGGGTTCTGATACTTTTGTTCGTTTCTCCCCTTCCAGGATACGAAGCCACATCGACATTTTTCGGTTTCTGAGATCTTGGACGCACTCGAATTTGATATGCGGTCACACAAACACGGCGCTGGGGTGTCCCCGCCGGTAAATTTACCCGGGCCGTCGGCTTCGAGCGCTGATAAACAGGCTTCGGTGGAGGGGCCACATATGTTCAAGATTGTGACGACGAAGCGGACGCTGCTTCTGTGCGCGCCAAGCGAGGAAGAAGAAATCAAATGGCTGAGTGCAATTCGGGCCCTAATTGCGCGGCGAACGGGTGCGGGAGTTGTGCCAGGGAGCGGCGGGGGAGAGAAGGGGGAGGGAGGGCTGAGACACAAGGTGAAAAACCTGAGTATCAGCGGACCCAGTGGAGGAGGTACCTCGGCGACGGAGGACAGGTGAGGTGTGGATAACGGCAGAGAACATTGTAAATTGTAATGATAATGGAATTTCGTGGCATCTCTCCACTTGGCTGGCTGCTAGTGAAATGAATGATATATTGCTGCTGGATATATCACAGTTTCGTATTGTTCGGGTAAGCATGCTATGATACTACGTTGTCTCAGGAGTTGCGTTTGATACGGTGGCGTGCGCTAATGACTTGCGACAGGCGCGGAGGATTGGGTCAACCCCCCCGCGGAAGCTTTTCCCAGGCCATCATAGTCGGGGACCAACTGGAAGACCGGGCCCTAGATTGGATCTCCGATTGCTACTCCGAGTCCAGCGGCCAGATGATTAGGCAGAACGTGCATTGGCTGTGACGCTAGGCCAGACATGGCAAAACGGGCCTTTCATTCTTGCAGATACGGGGTGAGAGTGAGGGTGAGGGTGTGTGTGTGTGTGCATGTTAGGAGGTGGCGTCGGGGGTCGAAAGGATCATCGCACGGCCCAGATTGGGCATCAGCGATGACCAAACGGAAGCAAATCCCAGGTGGCTGCAAATGGAGAAGACCAATCGGGGGTGCAAACACGCTCACATAACGCGGGGACCCCGAGAGTACAGTGTGTCGACCCAAACAAGAAAAGGTTAGGCAAGGAGAATGTTATATATGACCCTCCACTCCCTCGACTCCATCCCATATCTCGACCAGGGGAACACAACACCCGTGGCTTTGTATATTTTCTCGCCTCTCCCCTCCCCTCCATTCCTTTCCCCACATACATCACCAGCCTCCCCATCATGCCCCAAGCACCCAAGTCTCCACAGGCAAAAAGAGCCGGAGCGCCCAAGGCCAAAGGTGCCGTCCGCGCCAAGTCGGGTTGCTATACCTGTAGGATCCGTCGCAAGGTTCGCCACTCCTCATAATATACTTCCCCGGTCGACACAGCCAGTGCTTACACCGCGTGGCTCTAGAAATGTGACGAGAAGATGAACGCCGACGGAAGCTGTGGAACCTGCACCCGCCTCCGTCTTCAATGTCTCGGTTTCGGTGCCAAGCGTCCAGACTGGTTGCGGGTACATACTCATCTGCCATCCCACTTGCCTCTCCTCGCTCACCCTCATCCTCCAGGACGGCCGCAACGTACTTGATCTCAGAGAAAAGATCAAGTCCTTCCTCGCTTCCCAGGGCATGATCAAAGGTCACTCTGGCTCGGGCCCTCGCTCATCCGATCAGGATCAGGAGCCCCAAGTTCTTCATCTATCTAACGACTATACTTCACCAAGTACGACTCCACAGACGCCAACGCTTTCTATCTCTTCTAGCAACGAGGATCGCATCCCCGCAGTATACCCGCCCTTTCGTGGGCCCCCTGACTCTGACCGTAAGATCCCTTCTCTGACGCCTCCGTCGTCGTTCAACAACTCGTCTTAGGCTTACCTGTAATGCATGAAAGCCCTGACTCTCCTGGATACCCTGAAGTCACTCTTCCTCCGTTTCCGACTGGTAGCATAGATTCATCATGTAAGACTCCGTATCGTTACTAAGAATATGTATTGTATTATAGTGCTCAATCGCCCTGATTTGTTGGCAGGGCATTCTCATCATTCTTCTATCCCCCGTCATCACCATCAGCTTACTCTCCTACCAAGACCCCATACAAGTGATTTTTCGATATGGCACTCTCTTCCTGTCCCTGGCCAGACTGAGGACGACCCTGGCCACTGGCAGTGATGTGTCGTCTGCATTTCTATTGTCCCCCAATGTCCCTTATCAGTTCCCCTTCAACCTGGATGGCCGCCAGAATAGTGCCTTGAAATACTACATGGACAATGTCCTTCGTATGCAATACCTTCATGCTGACGGTTCATTGGATTCTGCCCTCTGGGACTTAATTCACTCGAGCGCCTCAGCTCGTGAGGCCGCTTGTCTATTGTCCGATCTCCACCGCAAGACTTGCCAGTATGGCAGAGCAGAACTCATCTTACCTGCCGACATGTCTCGTCTACAGACCATGTTCCCACACCAACAGCCCTTGAACGAGGGTGATGCCCTTGCCGGACTTTGTGTTGTATCTTACTTCCTCTTCACGGGTGGCAAGGGCCAGTGGCAAGCCTTTCTGGACGCTGCCTGTCGTTTCTCCATCGACATTTTGCAAGCATGCGGCGGTGCGTCCCGCGTGCTGATGACTTGCTCTGAGTCCCTACGGTTCATCATCAAAACCTCCATCTGGTTTGACGTGCTTGCATCCGCGACGCTTGTCCGTACTCCTATCATGCGGGATGTCGTGTCCGAACTCTTCTCCCCATACAATGCTGCCACAATTGACGGGCATCCTCTCGCGCCATGCGAAGAGTACTCGATGCTCTCTATCATGGGTTGCGAGAACCACATCGTCTATGCTCTCGCGCAGATCGCGGAGCTGGCAGCGTGGAAGGAGCGCAATTGGAGCGAGAACCGGCTCAGCGTTCCTGAACTCGTCAAGCGTGGTCAGCGCATCGAAGAGATCCTCAAAAAGCCGAGCTCGGTTCCGATGCCGTCTCACGACTCCCGCATGAATTCCTCCGCTGACGACGAGCGCAGCCATCAGCGAATGCTCACTTCGGAGGTCTTTCGCGCGTCTGCACACGTGTACCTGCACTCCGTGATCTCGGGCGATTACCCGCAATGCCCCGAGATCATCGAAGCGGTCGATCAGACTATCGACCGTCTCAAGGCTGCTGAAACCGGGCAGGCCGGTCGCGCGGTCGTGCGGAGCGTCGTGTTCAGCATTTGCATTGCTGGGTGCCTTACTGACAACATGAACCACAAACGGTACCTTACGAGACGTCTGGAGGAGCAAAGGGGTATTGGCAATTGCTCGCAGGTACAGCACCTGATCAACGAGGTATGGCGCCGCCGAGGCAAGGAACGGGTCGATTGGCGACAAGTGATGCGAGAAGCCGAAATGCTCCTTGTTTGAATACTCACATTTCCTTACCTTTTCTTCCCGCTGCTTTTTCCCTTTCTCTTTTAGCAACCCACAAAAAACATCCATTTTCAAGTCATCACAATTTCTGGCTCACATGTTCACAAGCATTGGATCTGAAAATAGCAAACCCTACATATCACTGCTGCGCAGTTTGTTGGTCATGTCTACTTCTGCAGTAACAGTTGTAGTTCCACGTTTCATCATCACGTTTTTTTCTATCATGCCGTGTATCTCTTACAATACAAATCTTATCCACCACGGAACAATAGCTACTGTATACGGAAATAACAGTGTTGGAATTGTATCTCAAAACGAGAAGAAAGAGCTGACGCATGCGTGCGGCAGACAGACTTGATGCGATGTTCTAATCAACCATCAATCATCACAGCCCGAACTTCGAAAAGTTCTCTGTCAATCCCATTCAGTTGTAGCAGCAGCAGCCCCAACCGGCTGTGTTAGGTAGGGAGCAACCGCAAGCTTCCCGTGGCGTGCTATGCCTGTATACCTTTCCGATACGGCCTTCTAGCCGTCGGTTGCGCGGACCTTGTCTCGTCGTAATGAGGCGACAAGTAGCATCGCATTCACCTTTTTGCGTACATATGCACCCCTTCTCGGACCATAGCCTCATCAAGGTCGACGACGGTCAGCAACATTCACGTGCTTGAGTAGGACTAAATTACGGTCACGCCGTGGCCCGTGATAGGAGGAAGCCAAATTACGGGGTTCAACACCTTGCAACGAGGCTGCAAGGAAGGGGAAGGAACGAGATATTGTTTGCTGTTGATTGTTGACCAGTGTGTACCCTGATTGAGAGGGAGAGAGAGATAATAGATAACTACTTGGCAAGTATCGATTCTGGTAAGTCCAAGGGGTCGCTCCATGAAATGAGTTGTCACGACAGTGCTCACAGATCCTTAGCCGTTGGTTGAGTGCCCTTAATACTACTCTCGACCCAATACAGTAATGCCGACTCGCATGAACCGAACAAGGGGGAAGAAAACAAAGAACTCTTTCAACTGCCTCCACCCATCAAACGGCGGCCGAGATTGTAGTACGTATTACTCTTCCAGTTCCACTGACACGTCAGACCCTCGACGTTTTTGAAGAGTCTGTCTAACCAGTTTTTCCTAATCAACGGGCTCGTGTTTTCTTCCACTTCCGATCGTGTTTCCCTTTTGTTTTCTCGTGCCTCGCAAGTAGTCACCGAGGGGTTTCACGTCAGATCCCCGAGTCCCGGTGTTTTGATGTATTGCCGGACTGGTGACATCGCCGTCTGGCTATACCGACTCCCGAGTCCCGGTTATTCATATCACATCACTTGCTTCGACGAGTCGCACACCGGAAATAGTGAGTTGCTGTATGAACACCACACGCACACACGCAACACTCGGGTGTTGTTTGTCATCCGATCTGCTTTTCTTTTTCTTCCTCACCAATCTGAGAATTACCGGGAACTTTATATTTTGATGTTATCTTTTTTCCTTTTCCTTTCCTTCGGTGTCTGATATTTACCTACACCATGCCTTGTCAGGGTTTGTTCACAAGGCAAGTTTGGCATGTCCTCATCGAGGGTTCGGAATTCACCTGCCTCCGACCTGTACCCCACATCAGTTGTACGACATTTTATCTTCCGAATTCTCATCCTCCATCTCGCACTCTCACGGTCACCGAGGTTCAGCGTAGGCGGTATAACCTCACATGAGTTGTTGCCATCACGGCGACCAGTTGATTGACATTTGCTTTATGTCGCTCTCTTTCCCCCCCCCTCCCCCGTGGCATGATCTTCGACCTGTCCATCACTGCCACTGCTCACGGAGGTTGCGGAACGCTGCACGCCACATCCCCATTTGCTTTCCCCCCCTTCTCGAGGTGTTTTACAGTCATGCGTGCGCAATTTGTAGTAGTGCTCTATACCTCCTAGAGATAACCGGATAATGCTTTTCTCCAGCCCCCTACCCTTACGCCAAGGTAGGGCAAGAAGGGCGGCCGCGAGGTATAAATTGAAGTCAAAGTTGAATGGGGCAGCCAACCTGGGATCTGGCCGAGCAGCTCGGATCAAGGCAACCTTGAACCTTCCCCTGCACTTGGGTCGCATAGTGAAGTAGATTTTTTTTTGTTCTCCCTCGCTCACCGTACCCACTGCCTCAGCTTTTTGTTGCCGGTCATCGCCATGTGCCGCTTTCTGGTGACACTTCCTGTAATTTGTATATCAGAATACTTTCCTGTGTTCACAGCTGGATGTCAAAGTATCGACATGGTTTGAGCAAACTTCCCAGACGTATATTACATAGTAGCTTGGCCTCACTACAGGCTACGGCAGGGCTATCCACATCGCTCTCGGACATTTACCTAATCCGACGTCAAGTCTGTTATTATTGTCTTTGTATTCCGTTGGAAAAGTCTGGAGAGGGATGCGACAGAAAATGTGTAGATTACATTCCCGAAGCGTCGTCTTAATTAGGGTCCGAATTTGATTACGGGCCCTTGAATCGTCCGTGAATACTTCAGTCGCTGCTTGCACAACACCGACCGGACACTGATTAAGTCCATGTCAACCCCCCTTGATGTGACCCACACCTGCGTCGTAATTGATTCGACCCTTCCTGCTGGCTATCGAATCATATACCTGGTCTTTGACCTTCCAAGTCGACTCATCACCTTTCTCCGATCCAGCGAACGCGCTTATGCACCTCCGAATCGGGGTGAGGCTCGGCGGTGCACTTCCTGTCCAGGCTCCGCGTTACATCACTGTCAGGCAATTCTGCCTTACATATATTCCTTTGGCAATATACGAACGCATTCCCTTCCTGTCGAACACTATACTTTACCCAATCTACCTCGACACGCGCTGGCATGTCCAACCAACACTCTAATTCGAGCGACTCACCCACTTCAGAGGTCGCGTCCAATAACACCTCTCCGGCCCAACTAGTCACCTCACTCACCTCGAATGACTTTGACACCCAGACATCTTACTCTCATGACACACCCAGTCGGTTATCAATAGATCTCCCTCGCTCAGGTGCGACAAGCAAAGGTGGTTGCTGGTGCGTCGTATCTCGAACTCGTCTCACCTTGACGCTCATTCGCCACATTATGACAGGACTTGTCGACTGCGCAGAAAAGTATGCGTCCGAAGCTATCATCGATTCACTCACCAGTTCCAACCCCCCTTCCTATACAGAAATGCGACGAGCAGCGTGAGGGTGACTCATGTCACACGTGTAATCGCCTCAAAATAAAATGCCTTGGATGGGGCTCCAAGCGTCCCGACTGGATGCGAGTGCGTGGCCTAGAAGTATCCGGTTTCAAATTGTTCACCGGCTGCCATACAGGACAAGCAAGCTGTTGAAGCATACAAGGCAGACATCAAAGCGCAGCTCACGAGAGCTGGCATGATTCGCGGACAGCCGAAGCCACCAGTGGTACAGGCCAAAGCAGTATCATCGTCTGTGTTCACTGCCCAACAGTATCAGGGCTCCTCTTCAAGTGGACCCCATACGACAAGCGATCCAATACCAACACCTAGTCTCATCTTCGACGACCCATCACAGAGCCTGAATCTCGCGGAAAGTTCTACGATGATGTCAGCGTTGGGTAGGGGAGCTGTAATGGGGGACATTGAGCGGACCGCTGACGTATATACAGGATCTTCTTCGACGTCCCGTCACTCACCTTGCGGTTTGCCTCCGCAATTTGACCATAATTTTTCCCAACTGAGCACTCATTCGCCATTCACACCACCACCATCAATACCCCCCTCACACCATTCCCCGCATGACCTCCTGCATTTCACTCCCACTTTTCCATCCACTAGCACCTTCAATCAGGAAATCGACGCAGCGGCCGTATCCAGCCACAGTCCACAATTTGAACACGTACTGTATTATTTTCAGCGGGTCTGCAGGATCCAATTTCCCTTCGCCAGCACCGCTGCTGAGAACATAACCTATTCAGTGTGTTTATTTTATCCGACTAAAAGTGGATTACTCACGTTGCGTGTTTTTAGCTTGTAAAACAGAACCCACACAGTCCATTGACAGACGCTCTTTGCGCCCTTGCGAGCCTTCATGACATATGTATCCGTGCAGCTGGAGGAATAGAACCGAGTACGGTTGAGAATTCGCAAGCATTCGCATTTTACGATAATGCGTACGCACAACTACACCACAACAGACAGGGGGTCTTAAACGAGATAGACGCTAATGCTGCATTACATCTCTTGAGCTTTTCAACGTTTTCAGGGGGTGCAACGGAATGGCAGCCCATGTTCGACATTGTGAATGAATGGTTCCTGCGGACGGGAATCATGGCGCACGATAATCCAAAGTTGGCCATCATGAACATGAGTAGTGCTGCGCGATTAGCCCTAAAGAGCACAATGGTGAGTCTCCTTTTCTCGGGTGGTCTGCAACCGAAGATCCTTACTATGGGTGCAGTGGCTAGATGTCGTGTCCACAGTCACATCGCTCGCAGTGCCCAGGTACCTCCAGCTTTACCGTCGTCTTTATCTTGGAGGAGGGGGTTTTTGGGCAGCATCCGGGCGGTGCACTCCCGAGGAACTCGACACACGAGTGGAAAGCCTGACAGCATGTCCCGATGAAATATTGTTGGGGATCGCTGAGATATCTTCGCTCGAGTGCTGGAAGGTACAAGAAATGCGGAAAGGTACGCTCAGCACGCGAGAGCTGATTCGCCGTGGTGATATCTTGGAGAGGCATCTTCGGATCGAGTGCGAACCAGCATGTGCGCCGGAAGCAGACCAAACGCGCCTCCATCCCGGGTCGGTCATGAGTGGCGACCCTACTACGACAGGGCTTCCCAGAACGGCGTCACCGGCAGACGTTACTCGGCAACTGGTGGCCAAGATATTCCGTGAAACGGCATTGGTGTATTTGTACACAGTGTTGAACGGTTCATATCCTGGTGCGTTACTCCTCCTGAGAGACAAAAGCCAGGAGCCAATGTTTCTATAGGAGTTCCCGAGATCATGCAATCAGTAGATGTCGTCATCCAGTTGCTCCGTCAACTGCCAGGATCTGTCATGGATCAAGGGCTGCTGTTCCCAATTTATCTGGCCGGATGCCTGACAGACGACGCAGTCCAACAGGATGCGCTCAGGACAAGGTTGCTCGGCATACATGATGGCTTTCGTAACGTCCACCAGGCGGTGAGAGTCCTCGAGGCGGTGTGGCATCGACGCGACAATAGAAGTGGTGCAGTTGAATGGCGGGACCTACTGCACGTACAAGGGAGACATCGACTCTTACTGGTCTGAGAAGATCCCCCACGTCAGGCATACACGCTCGAATACCTTTACCTTTTTGCTGCGGGTGGCTTGCAGCATCCTAATCGCTACTATTATTATTCGCGATCTTTCGGTGACTTCGATGCCGGATGGTTCACCGCATAGTATATCACTAGTGTTTGTTTTCTCTGCAATTTCGTTCTATTAGTGCATCCAATAAATAGTTCATCTATAGGGTATAGCGTACTCATCGTAGCACTTTTTCGTAGTTTGCATAGTGTATTAGAAACCCTTCAGACGTAGGACGGAGCGATGAGTAGAAGGCTGATTTGTCGGCAGACCGGTATTTGTACATAACTTGGTTCTTGTTGGCGTCTGAAAGGTACCGGTGACCTAGCGAGCCGACCCCTGCTAGGCTGTACCGACAGGATACAATTGCGTATATTGCTTTCCTGCAAACACCCGGTTCATAATAGAGCATTGAAGTGGGGCTCCTGACGCCACAGGCCTTCAGTGCCATGTTGGACGCATTGTTGCAACTTGCGAGCCAGCAGGGAAACGGGCGGAGTCAAGGAAATCAACGGGTCACGTGACTTACGCGTCATGCAAGACGAACCGCGAATTCTTCGAGCCTGCAACGTGTTTTGGTTTTTCAAGTTCAACTTCTCACCTCACTCCGCTTCAGTTTCGAGAAAAACAAAGTCCAATGTTCAAAGGAATTTTACCTTCAAAGAGGATTTCTTCCTCCGAGTTCACCATGGTTACCAGTCTCGGCGATATCTCCAATGGCAAGGAGAACCTCCCCGTGGAGCCTAGCAATGCGACTCAGGCTTCAAAACCCCCCAAGACCTCACAGAGCAAAGCTAAATATGAGAAGTCCAAGTCGAATAAGACATCTTCTCAAGATGCCATCGCTGGGCCTCAAGCAATGCACCAGGCCTTCGACAGACTGCTAGTGAGCTATGATTCCTTTTTCTGTTTCTCAGGGTACTTAATCGTGTAGGATGAACTGCAGATTCCTCCCACTCTGCGTCCCAAGTTAACTAATATGGATACGACCGTCAAGGCGGCCATGCTTAAATCATCTCGCGTGCTAACGACCAACCCTCCCGCGGGTGCTACACTTGTGGGACAACCGTCCACCCCGCGTACTATGCGAAAAGCTCGGAGTATAGAGTCCATTGCCTCACCATCTGCTCACACTCCTGTGTCTGGACCTGGCCACGAAAGCCAACCACGACGTGGAGGGCTGTGGAAAAATGCTCTTGCCGGAAAAAGTACGACCGACTTACATGCCTCGGACGTCACGGATAAGACCCACGGTAGGGGCAGGTCATTTGACACGTCCAGGACCCTCTCTCAGTCTGAAACCCCCGCGGTGGTTCCTGGTGATCTCATGACAAACAAGTCGAGAGATAAAGCGTTCGGCAAAACCATCACCCCGGTGAAATTCTGCAGCATCCTATTCTCGACCTCCAGCACAGCGCTTGAGGTTGAAATGGTAAAGAAGCTTAGGCTGATGCTGCGTAATGAATCAGCTGCGTAAGTGATCGTTTTGGCCACAAACAAAAAGGGATTTTGAGCATCTTTTTATATATATAGCTGGACAGAGGATTTTCTACGGGCAGGCGGTTACAGTGGTCTGCTTACAAGGCTTAACGAGATACTTGAGGTAGAATGGCGGTAGGGTTCACTATCTTGACTTTATAATTCGCATGCTAAAATGATTTCTGAAGTGAGGAGCAACATGACGATCAAATGTTGCATGAACTTCTGCGGTGCTTCAAAGCCTTGTCAACATCATCAATAGGTTGTTTCGCGCTCCGCAGTTCGTGTCCAACCCCTTATGTGCAATTGGTATCCTTGTTGTATTCCGATAAGAAACCCGGTGACATCGCTACTCGGCAACTAATCGTGGAGCTGCTTCTGATCCTGTTTGATATCTACCCGTCGTCCTCTCTCCCATCATCAGGAGGTCGGCCCCGGCCGGAAGTATGGGATTCCGGCACACCCAGTAACGTGATTACTCTTCCTGTCCCTCACAAGAATCTCTTTTCCCTCATCCGTGCACTGTTACTTACCCCGGCACCTCCCCCTACTGAATCCCCTGCTGTACCGGTCTCCCCACATGCCTTTATCGAGTCTTTGCACCGCCCACGGATATACAAGACATACCTACAGGAAGCTTTCTGACGTATGCAGGGACTATTTCTGGGTCTTCTGCCATCCCAACAATACGGTCTGGAATCTCGCTGAGGTAAACGAAGGTAAGGTCGAGAAGCCCAAGGCCCCTGGTGGCATGACGGGAGGCGTGGAGTTTGAAGCTATGGGTTACTTCGTACGTCCAGTGGAGGTGCCATCGACAGATCTTCGCTCAGTACCACACAGACCATGCACTTGAAGCTGATTAATGCAATCGCTAAGATCGTCCATGAACTGAATATGGAGAAGGACGACGCAATGTCTGCTCATCGATTCCATTCCGATCTCTTCGCTTCTGGTTTGGAACGGATTCTCCTGGTACGTTGGCTCACTCAGTAATGGAGAGCCTGTTTAAAATGCTATGTACAGATTTCGCGCAAGGCGTCGACGACGTATTATCCAACTCTTCACCTTGAGCTTGCCCGGTACATCCGTTGGGCGTGCTTGGCAAGATATGAGCTTCCTTGGACGATTTCAAGGCTGATCGGTCCTCCTCCCGTTGGTCTAAGTAAGGTTAATGCCAGACCTCCCAAGGCGAATCGGGACGGGCAGAGCCCGCACAGCTCCCCCACTAAACGCGGTGCACCCACTCAGGTTTCTCCTGGTTTTGTTGGACTGCCTTGCCCGAAGAAGGTCGACCCGATCAAGTTCGACTGATGTATAGTCACGAATTATGCATTCTCGCTTCCATTCTGCTGTCTTGTTCCGTTCCTTGTTCGCGTACAGGTTGACGCTTCTCCTCACACTCATGCTTGACCTCAAGAATGTATGCTAGTAACAAATAGAATTCGTGTTGTACATTACGAGACATATGAGAGAGAACCGGTGAGACGGATGATCATGTTAGATGTATGTACAAGCAAAGAGAGAAGGCAATCAGAGGTAGGGCGGTGAATTCATTTAGTGCAATGTATTTAGTGCCCACCCAGGAGGCGCGTGGTTTCTTCGCCGATGCCCAGCCTGTTGCGCCTGCCCCTGTACTTGAGCTCCAAACCGATGACGCACCTCATCACCCAGCAAAGTGAGAAGATTGCAAATCCAAGCGCGCTGTAATGGACAAACGGAGAACGTTCGGGAGTCTGTTGAACGACAACCGCGAACAGATACCAGGTGATAGCGAAACAAGCGGGAAGATCACCTTCGATGGCGGAGTAGGCGTACGAGAAATCCACTATTTGGAGCAAGACCCTTTCACAATCACCCACAAGTCAGTGGGGCAAACATGCGTGGCAAAGGCATGGTCTTACAGGGAACCGAACACCGCAACTTTCGTCAAAACATCAGCGGGCTCGGTGACGGCGTTCACGCCAAAAGCTTCGAAAGCAGACATAAAAACCAAGCAGACAGTCCATCCATGGTATAGAGAGAATGGGAGGTGTAGGAAGACTTCATCGCAGAAGTTTCGCAGCTGTCTCTCTCTGACATCGTTGTATATTTGCTAAATTTGCTCTCGTCAGTATGGAAAAGTAAAAGGGTCGGTGGAAAGTTTAGTGCGACGTACTGCGACAACTGACACTGCGAAGATTATAAACACGAGGCCTGCCAACCCAAGTTAGGCATCTCAAACGAATGAACAGTATGGAGGACGTACCGTATCTATACTCTTGGATCGTCCAGGAGTAGACATACATTGCATTGAGAAAATCGAGAAGCGGGAGCTTCCAACCAATACGCTCGATGATAACCTCTTTACCTCTCCCGGAAAATTGGTATATGCAAGTTCCGAGGATAAGCATGTGGATGAGAGGCCTGCAGAGCATTGGGTATTAACATTCTATTCATGAGACTCGCTGACATACCATACGAAGAAGGACCACGAAGCGGGAGTAAAGTATGTTTCCTTGCCTGAATAGTAAACGTCCCAAGGAGAAATGACGGTGTACACGTTTCCACCCATCACAAAGATGGCGCCAATGATGTTGGCCACCTGAGTGGCGCAGACAGGTCAACTCACCCCACCATCATACAACAGGGTGGACGAAAAATCCCACCTTGAGAAGCAGATGGTTCGTCCAACTATTCTGGTTGCCACCAAAGAGACGCATTGGTGTAGGAACGAACGGTTCAGCAGCTCGGCACTATGGTTGATGGTGTCAGGTTCTGGGTCTGAGAAAGAGCGCAAGAGGGCATGCCCATGACTTTAAATACCCCCTTGAAAAGCGGTGGGGTGTGTGCGTGCATGTCGCGTTTCAAGCGCGTGCATTAACGTCCACGTGTGTATCCCAACGAGGGAGACAGGAGCCAGCTGCTAGCTGCGTGGTGTCCAGACAAATGCACGCCCACCTCCATAATATGACAGGCTATTCGGATCAGGGGAAATTCGGTACAGCCCAGTACAGCAGTTGCTGGAACGTTGCATCCATTGTTCTAGGACTGAACGGCAACGGCACCGTCAGCAAATAGATCATATAGACCTACCATCTCAAAGTTTCCATGGCCCACTTCCATAGAGTGGAGTGGTCGTGTACAGCCTGCACAGTCCACCGATACCTACTCTCACTCTTGGCGGTGTGAATGAAAGATTAGGCCTTCAGGGCATGTTCGTGTGATATGTCTAAGACCATTGACGAGGTTATGTTGGGAGTTCGTTATCGGTGAAGCTTCATCCACCGATAGTGGCAGAGCATCCCAACATTCAGAACCTTGTTAATGGATGGACGAAGAACAACCGAGCTACGACAGACAGGCCTCTGCAATGCAGTCCCTGAACATTGCCCCCGCACAACAGGCGAGAAGCGCCAAGCCATCGGAACGGTTCCCCGCGACCTCGAGGAGCTCTCTCCTAAGCAACTGTAGGAACGATGGTAATTCCTTATTCCAAAGAGCATTTGTATTGAATAGTTTTACAGTGCAAAAGCTGTGCATAAAAGAATGTGAGCCTAGACGATGACTTAGCGTACACGCGCACTTGTTCATATATATCCCCTCGAAAAAGATGAATGAATACTGGCATAAGAATCCAAATCCAAAACCAGAAGAAGACCTCGAAGCCATCAAGGCTTCAAGCGAAACGCCCTTTTGAATGTTTGCCACTTGGATGGTGCGGTGAATACAACTTGCCATCTAACCGCTTATGTTAGTTGAATAGGAGAGTCGCAAGTTCGTGGTACGAACCTAACAATCATATCTCCCCGGCCCACGATTTTGTGACCACAACGTATTGGCATGCCCGCTCCCTTTACGAAAACTTGGCCTTCCGTAGCACAGTCATGAATCGGATAAGGAAGGGGGAAAACAATTTCCTCCCCGTCGAGACCGTCAATATAAATATCTCCACCTCCATCGGCGAGGGAGTCCTGCCATGGCACACGAATATCCAGATATAGGTCGTCGTTAACTCTGGAGAACCTTTGCTCGGGCTCATCCTCGACTAGGAAAACGACGTCTTGGAAAGTTCCGTCTTTGCGCTGATGACCCGCATGCCGACATACGATTCTGGTGCCAGTTCGGGTGCCCGCAGGTACACGGACGCAGATTTCCACCTCCTCGATTTTATGCGAAAGTAGCTCCCTCTTTATCAAAAAGCGATGTAGTGATCCATGGAATATCTCTTCCAGTGTCAAAGGGAGGGGGAAAATCCACTCCTTGGAAGTACCTCTGGGAGACCTCATAGCGCGTAATGGCGACCCAAGTGACGGGACATCGTCTACGTGAGGAATATTGTCGTGACGGTCCTTCCCGCCTTTCGATCCCCTAGACAGTCTATGAATGAAGTCACTGCATAAAGTAAGTCATTCCACCCGTCTTTGCGTTTATGTTTGCACCTACTCTGCAAGTCCAAACCTGGATGACTTGTGAAGACGGTTCGAGGATGGAGGTATCACAGGCTTATTCGTCCGCGAACTGTCAGTGTGACTGCGGGAACTTTTGTCTGAGTGAAGGTCTGAGCTGCTATCCGTTTTGAACCGCAAGCCGTCAGCGTGACTACGGGAACGTTTCTCTGACTTGTGTTCTGGGTTGCTGTCCGCTTTGGATGCGCTGGTATCATCCGAATGCTGCATGTTTGTAGCAAATGTGAAAGCGGATGGAGACGGACTTTTCCTGCCACTGGATTTTGGCGGATCGCGTAGGTGGTCATGAGATTTGGAGGCGTGACGTCGACCCTTCACGCGATCAGAGCTGGAACGCTCCTCTGTATTGTTTTCTGGGTGGCTGCGCGAGCCATTACGACCAGCTGAGGAGTGGGTTGATGAAACATGATCTGACTTGGACTTCGCAGGACGTGGCCTTTGGCTTTTCGTTGACGTAGGTGGCGATGTATCCCGCGGCCGCTTAGTACGATTACTCTTCTTCGAATCCGACGGCGGACGACTGGTGGGCTGCGAGCTTCTCGCAGTAGACTCCGACGGTGCTGTACCCGTACTGCCTGTGTTCGAACAGCTAGTAGCCGAGGAATTTTCAGGCGGAGCGGAGTGGGTGCTCTCGCTGCCGTCCATTAGCGCGTGGTATGCAGTGTTCACCTGCAAGGAGAAGATATCAAACAATGATCGAAATGAATGGGTAGTCCTCCTACGTCAATAAACATCTGTGCCGCGTGCTCTTTCCCTGATAAGTGACGATCTGGGTGCCACTGCAAAGCCTTGAGTCATAATGCATCAGACGCGACTGGGTGACTGCGTAGGTAGCGCGCGGACGTACGAGTTTTTTATATGCAGCTCTGATTTCGTCGTCGCTGGCACCGTTGGTGAGGCCAAGGACAGCATAGTAGTCTGACTTTTTCGCAGGCATTTTGTTGGGTGGAAACGAGAGTGACTTTTTTTTTCGCGAATCTGACTACGTGGTGAGCGGAGGTGGGAGGTGGCACGCAGGTCGACCTACATTCAGCAGTTTAGAGAGACCAAGACCCCTCCCCAGTACTTGGATATGAACTGTTGGTCTGGTCACGATGGCTGTAATATAAGGCTTCCCCAAACTCACCACCTCGTGGTCTGCACGTTGCACTAGGCGCTTGCCGACGATCCAAGCGATAAGCGGACTGCTGTGTGGAAGTCACGGCGCTGGCAAGCAGGAAGTAACCTCGAGACTGATAGAACTGCACAGTTCTTCATGTTGACCTGAAACTGGCCACCTGGCGTGGTATGATTTCGAGTCCTTGTCACTTGTCAGGGCCGGAGTAAACCAGCGGAACCAGAATTAGCTCTCATAGCATCCTTCAGCTGACCCCCACGTTGGAATGACACGCAGCAAGTGGCAAGGCAGGGTTTGCCTAGCTGTTTTCATATCTACGATATCCGTAAGCACGAATTGACACTGACTAGTTCCTACATCGTTACTCCTTCAGACAAACAACCTTCCGCAAAGCTGAAGGTTTGACTCTTCTGGAGTCGAGTAACTCCAATTGTGCTTCGCAATCTTCAACTGCGAATACACCAACTTCAACTTGGTCGTCTTATACCGAACTCGTGGTGTCAGCCGAACTAACTCCTCAGCGATGGGCGCTTTCTCACTCCCCATACTTACCTGCTATGTACAAGCTGCCCACGCTAGCTTTTATCACCGACTAGGCGTACCAAGATCGTTCTGTTTCCCTCTAGTAGGGTCAAGTCGACCCGGTCCGGCGATTGGAGCGCAAATGCCTTTGCCTTTCGCAGGGGAGCGGGATAGTCGTAAATTTGGAAAAACGGCGCTACTCGTAAGGCGACAGGTTCGAGGTTTACCTGTTCCACTTCTCCAGTTCATAGATTGTGGGCATCTTGACAAGCCAGAGCCGAGAGTTAATTCTATTCCTCGGTGTATGATTAATTATAGTGCAATGGATATTTGCAAGGACGACTGGTGCCTGTGTGTATGATACAATGGGTCATTTCAAGAGCAATGCATGGAAATGTTGCTACACGTGCACATTAAATCGAGGTACAATGCTGTCGTACACTAAATGGGTCCAACGTTCTCCAGCACAAATCAGGTGGATGAATCCAGAATCTTGCGGATACCTTCCTTCTGTGCTGTCGTTAACCGAACAGGGAAAGTGATGTCCCATCGAACAATCAAATCCCCCTTCCTCTTTGTACTTCCTGCCTTTCGTACCATCATCCCTTCATTGGGCACTCTTGTCTCTGTGCCCGGTTTTAGGATTCCAGGTGGTGCTGTGACCTGAAGCTTCCGCCCGTCCAGTTGCTCTACCGATCGTTTCACGATGTCGGCGGTCAGTGCATCTACTAGGGGTATCTTCAGGTGACATATTAGGTCATCTCCGTCTCGAGTGAAGACAGGGTGTGGTTTTTCCTCCACGACAAAGACAAGGTCTTGTGCTTCTCCGTCTGGTTGTTCGTTTCCTGCCCGAGGGAAGCGGACCTTAGTTCCGCTCTTCCAGCCGGGGACAACGTGGATCGCGAGCACTTTATCGTCTGTGGTGCCATTCTGTAGTTTCCGACCGACCTTGAGGTGTTTGGTGGTTCCATTGTAGAGCTCTTCAAGTGTGAGCTTCAATGGTCGGACAATTTCAGACGGTTGAGAAGCCGCTGGAGTTGAGGAGGCGCGCTGAGCACCAGTAGAGGAGCGTGGTATCCCCCCGGGCATACTACCGAAGAACGAGGCTCCCATATCATCATCCTCATCGAAGGCCGATCTCATGCCACTCATGCCGCTCATGCCGCCCATGCCACCCATCCTTCCGAGACCTGGGAAGCTCCCCGAGAATATTTCCCTGAAAGTAACCTATGAGTTGTGTCAATGGCGTTCACGCTAAGCTACTCACTCGAATATTCGTTGAGGGTCACTTGGAGAGAATCCACCCGCACGCCCACCGCCCGGGCCTGAGCTTGTGAAAGTGAAAGTAGTACCTCCCGGGAAGCCGGAGAAACCGGAGAAACCTGCTCCGTGTGGTGGACCTGCTCCTCCTTTCAAACCCTCCTCGCCCACCTGATCATATATAGCGCGCTTGTTCTTATCGCTGAGGACTTCGAAAGCCTCTGAAATCTGACGGATGCCAGGTCAGGGGAATCCGAAATTGCCATGCCTTGCGATTGGACGTACCTCTTTGAACTTTTTTGAAGCGTCTTCGGATCCTTGATTACGGTCAGGATGCCACTTCAGCGCCTAGCAACAGGGTAGTGAGCATGAGAAATGACTACTGAAGGGCGAGGTGGACGTACCATTTTCTTGTACGCCTTTTTGATATCGTCTTCGCTGGCGTTGCGAGGGACGCCCAACAGTCCATAGTAGTCTGCACCCATAGTGTGAAGTTTAAGGAAGGTGTATTTGATGGGTTGCAACTACTTTTTATCCTTTGCCTTCGGTCCCTCGTGCTTCCCAGAACATCCCCGAATGCACTCGACTGACGTCAGATAGCCTAGATCGCGGGAATATATTGCCATTAAGGGACAGCAGTGTTTATAGGCTGGCGGCGGCGGCGGCAACGACGACGACAACAACAAGCCATGGCAGACGACTCGGCGGGGCGTTCGACGCATTCTTGGGCGAGCTTCTTTCCGTTCTCATCCAAGGCTTTGGATTCTCTGCCAGCAAGTACCCAGAGACCCATTCGTTATACCAGACAGGACGACATCCCCGACACTGATCACGACGTCGACGGAGAACGTCCCACCATCCGCGATTATCACGCTATCAATTCAGTTCCACCTCAAGTGCGTGTCCCTAAAAAAGTTGCAACCTCGCTCAAGGTCGAAGGCAAAGTCTGGTTTGCGAACGAACGAAGTGAGCGCACACACATCCCCCATGTTTATTATCAACCAATCTGTTCTGCAGCTTGGATAGCATGGCTCAACACTGCAGTTCTCATTGGAACGTTGGCTCTTGCCCTCTTCAATGCATCTGACGAGCCCGTCGGACGCAGATTTGCCTACGTTTATGCTGCCATCAGCGTCGGTGTTGTGGTAATCCGTTCCTTCGTTGCTGATGTCGGACATAATCTCACCCTTGGGATTACGGTGATCGTAGATCTATGGTTTCGCTCTATACCAGTCGCGCATCTCTATGATTCGTAAGCGCGATCCTAGCCATTACGGTGCGTTAAATTTGAATTGTCATGAGATACAATTCCTTGGTTCTCATCGGCGTCTAGATGCCATCGTCGGTCCGGTCGTCGTCAGCGCTCTCCTCTTTTTCGCGGTTTTGGCAAACTTCATCATCCGTGGTACGTACTGTTCTTTCCTCATACCTGGCGTATATGAATGACGTATCCCGGGGCCAACAGTTCGGGAGCTGTATGTTTTTTTAATCCTCCGCGGTATTCGTCCATTATTAACCATCCAGCCAGACGCCAGCAGAAGGTCCCGATACCGGGCATGTCCTTCCCATACCCCAATGCATCTGTCACTGTGCCATGACAGCCGAAAGTTCGCCACCACATGTATGTACTGAAATCTGCGATTTTCTTACATTTGGTTATTGGTGGCGGGCGTCAAACAAGACTACTAGTAGAGTGTACTGTTGGGAATTCACTGAGTTGCCAGGCGACTGCACGTTGAAGTCAGTTGCTTTCTATTGCCTACACCTCCGGGGGAGTTCGAGGGTCTGGTTGACTCGTTCTTCAACATACACCAGCCACCCAGGAAAAGCGGTATTCGTAACACCATGTCCAAGGCTTGCACGGCTTCACTTCACCCCATGATTCCTCCGAAGAGATCAGATAAGTCAATGAATGGTTTCGCAGTCCGCTGCCACTGCTTCTGAGTAAAGAGGAGTTAAATTTATCACCCGTCAATCCAGAGTCCTCTTGGGAATTCGGAGTTGAACATATCATTCCAAGTATCGAGAGTTCTCCAGGATTAAGTGGCCAGATGTTCAGAAACGATTAAGCTGAAACCTTCGCTCAGGCATGTGTAGTAGTTTGTGAATGGAAATAATCCGTGATATTCAAGGAGAAACATATGCAGTTAACCTCACATCCCCATGGACCAAACTGACGGAAACTCTTCACTTCAATGCCTTTTTCATCGCCTATGTAGAACAACGGTGAGATTCCGTACAGGGAGAAAGAAGAAAATGAGAGAACCTACCTCCTCCATCTCATCCAAATCATTCGTCTCTATGCGAACGATCTTTTTGCCAAGAGCTTTCTCGATTGCCTCCATCTGCTGCCACGTTCTTTGATCGTGGACGAAATTTATTGATATACCCTTGCGTCCGAAGCGACCGGTACGACCTACACATTGCATCACCGTCATCACAATGTTCTGTCAATATTGACCGCATCACACGCACCGATACGGTGGATGTATGTCTCGATATCGGGCGTCGAGTCAATAGAATGCTGACCTCCACGTTCGTTCATTAACGGAAGGTCATAGTTCACGACCATGTTAACCTGAAGAATGTCGATGCCACGTGCGATGACATTCGTCGTGATGAGAACTTTTTCGCGGCCTTCGCGGAAACTGTCGATGATAGAATCGCGCTCAGAAGCGTCCTTTGCACCGTGAAGTGAAGCCACTTTGTGACCTTCAGCAGTCATTCGCTGGGCAATCCTATCCGCTGTGTGTCGATGCTGAGGTGTGTCAATACGTAGTACATAGCGCACAACAATAGTATGACCCACCTGGCAGAATATAATGCTCTGACCAATTGTCAAAAGTTGGTACAGAGAAACCAAAATATCATATTTATGTTCTGCATTTTTGCAGTCCATGAAGAATTGCCGAATGCCCTCGACCGATAACTCTTCCTTTTGAAGCTCGATTTTATTTGCCTTCGGCGCAAACTTGTCGGCGAAGTTTCGGACGTGATCTGGGAATGTAGCAGAGAAGAGTATAATTTGGGGGGTTGGTTGGCGAGGTAGCATACTTGAGACAAAAACATAAGCGTGAATCTCAACCGAAAATTGTTTTACACACTTCTTCACGCGTAAGGTTTGATCACTGAGTCCGTCCTGGTCAAGCATATTGTCTGCCTCATCCAGAACAAAAACTTTGATTTCTGAGGAGTCTATAACCTTTCTCCTCAAGAGATCAATCATGGTACCCGGTGTCCCGACAACAATATGTGCCGTTATCCGGCTGACGTCTTTTGGAAGGTTGTCTTTGATGGCGTACTCTGTTTGCACAGACGTGAACTTGCCCATCGCTACCACAACCGACATAATTTGTCGTGCAAGTTCTCGCGAGGGAGCAAGACAGATAGCCTAGCGAGTTATGAGCACATGCTTAACAGTATCCAGCGATCCGGCATACTTGTGTTTTGTTCTTCGAGAAGTCGACCCTACTAAGCATGGTAAGCACGAAGGCGGCTGTCTTCCCCGTGCCGGACTGCGACTGTCCGATCATATTTTGTGGACTATGAAATACGGTAAGATGGAGCAGCATGCAAATCGTTTGGTGGCGTCCTACGGATTAGAAAGAAGCAGTGGCAGAGCACGTTCTTGGATCTTGGATGGTTTCGAGAATCCAAGAGCATAAACCCCTTTCAACAAATCCGGATTACTGGTAAAAGATGCTCGTCAAACTCGAATAATGGTAACTAGAACGGGGGGAATTCACAGTCCCATTTCTTCGAAAGACTTCGCGCTATAAAGCGGAGAATTGGGGTCCAACTGCTGATCAGCTAGTGTGACCTAATGCTAAGTGTAAGTAACCTTCCGCCACGATCTGAAGTGTAACCCTACCGTGACTTCAAACGTGGAGGAAAAGAGATCCGTGGTTGCTGCTGGATGTCACCTGAGCATCGGAAAGATTTAGAAAGAGACTTAGATTCCTGCGTACAAGTTGGTGCAGGTGCCGGCTCCACGGCAGGCTGGGTTTCTGCTGCCTTTGCCTCTTCTTCAGGCTTAGGGCCTGTGCATGATCAGTCATTGTTCTGTTGCGATAGAAAATGCGCACCATCTGTCTTGGGTGTGTAGAATCCATCTGCGTCTTTCTCCATGATGCTAATAAGGTATGAGTGTGGTAGGTGTGGATGGCGAGTATCTCTCTTTCCAATCACGGCGGCAGTTGCCGGGGCGAAGTCATTTGATCTCATCTGTCCAGCTCAGGTCAGAATGACTTGTGCTAATTGACCATCATGCGTCGATCACCAAGCTCATCGCTACCGCCTGGATTTACTAGCAAAGCACTAGGTTCATTGCAGAGATTGCAGCAGGGACTATCTACTCTCGAACTAGTCCACACGCCTCATGGGCACTGGCCATACCGACCTGAACAGTTTCATATGAGGAAGTCTTGTCCACTCCGTGTGTCTGTCCTGGATTCGTCATTCAATCCCCCAACACTGGCACACCTAGCACTGGCGAGATCATCCCCTCGAGGGCCAACGGACCAAGCAGTTTCTGCTTCGGAAATTGATTATGATGCGAGACTCCTTTTGCTATCCGTACGGAACGTAGAAAAGTCTTTGGTGCCGGGGGACGCTACCTACGTCCAGCGGTTGGAGATGATGTATCTCTTGTCACTCGGTACCGTTTGTGCCCTCGTAAACGATGAAAGGGCGGCTTATAGGTTATTTATACTCTCAGATATCGGCAACAATGTTGCCGTGGCAATCATCGACCAGCCCACTTTCGTTGGAAAGTCAACTATCTTACACTCTTTCTTCCAGAGTAAACTCGCGTCAATGCATACCCCACTCGCCGCGGGGATGGGGGCCCTTCATCGACCCAAGCTGACCTTCTTACTGGGCTCTGATACACTCGTTCGCGTTTTCGCCCCCAAGTTTTATGCCTCGGAAGAAGAGATGACAAGACTTCTCCAAAATTTTCTTTTTCCGGACGGTCAGGACTGTCAGATAATATGTGCTCACCGACCGAACGTGACCATCGATGAAGAAGTTAAAAGAATGGCGTTGAATGCTTACAGAAAGTTCGTCGACCGTGAACGTATCCACTTCATAAATATCGGCGACGATGAACAAACCCTTAGCTCCACTCAAGTGAGAGTTACGGTTGCGGCGGGCAAGGACGACTGGAAGCGACTAGTCACTGACCTTGTTGCCAACTACATCATCGAAAATGGGCTCTATGTCTAACAAAGTGTGAAGCATACCAAAAGAAATGTAATCCAGTCATGAAATGTCTACGTTACATGCGACGTGGAATAGAACAAACAGTTTTCAGGAGTGCACTTGGCATGAAATCTAGTGGTATATAGTAGTAGTATGCAATTAAGTCATTACGAAGATTGAGCGAAAGCAATGGCGACAGTCTGAAACCGTTGTTAGCGGTGGGGAATATACGGTAAATCGTGTCTGCTTACCTCAGAGTGGCTCAACGACACCAACACTCGGGTGATTCCCTTGCTTTCCGCGGCCGCCTTTGCGTCGCCGTGGAGGGTCACAGTTGGGACACCCGACTCGCTGGGAAGAATTTCAATGTCTTTCATTGCGGCAGCAGCGCCTTTCGATGATACGCCTAGCGATTTGAAGACGGCTTCCTTACCAACCCACCGTCCTGCGAACGAGGCTTGGGGAGAAGGTTGGGAACGACAATAAGTGATCTCTGCCTCTGTGAAATTGCGTTCGACGAAAGTTGGGTTGGAGGAGGGAACAGATGTAATGAGCTCTAAAAAACGGTTAGTCGCTGGTGTACTTATTTGCCGTGAGTTAATGACGTTACCTTGGTCAACGCCGACGCCAATGGAAGCAGAGTTAAATGCTAGTGCATTTGCTACGGTCTTGGCATTCGCAGTGTCAAAGGGAATGTTCTTGTTGAGGTTGGCAGTGTACGAATAGCTGCGGGTCTTAGGGTCGAAAGTTGCGCGAGCCGTGGGATTCAAGAGGACAGCATGCTCCAGCTCAGGGCTGTAGGGCGGACCATCTTTGATTCTGACCAAGGAGTTCGTGGTCATCATCTCGGTCATCACCTTGTACGCTTCTTGGGCACGAGATCGATTGCGGACCCTGTATGCCTCGTAGGCGGAGGGCTCTAACACAGCGAACAGGTAACGAGGATGTACGATGAGTGCGGTACCGCCGACTTGACCGAAACCAAAGGATGACTATGAAACGATAGATTAGCTTTCATCAGCAATCAAGTGGGGTACTTCCGTACCATAACACCAGCACGGATACCATCTGTATGGATTGATCGTGACGGGAACATAAGATTATGGTGGGCCTCAAATCTAGCGTCGACATTATCACTATTCCGGTTGCCAGGAATGATGCCAGTATTGACAGTTTGCAGAAGACCGGCCATCTGCCAAGCAGCGGATCCACCCTTGGAGTGTCCAAGTAAGCTCTTCTGTGCCATGACTGGAACAGCGTTGCCATGCGTGCGGCCCATCCTATGGAGAGTGTTGTGCCATATTTCTGTCTCATTTTTCTCGTTGGCATTAGTACTCGTTCCGTGGATAGAAAGGACACCAATGTCATCTGCAGTCAGACCCCACACTGCAAGTGCACGGCGCATGGGAGCAACACGCGGGTCAGAACCTTCCAGCATACCATACGTGCTGAGAACCTCCTTCTCCTGCCGATGGGCTTCTTTCTCGATATCAGCGACGCGGGCGGCAAAGTAATCTTCGTCGACGGCACTGTTCTCCGCCTTCAGACTCTCAATCTCGGCTTGTAGCTGAGTGTGCTCGTGACAGAGCCACTCCGAAATCTGCTTCCGCCTAAACGCAATCTGACGGGAACGGTAGTCAATGCTGAGTGATGGCAAAGGATATTTCGAAGGCAATTCTCTGGCAATAGTGAGGGCGCCGCGACCAGGAGCGGGAATGGAGCGTCCGGCTTTGTCACTGCCAACCAGTCAATACGAACATCAAATAAAATGCAGGTCTACGCACGTTGACGTCGACGTGAATGCTAGGATTCCCCGAATGGGAGCACCCAGTTCAAGTGCTGTCTTGGCACTCATAACAATGTGAATGCCCGTACCCTGGGACTCCATGAACTATACCACTGATGTCAGCAACACGTAGTCCTGTGTGTATCGGTCAACTCACCCCTGCACGTGTAGTGGTAGCGGGTCTTGACATTTCAGTGGGTTCGCGTCCCATAGCAAACTCGGTTTCTGCATTGCTCGTAGCTTTCATGTTCGCAAATTCATAAGAACCCTCTTCACTGATATCATCGAAGCCACCCGCGATCATCACTTTGGCCTTGTCAGAAAGAATGGTGTCACAGGCAATCTCAAGCGATTGTAAGGCAGTGGCACTGCAAGGCACTAAATATCGGGCGTGCGGAATAGAGTTATCCTGCACCTACCAGGCGCCAACGGGGATCTTGACTGGTCCACTGGAAGACATGAGGAGAAGATTGATCCATCCGGCGGTAGTGTTGATGAACCTAAAATGACTCAGTAAACCATCTACCTCGTCATCAAAGAGAACTTACGTTTCTTGAAGGATATCGTTTTGTACTTCCTTCTCATCACGGCGGTCCTTGAACATCTTTGCCAGCGACTCCGTACCTCCCATACCGCTACCAACACACGTCCCAACTTCGGAAGGATGCACGTGTTTGTAAAGCTCATAGGGATCAGTGATACCGGACATGTTGAGGGCTTCAGCGGCGCAGACGAGGGCCCAAAGTGTGGCACGATCTGTTTGTGCGATGATATCCGCAGGTATGCCATATCTTCCAGCGTGCCATCCGGTAGGGATCTGCCCAGCGACGAGACGGCTGAAGCGGAATGCTTTCGGCACGAGAACACGCGCCCCCTTCTTGAACTTGACAAACCACTGATCACCTTCACTAGCCCAGATATCACACTTCTCGTCGTGTTCATACTTGAATTTCTCCGCCTCCGACTTAGCGACTTCGATGGGCTCCAAATCATGGATCAGTTCGATTTCCTGGTTGAACACCTTCTTCTTGGGATCGTACCCACGGAACAATTCAGGTTCTACATTTCGGGTTCAACAATAGCTCATAGGGAAAGGAGAAATACGCACCAATTAGACGGACACCAGCGTGACTGAGGATCTCCTTCTCATACCGGCTTCTAACGTCCTTGTCGTCCACAGGCTCTCCTGTCTTGGCGTCTACCCAACCAACATGGAGAGCACCGTCTTTGAGGCGGCCGTCGAAGTGCTTAATGAAGCCCATGATCCATGCCATTTCGATGCAACCTTCAATAGTGAATTCTCCGCGAGCTTCCATCTCCCACCGAGTTCGCGAACTACCCCATGGGCCGACTTCGGCGAACCCAGTGATGACGACGACTTTTTCCAAGTCAATGATACCGCGCAGTTTGCTGAGTTCCTCGAAGGCAGAAGCAGGTTCGAGAGTAGGGAAATCGAACTTGAAGTTAGCACGAGGTACAACGTTGACAGTCTGGAGCACACGTTCGCCCTCAGCACCATTGATGACCTTAAAGTCAAGTGCATTGTCACGAGCGATGGCACGGCGAAGCTCACTCTTCTTATTCAGGTCCATCCGAATGCGAGTGGTGATGTCAGCGAGGTCCGGGAGACGATCCATTCCGCCGTTCAGATCTGCCCAGATGGGTTCCACTTGTGTGATGCTAAAGAGCAGTGGGTGCATCAAACCGAGGATGTTGAATGCCATCTCTTTTGCGGAGAAGGTGCGCACACCGTAAGCTTCAACTTCCTGAGCGACTATATTAGTGGCGTCCATCAAACCCGTACCGCGGGTCCATCTAAGATGGGAGTTAGTTGTAGGTGCCGAGCTGGGTTTAACGAGTTACACACCCAATCACAGCACCAGCCAGGCATAGATATTCACCCCAGCTTTCGGAGTTCCAGCGGTTGAACAAGGTTTCAAGCGAGATCTTCGACTCCGAGTACAAGCCGTCATTACCAAAGAGACCGTGGTTTGGTGACAGTGGCAAAATAACTTGGGTAGGCCGAGTAACGAACTGACGCGACGCTTTTTTGGTCTTGACGGCACCCAAGATCCGCAGCAAGTTGACGAGCATAATACGGTGGGCGAGCTCCGATTTGTCATCCAAGCCGTCAATCTCGCGCCCATTCTCTGGAACGGCGGCAAATGGAAGGATGTAGTCAAGATCCATGCCAAGAGTAGCATAGATATAGTCGACGAGTGCCTCGACATCCTGCTTGGACCCCTGATTGAAGGGCACGACAGTGAGTGCTGAACCCCGAGCACCGAACCTTTGGTAAATGTCTTGGTAATACTCCACGGTGGAACGACTGTAGCGGGAAGTGGTGATAACAACGTGGGCGCCGCCGGAAAGGAGGCCCTTTAAGATCTCAACGCCAATGGAACCTTTGCCGACACCAGTGAGTAGAGCATTCTTGTCCTTGAAAGTCGTCCCGGATGTCGCAATTTCATGGAGAATGTCGAGGTATACACCGGTCAGGTTGCTCGAGTACTCCCAATTATTTCCAACTTTGCGCTTGAGATGCAAAAGAGGCACCTTGTCGGCAGATACAGATGTGACAGTGGAGACCTGAGGCCGGAGGAACTGAGAGGAAGAACGACGGTCGCGATGACGTTGACGGGGCTGGTCAGGACCCTTCCGCAGCGAACGGACAACACCTTCATACAAAGCCTTGATACGGTTCTTCTGATCCTGGCTGATTCCAGGTTGCGACTTGACGACTGTCCAGAGTTTGAGTACGTCCTCCTGAACTTTTTGAATGTTCACAGTAGAAATCGTGTCACCGCTGGCCATTTCTTCCACATATGCTTCCAGTTTGCGAACGTTCTCACGAACAACCTCGGAGTAAACAATGTCTCCCTTGGCTGTGACCTCGGTGCGAGGAGCAGTAGGGAATGTGACTTGAGATACTTGTTAGACTTTTAAGGCACTAGATATGGATTTCCTTACCGTCTTTGTAAACAGGTGGCTGGCCGACAACTTCTCTGGTATTGTCAATGAGCTGCTGCCCGAACTGCTTGGCAAGCGCGTAGGTGTCACCCTTGCTTGGGTCACAACCGTCGATGTGATATTGCATATACGTCAGAAGCTCTGGGTCAGCGCGGTTCAAAAGGGCAATGCAGCGGGCAGTAAGTTCTCGGTCAACGGTGGTAAGACGTCCATGGATAATGTCGTAGTACATGAGAAGGGCATCTTGGCGGACCCAGTTCCACGAGGAATCGAAGTGACGTGCTTTCAGAGGGTCAAAGGCAGGTTGGATGCCATCGATGTAGGTGTCGCCGTGTTCCCTTGTGATGGCGTCCAAACGAGCTTGCAATTGAGCCGAGTTCGCCTTCTCCTTGTCATACGCAATCTCGCCAGCACGAGAGTCACGGTTGAGATAACGCATGTAGAGCTCGACCTGTTGCGCGACAAATTTGTTTTGCTCGCCCTGAAACTTCGTGAACTCTTCGCTGTTGATAACTGCGCCACCACCAGCGCCACCACCGGCACCGCCAGCACCTCCGCTGCTCAGCGATATACCAGAGCGTTGGGCATATAGGGACACGACGGTATCCAACCACGCCTTAGCCTCACCTTCAGAAGAAAGGCGTTTGGCAGGCTCCATCGTCGTACCCAAAAGAAGAACACCGTCTGCGCGAGAAGAACCCAACCCCCATGTCTTCGAGAGGTAAGCCTTTATGGCGGAGGCATTGAACCCTCCTGGCATCTTTCCTCCAATCATACGAGATATCAAACCTGATGTGTACTTGCCAAGCGTGCCCGGGTGTCCAGCACCGAGAGCTGAACCAAGCTCCTCCAACGACAACTCCTCACCCTTTTCAGGAGCGGAGGCAAATTCAACCTGCAAATCACCAAGTATCTCGTTCTGCAATGTACTCTTGCCGCCGACCAAGTCTTTGATGGATTTGGTTAGAGGGACCTCGCCAATCTTCTTCTTAAGTTTCTGAGCGATAATCGATGTCAAGATATCTCCGGCTTTGAGAGGTGCATCCTCGACGGAAGCAGCAGGGGCTGCGGTGGGCGTGGGAGCGGAGGTAGCAGCAGCAGCAGGCACGGGCGCAGGTGCAACGATAGGTGCAGGAACAGCTTCTGCAACAGGAACTTCAGCGACCTCATCTTCGAAAAGATAATAAATTTCGCGAGCGTTTTTGGCATGACAGAGAATAGCTCTCTTGCGGCTGACTGCATCGTCTGTGGGTTCGTATTTCGCCTTCAGGGTCCGCGATGCCATTCCAGTAAGAACGGGGGAGGGGCCAAGCTCGATCAAACGTTCAAATCCGTACTCAGTAAAGAGGAGATCTTGCGTCTCGATCCACCGGACTGGGGAAGCGAACTGGTAGGATAGAAGTTCGACGAGAATGATATAAGCAAGTTTTTGCCGTTGTTCAGCAGCAGCCCAATTTTCTTGATCCCACTTCTTTAGGACTTTGTCAAGACGGGGAGAAGATGTCTGATCATATATGAGCTGTGCGTAGTCCTTGCTAACATCGAACGGCTTCGCAACCAAGTTCGGGATGTACTTCCCGACGAGCATATCGGGGTTGAGGAGGGTGGGGTTGACTTTCTTCGAAAGATCTACGCAACTGGAGCGTTAGCGCTGGACATCTTTGACTACGATGGAAACTTACATGCGCGGAATGGCATCACGCCGGCCCACAAGTAACGAGAATGGAAAGGCACGTCGATTCCAGGGAGAGGGATGGTAGCAAATCCACGTTCGAGTTTGATATAACCCTCGGCCTTCTGCAAGTCCTGGGCACGCTGGAAGGATTCAGCGACGATGTCGCAGAGCATCTCTTTCACTTTCTCCACAGTGAAAGTTTCCGTCAACTGCAGAAGATACGCGTTAGTTGTTAATCAGCAAAAATTCACACTCAAACTCACCTTCGCGATGTCAATCTTTTGGATCTTAAGATAGTTCAAGACATTGGTCATCGTTTGAAGTGCGACCAGCTCGCCGGCACAGACGTATTGTTGACCCTACAAATTTTTCAGGATATAGTTGAGTAGTGTAGAGATTCCACACACCTCAACGTTATAGTTCACGATTTCAAGTAAAGTGCCGGTACGGGTGGCGATGGTATCCACAACCTCGCGCAACGCCGTCTCACTGAAAGTTCTTGAAATACGACTGGGATTGACAGCGCACATGGCATAATTGGAACGGTTCTGAGCATCGCGCTCGACGGCCCGCTGCATAGTGATACCGCGATAGAAAACGACGTCAACCAGCGCAGAAATGTGAAGGACGTCCGCCATGGATGCCAGGGCGGAATATTCTCCGAGGGAGTGACCAGCGAATGCACAGTCCTTCTGCACGAAACCCTTCGCACGCATGTCCTCAAAGGCCGCCTTTTCGGTGACCACGAGAGCGATTTGGGCGAACTGAGTCGCGAACAATAAGCCATTTGGATGACTGAAGGTATATTTAGGCGTGCGGGTGTCGATGTCGGCGAAGAGGGGCAGCGTCTTGACGTTGCCATCTTTATCCATAGTATCGTAAGTCATGTCCATGTATCGTTGGCGAATAGCTTGGCCCTTGATTCCACCGAAGTGAATGGTCTTGTCCTTCGGGTTATCCTTGACGATTTCGATGATCGAAAAGCCGTAGACGGCACGCAAATGAGCATCGGCACCATCCCAGACAGCACGGGCAGCAGGAGAAGAGTTATAGAGATCAATACCCATACCCGGTTCTTGGGAACCTTGGCCAGTGAAGACGTAGACCGTGGTCGGCTGAGCCACCTCGGCAGTGCCCTCGATGACCTTCTCACCACCCTGGTTGAGCGTTTCTACTTTGACAACCATGTTCCCGTCGCGCATACCAATATGGCGGATCTTGACAGAAAGCTCATCGCCGGGCAAAACCATTCCGACGAAGCCAACATCGTACCTGGGCGGTGTTTAGCAAAAAGTAAGGAAAGAAAACAAGGGGCAACCCACGCAATAACACGAGCGGGATTGCCTTCCGCTACTACATTCTCTACAACTTTCCTCGTTGCAGCACTGGACCACATGCCGTGGGTGATAGTTCCTGGTAGAGCCGCATAGTCCGAGAAATATGGGTTGATATGAATGGGGTTGAAGTCACCGGAGACGATTGAATAAGGCTCGTTAGTAAGGGGAGCAGTGAAGTCAGTGGATACGTTGTTGGTCATCGTATAACCTTCATTCGTCAAAGGAGTGAGACGGCCCTCCGGTATACCGTGTCGTTGGAGGTACGCCACAACTGGATTGCCTTGGCATCCCTCCTGGTTGAAGTCTACCGAGCCAACCTTCTTAAGCCGCTTGAGCTGATCACGGAGGAACACGTCTCCCGTGACACAAACGTCACGGTAAGATGTCTTGTCCTTGAAGGTGACTTCAGAGCGTACACGAAACACAAGCGTCATGCCAGCCTTGGCAGGTTGAGATTCGTCCTCCCAACACAACCACTCTTTCGACTGTACAACCCCTACGACGGCATCATTGGACAGTTCCACGACGTAGTCAGGTTCGTCAACGGTTTCAAAGGTGTTCTCGAAGTCGATGAATCGGCCACGGTAAAGGAAGGAAGATGTGACTTCGATAATACGCTGACCGTCACGGTACACATGTCCTCTCACTTGGACAACCTTTCCTGCGTCCGTATTCTTCACGGAGGTAATACAAGCTTCAGCGATACAAGCATCCCCATCCTTAAGAGGTTCAGTGCCAGGAAGTACGCGGAAACCATTTGATAGGTGGACAAGCTTCAGGAGGTCGCCGTCAATGACTGGGGGGAAGATCGCTTTCATGATAGCCTGAAAACCACTTTATGAGAGTGCCAACCATGCTCGGAGTCCACTTACCTGCCAACCGGTGACAATTGCAAAATCCATTGGGGCTCTGACACGGTTCGCACGAGCTAGCTTGTATGCCTCGTTCTGATTGCCAATGACACCGCAGAACGTTTCTACCTCCTTGCCCGAAATCGTTACCTCAGGACCAATTAAAGTCTCACGAAGGCCGATCTCTGGGAGAGGCTCGTCGTCACCAAACCACAACTTCCAGTAGAATTCTTTGATGCGACGGTTGCGAGCTTCGGCGACTTCATGAATCACCATTGAACCCATGCTGGGGACATACTTGAACTGAAGGAACAGGGGGACGGAAACGTCACGACGATCCTCATAAAGGGTAACATCAATCAAATTAGTGGATGAGAACTTGATCTCTACGGCCTTGAAATCGTCTTTATGCAAACCAAACGACCGCGCGGCACCGCAGGCGGTCAAAGACAGAGGGGAGCCGTTCTTGCGTTCGATGACCACGCGTTGGCCTGCACGGGGACGGAGGGCCCGGCGAAGCGGATTGTCGATATATGCACTCCCTTGGACGATCGTACGAGAACTTATGAGTGCTTTCAACCAGTTCAGCTCGTCACCGGACAAAAGGTCGAGCCATTCAGAAATGTCGGGAAGGTTGCTACCAACCGTGTAGATGATCCGCTTTGAGTTTTCTTCCACTTCAACATCGTCTGGAACGTCAGGTTCCTCTGGTTCTGGCGCAAGATAGTCTATCGTGGGAACGGCGTCAAGGTCACCGTCGTATGAGCACGTCAAGAGACGCTCCACAAGCTTCGCGTTGATGTTGCCCAAAAGATCCTTGATAGGCTCATCCTTGACTGTGGAGTACTTGGCAGCGACTGGGCCTTGCAAAATACATACACGTTGAGGGTCTTGGTCAAAGACGGCATCAATATCTTCAGCAGCCCAAAGCGAGTCCTAAAGATGGGGATAAGTTAGGTAATAATAATCGAAAAGCATTCCACTGACCTTCTTGAACCACACCTCAAAATTCGCGTCCAAAATGGGGATGAAAGGGGCGGGTTTCTGACCAGGCCGCTGAGAGATGGTCAAGAAGTATGCACGATCTTCGGCAGCCAAAAGCTGCTCAGTGGCGGCGGGGTACTTTCCAAAGAACTCAGTGACAAATGCGGCAGGGGTGTTAAGTTGGTTGAAGCTCTGGAGAATGCTAGGCTTCGTGCCCCCATTTACACCGGCAAAGCGTTCCTCGATGCGCCTCAGCCAGTCCCCGGTGAGATTGCGCAAGCTAATGTCGATCCAGCGATCTTGCTGAGCGACGTACATGAGGCGAATCATGCGAAGGGTGACTTCTTCGTATGTCATATCACCCAAATCGTGGGCGACGGTACCATCCTTCTTCCACCCGAACCACGGCTTGGCGAAGTCTTTGTTGAGTTTCTCAATTATCTCTGCTTTACGCTCAGCCAACCAAGCAGCACGCTTTTCCTTTGGCATGTTGAAAACAGTGTCGTCGAATTCCTTCCATAGTTTTACGGCTCTTGTGGCGACTTTGTGAATGGGCTCCCCAAGCTCCGAGCGAACAGTGAGAATACCACCAGTAGGTTTCACGTACGTATTCTCCCAATCTTTATCGCCAACACCTGGAGCAGCGACGATGAGATCCTTCACAGAGGAACTCGTATGAGCCTCTTTTGCGACCATGACCCGACTAGCGAATAGAAAACCGTCGAAAGGCATAGGCTGCGTGTTGTACTTGTCTTTCGACCAGTCGCCAGTGAGGTACGGCCAAAGATCGTCGGCGCCACCGAAGCCAGACCCTCCAACCAAACAAATGTTGTCGTGCTGACGGATGGCACTGTACGTCTTCAGAATCGGCATATGGAAGTCCTCGTATGAATGATGGCCACCAGCTCGACCGCCGGTCCATTGCAATATGATAGGGAAGTCAGGATTAGCGGCAGCAATGTTGACCACCTGCCGAATACCCTCGACGGAACCAGGCTTGAAGGAGACGTGTTTGACGCCCGCGTTGCGCAATCCGTCAATAATCTCGACCGCTTTCTCCGTACTGGGAATACCAGCAGCGACGCAAAAGCCTTCGACTGGCAGGCCTTCGCGTCGCATTTCTTGCCACAGGGGGAACTGGAAGCCGAATTGCTTGGGGTTGATGTATAAGGAATTGAGAGTAATGCCAACCCCCTCGGGAATCTTGGATTGAATTTCAGCAACCTTCGCACGGAGGGCAGCAGCGTTATAGTGGCCACCACCAGCAAGTTCGATATGGTAACCGGCGGAAAGAACGGCGGATACAAAACCGGCCTTCACAGTGGTAGGTGTCATGCCTGCGACCATGATCGGCGGCTTGCCCAGAAGCCGCGAGAAACGCGTGTCGAGATGAACGGTACCATCACTGCAAGCCTCCATTAACAAAAGTACACTGCACTTTCCACGGCCAACACGTACCTCGTCTTAACCAATTTGGGTGCATACTTTTTGCTCCACCACTCTTCGTACTCAACACAGTCGACATCGAATAACTCCGCCTCACCTCGGCCCTTGTCACCAAGGGTGATGACACGAACGCCACGACCTTCTAGGTTACGAGCCGTCAGGGGACCGATGCCATTTAATCCACCAGGACCGAAATCGATGACGTGAGTTGCGGTCTCAGGGAAGCCGGTTGCGAGATCCCAGTGAATCGGTGAAGTGAATATTTGATCGCACAACGACCGGGTGATTGAAGACGTCAATTCGCGCAAGTCAGAACCTGAGGGACACGTCATGTCACGCTTCGCACATCCACAGTAACCACGTACCATCTTCCGTGTTGAATACAGCAATCGCCAACTCGTCGGGAGTCCAGAGTTCTTCGCCCTGGAGATCTTCATTGCACAATTTGTCGGTAGCCTCTGCCATATATGCGCTGTGGTACGGCGCATTGACTACTAAGAAACGTACGCCAAACGCAGGTTTCCTCTGCGAGTACGGGACCTTGCTCTGGTCGGCGCCACTTGGCGCACGGACTTTCCGCAGGTTTGTGACCAAGCCATAGAGAGAGCGCGGCGGCCCGGTGACAACGAAGTTCCGCGGGCCATTATACAGCGAAACTGAAAGCTGAGAGTTTGATGGGAGATGCTTGTTAGTCGCGTTGATATGGATTTTGAGAGCCGATAGGTCGAGGCCATTGATTGAAAGCATTGGCGATGGCTGTCCCTCTCCGCCCTCTACTGAGTCACGGACGATGCTGGGTTCGAGGGCCAGTACGGGGAACGCCTCCTGACCACGCATACCACAGTAAAAGAGCCAACGCAGGGCCTTCTTCGCGTTGATATCGAATGATTCATAGCTGCTGGATGCAGAGATCGCCACCGCTGAGACCACACCTTGGGAGTGGCCAGTCGTGCCAGCAAGACAACCACGAAGCTGTCCTGGGGTCAAATCTGAGATCCGGCAGATGACCAAATACTGTATGAGCTGGGTCAACCCGATAAGGGGTAAGGAAATCGGGATAGACGCGAGGTACGCAATTGAGGGGCGAACAACGGCTCCCGACAACCAGGAAATGACATCCATGCCATAGTTGTAGTAGCTTGAGGATACATGTGCCGAGACAAGGGGGATTAGGACCTCGTTGGTGACGGCGGTAATTAGAGGAGAAACATAGGGTTCATATGAGTCGTAGAGTGCTTGGAGTTCGTCGAAGTAAACCTCGTTGGTTCCTTGGCCCCCGAAGAGCGCGTATATGGACGCATCACCTTTGGAAGCCGCAGTAAAGAGAGCAGACGCCAAAGGTTTAGGAATAGCGGTGATATTCTGTTGCTCCAGTGTTGCGCGCGCAGAAAAGAAGGCAGCTAGAACCGCGTTCCGTACATCTCCGTCAAACGCATTGATAAATGAAAAGAGATCAGTGTCACTGAGATACTTGGAGACAAAGTGCGTAAAAGCATCGAGAAGCAAGGACGTGGAGGCCTTGGTATACTGCGCATCGTCTAATAACCGTCGCGCAACAAAGGACAAAAAGCGTGCAAAGAGGACAACCTCTGCCTGCAACACGTCGTTCTCTTCGGAAGCATCGTCTACAGTATTAGCGCTGGTCTGCGACTGAGAGAGGAAGTCATCTCTAAGAACCTCAGCAGCAATCCACTCGTCGCGAGAAGCAGACACGGGGATTGAAACCTAATATTCGTCAACGACAAGACCGATAAAAAATATCTAAAAGAGTACGCGTACTCTGGCATTTCCAAGGGAAAGGGTCAATGGACGTGTAGCAATACCACTTTCGTGGATGGCGTCTCCGTTTTCAACAGACATTTAGAGGGCTGGTAAGGTGCTCGCCTCGATCGAAGTACGTGTGGAAGAGGGAGTTGAAGAGAGAGGAAGAGGTCCAAGGGCACTTAATATATGATACCCAGTTGAATGCCCTGCCCCCAGTCCCAATTTTTTTTATTTAGCGCGTTTTATCGTACATCCCCAAAAAACATCCAGTCACGTGGACTTACGTACAATGCATTCCCGTTCCAAGACCTGTGTTTCGAAATCAAAGTTGGCCGTCGCTGCATCTGTCAAGTCTATTCTTTGAGTGGTCAAGGGCATAGTCTCACCCTCATTTTCTCATGTCAACTCGAACCACTTCGACGAGATTCTCTGCTTGATATTTAACAAAAAACAGACTTAACTTCCAGGGGAAAAAAAGGTGACGCAATCATAGTACTTATGCCTTGCGCTCGCGTAGTGGGCACGCTTCAACACACACATAATACGGCTTCGTGTTTTCTCAAAGTTTGTCAAGTCATATCGATACCATCAGATGAGCCTCATCAGGCCATCTGTTACGTGGTTTGGCGCAAGGTCAGTCTCCTAATCCAGGTAATCTATTCACCCGTATCTTGTGATCGGACTTGTGCATCCCCAGGTTTCAGGAAGGTATGCACTTTCATTTTTCAACTATAGCGTACGGCTGGCACTACACTTTAACAATGCGGACCGTTTTTGCGTTCCGTCGTGCGGAAACGTGCCTTTCGCACAGAAATGTAGTCCCCACAGCCCGCAATGATGATCGTGTAATGATATGTACAGCAGCGGATACATCACGATCAGGAAACAGCTTTTGTGCCTTCGTGAGACATGCAGATAGGAGTGATAAGACCCACCTAGTAGAAATTGTCGTGGTTCGCCATCCCCTTTGGTAGTGAATGCAATACCAAGGCCTTGTGTAACGATCAACGTTGTTGCCGATGATACGGACTCGCGTACGTAGCATACGGGCTCTCCAATTGTATGTACTACGAACAAGTACACCTGTAGAAACTACATAATCGTATAAGATACACCAGCTCCGGGGCTCATGATGACACAGTCAAACCCGGAGGTATACCAAGATCTTCGAGACCGAACAATGCTGCCTTGTTTCCCGACAAGTCGTGAGGCTCAACCTCTTCATTTCTTGTGTGGTCGGAATCGTAATCAGATTCCGCCAGCGTTTGTGACCCCCCCGAGACAATTTCGGTATCCGAATCGCCAGCAGACACTATCACGACGGCATCGTCGCCATCGTCACCATGACAATCCATGGTCTCCGTTCGCAACCCATTCCCTCCATCTATACTGTCTTCAGTTTGATTGCCGTTGGTACTGGATGGCCGGGAAGAAGGGGATGGTTGCAGGGCTGTTGGCGAGACAGGATTTCCCTCAGTACGGATCGGGAAATCAATGCCCATGCGACGCGCAATTTTTCGTTCCCTGATCCTTGCAAGACTCAAACGACGTTCTTCCATCCACTGGTCTCCGCTCTCCTCGCGAGCACTTGGCCGTCCAGAGGGTTCCGGGGCAGGCGAATGTGCTTCGCAACTCACACTCACTCCAGCGGCAGCCAGCACGCGCAGAATTGGGGCATGACAGCCAGCGTTAGGCATTCGGTGCGCAAAAGTCACAGTCAACCTAAAGCGATTGTGTGACTCAGTACTTCAGCCAACGAGAACATGACAAAATCTTTCACCCAGGCCCAAAAACAAACTCGCCGCCCAGCTGAGATGGGTCGCCTCCTTTCTCCCAGATTGGCATACCAGTACGAAGAGCATTGGCAACAACCATTGCGAGGCCATTTACCTTTCCGTGGCGAACATAGCTACCGCGCTTTGTTGGTGATTTGGGTCCTGCTTTTCGAAGGCTCATCATGCCAAGTGCACTGTGAAGACGCATCGAGGGATCGGTATAGATAGCGAAAGGCGTGCGGAATATTTCTGCAGAATCGCGTGAGACATGGCGGAGATTAACAGCACGACGACACCTACGTCTGTACGACTTAATCATACTAAACGAACCATTACCGATAACAACCAAATTCACATCTGCCTGTTTTAGCAGCTTCGGGTCGACCGTACTGGATAATGAAAACATGTAGTCTTGGCATAATGAACACCTGAGTTCCGGGTTCAACTTTTGCAGTCACTAGAATGGAAGTGTTGTTATACTCACCAGAAACGTCTGATAAATATGACAATAGTTTTTTTCTCTTTAAATAGGTCGCCAAAATGAACTCTTATCCCATTTTCTGCGATCACGACGCAAGATGCCGCGTCCGTCAACTGCTTTGGGGTCGGCAGGGCATGCTCGTCGAAGTCGAGATACGGAGGCACGGGCGAAAGCTGTGGTGCGTCACTGCCATTCCGCGCATGTCGGGAGATATCACACAAAGGACCATCCATGGTTTGAGATCGAGCATGCACGTTACGAGGGGGGACGGGATCCACGGGGATGTGGTGAGAAGTATGTGGTCGTGAGAGAGGAATTCTCGAGTCACTTAAATACCCAAGATCGGCATCAGTGAGAGGTTCATACATCAGAGCTCCGCCTGCAGCGCCCATAGGACTCGAAACAGAAACATCAATCGTGTGTAGGTTCGCAGCCACAGCAGCTGAGAATAATGCCGTTGATTTCCGACGAGCATGAAACGTGCTCTCTTGCGGCAATTGCTTGCCCTTTGATGATCGTCCGTTCGAGCGCTGTGGGAATGGTAGAATGGAGGGGCCATGTACCGCAAGTGCCAAATTATCCGTTGACTTCTGTCCCTGACTCAGTCGACCAACCGCTCTCCTAGGAAAGAACCGAGTAAACTTCCTTCCCTTCCTTGATGATGGCGGTCCATCTTCCAAGACAGGAAGATGAACCTGGGATGATGGCGTAGACATTATTCCGCCGACTGCATGCGGAGGCCTCGAGGAACGCACAATCTCGTTTCCATGACGAACCACTGTTTCTGGAAACTTGCTCTGCAATTCCGTAGAAAAGGCTGGGGCGAATGCGGGCGTAGAAGACCGCGCGCCCGCGAGCACGTACGAATGCAGGTTGGAATGCCCGTAAGGTGAAGTCCAAGGAGATGATCGAGCCTCATTCCTCGAGACCGCAGACTGAGACCGTCTTCTCTGGGGAGATACTCGTGAATGGGGGTCTGCGGAATCCACCGGGGAGGAAGGGGGTGGTTTAATCCATGACTGCTCAGAACTAGGGGATACTACAGTTGTTGGTGGGGAATTGAGATATGCTTGATAAATATCCGGGGGGTACCTGCCCCCAGTATATGACAAAGTAGGGAGATGCGAAGTTGACGTGCCTCTGAAAGTCAGAGGGGTCGGGCCAACAGCACCAAGAGTACTGGCCGTTCGGCTGCGAAGCACAGAAAGAGGTGCAAACGGGTCATCTGGATCAGGCCTCGGGTAGCGTGCGTCAAGCTCCAGGCTTGGAGCGGGCTTCCTCCGAATACGGGACTGGCTGGTAGGTAGAACATTAGTTAATACAGACATAATATCGTCTTGCGCCAGCAAGAGGAGGACGTCGAGGGGGATGCAGCGGGGAACAAGGAAGCGGTGATTCTATCCGAAATATATGTAAGAATCCATCGTGGTTTCGGTGAGGACCGTAAAATGCGAGGTTGTCCCCATAATAGGCGTGCTGCCTTGCGGACGATGTCATTCCGATAGTCCGTCGCTTGCTGTGCCCCCCTTTATCGCCTGTAATAAGGGTGCCTTTCGTCGCCATTTGCGAGAGACTGTTACGGAATTCGACGATAACCACAAGAATATTGCAACACCCGAATCGTCCCTATTAATATGAATTAGTTGACAGAGACCTCATCGGAGCGTCGGTAAATGGGACATCACCCATGCTTTGGCGAAACTATGTCACTGTGATGAGAAAACGTGGTCGTCGCGTGGACACCATGGGTAGAAATCTATAGAAATGTAGGCACGAGGGTAAACAACTTAGGACTTGCCACGGCCATGCTGCAACGTCAACAAGTACTGCCGATAGTGGTTACTGCGCCCTTTGACAGACTGATCACGCTCATTTCCGTGTCTTCTTCAATGTAGGAGCCGTCTCTATTGGATATCGAAATCGGTAGTTACGTTCCTTGATATGTCTACTACGAAATACAATGAAACTGGTGATTATGCAAAACGGGTGTGATGTTGATTTCTGTGCATGAGACAAGGAAGCCTTCAGCATCCTGATTCCTGGGTAACAAGTGAACCAAATATGGGACAGCTCAACACATGGTTGGTTGTGGTGCGGCTTCAGGAGCAGCCATGAGCTAATCGTAGCGTCAGGGTCATACCGTTCCGTGCAAAACAATATACGGCACCTTAATGGTTTGGGCAGTGGTGAATACCATCGCGGCTACGCCGAAACCGCCAAGCAGAATGTCAATCAGTTTCTGTCTCCATGTCATTGCGACGGCCTTATAGTGCAGCATTGCTGGGTAGACGAAACACAAAGGGATACTGGGCACGGAGCATCATCAATCTGACGAATCCGCTAAAGGGCAGGGAAACGACACTCACCATGCGAAACTTCCGATCAGCGCCACAAATTTGTCCAAGTCAGCAGCTCCGAGCCAGCTGACCCCAGTACAGAACATCACCAGTGCAAAGCGGAATAGGTTTTTCAACCATTTGACGCGAGGATTCCGCTTGCCACTACGAACGAATAGTCCGTTCTCGAGGATACGGACAGCTGGGAAGAACTGAAGGGGGATGGATAGCAATATGGCAACGGAGTATAGGAATTGAACCTAACACAAGGCAATAAGTCAAGATAGTTAGAACTGCAAGCAACTTTCGTCTCACCGCTTGAGTAAACTTGTTAGTTAGGTCGAGGTTCACAAGAACGACGGTGTTTACTTCTTTGCCAAAGGTCAAATACGCGAGAGCACCTGCGCCACCAAATAGGACTAGAGGACACTATTAACAAAGCTGCAAGAACACTGGAAGACACGCACAGAGCGTTCCAATCATCACACCAGTGAGGGCTCTTGGGAACTTGTGCGGTTCACGCATTGCATCGGTAATTGGGATGACCTTGACGGCCTAAATTAATGATCCTGATATGAATAGAACAGATGTTTGGACTCACCAATCCCACTCCTTCAAATGAGAAGACAGCAGTCCTGTCGGAGAATAAGCTACCGCAGAGATACCCTTGAGCCACGGCGTACCCTATGAACAACGGGAAATCCCTAGGGTTGAAAAGCTGGACCTCCGCCGTGCCTTTCTCACTGATAGTAGATATTTCGCTGCCGAATATATATAACAGACCAGCGAAGATGAAGACATCCGCAACAAGTGCTGCAGTACTAAGCTTCGCGAGATTCCTAACGAGGGCCAAAGGTAGAAAAATGACCAATTGGATGAGAATGAAGAACAAAACAGAAAAATTGGCCGCGCATTGCGTTGCAGCTGCCACGAAAGCCTGGAGAGTATGAAATATCCGTTGCGGATTCTTCGACAAAGACCAACCTTTAGATTTTCTGCAACAAAGATGGTATAAGCAGCCACAAATCCTAGCTGGGAAAACGCAATTGAAGAAAGAATGGCGTAACGCATCCAAGGACCATATAAAGCTCCGCCGATGTCTATCAACGCATATGAATTTCCCGAAAGCCAACGAACAACGAAACACAAACCTCCGAAGGACCCCGAAACAACAAATTTAGCCTCGACCAGCAATAAGAAGGAATACAGAGATACCAAAGCAACAAAGGCGATGGTAATGGTGGAAAACAGTAGACCTCCATTTGCAAATCTATCCGACTAATTAGAACATCATGGAGTCTGCGGGGAAATACGTACGCTTTTCCAAGAAATAAAACTCCAGTGCCCACAAACGACTTAAGAAGCTGTTTACCGTCAGCACCAAAGCATGCTATGATGGCGAAGGTCCCACCATAAGTACTGCTTGTGGGACGGTTGCGTCGCCATGAGCACCGACGGATGCCGCCCGCCGCCTAGAATGAGACCTTGCGCGTTGCGCCTGCTTAAGTAAAGGTTGTGCCTCATCTGCAATGGCAGATACTGTGCCCAGTTGAGGCCGCTCAGTAGCTTCCTCCTCGTCAACTCTGTCTTCGTCTTCCTCAAGGTCTTCTCCAGCCTGGACCATCGTTACTTTCCATACTATCCGCAGACTAGAGCGACTCACAAACTGTCCGAATATGTATAGGAACTCAACGAAATTGTTTGTTGCCCGTCTATCCTCTATGCCCTCAGCATTATTAGATTGTAAAAGGACATAGTTGCGCCTGAAACCTCCAGGTTCGTGAATGTGCTCAAACGCCGGGTGTGACGGCGTGACAGAACCTGCAAAAGAGGTGGCCCGCGGACGGACAGCCTGCCGCCTTTGATCCGCGTGCCATTTGTAGATATCGTGACTGCAATGGCGGTTATCAAAATGTTTTAGCACTCCATAATTCGGCTGGAACTTGTGATCTCACGTGATATCGGCGCCAGGTACCTCATAAGGGATGGGGAATGCGCCGGAACTCTCCCTTGGAGGTGGAGAGCGGCAAGGGGTCATGGTGCTGCTTGTGGGAGTTTCTTCGCGATCGGATCCATTTCTCTCATCGGGAAAGACGAGGTGCTGCCTGACGACTCTGGCTATCTCTTCATCCGATAGACCCATTGTATCCGTTGCGCCCGTGTCATTCCAGGGATTGTCTGACGCAGGTGGTCTTCCACCAACAGCTCCGAGCGAAGGGCGATGTAATAGGTTGTTTGCTGCTTCATGGGATGAAACACTGGTCGCAAGAGGACCGTCGCGGCTGGAGTAGGAAGCGCTCACAGGTGCGTAACGGAAGGCGATGTTCGGAACTGGAGGTGTTCCCGAATATTGAGCCCGCAAAACCCGGATATCTGGTGTACCTGTAGGTGTAGGTGTCCCTGTGCGAGAAGTTTCGTCTCTCCGTGGACTACCAATGTTCACAGGTTTAGACGACGATGAGGACGGCATAGTGTGAGACGCAGCGAGGGTCTGAAACGATGCTGGTGGAGACAGAAAGACTCGCCGGGCTCCCTGCGCCGTTGAAGCGAAGTGCCTTCACGTGACCTGACTAGTGGCTCCCAAACCAATTACTACTACTAGTAGTATACAGCTTTATTTGCCACACTAGTCCCTTCTTGGCGTTCTTGGTTTGCTACTTGCCCGCAAACGGGCACCCCAGCCGCTATGCCCACGCCCACTTTGAATACACACAAGAGCCTTTTCCACGCTCTCCGGAGGTCTCCGCGGACATACGACGCTAGCGTGATTTGGCAGAGGACACGAAAAACGCGCAGTTATAAGTACCATGAGAAAGCTACTTAAGGTAGAGTTATTGGCGCATGGATATCATTTTGGATAAGAATGATTTCACTTGCCTGTTGTCAGTGTGTGATCATGGTCTTCGATTGAAAAGTCCACAACGCAAGAAGATTCCTTTCAGACTTGTGTACTTTCCTGTCCTCCGGGTCGGAGTGGGAGAGGCCGAATGCCAAATTCGGCAGCTCATTAACCTCGAGGCATTTGGCCTCGATCGGGTACGAAGCTACTGCATCTTATCGTCGTCGTGGCCATTGGATAGTCTCTTCCTAAACGATGGACGACGACAGAGATACAACACAGGCAATGGCACAACTCCGCACTGGCTCGCATCCTGTACCAATGCCACACCTTCAAAAGCCGCCTGGCCACCTCAGCACAGCTCATAATAGTCCTCGTTCAGCAAGTCAGACAAGGCCAACCCCTCCAGCTATTAGAGAAGCCGTACAACCTCTCGATTTGATGGTCAATCTTAAGCGATCCGAAACGTCAGTTGTCAAGACAAGGTCAGGTAGTGTCCTCTCCAGGGGGTTCATCCTCAAGACAGATTACCATCCGTCCGGTTAGCAATCGCCTGATACTCGATCGTCCAAAGTATCCATTATTATTTCCTTGTAGGCCGTGCCCTCGACATTGACCTTAATGTTCATGGTGCCCCAAACTTCAGAGCGCCTCGCCAAGGTAATCTCAACGTGTACGGAGTGGCACAGCCCCGCACACAGGGCCTGCGTGCCATACTGTCTGTGCTCAGATGTCGCCCGGGTACCCCCGATCCTTCGCACGTGGTTTGGTTCTCTACTCGAGAAGAGCCAGTCGGTGAGTCCCCCATGCCTTGTGTGCTGTCCTGAGAGACGGCACTGTAGTGGTTCAGCTCACTTTGCCACCGTGTCAGTTTATATCTCCGGGCGCCCTTTCGTGTTGCGTGATTCTTCGGAGCCACGCAAGACGCTCTCCTTGTCCGATCGAGCTGAAAACCTAGAGGCAATCGAGATCCGCTTGAAGAATGACATACTCCAGGAAGCTACCAAGTAAGACCTCCCGACACGGGTCCGATTCCCTCAGAGTCCTTACTACTCTCTTTCAGGTATGGTGGACTGATTTTGACTCACAACGAGCTCCGTATGTCCCCCATGTGGACCTCGTTACGCGCGATAACTGAGACGCTCCTCGTACAAAGCTACCGAAAGAGGGGACGGCGCCATTTTACCAACGTGGACGCATGTTGGCGAGACAAATGTGAGAACGCCCCGCGAGCTATGGGAGAACATGAGCTTAGATGGTTGGAATGTGGAGGTAACGTCATCGCTTCGTTGAGTATCAGTGTTTCACAGTTAACTGCCAATCTCTAGTATCACCGGTAGGTCCACGCGTTTTACATTGTTACACGTTCCAAGCGTCAACTTACCGATCAGAATTCCTATAACTCCCGACCGCCCGATAGAGGTAACGTCCTACCCCGTCTCTTAATCGACTTCATGACCAACCTGCTCTAGGACAATTATCTTGATGCGTACCTACGGGTCATCAAGGATACTGACCCTCTGCGTAGCGCGTTGGTCTTTTCTTGTGGCGTGGGTGCCGTACGCACCACTTTTGCCATGGTTGCGGCCCTGATAGTGAGAAGGAGGATGGCAATTCGTCAGGGTTTCGAGGATCCTTATGCAAACAAGTCGTTCCTCAGTATGATCAATTCCAGCCCAGGTAAGGTAGGGGGCGGTACCCCGGGATATGTTACCGTGAGTGCATTTGACACCCATAATTTAGCAAGAGCGGTTGATCACCATCTGCAGCCAACAAACCAAGTAAGTTTTCTGAAGAGCAGATAGTTCTCCGATGCAGAATATACGCTTCTTTCTTTAGCCCGCCACCGACTTAAAGCTCGCACAAGCGTTGGATCATGCAAGCGCACAGCAAGATTCGAATAAATCATTATTGCGCCTGACTTATTTGTTGCAACAGCGTACGTTCTGTTTCTGCTAGCTGCTCTATGGAAGTTAGAAATTGTGGACTACAAATCACAGATCTGCAATCACAATCTGCGATTGCTTTGCTCATGGCGCAACCTTCGTTACTGGAGAACCTGCGCAAGGCACACCAAGGCAATTACAGCGCCATCCTTAGCTTGCTCGGTTGCTTAGACCAAGGACTTCAAGCGAAGCGGCTTGTCGATCGCGTTGTCGATACTTGTAGGTGTTTTTGTACCTCGTAATTTGCGCGCGCGCTCATCTGTGAGTGCGTCACTCAACTAATTCTGCTTAATGTTGCAGGTGACCATGTAATTAATCTTCGGGAAGACGTTCTAATCCTCCGGATCCAATATGCCCTTACCACGTTAGATCAAGACGAATACAGGAGAGAGGAGCTACTAAACAAGGCCAGCAGGGCACTTGAACAGTAGTGCGTAGCCTCAACATTAGAACGACATTCCTCCTGACGGGTGACTTTTAGTTTCTTCCTAATCGCATTTGCAAGTTATGTCGACTCCGTGCCTGATTTCGACCAGACGTTTTCAGAATGGTTGAAGGTCCGTGTGACGTCCTTTTTTATATTGCGGAGTCTCGTTTTAACAGACTTACAGACTAGATCTGAAATATGGAAGTAAGCCACTCGCTCTGAGAGCACTTCGCAAGAACGCTGAGACAAGTCATCTAGCCAAGTGAAGTTCCTCAGGAAATCTCAAGGATCCAGGTTAAATGTTTTTGCGCCCATCAACGATCTCTCCCTGTTATCTCGGTCAGGACCCGCCGATAAATCTCTGGTGGCGGGCAAGAAGAACGATGTAGAAATGGCAGGTGGGCAGTTACTTGGAGATGAGTACACAGATCATGTTGTGAAGGTCAGTCGATCTCGGATAGTGGAATACTGGAGGTCACTCAAGCGACGCCCAATAGAATCGCAGTGGCATCATTTTGCGGGAAGGGTACGTTCGGTTGGCCCTTACACAATGCATGCTCACTATGGACCAGAACGCTGTTGAAGTCCGACCAATGGCTGTCGAGATCACAGCGTGTCCTACACTCTGTTCGGGGTGCCATTAACTTTAGGAATGTCCCAGGCACCAACATATATGCTAGCGGGCAGCCCACCGAAGCAGCAATCGACGAAGTGGTTGGCCTTGTCAAGGAGAACCATCCAAATGTTAATAAGATCGTGTGGGTAACATTGAGAGAGGAACCGTTGGTCTATGTCAATGGTGCACCGTATTGTTTGAGACGAGAACGTTTCACCCTTCGAAACATGAAGGGTAAAGACTTCCAGTTGCGCACTCTCTGATATCACTCATTTTTGTATCGCAGATTATGGTGGTATTTCCGCATCCCGACTGGAAGTGCTAGAAGAACGGCTAAGAGATGATGTACTTGCAGAACTCGAAGCATTTGGAGGAAGGTGCGAAAAGTCCATAATTCAAAATCTGTGAAATGTCGACTGATTGGTATAAAGGATCTTACTGCACACCGAGACCACTGATGGCTCTGTTATACCTGTATGGGAGGGCGTGCAGCCAGCGAATGTTGCAGTCCTCAAGGACATCATGGCGTCGTGCCGGTCGAACAGCGGGGTTGAGGTCCAATATGCCCGTATTCCAATCACTTCAGAACACCCACCAGACTTCGCAGATATCAGGGAACTAATGGATCTCGTAGTTCGCAATGAATCTACAAACACTGCCATTGTAGTCAACTGCCAGCTTGGTCGTGGGCGCAGCACGCTGACTACGGTAAGACACACTAGCAACATCGTTTACCCGTCAATTGACAGCAAACCCGTAACGACGGTCGGCAGGTTATCATTCTTTTGATTCAACAGTGGCTCAGGGAGAATAGACAGCTTGACCAGACGCCTTCTCGGATGATTAGCCGTTCCCGGTCTCTGTCCACAACCTCCGTTCCTGGTACAGATGTTTTTGGTGAAGAACTCGTGAACAGGCGGCATTCGTACCAAGTTATCAACAGTGAGTCAACTCACACCGTCAGATTAACCTGATGGTAAGCAGCTATGAAGGCCTTTTGCGTATCGTACGCAAGGGACCGGCAGTGAAAAATGCCGTCGATGAAGCAATCGACCGATGTGCTGTGGTATTCAACCTCCGGGACCATATCGACGCGGAGCGCCTGAAGGCAGAGCAAGCTACAGACGAGAAGCAGAAGCGTATCCACGCGTCGAAAGGTCTGCAACTTGGTAATTGCGTATCTCGCAATCTCACGGTCCACCAGGTCTACACAACTTGCGTCGTTACTTCGAACTCATAGCCTTCCAAGCATACCTGCAATCTACTAAGCCTGATACGATCAAATCTGTTGAAACATTCGAACAGTTCGTCGAGAGTCGACCGGGTGCGATGTTTCATTACTCGTCTATTACGTGTTGTGCTGACGCTTCTCTCAGTGATAAAGACGTTTGAGAAAGAACTTCATGTTGACAGCCTGCATGCCCTAACGCCCTTGGAGCGAACCGATGTCGACGGCGGGGTTGCTCATCCTGACGAAGTCAAGCAAGTAGTGATCAACCGTTCCGGTAGTATCTTGTCTGCATCTACGATCCTAAAGAGCGATTTCTTTGTCAACCTGCAGAAGATGACACTGCCAGAGTACGTGATGACAACCTCATCCTGTAATGACTGAGGCCTCGGGGCGTGTTGGCGCTCCATTTACACTGGTGTCTCAACAGGCGGATTGAAGGTGCCCCGAACTTCCGTCGCGTACCATTGACTCTCAAATTAGTATCATCCTTGCCCGGAGATCCCACCTCTGTGGTTGTAAACGCTGGCGATGGGAAAATGGTCTGTGGAAGGTAACACCAGTGTGCTCACTGCCATTTATAACATTTGTTGATTCCGATCTCCCAGCGGGATGCCCACTGTCCAGGGGTCAGTCACACATGATTTTGTGGGTTATGTTATTCACGACGCATGCAGGCTTCGTCGAGCACTAGGGAGAGTAGATGCTGGGCCGAACGGCAACAATATGGTGTTTTGGACTTCATTGAGAGAGGTCGGTGTTTATCCTCTCGAATTCCACTGCGCATGCAATGCCTATACACTGATAGGAACCTGTCATATATGTCGCTGGGCGGCCGCACGTCTTACGACTTGTCGACAAACCACTGGAAAATGTGGAGTAAGTGGTGTTTACCTTTCGGCGATTATGCAGCGAATATATGTGTATCCCCCACAGGGCAACAGGGGTAACTACCAGCATGGTGGAAAATATGGAAGAAAGATTCAAGCTGGATGTCCTTCGCGAGCTCAGACAAGGGGAGGGGCGTATCCTTCTGCACGACGAGGTCGAAGAACGTCCTGGCGTGTTTTCCATCATACCCATATGGGAAACGGTTTCGGAGGATGACATTATGACACCTCGTGACGCTTTTAATTTGATGGTAAAGGAAGGCTTCAAGGTTAGTTCTCTCCAAGTCTCGGTCAAATTTTGATTTGATGTTCTTTGACTCAAGGTCAACTACGATCGCGTAGCCATCGTACGTAAAGATGTACTTTTGGAAGTCTTGCGACTAACGCATCTTGCAGACTGATGAGCAGGCACCGCTTCCGGACGCGCTCTCTCAACTACTAGAACGCGTACGGCTAGGTTACTCCCAAGCCGGAGACTTTATTTTCAACTGCCAGATGGGCCGAGGCCGCACGACGTCAGGAATGGTTACAGCCTGCCTGATATCAACGATCATGAACTGGTCCAGAGATATCCACCTTGATGATACTTCCGATGATGTGGACATCACTGCGTACGATATGATTGATGGTCCCTCTGAAGAGGAGGCATACTTACAGGGTACGTGCCATTCCTCTTCTATGTCAGCGTGGTCAACATGACCGTGGTAGGGGAGTACAAAACTATCCTACAACTTATTGGTGTTCTGTCCCATGGGAAGCTGGCGAAACGCTTGACTGACCGTGCCATTGACCTTATGCAAGACGTTCAGAATCTCCGCAAGGCAATATATGAGTGAGTGTGGTGGTTGTCCAGTTCTACTATTGGTTGATAGCGAACGCGTTACAGCTACAAACTGAAAGTGGATGCTTGCGAGAAGGGAAGCGTCAAGTACCGCAAGCTGATGAGCGTCGCCGTTAATTACCTGTCGGTGTACAATGCCCTTCCTTAACACGAAAAGTTATGCTCACTTTTCCTTGATCAGATACCGTTACGGAACGCTCATCGCGTTTGCGAATTACCTGCTGGAGATGCGAGAGTTCCATAGACGAGAACAGGAAAAACCATTTTCGTCCTGGCTCCGAGAGCACCGGGAGATAGAGAAGTTGTTGGGGAGGAAGTCGCTTGACTAGATATCACCTCGGCAAGACACCTGTAAATACATATTCCACCTCCCTTGATACGTGTTGAAATGAGGTTTGCTTCGGAAGGCGATGCGTACCTGTACAAGGAACGGGCTGTACGCCCACGTGACCGGTATCCGCCTCTCCTTCTTCATCGATCGGTGGGGTCGGGTTGGCCAGTTTTTCTCGACTCGTTCTTGCCCTTCCAAGTGAACAGAGACCTCAGTAGTCCTGGACGCCGTCCAGCGTGCTGTTTTCAACGACGACGATCCCCCTTTGGCAACGACGGCCACTTTTCGAGTTGGGACGTCGTTACTAACTACCACTACTACCTTACCACAACAGAAATTCCATTCGACGCCGCTCTTTCAGTACCACTCGTCCGACCTAGCTCCCCAACGTCTCCCGCTTGCGTAGCAAAGAGTATCTAGCATGCGAAAAGTCTTATTAGTCGTTGCAGCGTCATCTCTAGCGTCCTCTGTCGTCGCTTCGCAGCAGCACGGACAGCTGGATGTTCACATACCACGCGACCACTATGACCTGCGCCAGTTAAACGGCCTTTCCGGAACTACAACCGCCAACTCGCCCGCGACGACGACAGCTGCACAAACATCGTCAGAAGCCCATAGTGCCACCACATCAGCTACCTCTGCTGCCCCAGCTCCGTCCACAACCCAACAGGCATCCTCTGCCCAACCCACATCCACCACGCAAGCTTCTTCGACTGCTGCTCCTACATCCACACAGCCTCCAGCAGACTCCGCCACCAGTCAGAAGAGTACCGTCGTGGGTACCGTTGGAACAAATTCAGCGGGAGACCTCATCACCAGCGTGGTCACTGTCGCTGCATCCTCTTCGCCTAGTCTTACTACTCCTCCGTCAGAGGACGATAGTTCAGATAGCGGCGTCGGTACTGGTACTATCATCGGGTTGTCTGTAGCAGGCGGTGTGGCAGTCATTGCCATACTTTGCTTTTTCGTCTGGAAATTCACTCGAAAGCGGTTCACAGACTTCGACGACAGTAAGTCAGGTTCATGTGTATCCCATCAACCTTGACAAAGAAGCATTGTTGTTAAATTGAACAGACGAAGCTATCAAATGGCCAGAGCTCAACAGTCACGGTGGTGGTGGCGGCGACGTGCACGCGCTGCCCACGAATTCCACCGGACGCGCTGGGTTTGGTGCAGAGAATGATTCCGATCTCAACTTGACACGGGCACCAAGCCCCGGTGGCACTTACGCCCAATCTATCACAACATCGTCCGTTGGTGGCGCACATGACCCATACGCAGTCCCCCCGCTTCCCCACCTTAATCCGAACCAACCGTACAGAGATGACCCAGGGGCATTTGGTCAACCTGGCTTCTACGACCCATATAGAGGTCCGATACCTAACACCTTCGGTGAAGGGGTAGTAGAACCCGGTGTAGAGGCGATCCCTATGACACAAATGGCTAGGACCAGGAGTCCTGCACCGCAACTTGCATACGATATGCATGGTCGAGCTTCGCCAAGTCCGCAGGCGGGCTATGGCTACGGCCCTGGAATAGTGGAACGAGCTGCAAGCCCTGCACTGAGCGGAACAAGATCACCCGCTCCACACGCTGCCCCATATGGATATGGTCAATAGCACCGCTGCGCAGCGCTAATTTCGGGTGATTCTTGGGATGCGTCTTGGGTTGGTAGTCATGATCTGGAAAATGTGGGGTTCAAGTTATAATGGATGAGTGCTCGAGGACTGATACCCGCCGCACCGATTCCCCAGCAGAACATTTAATCGACTTGGTGGTGTTTACAGTTTCTTTTATACTCTGCATATGAAGCATGGAGCGAATGTCTAGGTACTACTTATTTAGTTGCTGTAGAGGCTGTCATTAAGTTTTATCTCACTCTAGACCGCCTCAGGGTACTCTGGTACTTTCTCGCCTCACGAACTCTAAACTAACAAAAGAAGTAGTCGAATTCATTGCAAAGACAGCAGAGCAATATGAGAATGCGATAAAGAACACAAGGACACAGGGTATCAGTGAACATGCTAGCCAGGGAGACGCATAACAATATTCGTAGCCAATGCCATAAAAAGAACAATGCACAAAATCGTCGGACCGTACTTGTCGTAGTACAAACCTTCCGCACTGCGAGCACGGAGGCGAAGTGCACGGTACAAGAAGACAATGGCTGAATATGCAATAGCGAGCAGTGCCGCAACCGTAAAGAGGGCTGCACTGATGAGCCCTCTCGTGTCCTCCGGAGGAATGAAGTTGAGAAGTGTTGTAGCAATCGTACCGATGAGGATAGCGAAATGAAGCCATTTCTGATAAGAGCACCTTGGTAAGAACAGGGATTTTGAGAAAGAAAATATTGGGGTATAATTACCAAGAACGTGCGCTCGTTGGCGAAATACACCTTCGGCTCTATGCGAACCGGAACAGCGATCTTCTTACCAGACGGTGCAATCCAGTCACGCACAAGCAATCTTTCGCTCTCTTGAATTTCGTCCTCGACCAATCCTCTAGCTTCTGTAGATTCCTCCCCGACTGCTCTGATCTTAGTGGTGTCCGCACTTTGAAGTCGTTCGCGCAGTGTTTGGTCGAATGCGGACGAAGGTGCAAGAGGATCGATGGAAATGGTTTTGTATTGTTGTGGTTGTGGAGGCAACGCCGCTGACTTCCGCCGAGCCTGTAAGAATGGAGTACGCTCATCGGCTTCCTCATCCTCAAGGACTTCATCACGGTCAATTGCATTACGAGGAGGCGATCCACCGCCTGTCGAACCAGAATCATCTCGTTCTTTGAGCGATTTTTCACGGAATGCGATCGCTGCAGCGACATCCTGGTGTGGAAGACCGGTACGTCCTCCTTCGTCCTTGGCAGGAACCAAGTCCATGTCTTCATCTTCCTCTCCCTCCGAAACAGGCTCAGCATAAGCATGCGACGGCGTCATGAGGCCAGAAGATCCTTGTTCGGGAGTCCCCTTTGAAGAGGACGTAGCAGGACGCTCTACCGTTAGGTAACCGGTATTAGGTTTCAAAATGTCAATGTCCACTGTGCAACGTCAGAGAGAAAATTCTTCCCACCGGAAAGAGCTCACTTTGTGGAAGCCAATATGGCACGAGATCGGTGCGGTTGGGAAGCAGGGTTGAACAACCGTGGATGAATTTGCTGCATCAAAAAAGAACCATCAGTCACAACGGTAACCTCACTAAGGTCGCGCCGATACCTGAACTTGGGAACTGCCTCTACAAGATGTGACTGAACTAGATCAGTCACCCACTTCGGTGGTTCCTGTCCGAACTGCGTTTGAAGTTTGACTTCCAACACTCCATACCTGCAAAATGTCACGAGTCCGTTAATAAAAAACGAAGAGATGACCGTACTTGAATAATTCCTTGTCTTCATCTGGCACCTGAGAGAAAGGCCAATCGATACCGATGTCCGTCCGACGCCAATTGTTTCCAGATCGTACGCGTTCATCCCAATTATCCTCTCTCACCATCGTCAGCTCAGTATCCAAAGAGATGCGTACTCGGGCGTCTCCAGGTAACTGGAAGGCTGTCCGGTTATAAAATGTCCGCATGACTGTAGAATAGCGATGGTCAAGTTTGACCAGTACACAAAATTGACGAGCTCGACGCACCAGGGACAAGGTTACGAGTTAGTAGGCGGTACTGTACCTCGTTTGCAAGCTGTATCATAGAATCAACTTCTGCCTGTGTCTTCTTGCCGCTGTCGGCCAAAGCTTGCAAGTCGGCATCCACGGTGTATTCTCCACGCAGGAATGCATTCACTAAGTGCTCTTTGATCGCGAAACGCGCTTTCACGGACTTTTCTCCGGTCCAATCCTCTCTATGGGTTTTACGTTCGACAAATATCTTGGCAAGGGGTTTGCATACAGTCAGGTTAGGGGAAGTGAGTTGACTCTGTCGACTTACTGTCTTGACGTCTGTATCCCCGTACCATCGCAAACGAATGGCTTCTGCTCCCTCTGTCTTCTCCAAGCGACCAAGATATAGGTCGAGGTCTTCATTATCGAAGTAGATTGACGTTATGGCTGCAAGAAATCAAGAATCGCAAAACCAAGTGTAACAAACTCGGACCAACCTGAATCCTTGGGCTCGAATTCCTTATCAGTGTTGAAGACTAGAAAAGACCATCGGTGAACTCATACGAGCACGGTGAGACCATGCATCACGTACCGAGAACAGGCAAATGCCTCAGTATAGCAAGTTTGAGGGAAACCAAGTTATCCGGGTGTACCTATACGAAACGTTTTCAACCTGATATCAGTAGGTAATGTTTACTTGCCCAATATTTTGTGGTTTGTCTGACAAACGCGCTTTGGGTACCTCCGGCAGAGGAGTCACCCTGGACGGGATGTCCTCGGGTACGGACGAGATCATAAAGCTTGGAAAGTTTAACTATGATAGCATCCCAATTATACCTGTAGAACGGACGCTCTTCCAAGTATTCTTGAACGAACGTGGGTTTCAAACTGAAGTTGGTTTGTTTCTGTTTACCATGAGATCAGCCATTAATGTGGAGTTAGCGATCAAACGGCCCAAACTGACATCATGTTTCTAGTCACAAAATGAATGAACGTGAGGACATCAAAGTGGACACCACGCACGTGCGTAAGGGTGGGCGTACCTTGAGAATTTTCAAGAAACCCGTGATGTTGAGTTTAGTGTACAGGGCAAGGTCATGAACATCGGCGACGAGAGATGCGACTTCCTCTTCCAAACCGTGGAAGAGGTCTTCGAGCTCCTCGTAGGAATCTGCTTCCTCGAGGTCACCATCGTCGTCAGAGCCTTCGTCGGGTCCGTAATCTGAAGGACGCGAGTCATGTGATTCAGGATCAGCAGACTGTTCTGAGGGTGGCTTAGAAGCTTCCAGTTGTGCGACCAGCCGCTTCGCGTCCCTCTCTGCGTCTCGTATTCGATTAGAGAGCTCTGTGGTCTGAGAAAGAAATACAAGCGATGAGATTATGAGTTGAGAGGCCAAGCGCAATCATTACCTTTTGCTTCTGAAAGTTGTGGACTTTATCGAGCTCTCTCTTGAGCATGGCCGTGAACTCGCGCTCATCCTCGTTATTCCAGGTATGCGACGAGGTGCGTTTCTAGGAGTCATGAGCATCAGAAGCAGGGTGTGGAATGGATACTACCTTGAGTTCGCGTTTCAACAAGTTATAGTCGATGTAGTAGGGTCGCCATTCGTTGTAGAGGTCGGCCTGGTCCTGCGGTGAGACGCCGACACACAATTAGGGACTGTCAAGGGCACAACACACCGCGATTTTCCTTCCAAACTTCATCGCTACCTTTGAACCCGAGTCCACAGTTTCAACCTCCGATCAAGTCGGTTTTCCTCTTTCGCGCACTCTGGATACCATATATGGAAAAAGCTTGTCGGAGACCGAGTCCGACGCCGACTGTCACTGTCAGGCATGGGTCCTGCTCAGCACCAGTCGTATGGCGGTGTCGACACAACAAATGAGTCCATCAACAGAACAAAGATACTCCTACTCGGAGCAAGAAGGCATTTAAGCATCCCTCCCAGTACCAAGACTGCTAATGACATCATATCAGGAGTGGCAAAACGTCCATTCTCCAGGTTCTATTCAAGGACCTGCCGCCCAAGCAGACCTTTTATCTCGAACCAACCATGCGCGTCACTAGACATACCTTCGAGTCAGCCGATATCCTATAGTTTAGTCAACTGACGTGTATTTATCCTTAACTTCGTCTTGTGGTCTCCAGTACAATCATCCCTCTCGAGATATGGGATTGTCCGGCCAACATCACAGTCGATACCTTGGAAGCTCCGCTCTCCGACTTCTCTACCATCATCTTCGTCATCGATATAAGGGTTAGTTTTATCTTCGACCATCTAATAGTAATCCCAAGGCATACGCCTTTTCCTACAGGACCTCTATCAACAACCCGTCGCCAAGTTAGTCGAGTTCGTTGTCGCCGCTTTCCAAGCCAATCCAAACGTCGACTTCGAAGTCTTTGTTCACAAGGCTGAAAAACTCCAAGAGGATGACAAGTATGGTACGACCTCAGCGTAGCATCGCTGAACAGTGTTTGCTCGCTTAACTTGCATGCATGGCAGAGAACTTCCGCCAGATACACGAACGCGTCATCGATCGTCTTGCTGATGAATCGCCCGAGTTTGAGCAAGTTCCTCTCAATTTTCACCTAACGTCCGTGTACGACAATACTCTTCAAGACGCCTTCTCCCGAGTCATTCACAAAGTCATCGATTCCTTGCCGTATCTTGAAGGTCTTCTGAACGTATTTTGTTCGGTAGCGTGACTTCCCCTGGCCATTATCCCCTGTTGACCTGGTTCATGCAGAATACATCGTGTCTCAAAGCTTTCTTATTTGACATCAGAAGCAAACTTTACGTCGCAACCGACGCATCACCAGTGGACCAAGCAACACATAACCTCTGCTGCGATTATCTGCAGATGCTTAACTCCTTCGGCCCATTATACAAGTATTGCCGTGACCTTTTTTTTTTTGTTCACGTAGCTTAGCTGATAATCCTGGCACGGATTAGGTCTAACGCAACTTCTAATCCTCGGACAGCCGTCTTCTCCCCGATACAGGCTACTTCCGCTGACGAGTCATCTTCAACCCCCACCAACAGCTCAAACTCACTTTCGTCTGCACCCCCAAAACCAATCGTTTTTCCATCCGCCGCGGCATCGTTGACTCCATCCCAACCTGGTACGACGCTTACATACCATCTCGTTACACCGCATCTGGCTCTGCTTGCTTTGCTACCAACAACTGTATATGAGATGCGGAGGGGCCTCGTCGAATGGAATGTCGTATGGTTCAGAGAAGGTGTCCGAGAAATCTGGGAAGTCGAAAAGGAGAGAAGCGAGTTGACGCCCCTACCGCTTTGCTTATGATTTTTGGTTACCCTGTCTACCCTCACAGCGGAGATTATGATATGCACACATGTATTGCAAGTAAGGTCCCCAGAGACAACGCTGCCCGGAGACTCCCTTTCCTGCCTCCTCTTCGATTTAGCCATCGAACCACTGGCGTGCTTGCTACGATCCTCACCTACACTGCAGGCATCCAGTATCCCGGGCGCAAGAGAGAAGCTCATTGTTAGCCCCTATGCTAATGACACTTTCGAAGAACGGTTCCTACGCCGAACTGCAATCACTTCTCGTGGAATGGTGCCTAGCTTCAGATGCCAAATTCAACCTGGAAAAAAAAGAAAAAAAAAAAAAAGAAAAGATATTGCCCATCGGCGCGAAAACCCACCGCGAAAATGTTGTCCGCTCGAGATGCATGCCTAGAAACGAACCCCCTCTTGACTCAAACCTAAACATTAGAGGAGACGGCTACGCTGTCCGCTGTATACGCCCACGGATAGGAAATAATACCAAGGCCTTCAACGATGGATCAAGAGTCACCCCACCTTAGATGCAAGAAAGCATACCGTATCGTACAAATGTTTACAGGAGGTATAAGCCAATTCTTGAACGCTGCTCAAGGAATGCTGAAACCAATAGAAAGTACCCTCTCACTAAATATCCCAGCCCGGAACAAAGCAATTGACATGATCTGCCTCAAGTCGTACTTAGACCTATCCTCGACAAAACCACACTGGGCCTTCAAGCTTCATCGTCGATGAGATACTCAACCACCTACACCCGAACAACCACACCATGCAATTCCCGCCATTCCCTCTGACCTCGTGGTTTCCGCCAACATGACACCCCCGAGCTGGATCCCTCCCACCCCACGCCCTATCTCCGATCAAAGTGGCAAAAGACACAGGTCTCAGCTTCCCCCCCCAAACTGTCAAAGCGTTTAAAACAACAACTACCTGCGTGGTTCCATCTTGGAGCCCACTCCCCGCGGATGTAACAAACTAAGAGATGACTTCTTGATATGCACCCACAAAATCGAGAAGGTTAAGAACCTCCTAAAATTGGGCAAGCATCTTCGCCCGGATAACACGGCTCACCAACCAAGAAAGAACTGTAAGTGGGACAGGTGAGAGAGAGACAGAAGAAAAAGCCGCGAAAACCCCCACAAGTGTGCCACCACGGCAAAAAAAAACCTCCCGGAAGGCCCATCCCGGAAGTACAACCCAGGCATCCTCAACCAGCAGGATGGCCTCTCATTTACCTATCGACGACTGGAGAAAAATACTAGAGCCGACATATCACGGGGCGGCGAGGTTATCTTTAACCCATCAATCACCTCACGTACATCCCTCCCCTGTAACCATCTGTCGATGCCAGCCCTCCATCACGAACGGCAACAGGGCCGACAAGACCCCTTTACCGTATTCATCGGCGGACCATGCCTAGACAACGGCTGACAAAATGCAGTGAGCGGCGTAGGCGTCTGGGTTGCTGACGATCATCTGATGACAGAACAGCTAGAGTCCCGGGTGACAAGCACTTTAAGCCTGCTGGCGGCAGTGGTAGTTGCAGTGCAAGCTGCGCCCCCCTCAGCCGACCTAATAGTAATGACCGACTCACAATACTTCACACGATCTCTAACCTATTCACTGGCATCCTGGGAAGACACTGGATGGACCTTGGTCTCAAACTCTGAACGGATCAAAGCAGCAGTCTGCCACCTATGTGCAGGGGAGCGTCGACCCACTTCCAATGGGTTAAAGGTCACAGGGCCATCTAAAGAAGCGGACAGGTTGGCAACCGAAAGAGTAAGCAAACCCGCTGCCGACAAGATCGACGCTACCATTCCAGCCAATTTCACACAAAATGATCTCCGACTCAGTGCATCCACGCAGGCATCTGCCCATAAGTTCATCAACTCCCAGACAGACAGATCTGGCTAGCCAGCCGACACCAAGATATCAGACGCCTGGTACAATCCTTCCTTTTCGAAGCTCTACATAGTGCTCTGAGAATCAGAGACTTCTGGTTGGAAATACCCACATACAAACACCGTGCACGCTGTGCCAGCTGCAACAGCACCCCCACATCCCTAGAGCATATCCTTTTTTATTGCAGTCACCCGAGCATGGAACTGATCTGGTCCCTGACCCCCCCCACTTCTGGTCGGAGGTGTCCCTCGGGCTCGTCCTTGGTTCTGGAAACACTGCCATTCCATCACCTGAGGACCATGCGTGCACCAACAGAGACTTGTCTAGGCTGCTGAGGATCATCCTATCGGAATCTGCCAGCCTAACATGGGTCGTCAGGTGTGAACAGACAATTCAAGGATCAGCCCACTCGGCCAGCACTGTTGAACTGAGGTGGAAAGCAAGGAATCCTAGCAAATAAACGATGGTGACCCTGGAAGATAGATATCTTTATGTTCGTTGCGAAAATATCGAGCATTAGTGGTGTAGCGGTAACATTGGGTCTTCCCATGGCCTAGCTCCGGGTTCGACTCCCGGCTGATGCACTCACTTTTTTCCCGTCGACGTCAAACGGTCAGGCCCCCTGAGGTGACAGGTGGCAGGTCCAATGTGCGACCTGAACCTCATCACGATCAAAGCAAGATACATAGCTATAAAGGGTTTCCAAGCTAGCCATGTATGTATATAGTCCATCCAAAATGTGATACTGAAAGCTCCGAGAGAAGACAAGTCAGGGGGATAACCCTCTACGTCAACAAGAGATAAGGAGCAGTACTGATAGGAGCGAATGCTAGATAATCGAATGCAACAAGGTAGGGTGGTTGTGAGAAGACTAGAGTCCGCATTCCAAAGAGTGAGTGTCCCAACGAACGAACGAAGCAATCCGCTTAAGAGGAGCAGGTAGGGATGGTAAGGTTCTTGAAGATTTTGCTAGACGAGATGTTAGCGTTTGTCCATGACACAGCGTGCAATGCTATGCGTACTTCGAGTCAAACAAGCCCCAGTAACCCTGACGATGACCATTAGGACAAACTGAAGACTGAATCTGCCGTGCTGACTTACCTCCACACCGCCATATTGTACGGCCTGCAATGCGCATAAGACGTCAATTATCCAATCTGTGTCCAAAATCTGTGCATACGCTTACCTTCCAAGGTTCGTCGCAGTACTACGCAAAATAGAGTGAGTAATAGAAAGTTTTATCTTGTACCGTGACCTACCTCGAAGAAGAAGTATCCAGTGCCGTTCTGGTTCGCTGCAGGTCAAGTATACAATTAGAATCCCCAGAACAGAATCTCAAGGAACTTCAGGACTTGCCTTGGCAGACGAACGTATCGATGAAATACTACATAAAGTAATCAACATCGATTGCCACTCTGGAAGCACAATTGGACATACCTGTAAATTGGCAACGGATGCTAACGACGGACCATCGTTGGGGTTATAATTGAATGTAGACGTGTTCTGTGCAGTATGTAAGTTGACTTTGATTCTTCTTTAAGAGCTCGGGGAACACACGGTTGGCCAGCCAGTCTCTGCAATGAACATGTTTGGCTTGTTGGTAAGCGACTGAGCAAGCGAAACATCAGTGCTCTCGAAGAATTCTGCGGTCCACGCTGCAGCGTCGTCGATAGATACGTTCGCGAACCACGGGTGGACATTGGCCATCTACAGATGCAACCATGAGAATCAAACAAAAACACAACAGACGTGCCGAACATACTCCGTAATCTACCACTTCTAAAACGTCGTTGTTGAAGTAACTTCCTGCGTCAGCCGTGCCAACAGGGAGGTTGAGACCCATCTCCGATAACATAGCGCGGGTATCATTGATAAAAGGAATGAGTATTGCGGCAGCTGCATGTACGCTTTGTAAAGCCATATACTCGTGGCGGATAAGACGTACCCGCTTGACCTGCGGAGCCATTGGGATCAGTCTGACCCGCTTGCGTGATGTAGCTACCAAAAGTGCGTTTAGAGCCAGTACCGGGTAACCCATTCAGTGCACTTACTCGAGGATGAACTCGTTTCCGACAGTAACACCTAGAACGTGATCGGCTCCATACGTTTGAAGAGCGGTCTGGATCTCCCCCTTCTGACGTTCATAGGCGGTCCCGTTGTCGGTAGGGTCTGGGTAGTTTCCAAGATAAACGGACAAGTTGACTTTGGTTTCCTGAATGGCAGCCAGCTGGAAGCGAATGGACAAGAAACATGAGCAAACAGGTATAATTCTCGGAGACGAGGACACATACCACAAGGGATGATTGGTTGCAGTCAGCGCCATAGATACGGATCCTCTGGAAATTGAAAATAAGCTGGGTAACATTGTCGGAGGTTGAGACCACCACCGACCGTGGTAAGCTGAGACATGAGTTGGACATCCTCGATGACCTCCGCTGCCAAGAGAATCAGTTAGACAAGAGAGTATGGCAGCAGTGGGAAGGGAGAGAAAGCGACTCACCAAGTGAATTACCACAATCCGGGAGCTGGGACCCAAGAGGCGTGTATGCAATACCGTAAAAGGACTGAACGAGGGCAGGGTTTTTTTGGAAATTGCTCGGGTCGTTGGGGTTCGTGCCGGGCGGAGCGCCAGAGCTACTAGAACCTGAGGTACTACTGTTGCTGCTGTTCTTCTTCCCGAGGACGACACCGAGAGTGATACCCACGGCGACGAGGACAGCCAGCGTCAAAAAGGAGCCAATGACCTAGGGACGACCGGTGAGAAGGGATGGTGCTGATCGAAAAATGGCGACCTACGATCCATTTTGATCGTTTGCCAGATGAGGTTTGGCTTCTTTCGAGCCAGGCGTTGCTGCGAGGTGCAGATGCAGATCCTTCTAGGTTCTGGTAGTCAGCCGGGTCGGAGGGCATGTTGTTTAAGTTGGTGTTTGACTGATGGAAAGGAGAAGGAGCGTGATTGCCAGTCTGGCTGGTGTTAGTCTGGTTTGACAGAAAAGAGAGTTGTCAGCAGTAGGAAACGAAGGAGAAGGAGAAGAGTCGCTAATTGGTTTGAGTTCCAAACAAACTTGAAACAAACTGCCTGCCAGCAAAGGAATGCAGCGGTACTTACAGGGTCGTCGTAGTAGCGGTTCAAGTCTGGATCGGGGGAGCTCACACCTGCGTTGTCGTGGTACGGGCCAACCTGGCGCATGAGATAGTCTTCGTCGCCGTGTCTCATCTTGCTAGTCGTGGGGGGGTGCCTCAGACTTGGGGGACGCCGTCAACGTGAACAGTTTCAGCAGCGCCGTAGTACAACACGTGAGGCTGTCAGCCAGGTTCAGCCCTGTCGCCCTCAGTCTCAGCTCTGACAGGGTGGCCCCGCTCTAAAATTTCACAGCCTAAAATTATCTCTGCTGCGGGTTGGTTGATATGGTTGCTCGGTTGTGTTAGACGTCATGGGATTCAAATAGAACAGATGTCGGACCCCAGAATTTACTCCCAATTACACCCCAATACATACGACCCATGGAAGTAGTACATAGCTATCCATACAGAATACCCATACCCAATACCAGATTTCCGTATCGTCAACCAACCATCTGGCCACCGAGTGAGGGAAACAAGAGAGAAAAAACACCGCACTGCAACAGCGGGAGGAGGACGGCAAGCCTTGGGCAATAGACGTGGGATCGGATGGTCACGGCGGGGAGCGAGCTTGCACGTCCTCAAGACAGCTGAGGTGGTATCATCGACTTCGCTATCACGTCAGGTATTCTCGCCACACAGTCAATCCTCAGACCGAGTCGAACTGTTCACCTGCACCCCTGCCTCTCCCTTCAACTTCAACACCTTGTAACTCACACGTCCGTGCCGTCACTCGGTCCCTTCTTTCTTCGGCTGCGCGGACAAACGCTTCTGCTTCCGCAACACCCTCGCTCTCCGCCCGTCATCATCCAAACTATTGAACTCCTCATCAGCACCCACACGATCCCTCCGCGATGGCAATGTCCGACTCCGCACCACCCCAAGAATGCTGGAGGTAGTAGATGAAGGACGCTCTGCAACAGGCGACAGTTCCTGTGGCGTTGGGGGAACTACCCAGTCTTGCGAATCTAACCGCCAGGGTCACAAATACCAACAACAATACAACCCAGACAGAAACCAAAAACCGCAGATAAAAGATACGACGTGTAGAGCGAAGCGCGCGTGTAAGGCGGGGAAGGGTAGGAAAAACACGTTCAGCGTGGTCCAAGATTTCTGCGCGACGGCGCCGAGGAGGGTAACCCACCGACATGTTCGTGCGTCGTACGGCGTCTAGTGATCCGCCGCCGCCGGTCGGCGAGCCTCCACCCGTTGGCATTGGGTGGTTCATCATCTGAACTGGGGACGACCACTAGATCAGGGTCTTCATCGTTCTGTGGTGCCGTGGAGAAACGACTCTGTCTTGGGGGGTGCCACGATGTGTATGGCTGTGTTCTTGGCGGAGGGGGTATGTCAAGTAAGAACCAATCCTGGTGTGCAATCAAGAACTCAAGGACTTCTTGGCTAAGCTGATGCTCGCTCGGAGAGAGCTCATGGTCAGGGTGGGATATAAGCCCTGGACGGAATATCACCGCCAGATCTAAAAAGGGAGTTGCGTGCGACGGTCAGTACACACCACTTCAGGTGCAGTGCCAGGGGGACGTACTGGCAGCAGTCATCAAATTCTTGTCCGACTTTCTGGCGAAGACGGACAGAAGGTCCAGGACGTAAAGGAGGAGGTATTGATTTGCTCTTGGCATCCGTTGAATTAGGCGTTTGTATGTGGCTATAACTTCATCTTTATTGTACGGTTTCTTCGCTGCAGATGGATCGTCAGTTGGCTGTTACATGTATGCACGTGGCAATGACAGGACGGACCCAAAGCATCCCGAAACTGATCCGGATCAAGCGAGGTGAGCAGGAGGGACATCAAACGAACGGAATACTCACATCATGATACATATGGTGTGGTATTACAGGCTCCTGTTTCAGTAGGTCAGCATGGTTTGGTTACTCCACGCAGCGAGAGTACCTACGGGCATCTGAGTCAGGTACCGTCGAAAAACGCTGGCCACGTCGTGGGTAGTGTAATGTTCTGTCTTCCAGTCCAAGTCCTTCCCGAACTATTTACTCGTCAGGTCGAATTGGCAAGGGAAGTCGACAGCACGCACTCGGGGTGGCTTCTCAAAGGCAGCTTGAAGATCTCTCATGCGCTTAGCTGACCCATTGACACGGAAGGTACCCTCCACTTCTGTGGCTGTAGTCATAATCAACGAGGGGACGGCGGAAAAATGAGAAGTGGTGTACCGTTGTCTTTGAGATGGAGACCACTGATGGGAGAGAGCAGTGAGGAACAATGACATCAAACACAGCAACCAGCAAACGTACCACTTGGCTACGACGACGGGAATGTAACCCCATACGTAGAGGTCACCGTCTGCATTGGCTGTCGAGATTTGTACGCTCGCCCGTTTCAAGCTCTCCTTGAGTGGCCGTCCGAAGACCGGGTGTTCGTCGTGAGCTGGGGCTGCGGCGACAAACCAGGGTGAGTCCCGATGGCGGGGAAAAAGAACATGAGAAAGTGAACCTTTGTTATATTCGGGTGTTTTTTTTGTCTTCTGTGCGTTCGTGAATTGAGACCACCATTTGAGGAGAGATGCCTTTGTCGGAGCGGCGTGGTCTGGGGACATGGAGGTCCTTTGGCTGATGTTCAGAGTATATAACTTAATTGAGTTCTGCAATGGTAATCTGTGTCTTCTCGATGGTCTCTGGGTAGTCTTGAAGTGGTGGTGCTGGTGGTGGTGCTGGCTGGTCGTAGTCGCAAGCGGGGAGACACCCGACCCCGCGTTAATGGCACAGCCACACCGGACCACGAAGCTACTCCGATCACATGCAAACAACTTAGGATGGACCTCGTCAGGACCCCTGCCTGGCTCTGTGCATTGGCTGGCATCCTAGCATGCTTCGTTGCTCTATCAGTTGTCTTGAGACGACGCAAAAGACGAGAGCTGATCACTGATTATTCCCAGGTAGCGAGGGGGCTTGATGCCCAAGGTCGTGAATTTGACGAGTACGACTACATCGTCGTTGGTGGAGGTATGACACCTACATTTCACCTCACCCCGCTTTCATGATACTCACCCAGAGCAGGTACAGCCGGATGTGTTCTTGCTTCCCGCCTCACAGAAGACCCACGTATCCGCGTTTTGCTAGTCGAAGCTGGCACGAGGTAGGAGGCCATTTCCGTCATCTCAGAACTCCACCAACGATGCAGCGTAGTGGAAGGGCGCTGGTGGAGAGCAGAACCCCCTCGGCTTTCCCGAGCTTCGCTCACACCACCCATGACTACAAACTATTCACCGTACCACAGCGCCACGCCGCAAATCGAAGGGTGTATTGGCCAAGGGGTGAGTGTTTTGTTGGGGTAGTCAGCATTCTCTGACACAATACTCAGCACGTTTGCTGGGCGGCTGTAAGTCTAATGTTTCACTCGCAGCAATTTCAGCGTTTATTTCCTGCCCCAGGCTCTTCCATCAATGCAATGATGTGGGTCCCAACTGTCTGACCTTATCTACTAACTACAATCTTCAGCTTAGAGCACACTATGGAGCATTTTCCGACTTTGATGAATTCGCCGAAATAGTCGGGGACAACTCCTGGTCCTGGGAAAACTTCAAACAGTACGTCATCTCTCAGGACGCCTTGCACTATCTGACATTATTATCTAGGTACTTTCACAAATTCGAGAACTATTCCCCTCACCCTCGATTCCCGCACGTCGATGTCTCCCAACGTGGATCGTCGGGACCGGTGACCATCGGATATCATGCCTACACTTGGAAAGGGACCGAAATGTTTCTCGACGCGTGTGTCAACGCGGGGATATCTTTCAATCCAGATTTCAACACGAGCGATGGAACCATTGGAGTAAACAAGGTCAGTTCCTTCTGTTCGTTGTCGCGTGTGGCGATTCAGACCACCCGAACTTGTTCCTCCAGATAAGTGAGTCGCATTGCTTGATGCACTGAGCGACTATTGACATCCACAGTGTCATACATCGACCACCATGGTGTGCGAGTGTCAACTGAAGCCGCATACCTCACTTCTACCGTCCTTGCCCGTCCAAACCTCAAAGTCGTTACCAATGCTCGTGTGACTAAGATTCTCTTTGACACCTCACCTCCAAACAAGAACCCCCGGGCTATCGGAATCGAGTTTTCGGCTTTCGCACAAAAAGATGTAGGTAGAAGATTCAGAGTGAGGTCCAGAAAAGAGGTTGTCGTGTGGTCGGTACCTTGCTATCACTTTAGAAGTTCATATGACAATGACCGCGTCAGCTGTGGCGCAGTGCATACCCCGCAACTCTTAATGCTTTCCGGCATTGGTCCCGCAACACACCTCGATGAATGCGATATTCCTGTTGTCGCTGACCACCCCGGCGTCGGTTCCAACCTCTCTGATCATGTCACATTCCACATGCGACTCGCTGAAAGAATGGGAATATCACTTGGTTACTTGCAACCCAGTGATTTGCATGCCAAATTTAAACTTGCGCGCGATCTTCTGAGATACAAGTTGAGGGGAACGGGACCCCTGTCTTCGAATGTATGACACTGGATTTCTGCTTTTCAACAGGAGCTAATAAGCGATTTTTGCAGTTTGGGGAAGGGGCCGCATTCTTCCGTTCAGACGATCCAGCTCTCTTCCCTGAGTACGACCACAACGTGCAAGATAGTACATCGGGACCGGGTTCCCCAGATCTTGAGGTCATGGTCGCGCCAGTCCTAATTCGCGCTGACGGAAGTCTGGGTTTAAACGGGTACATGTTCTTACCGGTTTTGCTGAGGTAGATATTTTCCTGCGGGCACTCTGCGACCATCGCGAACGCTGATTCGTCTATTTTCAGACCTACGAGTGTTGGTACCGTCAGGTTGAAATCTGCGGACCCATGGGAAGATGCTCTCATCGACCCAAAGTTAGCATGTCCACTTTATCAATTGTTTTACTTACCATCATCCTGGTTCTGTTAGTTATTTGTCCACCCAACACGATATCGACGTGCTAATGCGTGGCGTTCGCCTTGCCTACAAGATAGCACACACTCCTCCGTTGTCTGACCTCACGGATTCCGCTAACGACGACCCGGAGTTGGACCATCATTTTGGGCGACTGAGCGACAGCGAGCTGCAACAAATAATACGCAGCAGAGCAGATACAATTTGTCACCCTGTCGGCACGTGTGCGATGGGTAAAGACGGTGTCGCAGGTGCCGTGCTTGATCCGCAAATGAGGGTTAGAGGGATCAGTGGTTTGCGCGTTTGTGACGCGTCCATCCTCCCAAAGCTGGTGTCGGGTCATACAGTGAGTGCCGCCCCTAATATTCAAACTTGCTGAGTCCTCAGCTGTTATATACAGGCCGGAGTTGTCATTGCCATTGCAGAAAAGTTGGCGGATATTATCAAGGCCGAGTACAAATAGATGGTTGTTTATACAATGTTTCTTGGGTCGGGATCACGTATATGATTGATTTCCATGATGCTACGTAGACCTGAAAGGCCTCCTTACACCCAAAGCCGTTGCGCATCCAAGACAGCACGGATCCCTATTGAGACCACTCCATACGTATATTCCCGTATCTGGTGGAGAAAAAGTTGCGAGGTGGACATACATTCCCGACTGTGCTCTTCATCCCCACACCAGAAGGTAAATATAACGTGGTCGAAAAGTTGACAAGCCAAGTCTGGCGCGGAGGATTGGTAAGTTCAATGACACTAGATGTTTGAACAGGTTGACAACTTGTGCAATTGGGCCCGGAATTCGATTTTTGAGTTATTTATATATAAAAAAGAACTCAAACATGAATGTGACTCCTAGACATACACTAGTTGGGGCACGACCTTGACACCCAAGTGTAGAGCAGAACATTCAGCCTGCCCTCCTGTATATTGTGCAAGTGACTTCATGTCCGTATGCCGGTTCCACAGGTAAGTCCAATTCAGAGTTCACCGACCATACCATTATCTGCCGCAATCGGTTCTCCAGACAGCGTACATATGAGATACCGTTTCTACCTACCAATGGGGTCACCTACTTTCTTATATGCCTTTCCATATCTAATGTACTGGATCGAAGAATGGGAATGAAAATCATCCGCTTACCGTTCGCATGGGAGTGGTTGACCAGGTTGGGGCAACGTGCTAGTATTAGTTGTGAAATACAAAGGGCCGTCTAAGATTGAATCTCGGAGACGGCCGAGCGGTATTTGCGCTTAAGCCACGGCTGCCCTACAAGATAAATCTAATATCGTCCCTGCCCACAATATATGCCTCGAACTTGAAAGGAGTGTTCGATCTGGGGAAGGAAATGGAGAATAGAGCCTGGAGATAGCCGACCCCCACGTTAGCACAGCCATGCCGGATCATGCGCCAGCTACTCTGATCACACGGAATCAACTCACTCCCTGACGACGACTATGGACCTTGTTGAGATCCCCGCATGGCTCCGCGTGAATCGCAACTTGGCTGGCATCCTAGCATGCTTCGTTGCTCTATCAGTCGTCTTGAGACGACGCAAAAGACGAGAGCTGATCACTGATTATTCCCAGGTAGCGAGGGCGCTCGACGGCCAAGGTCGTGAATTTGACGAGTACGACTACATTGTCGTTGGTGGAGGTATGACACCTACACTTCACCTCACCCCGCTTTCATGATACTCACCCAGAGCAGGTACAGCTGGATGTGTTCTTGCTTCCCGCCTCACAGAAGACCCACGCATCCGCGTTCTGCTAGTCGAAGCTGGCACGAGGTAGGAAGCTATTTTCGTCATCTCAAACCCCGCTGACGACTCAGCTTAGCGGAAAGGCATTGGTGGAGAGCAGAATCCCCTCGGCTTACAAGCGCCTCGTTCGCACCATCCATGACTACAAACTATCCACCGTACCACAGCTGCACGCCGCAAATCGAAGGGTGTATTGGCCAAGGGGTGAGTACTTTGTTGGGGTAGTCAGCAGTTCTCTAACACCACACTCAGCACGTTTGCTGGGTGGCTGTAGGTTTAATATTTCACTCGCGGTAATTGCAGTGTTTATTTTCTACCCCAGGCTCTTCCATCAATGCAATGATGTGGGTCTCAATTTCCTATCCTTGTCTTCCTGTTAGCTACAATCTTCAACTTAGGGCACACTATGGAGCATCTTCCGACTTTGATGAATTCGCCGAAATAGTCGAGGACGACTCCTGGTCCTGGGATAACTTTAAACAGTACGCCATCTCTCAGCGTGCCCTCCGCTATCTGACATTATTATCCAGGTACTTTCACAAATTCGAGAACTATTCCCCTCACCCTCGATTCTCTCATGTCGATGCCTCCCAACGTGGATCGTCGGGACCGGTGACCATCGGATATCATTCCTACAATTGGACAGGGACTGAAATGTTTGTCAACGCGTGTGTCAACGCGGGGATACCTTTCAATCCAGATTTCAACACGAGCAACGGCACCATTGGAGTAAACAAGGTCAGTCCGTTTCCTTCGTTGTCGCGTGTGACGATGCGGACCGCCCGTTCCTCCAGACAAGTGAGTCGCGTTGCTTGAAGTAGCGAGTGACTATTGACATTCGCAGTGTCATACATCGACCGTCATGGTGTGCGAGTGTCAACTGAAGTCGCATACCTCACTCCTGCTGTCCTTGCCCGTCCAAACCTCAAAGTCGTTACCAATGCTCGTGTGACTAAGATTCTTTTTGATACCTTAACTCCAAACAGGAACCCCCGGGCCATCGGAGTGGAGTTTTCGGCTTTCGCACAAAAGGAGGTAGGTAGAAGATTCAGAGCAAGGGCCAGAAAAGAGGTTGTCGTGTGGTCGGTACCTTGCCATCATTTTAATAGCTCATGTGACGATGACCACGTCAGCTGTGGCGCAGTGCATACCCCGCAACTCTTAATGCTTTCCGGCATTGGTCCCGCAACACACCTCGATGAATGCGATATTCCTGTTGTCGTCGACCACCCCGGCGTCGGTTCCAACCTCTCTGATCATGTCACATTCCACATGCGGCTCGCCGAAAAAATGGGAATATCACTCGGTTACTTGCAACCCAGTGATTTACATGCCAAATTTAAACTTGCGCGTGATCTTCTGAGATACAAGTTGCAGGGAACAGGACCGCTGGCTTCGAATGTATGACACTAGATTTCTGCCTCTTAACAGGACCTAATCAGCGAGTTTTGTAGTTCGCGGAAGGGGCCGCATTCTTCCGTTCAGATGATCCACTTCTCTTCCCCAAATACGACCACAATGTGCAAGATAGTACATCGGGACCGAGTTCCCCAGACCTTGAGCTCATTGCCGTGCCAGTCCTAGTTCACGCTGACAAAAGTCTGGGATTAAACGGGTACATGCTGGTACCGGTTCTGCTGAGGTAGATGTCTTTTCTTGCAGGCGTTATGCGACAACAAGCCAACACTGACTCGTCTATTTTCAGACCTACGAGTGTTGGTACCGTCAGGTTGAAATCTGCAGACCCATGGGAAGATCCTCTCATCGACCCAAAGTCAGCATGTCCACTTTACCAATTATTTTACTTACCATCATCCTGGTTCTGTTAGTTATTTGTCTACCCAACACGATGTCGACGTGCTAGTGCGCGGCGTTCGTCTCGCCTACAAGATAGCGCACATTCCTCCATTGGCAGACCTCACGGATCCCGCTAACGACGACCCGAAGTTGGATCATCATTTTGGACGATTGAGCGACGACGAGCTACAACAAATAATACGCAGCAGAGCAGAGACAATTTTCCACCCTGTCGGCACGTGTGCGATGGGTAAAGATGGTGTTGCAGGAGCGGTGCTTGATCCACAGATGAGGGTTAGAGGGATCAGTGGTTTGCGCGTTTGTGATGCGTCCATCCTCCCAAAGTTGGTGTCGGGTCATACAGTGAGTGCTACTCCCGATATTCATGCTTGCTGAGGACTCAGCTGTTATGTACAGGCCGGAGTTGTCATTGCCGCTGCAGAAAAGTTGGCGGATATTATCAAGGCCGAGTACAAATAGATGATTGGATGTGCCATCTGGAGAACTGATTGCGGAAACTACTTGCTGAAAGGTGACTTGCTCAGTGATGAATTCACAATCAGACTGCGATACCTGTGACATTGGTATGTGCGTATGAAGTTACTTGCACAATATACAGGAGAACAGGCTGGAGGTTCCCCTCTATGCTTAGTTGTCAAGACGGTCATCTTACCCCAACTAGCGTGTGTGTAGGTGTTGCATCCATGTTTGTGTTCTTTTTAAATAAAAAATAAAAAGCGAATCCCGCGCCGAATTGCGGAAGTTGTTAACCTATTCAATTATCCACCATCAACATTGAACTCACCAACCCTCCGCGCAGGACACGGGCGGTGCCACGACAACAGTTGAGTGGGTGATGTGATACTTGCGGGATGCTTCTTCCTCTCCCGAGACTACTCTTGACAGTTCTCGCACTAGCGACCTGTACTTCCTTTGTCAACTTTGCGACGTTTTCCTGCGAGATGAAGAGCACAGTCAGGAATGCATATCCGCCTCGCGACATCTCCACCACACACGGAAATATACGAATGGAATGGTTTCAATGTCGGGATCCATGGTTCTTTTGTTCATGCCCAACACATGAGATATCCTTTCTACCTCCCGGCACAGTTACCTTCTTTACCATATGCCTCGATGCACCGGATCGAATGAGGATGCTTCAATGAATTACATGGAATAGCCAAAAGGGGCTGCAACTACAACTGTGCACAAAAAGCCCTTCTGAGTCTGGATCTCAGAGACGGCCAAGCGGCATTTGCAGCGTCTGCACAACAGTACTATCCCCGCCGATGTCAGCACTTCCAGCTAGGCTGCCGGGTAGGCTGAAAGACAATCCTGATATTGCCACCACCTACAACATTTGCCTCGAACTTGAAAGGTGTATTCAATCCGAGATTGACTCGGGGAAAGAAACGGGGAAACAGATGTCTTACTGCCGAATACCTGGCTGCCTCTTCCACCACTCTTCGGGACCTGAGATGCATAACTTTGCGCAGCGATTGGTCGCCAGCAGTTTCCAAAACTCCTCCTGACTCCCTAATTCCGGGTGAACTCGTAATTCCCCATGCAGTCGTACTTATGGAAGTAGAGAATTACTCGCCCGCACAATGTACGTCGGCATCATCGTCATAGATAATGACGAGGGAAGGTCCGCAGTTTGGAAAAGACGCGACTAACTATGGGAGGTTTCCAGAAGCTGGGCCACTTTCATTCAATGTGGTTTGCGAATCAGTCACTTGGAACCGGAATAAGTGTCACGGTAAAGGTGAGGTAGCAAGATGCTGGCGGAATGATCTGCACCGGGGATAACCGCCAACGTGGACGTCGCATCTGATCGGGGGTCACCAAACTGCATGGTGAGAACTTGGCACCTCTCATCCAGACTGAACTCTCGACCTTCGTTTGATCCGGGGAGTCTCAGTGTGGAGAGGCGTGCATGGGATCCAGTGGAAGACAGAGTTTGGGGTCAACATAACCGACGGGGGTTAGACGCGGTATAAGAAGGCCAGTTTACAACGACAGCACAGCAGGTCAAAAGTCCCCTCATTTCCTCAGACTCGACAAATGCTACAGTACTCGCCTTCCTCTGCTTGCTAAAACATGAGCTGCCAGAGTATCCAGCAGATCGGCTCACTCCTTTACCTTGCTTTACGCCTTCGCTGACAATCGTGCTGGTGACAGGCCATCCAAACTTCCTCGCTACTCCAGCAGATCGGTTTAATATCCGCTGCCGCTGGTCTTCTTAACCAAGTTGTCGTCAACAGCGTACCCATCACCGTTGTCGGCACCGGTACGAAGTTGTCACCAGTGCAGCATGCAAACTGCTGCGACACCTGATAGCCTGCACGTCTTCGTTTGCTTGACACGTCACAAAACATCGTTGATCCACAGAACGGCCTAGTTACGGTAGGCTGCTCTCTTATCAACGTGAACGCCAAGATGCGCAATGCTCCTCTCGGTGAGGTCGAAAGAGAGTAACCTATCGGCTGGAATAACGCTGAGGGCATGTAAAAGTCATTCAGATATGTTTCTCGAACTTGACGTCGCACGCCAGTGACCTTGCTGATTTAATTGCATCATCTCTGCTTCGTGTTGCGTGGTGCGAGCTTTTGACAATCACGGTCACGTTAATAATTAAAGTGCATACCTCACGCAGGGTTCACCATCGGTGCGCAGCAGTGATTCGGTTCAAAGAAAGATCTGCAAGGTTGAGCCAATGCATACACCAGTCGCCGCTCGCATCAAACGGCGTTCAACCTCGAGCGTTGCTCACAGGGGCGTTCATACCGTATGACCTCTTAAATATGTAGGAGGGAGAGCAACTTGAATCCCATGGAGAACCGGAAGAAGTACCTGTTAAATTGTCGTCCCTCAGGGTGAGCTCGCCCTAGGATTCCCCAGGGGAGTTGTAGTGTTCGAAGGCGGTCATTGGGCTTTCTGTTAGACGGACACAAGGAGTGATTTTCGCTCCTGCTGTTACGGCTCAACCTGGTCTTCGGCGGCGCAGGCCGTAGGTGGGGCGCACGTCGTCAAAATCCAATGTCTTGCATTCGCCATGTCGAGGACAACCTGGAAGCCGGTTTGCTTTTGAAGAATATCTTCACCTTGAGGCTGTGCGCGTAGGAATTTTCCGAATACGCTCTTCGATCACTGAATCCGTCTTGCAGGGCGGATTTGGAGTGAATTATGAGCTGGTACCGCGTCCTAGCCCTCAAGGCCTCGTTACCAATCTTTCCGACACTGATTTACCAAATCATCTGCGTCATCCTCTCCATATAGTTTTCGTTTTGTTCCCAAACTGACGAGGACCGTACCCGAGCTATCTCGTAGTACATGTACTTATGCGTTGCTGTCATCCACGAACGGCCACACACCCTGGTGTGGCAGCCCACTTTTCTTTTCCGACGTCATCCCAAGCACTGCATACTGGCCACCCATCCCAAGAGGGTCCACTAGCCTGTTGATACCATCTTCAATAGCTTTTTTACGCTCGGTAGTAGGTGCAGCTCGAATAAGAGAAGAAGCGCGGAGTTGCACACCAAGACGTTTGAGGAACTCCCCTTGGCACAGCGTACCCAGCGGAGTGACTATCGCACAGTCAGCAACCACAGTTAATGCTGATGGATGGATCACAGACCATTGTGCCCAAGCGACTCTTTTAACAATGCGAAATCAACATTGGCGGTGATGTCACATTCTCCAGGGCGATGGAATATATTTACAATTTTATGTTCTTTGAATGCCTACATTACATGACCCCTCCGCATCAGCTTTTCCACGTCCATTAAGCACAAGACGACCTACCCTCAGTGAATTTCCGACTGCATGCTCAGCGCCATAGTCAATCACGAGAGCACATCCACCGACTCCGTCGTGCGTAATGAGCTCCGCAATAGACCGTACGGCCTTGACGGCTGCACCAGATACTTCTATGCGCGACCCCACAGGAAGTATTGAAAATCTTGGAGAGACATTACCAAGAAGTGTCGATGTAGCCGTCGGGGTGGGCGATATCACTGGTGTCCAGCGGGAAGACATAACTTGAGGTTTTGATACGCCATCGGGAGAGGCACTACGTAGGACGCTGCCAATAGACTGTGCACTAGGGGTGGAATATCTGATACTCTGGTCTTTGGAAAGCGCAATGAGGACCTCGTGCCAACCACGAGAAGTTTTCTGTGCACTGCCGTCAGTTTATCAAACCATGGCATTCGAAACCAACCAATCGTACCTCGATGAGATGTACGGGTAAGGCGTCAAAAAACTCATGTGCGACGAGCATCGTATACGTGTTTGGCGAGCGCGGAACGTCATCAAGCGCGTCATGCCATACGAGCCCTGGACTGCCATTATGTACGGTATGCTTGAGATTCGACTCCTGAAGTGTACGCATTGCGGGACTAGTTTCCACGAGATGCACGTTGGTGAGCTTGGCGCGAGCCGCAGGGAACTGCCGAAAGACCTATAAAATAAGAATTGAGTTGACTAGACAAGGAGGGCGAGGGCCAGTGGGGGTTACCCGTAGCATGTCGTCCATCAAAGTTCCTCGTCCGGGACCCAGCTCAACAACGCGGAACGGTTGCGAAGGTGCCAAATTCATCCAACGCTCAAGCATCCATACCGCCACTAGCTATGCCAGTGTACCTACGCGTTCGTTATCCCTCAGGAAGCTGGACGCGTGAAACAGCGACTAGAATACCTCGCCGAACACTTGACTGATCTCGGGACTGGTCGTGAAATCTCCTCTGGTGCCAAAGACGGCATGTTGTGGGTTCATATAGTACCCATGTATCGGGTGTGACAAACAAAGCTGCATGTACGTCGCAAATGAGAGTGGTCCAGTAGCCTGAAGCGCAGCTGATATGTTAGACTCTGATGACACAGTTAGAATGATACTGGCTGTACCTTTACGCTGTTTACCATGATTTTCTCGATATCCGTCAAGGGCCCAAAGTCATCCGAGCAGCTGGCGTCCAGCGTCGACTGTTGTGTATGGGTAGCGAGAGTCCGAGTCCAAACTTGACACTGCGGTCGCTGCAGCCAACTCGACAGAACCCTGGAAGAACAGCCTCGGTGTGCCAGCCGTAGCATTATTTTTTTTGTTCTGACTCGAGTGTTGACACCAAGTGAGTGAGGATGAGCGGAACCGGTCGTAATGAGTTCGACTGACTCTGAACTCGCTTCAGTGGGTACGTAATAGCCGGTGTACGAAAATTTACCGACAGTACATATACCCTTGCTGATCAACTTCAAGATAACTCACCTCCAAGCCAGGTCGCTATCTGGCCAGTTGTAACATCCCTCTAACCTCAAAAACCACGATAAAAGTGACTGGTGCTGTACCCGAAAACGAATTTACAGTCATGGCGACCCGTGCGTATCGTTATCAGTATGTAACGCACACACAAGAAAGATCTAACCGCTATCTCGTAGGCATCCAGTTCGAGAACAGCAGTGACATCGGAGTGTTCTCCAAACTTACCAATACCTACTGCTTGACTGCGATTCAAGCCAGTACAAACTTCTACTCTGCATTCGAGAGCGAACTCGGCGATGTCATTCCCATCGTCCACACGACCATTGCTGGCACCCGGATCGTGGGTCGGATGACCGCAGGTGAGCTTCCCGCACGCTGACAGGGAACCCTATGAACTCGTGGACACTCTCCAGGGAACCGACATGGTCTGCTCGTTCCTTCGACAACGACAGACCAGGAACTCCAGCACCTACGAAATTCCCTTCCCGATCCCGTTGCAATTCAGCGAGTCGAGGAACGTCTTTCTGCCCTTGGAAATGTAGTTGCATGCAACGACTACATTGCTTTGGTTCACCCAGAAATTGACCGGGAAACCGAGGAAATCATCGCGGATGTCCTCAAAGTCGAAGTCTTCCGGCAGACGATTGCCGATAACGTTCTCGTCGGAAGCTACTGTGCAGTTAGCAATCAAGGCGGTCTGGTGCATCCAAAGACGAGTATTCAGGACCAGAATGAACTAAGTAGTTTGTTGCAAGTCCCAATAGTGGTGCGTTCTTGACTTGTCACCGAGTTTGTCCAGTTTCCTAAAAGAAGCAGGCTGGTACGGTCAACCGTGGCTCGGACGTCATTGGTGCCGGACTGGTTGTCAATGACTGGTGTGCATTTACTGGTCTGGATACGACAGCGACAGAAATAAGCGTCATTGAAGCTGCTTTCAGTGCGTCCTCCATGGAGTGGGAACTTTGTACCGAGATATTCACCATCGTCCACAGAGCTCCAAGGTCAAAACTCGTCAGCAATTATTGGCGAGATGCGCGATTCTCTTATCGACAACTGGGCATGATCTACCCAGCGTTTTCACGATTATGATTATCACCTACCTTCCACGCACCTCGATATATGTTCTGACCCACTTCAATCGCAACCCTACATATCAACTCAAATTGTATCCTTATACGCGTCTTTTTTGGAATAGAAGCCACGTAGACCAAGGGTAAACGAAGTTGCGCGCTTGGGATTCACTTGTTTCACCATCCTCATGGCTCTCCGAATTTCTCTATAGTATACCCGAGCTCCTCAAAATACCCTTCCAGCTCTTGAGGATATATTCACCATAAAGTGCGACCTCCTGGATCGCCTCTTCGACAGTGTCCCTGTTATCGAGGAGGTAGTCAAGGAAAGACTCCGCTGTCTTTGGGGACGTGAGCTGGTGGAGTTCGGCAGTCAGATAGACGGTAGACAGCGATGCGCGACGCGTGTACCACGATAACTGTATTCAACTATGTGTTGGGTTGTAAGAGAAAGATGGTGGATATCGACTCACCTCTTTAGCAGAGGGATCCGCTATCCAACACGCGTCGTCCGCGACATACGCCGCGTGCATCATTATCGGTGATGGGTCAACTGGCAACACGCTGGAAGACGTCGCAAGCAAAGCGAATGCCTCCAACGAGAATCAGAGGACTCGTTCCTTCGCAGCTAGCAGTTCCATGAGCCACATACCTCGGGAAGGTGGTCAAGAACCGGTTCGTTCATGATCAGCCGCGAACGCAAGACGCGCCGTATACACGGCGGGCGTGGCTCGGACGAGCCTGCCTCCTCTCTCATACGGCGTCGGGCATCTTCCAACCACGCGTTAAACAGTGTCCTTCTCGCATCATCACCCTTCCCGAACAGCGCTGATATTGCCGTGTCCGGAAGAGGTTCTGTGTGCGGTTTTGGTAGATAGAGTACAGACTGTGACAGGGCTTCTCTGGTGAATCCATGCGATTTGACCAATGGAATGGCAAGCTGCAATAGCTTTGAGCTATAAAATGGGAGAATGTTCAGATATTTTTTGAGTGCTTGGAACGCAGCGGACTTGCCTGGTGGTAGCCATGGCCGGGCTTGTACTTCGGTGACAATTCAAGCCACGTGGGTTGACACAATGATCGCAAATGGCGTATGAACCCTTTCAATACACTAACCATTATTTCTAGTAGTCGTCTGATCCGTCCACATTCCGTATAATTTGTACACTAGCAAAAGCAAAGATGTCAGATTGGGGTGTGTAGTCTGCGTATCTGGCGCTCTCATCGTTATCGGCTCACTACGATGGAGAACAGAAGCTTCCGAAGATGAACTACCTGCCGTCCCTCCATCGATAGCAAAGAGACCCGTGAAGAAGTGGGATGGCGAGGACGAGGAGGAATCAGAACCTGCTGTACATGTCTTTTTTCCATGGATGTTTCAAAATGTTTCTGATCACTTCACTGGTAGAGCGACTGGGAAGCTTCCTCAGGATCAGAACAGGAGGAACAGCCTAAAGCCGCCGCAACGGTGGCTCCTCCTAAAAAAAAGGGAACCCTTAAAGCCAAGCTAGCAGAAAAGGAGGCCGCCAAAGCAGCACGCGCAGCTGCAGGTGACGATGTCGAATATGACGAGGATGCCGTTCTCGATCCCAGGGAAAAGGCGCGTCTCGACAGAGAGAGGGAGATAAAAGCTGACCTGGACAACACTGCTGCATTATTCGGCGCAGCCGGCCTAGGAGGTACAGATCTCATGATTCACTATCTCGGTTCTTGACCGACGTATGATCTCAGGAACATCATCCAAAGAGTTGGATGCACTGCTGTCGTTCGAACCTAGGACTAAGGAGGACTTCCAGAGTCTGTCTTCCAAGATCATCGAAGTCATCATCGCACGGCTGCAGAACAAACCCCTCTACCCTACATTCGTTGAATACCACGTCCGTCAACTGGCAGAGCCTCTCAAGGACACGGAGGTTCGTAAGGCCGCAAGTGGCCTCACAACACTAGCAAACGAGAAGCAGAAGGAACAAAGAGAAAAGGCAAGTGGGAAGAAGAAAACTAAGACGGCAGCAAAGCCTGCCTTGGGTTCTGTCAAAGCGGCGCATAAGTTCGTTGCATCCCGCCTGTTCGCTGTTTTGTGACTTAGATCTGTGCCAGATTCGACACCGCGGTCTATGATGAGCCCTTGGACGACTTTGGAAACAACCCAGATGACTTCATGTAGAATACCCTGCATGTTTACTACGTAAAATTTCAACTTTATGAATCATCTTCGCCTGCGTCTCCATCCGCATCGGTATCTTCCTCGTCATCACTGACAACACCAATTAGGCCGCTGCTTTCTCTTTCTTTTACCATCTTCCCGGCTTCCACCAATTTTGATGCAAAAGCTTTCCTCGCACCAGCGTTGGCGCCAACGTCCCAGATCTGCAGCTTAGCTTTTGAACCCGCAGCAGCAATAGTGAGAGGATCGTCTGGAGAGAAAACTGCCGAAAAGACTTTTCCCTATAAATCACTAGCGTGAGGTTGAATCATAAACCGTAAAGTCGATACCCACAACTTCCATGTTTCTTGAAGCCACCATGCTCACCGACGGCTTGCTGCCTTCGGTTTGGTCGACATTCCAGACCTTGACTACCTTGTCGGCACCTCCTGTACATATACAACCACGAATCAATGGATTGACGTCCAGTGCCGACGCCGCGCCATCATGCGCGGATACTGTGAACCGCGCAGGGGATGGAGATGCTAGGTCTGTGGGTAATGTGCGCGCATCAAAATTAAGCACGAGACCGTTCTCCAGGGAAACCTGTATCCCGTATTAGGGGTTTCAGACCTGTCGGCAAACTGAAAGCTTACATAGAACGCATGGGACTCCCATGGATCCCATCTAATAGCTTCAACGTCCGAACCAAGCACGGAACCGACCCCAGTGTCTGGTGCTCTCGAATCGAACACACGTACCGTCCGGTCGTAGCTTCCAGACAACAAAACGGTAGGTTCCCTTTCGTTCCACTGGACAGCCTGTACTTTGTCCTTGTGCACTTCAAAGCTCCGCACAGCAGGCACGCTTTCCCCAGTTCCCTCTTCGTCTGCCACGGGTGTGCGGCTGAGATCCCATAGTTTTACCGTCTGGTCTGCTGACGCAGAGGCTAACATATGTCTATGCGTCTTGTTCCACGAGAGGCCCAATACAGCGTCAACATGGTGTACGCTAGACCGCGGCCGTTGCTTCATCTTCTTCCGCTTCTTCTTTCCCGTGCCCACCGGTACGGGAACATGGGCGGTGGTTTTGTCGGGTCGCCCAAGGACCATGTCCGGGTACATACTTTCTATGACATCGAGCGACCATATCTCGATCTCAGGGTCCATCGTCCCGACAGCGATATAATTACCAAACTTGGCGGGTCCGTCCGTTTCCATTCCAGAAGACGAAGCAGGTGAGAAGTTAAGCCATTCAAGGCACAAAGGGAAGTTGGGGAGCATGAGATCATGATGAACGTAGAGATTCTCTTGAGAGTCGTCATAAACGTAGATCTCTAGTTGTGAGACATCGTCTTCGGTTTTGGCAGCGACAATGAGGTTGTCAGTTGGAAGAATCTCTAGTTCTTCCCTCTCCTCGTCTTCAGGGTCCTAAGTAAGCTTGAGTATGCAGCTATATACTCTAAAATAACCCACAGACCTCTTTTGCGGTGATGTAAGGATCATCCGCATTATCGCGGTGAAAGGTCAAACCCTTGATGTTGCTGAATGGTCCGAAGCCTAGGGACCCATAAGCAAGGATCTATAGCCGTGTCCACTTACCCACCGCCTGTAGCTTCGTCGTCGTCATCATAGTCATCAAGGTTATACTGGGACAAATCGTCCGTTTTTGCAGAGGGTTCTGCTAGTTTTTTTGGCTTTTCTTCATCTACAGCCATCGAGTCCTCCTCCTCACTTGCTCAGCATCTTAGTCGACCTCAGAGAATGAAGCACGCCGGAGACTTACTCGACCCACTGGTCCTCATCCTCGTCTTCGTCGTTATCATCCGCCTCCTCACCTTCTGCACCTTTACCCATTTTTATCGCAGCCTTGTGTGCGCGTTCCAGCTCTACCCGTGCATCTTCAAGCTCGATGTGTGCAAGGGCACTGACTCTCTCCAATTCCTTCTCATCGAGAACATACTTTCGTGGATGTTGTGCCGCCGCGCCCCGTTTAACCCTGAAAAGCTCGCGGGGAGAAACAACGCAGACATCGAGCTTAGCTTACCATGCAACGCAGGATATGAGGCTACTCATTCTCTGAGTCCTTGCAAGACAGCTTCCAAAATCGTAGACTCGTACATACTATAGCAAAAGTTTGCGTTTGACTATATTTGGCCTACATGCAAATGTCGAGATGTCTTGTCTACCCTTTACTTCAAGCTAACAGAAATCGTACCCGAGGCACCAATTGACGAGTCCGGGCTCCATTCCCTCGGTAACCCTTCGAAGCTTTCGAGCTTGATTGTCTAGCGTGAACACTGTGTAAGTACAGCCGGTCTACCGGTTACATGCGCCATAAAGGTCTCTAGGTACTGCCGACGGACCGAAAACAGAACTTGGATCGGATTGATAGACTAGATTCCATGTGCCTACGGAATGTCATGGTTTGGCATATCGCTGATCTGGTATTAGTGGGTTCGATACATATGGGTACAGATACTGAAATGGATCTCCAAGACAGCAATCATCGACCGTCAGGTCTCGGTTCTGCAACAAAAAATTACCATCAGCACTCGACCATAAATCGACAGAGAACCATGAAATTCAGCCGAGAAAGAAACCACACTCACGCGACCACTGCACGCTCAAAATCAAATTGTCATACCCCTTCCCATTCAACTTCTCCATCGCTTTCTGCGCACTCACCCGATCCTCAAAGCTCACGAAAGCAAAACCTTTACCAACACCTGTCTCTCTATCCCTCCCGACATACACACGGATGACGCGACCGAATGCTCCAAAGAGCTCGCGTAGATCGTTCTCTTGGGTTTCTTCGGAGATGTTGGTCACACGTAGCGTGGGGAACTCATCGCGCGTGCCTGGCCCACCGGCACCCGAACCCCGCGGCATCGATTCGCCTGGCCCACGTGTGCGCATCGAGGGGGGGACGTACTTGCCTGTCGCAGGTGCCGGCGCGGGTTCCGCTGCAGCACTCGCAAATGTACCTTCGTCAGGAGTGTCTTTCAATGATTTGTTAACCCCTGATCAATTCAGAAAACATGATAAAGTTTCGACGTACCTGATGTTTCCAGCCCTGCAAGATGGTCCTTGTAAGGACATTTTGCAGTGAAGTGGTCTCCTTTACAAAGTCTACAAGAGACTTTTCCGCCTCCTGCTTTCGCAAGTTCAGCCTTGATCGTCTGTTCTGCGGATGGTTCCGGTTCCGAGGACTGCGTCATGAATAGTAAACAATGTCCAATGTGATAAAAAGTAGCACAAGAAGTCTACGTACTTTGTTGCCGGCACTTATCTTGAGCGTAACGTTCTCGCCGACTGTCGTCGTAGCGTGATCCGGGCCTTCTTTGTTCCCTCTTTCCTTGCCGAATTTGGCCCACTTTTTGCGTTCGGCAACAGCGTGCTCGACGACGGACTTTTGGAGTGTACGTTTGATTTTTCGGGTTATCTATCCATTATCGGAGTCGACGGGAATCGGATTAACATAGGTAGTTGAACAACAAAATGATAGGGAAAGAAAGCAAGAAAAGCACAAGAACAAAGCTGACCTTGACTTTCTTTCCCTCGTCGTTAATAGTACATTCGACGGTGATACGGATCCCATTCTCGTCCACGTAATCTTCGATTATATTGGGTTGATCTGTTGACGAAGGTATCCGTCATCATCGAATCCGCGCGGACGATATCGCAAAAAAGAGCACAGCGCGAGTCAATCAACCGAGAAAAACTCAAGAACGAACTTCTCCCCCACGAGATATTCGAGTACACAGGGCAGATAATACATACCGAGTTCGTCGACATCGTCGGCCCACGATGTTTTCTGCGCGCTGTTTTCAAGCCTGTGTATCAGTACCAAGTAGAATATCATAATTAGAGCTACAGTACATACGTTGGGACGGCCATCTTGTGAGGTTTTGGAGTTCGAGATGGGGCTTTTGCGTTCGATGACAGTTCTACTGCACGCCTGCAACGAATCACGTGACTATATTTCGCAGATTTTCGAGGCGCCTGATATTTCCTTTTAAGGGTTATTACATATAATGGTCTTGACTCTGGTAACGACATGTCGGCGATTTAGCACTGCAACCTCCATGCTCGGGAACCGACTGGAAATCATTTTGTTGGTTACCCGTATGTTTTCCCAGCCAAGTGCTTATAATTTCTTCAGGCCGTCGTGAACTCCGGATAGAATGGGGTTGGAGAGGAAAAGTTCCACCATGTATCGAAGACCTTCCAGCATCCGGGACTAGCGCACATCGTATCAAAGTCGATGAGGATCTTGGATTAGTGATCACCACCGGTTAGAGGGGAAGTTTCTTGGTTACTGACTTGGAGGGAAACACCCCGCTTTTTGGGCCTTCTTCCCTTCAGCAAACACTTTCTTATATATTTCATAAAGTGAAGCCCCTCGTTCTGACAACGTTTGGCAATCTCACGTTGTTGAATACGCCGACTGCGAATATGTTCACGGGTACATCGTATTCAACCGACACGACAATTGCAAGGAAATCTGGCGCCGTGTGCTCGACGTACCCAACGAAGATCTCTGCACTCTATCTCCACCAGACTCAGATATGCTTTCGGCGTGGACTGACGAAATCCCCTGCTGGCATGCTTCAACGCCCTGGGCACTTTTTCGCATGCCAGAAAACACTCGAGCTTTCCGCCTCTCGCATCTGACCTCACTGGCTTCAGGTGTGGAAAGCGCCTCATAGGGTCGCTTGGTTGAAACCATCAGTAGCATTCAAAGCCGGCACCACCGTCAGACTCTTGACCATATCCATTACGAGGGAGCGAATGACAAGTGTGCGTTCATATGTGACTCAAATCAGCTTAGAATTTTTGAGAGGAGTGGTGGTGCACAGGTCTACGATCTTTCTCTGAGGAATCTCCCAAAAAAAGTATGGAATGTTGAAGAGCATCCGCCATTTGATTCCCCCGTTGTGAATCGTCAAAGGCTCGAGGAAAAAGATCTGAACTCAACTATGGATAACCAACTCATGCCAGGTTTGTTTGTCCCGACGTTGAGATCCACCTCAACCTGACCCAGCCCTTCTGTGTAGTGCACATGTCAGGCGACAGAAAAGATCCTGCTGCGTTGACGATTTGTGGGGTGCTCATCACCATATCTGGGTTTCAACGCATCATCTCTGGACTACCGTGAACCTCGCGTTATTGTCCTCGACTTGAATTGGCCCACATCGATTTTCGGCGGTCAGCCCCTGATGCCGTGTCGGTTGCTCTCACGAACGGTCAGGGAGGACTTGGATGCCCCGGAAGCTGCTAGAATCCCCTACCATATTGTTCTACGCAAGAAATCTGACGATACGAGGATCGTACATTGTCACGCCGTCCGATTCTCTTACAGAAGGATCAGAAGATATGATCTCCACAGCTCGGTTCCTCTTGGTGTCCTAATTTTGTGCATCTGTTAAGCAAAAAGCCACAGCAGCAGCGAAGAGGTTGATAACGAAGGGCGAGAGTGAAACCAGGACAGAAGATATGAACAGACAAAGAGCTTGGTAACTGGCTGGCTGTGCAGTACAGGGCTATGACGATAGTCAAAATAAAAATAAAACGGGACAACGCCCACTTGCTGGTATTCTCGCCTCTCCTAGACCAGTCCGCTTCCTCCCATTCGGACTGTGTCGATAACAGCCTTAACTATTTCGTCCCACATCCTTCGTACGAAGGAGTCATTTCGGCTGTCGAGCAGCCGTCGTTTTACCTGATCCGTCGTTGAGGCTGGTAAATTACTCCCTCGAGTACGCCGTAGGCGGATCAAGTACGACAGCACCGGCAGCAGCAAAAATAGTACCGAAAGCGCTGTAAACCGGTTCACTGTGAAGCATCTGTATAGATATGCTCGTATCAATGCTAGAAGATTTGGTGGCTCGGATGTTTCCACCACGGAAGTGCTCGTTCGTGCTTTTCGCACGAGACTTGCACTTGGACTTGCCCTGACAGGAGGCGTGTGACCCCTTTGGTGTTGCTCGAATGGACGCCTCTTGACTGTAGCATCAGACGCTGCGGACGCCACTGATGTTGTTGAGGGCGTTCTGGGCTTAGATTGGGCAGAGGACAGCCTTGACATTGGAGTTACGGTACGAGTAGAAAGTGTGGACATTGAAGAGCTCGAGGAGGATGACGAAGGTGTAGGGGAAGACGGACGTAGAGAGGAAGTAGAACACGCTGGCGTTAATGCGGGCAGACCTTTTCCGGCACGCTCCTGAAGGTTTTCAATATTCTTCTGAAACTCCTGAAACATGTGATTCAGTGATATTCGACTACCAGAATATGTACAACTCACGATGCGTTTCTCGTGCGGTAGTTCAATCTCAAATTGAAGAAATTCCTTTGAGTATTCCCATTCCTGGAGAGCGGGTAAGATATAGAGGCAATACAGCTCGAGGACTTTCTCGTAGGCCTCCCGCGTTGAAGGGATGTAGTCATACTGGCCGCGATTGCCAAGCCAATCCTCCACTATCTCCCTGCCAACTGCTGGACAGTTGACTTTGAGACTGGACGCAGCGAGGGTGATAAGGACTTGATGGGGTAGGAACGCAGAGGAAGGCCTACGAGGTAACGAAGACGGCGTGAAGAGTGAGAGCGAACGTGCATGGGCGGTGTTAACAAATAACTGTGGCGACAACATCAGGGTCTCACGAAGAGCAGGTGGTAGAGCATCGCGGTCTGAAGGGGTGGTGTAGGCTGTAGTCTCCAAAGTAATGCGGAGAATGTCCCACTTGCGGCGATGAGAGTCCAAGCTGTCGGGAGCAGGGACGATGGGTGGCCGCAATATTGTGAAAGCAGATGCAATAAGGTTCTCAGCAACAACATGATCGTGATGAAGAAAAGCCCTCGCAGCAGGGTTGTATAGCGACTGGAGGTTCACATCTGTAGACGAAAGAGACCCGTCGGAGGAGTCTGCCTTCAGTGGCAAGACGCCATCTGATTCTGACAGCATCCGTATCGTTTCCGTCGCCGTCGTCGTCGTCGCTGTCGTCGCAGACATTCGCCTTCCTGGTCTGAAGAATGCAGCTGATTACTCTTTAACGCGACCTCTGGCACAGGTCCCGGTCCCGGCACGTGGTAAGCCCGGGACCCAGGGTATTAATACACGTATTGCACGCCCACCACCCAATGGTCGTCAGGTTGAAATCTGGGCAGCCTGATCGACCACATCGAGCAAAGAGACTTCAGACACATACTGCCCAGAACTGTCACCGTGCATTCTGCAAACACTCGAATCACATTCATTACTACACACTACTACAAAGAACGTGTAGAGCCCCCTCAAACTACCTCTCCTAGTGAGCCATCGCAGATCATGGGTGCCAGCCCTAAGGCGGCACCTGCCTAACAACGACGAAGCTAGTCAAGCGAGATGTTCCAATCAGAACGGAGGACCAGGACACCAGAGCATCCGACATTTTTCTTGAGGACGGGAACGCGGACGAGGAGGCGGAAGAGCTTAACCAAGCCCGAACTTTTGTGTCCTCGTGATTGTTCTGAAGAAAAAAGCTCCACCAACGGCTCGCATATAAACCTCTTTGGTTCTGAGTCAGCAAATCCCACGCCTGTGCTCATTGCCAAATCGCACTTCCATAATAGTGAGTACCCTAAGATGACATCGAATACTATAGGAACGTGCTTGTTCTCGCACAGCACCACGGCGCATCAATATGTTCTCCCACCGCTGTGCAACGGTGAATGTTTCCCCTTCTTGTGGGTGGTACTTGAGTCCATAGCACAGCAGCTCCCAGGAGTTACAGTACGGTACGGTACCTTTGACACCTTGCACCTGTGGTCCTTCATTTCCCTGCAGGTCTGCCACGTAACGTACCAGTTTATCCTATACATACCTTAGTGGGTATGGGCGCTAGTTCCACTGAGACATGTCAGCTCGCCACGACAACCCATCAATCACGCCAAGGGAGGCCGTGTTCTTGTTGATGGCGATCCGCCGACGGGGATATTCCCTTCTGCCTCGATGTATATATCCCACTTGGACCAATGGTGTACTTCCTGTTCTCTCCTGTGCGTGGACCGTCGGGTATCTCATTGTTCGCCCTTGCACCAGGTCGGCCATGTCGTTAGAGCCTCAGTCACTGGCTTTTCAGCGCTATCACGAGTTCCAGTTCGCCATGATCACAGTGATGGTGTACGATCATGCTATCACCCTTGGAAAAGAGGTGATTCATTTATTCCATCCAACCAGTCGTCCTGCACACTGGGCTAACAGGATGTCACCAGTTCGACCTTTTCTGGTGTGGATCATGGAGCCTGTCAAAAGTGCTGTATCTTTCGGTGAGATCCCATGATCTTCCAATACCTGTGTGCGTGGGAGGCTAAGAGACGGACGATGGGACAGATTCGGTACCTGTCTCTCTCGCTCGTAGTGTAAGTACTGCACTTCTAGTAGGCCTGGAGTCGCTGAGCACGTTGATCGCAGACTACTGTTGATAGGTTAGCCTATTATCTCGTTCATCGATGAGCGAAGACTCATTGCCACTTCTTTCTCGTTTCCAGTGAACTGTAGTACAACACAATATGTGAGTGGTGTTAGCTACTATTGTCACCCAGCCTGAGCAAGTCGTTAGCCGTCAGTCTCCCATAGAATACCGTGGATTTTGGAACCAGGAATGACCTTTCTTTCGAAGGTCTCTGTTCTTTGCCACCTTTTCACTGTCAGCAGTGATCATGTCACTTTGCCAAGGTGAGTTGTCTCCCAGGTCCAACAATTTTCCTGGTTCCCAACACTTGGTTTCCATCATCATGAACAAAGCCGCCGTCACCCTTCGCGTCTGGTATCTTTTTTCTCGCAACGTATACGTCCGCACCATTGCGGTGACCGCCCTCATCGGCAGCGCAACAGCTTCATTCACTATGGTCTCCACGTTAGTGGGGAGCATGGAAAAACTCTTTACCTCCGGTATTTCAATCCAGACACACATTCCTGGAAAAATCGTGTGGCTTTTCGTTCCTGCGTTGATCGACCATACTCTCTTGTTTGCATTGAAAGTCTATCGCTTCGCACAAGGCAGGAAGTCGCTTCACGTGGAAGCACCGTTGCGCAGATTCTTCAAAGAGTCATTCCCCTGCCTTCTTCCATGCACGCCTTTGACTGACCATGTTTTGGATACTATAGGGGTATGTTGATGTATGCGTTCGCGATGGGTGCGGTATAACATTCGGCTTCCTACGAAATTAGAACTCAAGGACCTAACAGGATCACTCGTGTTCTCGATCATATGCCTTTCGTTCACTGGTCCTTCTCAGCTGTCGGTGCGTACCAACGTTTTTCACTATTCGCGCTTTTGAATGACCCACACGTGTTCAATTTGCTCGGCGGCTAGATTTTCATTTTGGCTCTAACTAGGTGGGCCTCCTATCGCGTCAGACGGTTACTGCATATTGCCATACTGAGTGCCGCTGATTTTTTTCCCCTTTCAGCTTCCCTACAGCAGCAGTTGCTGTGGCCGTGTGTCACGCCATGCTCAATATTCGTTCGTTGGCCACCACATTCCATGTCGACCCAGAGTGGCTCCTTAACCATGCCGAGATGAGCAGGCTACCGTTACGTGAAGGACTGAACAAAAGCGAGTTCCGTGTTGATTTATACGCCGAGTGACAAACCGACGACAAGTCTCTGAGCCTTTTTAATCCTGCTTGTACTCGGCCTCTTCCTTCGGTTCGAATTGATCGATTCGAAGACCAGAGACGTTCTGGTTACATAACGAAAATATTTCGTACATGTATTGGACGTACGTTTCCAGATATTTTGTAGCATAATAGCTCCCTCACTCTCAAAGGGAACTTGATTAAGAGATTGATCAATATGTAGCATCCGTTGATATATATGATAATTTCGGAGTATGAGGAACCTTACCAGAAGGCCCCGTCCTCCTCAGTAAGTTCATGGTCTTTGCCTCATCGCTCAAGAGTGCCCTGGCGAGTCCTCAGGGATCAGACATACACAAGATTTGCGGTTGCTAAATGAGAGATAAAAGTGAACAAGTATGACTTTTACCGACAACACGACCGCTAGTTTGAACGGTGGGAATCGACAGACCTTGCGGACTCCAAAACTAACGGAAGAGAGCGTGTACTCCCCCCACTTTGATCTGATCACTAGAGACGATTTCCGACAGAAAGCAAAGCCGGAAACCCAGGGTATGTTAGTTAAGGATAAGATGGGAACATCCAACATATCCGGAGGGAAATTCAACGCCAGCCTCGAGGGTACTGGGGTACCATCGAAACCCGCGTGGACATGTGTGCCATCTTTACGCACACAGGATGTTCCGCGGCAATTGATTATCATCGAATTCCTTCGCGCCCCAACAAACCACAATGCACAATGTACTCTGGCATGTTTCTGCATCTGACTCGCCACTTGACCACGTTGGTACTACGCACCCTACCGCGATTGCCTTTGCTCGTAATGATATCGGCCGCTGAGCACTGCGCTGAAGCTCTGGTCGCACCGGACTTCGCCCATCTTTGAGTTGCTTTGCACTCAAAGGAAATACTCAAAGGTCTTACTGGCCTTTCATTATTCCTGGTGGAATAACCATTGTATTCTGTTCACAAGAAATTACTGTGAGGATGTCTGAACTACAGTGTCTCAATTAAGTAATGCACAGCCACTACATTTCCAGCATTTCATTGATAGCAACAGTAATACATCACTTTATGTTTGTACAACTATCATAACATGTGGACAAAGGTCTATTTGACAAGACTGAGGTGTGATGATTGTCCTTTCATTGTATTGTAGTGTGCTGTGGTGTGAACACTAAAAAAAGTACTGTGCAATTCTTTTTTGGATAGGGGGTGGCATTATGAAAACCTGCCTCAAATTTTCATTGCCAAGTTCACTGCCCACTGCACCACTCCAGAAGCTACTGGTACCCTCTTTACCATCTCTTGGCCATGGCAAAGTACACCAGCCCAACAAAGAAGGCTCAGATTTGTCAAGACAAGGCAGCTGGTCTCTCAGATGAGCACATTGCCAAAAAGTTCCAAATTCATTGTACTACTGTCAAATGCATCTTTAATTCTTATGCTAAATCTGAAGATTACTGTGCTATCAAGCCTAAATCAGGTCACCCATGTCTATTCACTTTGAATGACACTCATTGTGCAGCCTGACTTCTTGCTCAGGGGAAGGCACATGATGTTGCTGATGTTACACTTCCATCAGGGGTCTTTCCTTTTTCACCTCCTTGCGGTCACGTGTGTCATGTGCCTCATTGTGTCTCTAATAATTGTTGCTGTCCTAGGGGCTCATATGCTTGAAGGATTGTTTGGATCTCCTGCTGTCAAGGTATTTCCAATACCTGTGGAGACTGTGCCTCTCCTTTGATCTGGTGTCCCACCACCCTCTCTGATGGATGACTTGTTTCTTTCTTGTTCTGATGACTCATTTACATTGCTCATATGTTGTACTATAGCTCTGGTGTCTGGCTCCTTGCTGCACTTTGATTGCACAGCTGGTATAGCCTTCATCTCCCTGCCTACCCCCATCTCTGACACTGAATGACTCCTATTTATTTGACTGATGGCTTTGTTGACTACTGTGGATACACATTGCTTGCAACTGGTATGGTACTCGTACTTAGGGGTATATAGACCTATGTACTCCATCGTGTATCCCCAGTTTTTCAATAGCTTGCAACTCAGCTAACTTCCTTCTCTTTCATCCTTATTCTCTCTCCATGCAACAACCTAAATGGATTGCCAGTAGACAGAATCTCTGTTGGACTTCAGAGATAACTGAGCCATAGGGGTTATGACATGTTTGGCCTGTAGACTCCCCCTTGCACGCTTCGTGCCTATTCCATTTGAAGAAGTCACCATGCTCAGGCATAACAAAATCAAAAAACTCAGTGCAGCTTTCAGGACTTGTTGACCTCTTCACAAAAGTCTACTTGTCCCTGTTTACTGAATTTCAACAAACCAACTTCATTACCTGCACTAGGCTCATTGCTCTCCCTATGTGGAAAGACTGACTTGCCTTTGTCTTGCTACTCGACAAATAACAAGATTGAGAAGCATCCCTCCACCCTCAACCAAATCCACTGCTCTACAGGCAGCCACTAGGCTTTAATAGATCGCCTCCCTAGAGTTTGTGCCCATGCCTCCCTACATGTAAAGCCACTCATGCTGTCACACACCAAAGGTGTTTGGTGAGGTGGACATGGATGTAGCTGATGAATGGAGGTGAAGACCATAGCCCTCATGCGAAGAAGGACAGCCAGCAATGTTGGCAGTCATCCCTCGCACAAGAACAGGTTGTCAATGCCAAAGAAAAAGGAGGAGGCAAGTTAAGTGCCCGTGTATGGCATTCCGGTTTTCGACGTATCTCCACCAATTCTGCAGACACTGAAACCATTCCCACACTCGCTTGTAGTGCTCAGCCACGTGATCCTACCTTCCAGGATTGGAAAGGATTTGTGCACTCCACATGTTTCTACAGCACTCCCTCCAAAAGATGCTCATTTTGCTAATTCTTCTGATATGGCTGCCTCCACATCAGTCATTTTGCTTGTCCCCTTTGCTAGGGACCATGGCTACATATATCTACCAGGAGTTCCTACCAGCTTCCATCCTGAAGTGTCCTGGTACATCCCACCCTCATCTGCCCCCTATCAGCCCATCCAGCTTGGACAGCATGTTCTTTTTGTCAGTATGACCTCCAGGAGGATGTTCTTTGGTTGCCTCAGGTCTGTTGTTTGCTTGGAAAGGTCTTATGTGGTCATTTCAGTCTCTCCAGTCCAAGAAGCATATGGATCCTTCCTCCCTGCCCCCTGCAATGTCTTCATACCAGTCTCATCCATCATTCTTCCAAAATTGTGACAGCTACAGTATAATCTAGCAGAAGATGCTCCCCCTTCATCCTCTCTTCCAACAGAGCCTCATTCATGAAGTTTTTATTTGCTTCACTGAGAGGATGGTTTGGGGGGGGGGGAAGTTGCAATCCCCTATGCTCCTGTCACCCCACAGACCCCCAAAGCTTGACCCCTGTTGACATCTGACTCACCCTGTCTGCTTTTGGATGTACTATATTGGCATCAGATCAGTGCTGCCTCTCTGTCATCCCACTTTGGCCTAGAAGTGATCTCTTTGAGATGTGACATGCACGGCCTCCCCCTAATGTGATTCCAGTGCACTTTCCCAGTTCCTGACATTGCTTGACTCATACTGTGACATTCTGACTGTCTTTGACTCACCTATTGCCAATACTTACCAATCTTTTGACTTTGCTTACTGATTCTTTGCTTTTTGGCTTACTTATCCTTACCAATGCTTACCAATGCTTTCCAAGATGATTACCCATCGCTTACATTCCTTACTCATCAGTTACCAATCACTTACCAAGTGTTTGCACCTTGTTTTCCATAGGCAACGCCCCTGTACTGTATATAAGTCACTGTACTTAGGTAGCAAAAAAAAAAAAAGAAGAAGACATCAGAGAGCCCCTCTTGCTTGCAATTTATCATCTCTCAGTAAATCATTCATCAGCTTTGATAGTTGAGACTTTATTAAGGGTCTAGCTATCATCTACTTCACTTATCATCATCTATCATCCATATACTTTGCTCCAAGCCCTCCCTGAGCTCAGTACAGCTTAGGACATTGAATTAAGTCACCATCCATCCTTCTGTAGGCTGACAGCAGTCTACCCTATCGCTTTCTATCACATTCTTGCTCCCTCTTTGTCAGGAGCACCCCCAACCCTCAGCACTCATCTTTGAGTGTTGTAGCTCGCAAAAACCCTCCCAAAGAACAGGTTCTACCATCTAGGTACCGCATAGGCACACCACCACTCGCTTTCATTGTCTTTTGTGTTGGTTTTGGTTGGTTTTCACCACTGAACCTCACTTTGACTCACAGTGGTGGTTGTGAGGAGGTCGAGAGCTGCCCATTGCACTCTATTGGAGTAGGTTGCACTGGCAGTGCGAAGGCTGGAAGATTTGGGAGCATCAGTTGAACAGGCAGTGGTTGTTGGATTATTGGGGTCATGGTCAGATCACACCTTACCCTTTCCCTTTCAGCTACTGTCCTCACTGAGGGGGACTCTGACTGAGGGAGTGGGGATGCATCTGATCGAGAGCCCTGGGAGTGGACATGGTCCACTAGCCCTGGGGACAGGGGGCGATAAAAAGCAGGGTTGTGAGATCAGCGAGGAGAACCTGGAGACATAAAAGCTGGCAGGGGTTGTCAGGGGAGAGGTTGGTGCATAGACAGTGATGGGGGGGATGACCCCATTGTCTGTGGGGTCATAAAAGGGTTCTGTGGCAGGGAGGTTGGCATAGTTGTTCTCAGTGTTAACAGATCAAGGGGAGCCCATTAATTTCGAAGGTGACAGGCAAGTTTGTACTGGTCCAAGGCATCCAAAGCATGGTCCTTTATATGCTCTTTGGGCTCCCAAGTATTAGACAAATGGGGAAACCCTTTCCATTTAACCAAATACTTTTGTTTACCTCTGCACCCATTGACCTTGTGATTTATGATTGATTCCACCTCCCATTCGATCTTGTCATCAACTAACTTGGGAAGGGAGGCTGTGGGCACAGCCCCATAAGTGTCATTTTCGGTAAAGGGGAAGATCTGAGTGCCATGTAACACAGGATGTACCTTCCAAGTCGGTGGTAACTGCAACTGGAAGGCCACCAGTGACACAACCTGAGTCACCTTGAATGGTCTGAGATGTTGGGGTGCAATCTTGTCACACTGGTTCTTGATATGAAGATGCCCAGTATCCAAGAGCACTCAATCTCCGACCTTGGGTGCAATGTAAGACCCTTTTGAGTGTGAATGCATCAGGTCTTGTGCCTTCTTGTGGGCCAGGATGGCAACATTGTGGTTCAAGGCCAACCTTTTCAATCTTTCATCAACCAAGGGAACTGCAGTAAGCTGGACCTCTGGATAGGGTGAGGGGTCATATCCAAGGATGAGTGAAAATGGGGTCATTTGATGGACTGAGTGGACGTGAGAGTTGTGGGCAAACTTGGCAGATGGTAGTTTGGCA